AGATGGGAGGTTTACTGGGAGGTGAGACGGGAGGAGAGGTGAGTGATGGATATGAGAAAGGATAAAATGTATAGTTGCAGAGGGGTGGAAGGGGAGGTAAGATCTTCTAACTAAGTGGTGTTGGTTTTCCTGTTTACAGCAAACCAGAGCTTTAATAGTTTATATTTCGTAACACGCTCCTTGGCCAAATGAATTTGAAGTCCAACGAGCTGAAACTCCAGTGGCAAATCATCAAATTTAGATATATAATTAGTCACGTGTCATTATTAGGAAGAAGATATAAGAATACACAGTTCGTGATACAAACTTCATTTCAAGCGCTTCTGATATGCTTCCACCGGCCAATTCTTCGGAAGTTTATCACCAAACCCCGCCCCAAAGAAACCCCAAACACAATGGGGCCCATCATCCACCAGCTCCTCCAAACCCACCTCAACTCTCCAATACACAGCTCTCCTACCCCCAAGCCAAGACTGCGCTTGTATCTCATCATAGTTTCCCGCAGCCGAGAGATCGTGTTCTTTATTGATGTGTTTCCGCACATCAGTGATATCCTGACGTATGAAAAGACACTTCTTGCATTGGAATGCTTCTACGATCCGCAACGCTTCCAGGGGAGCCGAGCCGTCGGGTCGGCGGGGTAAGTCCGAGGCGTCTAGTTGCGGTAATATTGATACTAGAGATCGGACGGCTGGCCGGAGCTCAACGGGCAACTGATGTTGTTTTCGAAGATGGTCCATGACGCTCCTAGGTAGGAGAGCGTTTTGGCACTGAAGACATATTGGGAGGCCTGCAGGGGTTCTGTCGAGTAAAGCGAGATATGGTTTTAATTGGCATGGGAGAAAATCAGATGCTACCTCAGCAGAACTAGTGTTGCTTACACTGGACATTTGGACTTGAATCTCATATGCTTTGCAATACAGTTGATGGAGTAAAGAGAGCGGAATTGTTTCTCGGAGATGGTTGAAGTCCTCGCTGGGTGGGATCCGCATGGTTTTAGTCCAAAAGAAGACAAAGCATGTTCCTTCGGCTATCTAGCCAATGACAAACCTGCTACAGCCCCTTGATCATGGACTAGAACCATGTTTGAGAACTATCAGGACGGAATTTACACCGAAGGGGAACTTTCTTACCAAGCTGTTAAATAAGCAAGTGGGTTATGAAATCTATTTACTTTGCTGGATGTTTGTATATAAAAAGGGCAAACTACTTTAGAGTTTGATACATTGATCAAGCTTTTCTAAAGATCTTATTCTATCACCCTACCACATAAAACAAATTTGCAAACAATGGTCAAAATCGCAATAGCTGGTGGTACAGGGAGTGAGTCATTCGATTCATACATAACTATAAATATATATCTGCCTCTCTCTCTATCCAAGATTCCAAGCTGACCTCAGAATCCATAGGTTTCGCCCGGACGATTATCGACGTGCTAGTAGCAACCAAAAAGCATGATATCCTCATCCTTTCCCGCAAGGTACTATTTCTGAAGATGACCTATCTGAATCACACCAAGACTTTGGTTGCTGATGAATTCAAATGCAGGATCCTGCTACCGTGGAAGATCGACCTAGAGTGACCTGGGCAAAGACTGATTACACCGACAAAGCCCAGCTCTCCAGCATTCTTCATGGTGTACACACCGTCTTCGCATTCAACAGTCCAGTTGGAGATCCAGATAGCATGGCCCAGAGAAATGTGATTGACGCATCAATCGCAGCAGGGGTAAAGCGTTTTGCTCCGAATGAGTGGTCGGGGTGAGCATTGAAACTTATCTAATAAAATACAGCGGTGCATAGCGCCGTCGCGAGAGATGAATTTTAAGCTTATAATTTTGAATTTTGATAGTTCGAAATTCGATGAGCTTCCCTGGTATGGAGAGAAGGCGAAAGTTAGGGCCTACCTCGAAGAGATCAATAAAGAAAATAAGGTACGTCACTGCATAATATGTCTCCCTTATAAAACTTGTTCCACCCTTCTTATCAAAACATTCATATAGGTCCTCGAGTACACGCTCTTCCAACCAGGATTGATAATTGACTATTTGGTACCGGAGGGAAATTTAAAATACCTCAAAGTCATGCCGCTATGGATCGACTTCCAAGGCCGCCGAGGCATAACCCTCGCCGATAAAGAATGCATATACACGTTTACGACTATTTCTGACATGGCTAACATTGTAGCACGAGCAATTGAGTACGAAGGCGAGTGGCCGGTCGTGGGTGGGATTCGCGGAACCACGATGTCGGATGCCAAGCTATTGGAAATCGGGGCCAAAGTTCGAGGTATGAATTCATTGAACAAGCTCAATCTTGTGAAGAAAAATCACGATAGCTAATCAACTATCGTCATATAATAGGTAGAAAGTTCGACATTAGTTCTCTGCGGGAGGGGGACGTCCGAGCCGACGATATTCGTTCCTCGTGGCTTCCACAGTTCAGAGATCCTAATATTCCAGCAGAGCAGGCCGAGCAATTCGCCAAGCTTGTTACGAAGGGTAGTCTTCTCAGTGGTGTTTCTGAATCCTGGGTTGTGTCGGATGTGTGGAATCGTCTGTTCCCCGACTATAAATTCAAAGATGCAGAGAAGTTTCTTGCGGAACAGTGGGCTGGACAAGCTTAAGAAGAAGACCGTCGGTTTTCAGTTGGGAAATAAAGCATTGTGGTAGCTAAATTAGTCTTGATCATTATTTCCCTTCACGTCCATGCTACATTTCGTGTGAAAAAAGCTTTTCCTGCTAGTCCTGTAAATACATATAATAAAGAATTCGAAGGCTACCAAGGAGTCAATCCTGCTGGTAGTAAAGGATATTCTACCCCATTGATGATCTCCGTTGCCACACCCAGTTCATCCGTTCCTTCTCCCTCGTCCCCTGTATTCCATCGTTTCCATTGATTGTTACAGTTCCCGGGAACATATTTTGCCGCATCCATTACCAACGTCATTTTCATCTCCGGGCAATACTTCCAAATGTGTTGTCTCTGAGCTGGAGTCCCCCAAATACCACTGTGGAGTGTATTCCCTGAGTCTCCTGTATGATATCCCATGGGTTCATAAAACCCATCCCTCCAATCATCAAGTCCCTTCATCAATTTTCCTGCTTTGGTGGAATCCGCATTGTCGGCCTCGCCATCCTCGTCCGCGGGTACTTGTTCAGGTTTTCCACGGTGCATTTCACCGGAAAATGTCAAAGATGCTGTTCCATTTGCTAATTTGGCCCCGGGTCGATGGCCAAGTCTCTCTGCGAGCCACACATCCTCAGGTTCGGAGTGAGGAGCACGGACTTGATTGCGGAGGACGTCGACGATAGCGCTGACACGACGCAGACTTAGCCCTCCGTTTCCCCAAATCGCCCATTAGGATTCCATGGTGCTCCTACCCAATCGTATTCTAGCCAGTCGTTTATAGATTGTCTGCTATTCGCACATAGCATACTATCAGTTTGAAAGACCAATAGCCATTCCGCGGGCTGCAAAACCGTTTCGTAAAGCCAGAGTGTGGTTAAGAATGTTGAAATCTCTTCTTGGCTTCCAGTTGTCATATTTTCTGGAATATAGGTAAGGTCTAGCTTCCCAGACTCGACGTGACCGCGTATTGAACTACTTTGCTTCAAGTAGTCGACGCTTTCATTACTGCCCATAAAGCGAAATCGCCAGTCCGGTGGGACTACAGACATGAAGTGGATAAGTAATGGCGTGAGGATCGGGTTCACTCTGTTCTCGATGAGGAGCGCGACTTTAGAGACGTTATAAGGCGAGTGGGAATCGACACCGTAATGGAGTGACACTTTGGGCATCGTGGGCATCAGAAAGGACCTCGAGTAACATAAAAGCGTTATTGATAGGACCCTGATACATATTAGTTAAGTATAATAAGATGGTGATGGCGGATTATAAGTACGAAAATAATATGAGGCCACCAGCTACACGAACTCGTTTTGTTGTATTAGACCAAAATGACATTGCAGTTTTCCTGGTAAAACCTAATGAATGCTCGATCGTATTCCCGTGCAATGATAAGTGATCCATGATGTTGGAAGTATACAACGCTGTCCGTCTAAACGTGTCGAGAGATGGTGTTGAAATGTCGCTTTGGTGAAAACAATACAAGAAAATGGTTTTTATCATAGCAAGAGTAATCTAGGCACATATCTGAGATCTGTACTATTTTTATCTTCTTACCGTCCTAAATCCAGCCCCTTCTGCGCCACTACACTCATTTCATTAGGAATCATGGATTTAGAACCATATGGGCTTAGAAATTAGCGTTGAAATCCTACGGAATGAGAGTGTTATATTACACGTTAGCTCGTAGGTAAATACCCCCGGCCATTTTACAGACTTGATAAGCAAAAGGGGTCTTTCAAAACTAGGATTCTCGTTAGTACCCCGCCATAGAAAAGATTGACAGCATCGTTTTAGTACGAAACTAGACCGGTGTGTTAACATATCAAACCCTTGCTTACTACCTATTCCCCAAACTCCCTTGTTATATTCAGAATGAAGTTATTCTAATCACCGCCTGGTTTTGTCAGGGCTTCTTATATCAATCTTTCGTCACCAATTTAGTTTATTCGGGGCAAATGCGGCTATATAAACTCGTTTATGTGTAGCTTATAAACCGGCAGTCTTTAGGTGTCTACTATATTAGATACTCATTTGTACTACATCCATGACTGCGAAACGGAGCTACTAGTAGGTAGATACTAATAAAGAAGGTTAAACAAACAAGGTATCTGTACAGCTTCATTCAAGCTTCTAGAGCAGCTGATTGAATTTACAATTTTAACATCTTTTATTGAATCCTAATAGCGTAGAAGTTAGGTGATTCGTAACGCCTCCAACATATGCGGGGCATACGGTGTCCCGTTGTGCGAGTCGAACTTTAGGGGGGTGAATACCATCCGTGCACCTATGGAGAACTTGGGCCTCCTTGAAGCTTAGTCTCTATAGTTTATCCGAAAGCAAAAATAGAACGTGCGGCATACCTTATCAAGCAATACGGTCCGTAAGAAGAAAACGGTAAAGTGGAGAGAAAAGTGGAGATTACGAAATCGATAGGTGTAGCTCGTACGATATTACTATATTTAATAGGGCTGGCTACCTTGAAAGTTTGGTACTAGGAACATCAGGGGAACTTTTTTGATTAGCAAGCAGATCCTAATAATAATTCCATTCTGTCTGCATATCTTACGAAGTACAACGAGCACACCTCGTGGCTTGTGTGAGACCTCCGAGACTAGGGGGGCGTGGTGTGTACTCATATACAGGGATTATTTTAAAGTTATGGAATCAATTGGCTTACGGAGGTAATCACGATCGCACACCTACCCTGTACGTCGTTCCTTCTACCAATCATCTTATGCTCCGCAGTAGCGTAAAGCTTTGATCCTCCTTTATTTTAGATGCGGCATAGAAACATCGTCACCTTTGCCCCGGTGCATACTAGCTTTAAGTAGGAATTACTCGTACCGCAATGCAATTGCAGCGAGAAAATTAGGCAACACTATTATCAACGACTTCAATTTTATTTACGATTGTTTTTAATTAGATCGAGTTACTCTTTTGGCGATCTAAATAAAACATGTTTTATCAATACCTATTGTCCTAATGTTTTAATTTGTAATAATTATACACTTGATGACTTTTGCTAGAGACAGAGGAAATGGCTGCAATTTAGTTCTAATTTATTAAGAAGTAAATATGCTTCATAGTATCAATTGATATAAGAATGATTATAAGGAAGAAAGGACGAAGGCAAAAGGTAGGGAGCGAAGTCGGAAGATACCAGGAACTCATAATCTAAGCCCTACTTTGACGCAGGTAATAGTACTAGTACTACTAATTACTCCACCTCCTCTATCTTAGTGTGCCTGTCGTTCAAGCGGCCAATCAAACAGAGCTGTATCGTACCCCTAGGGACGACATTTAGTGTAACACCTCCGTCCTTTCCTATCACTCGACATGAAACTATGAATATGAGATCTATAAGCTTTCATTTTGCTAATATTTTCTTTTTTACACATTGTAATATTCACTCGTAATACCTGCTTGTAGTTCTTTGAAATATGACACTAGAAATAATCTTCACTCTCAGCGCTGTTCACTCTAAAGTATTTGTTCTGGAGTATGCAAACAGCTCGAAATTAATAGAATTAAGCGTTACAATTAGTAGTACCGGAAGAACATCTTGGATATGATATTTCTCGCGGTTGTAAGAATTTATACAAGGGTAAACTACTAGTCGTATATGCTGATTCTATCTTTCTGTGGGAGATGGTCTCCACTATCAGACTTAAAACGCGAATGGAAATCAATCAATCTCGTCTTCAGGGCAATTGGATACACTGCTGCCTAATAATAGATCTAGGCTTTACATCCCATATCCCCCCCCCCCCCTGACGAATTTGAGCATTGCATCCTCTATCCTCCACTACCTGGTCAGTTGCATAGGCTGTGTTCTTCTATTTTTATGATTCGGACTAGCTAGTAAAGTGATAGGCTAGTCTAGCTGAGCTCTTGGCAAACATTCATACTGTATGCTTACTTTATGTTGAGCCAAATGGCTGTGTTTTATTCAAATCCTCCGTCTCGAAATCTAGCTAATATCAACTGTACCCCGTGAGCTCTGAACAGCCCTTTCTTTAAACATTCTTTCTGCTCTCGAACTTGGTCTCGGCTTGGTCTAGTCACGCTCACTACACACTCTGAAATTAGTGAAAGTTCGGCACACTTGTTTAGGAGTTACACAAGAACTCTCCTCGCTCTTTATTCAAAATGACATTCTCACATGCTGGGCCCGGCTCTAAGGGTAGTGGTTTCTTTGCCATAGACAGAACGAAGATACTTGTCCTCATATCTCTCCTCACAACGTAAGTCACCTCGGTAAGGGATAAAGGCACAAGCTAAATGGTACCACAGATGGTCGATCGCATATCTTCTACCGGTATACAGACCCGTGATAAAAGGACACATCAGAGGAGGATATAATGCGGCAATTCAAAGAGTACCTAGAATAAAGGTGGACTGGTTTCCCGATCGTGACCCTCGAGGCCAGTTCGACACGTCAAAGGTCGCTCTTATGATTGAAGGAAGACCGATTCCTCATCTCGTTCCACAACTACTACATATGATTACAGTTGTGCCGAATGATTGGCGATTCGTTTTTATTGGCACAAACGAAAGTGTTACGGAGGTTTCTCGGAGTTTTGCGACTCAATATCATATGGTCAATGGAAAGCTAGATTTGCTTGTATTGCCCGACCCTTGGAAGATCGATAGCAAGGAGGATGTGCATAGAGTGCTTACAGATATCCGTTTCTACGAGGAGTTTCTGCCAGGCGCAGAGTTTCTGTTCAAGTTTGAGTCCGACAGCATTTTATGCGCGAACTCGGCTGATAGTTTGAATGACTGGATATCTTACGATTGGGCTGGCGCGTCAAGGTAAGAACTTCCTACTAGTCCTCCATGTGCATTCTAATAAAAGTGTATAGATCTGAATATGACGGCTTTGCGGGAAATGGTGGTCTCTCGTTGAGAAGAGTTTCAACTGTGAAGAGAATCCTCAAGTTCCAAAAGCGGCTCAACGATACCGAGGCCGAAGACGAATGGTTTGGGAAACGAGTAACCTTAATACCCGAGACGAAAGTTGCCCAGGGCGGACAGGAAAGCCATTTCGCTGTCGAAGACTATTACTATGACAATCCATTGGGATTTCATGTGCGCAATGGCGGCCAAGATCTCGCAGATGGCGTCTGGAAAGATCCTACGCAGAGGAAGAAAATCTTCGATTACTGTCGCGAACTCAACATAATTATGCCGATGAAATTGGAGAGAGAGAGATGTGCTGGAGATAACTTGGAGGGAAAGATTGGTACTGTATGACCAACAGTAACAAAGAAGGAGAGCAGATGATAAGGCTTGAACATGGCTGAATACATATTTCTTATATTATCTTGGGGTTGCACTTAGAACGGGATAGGAGTTAGAGGTCGAGGAAAACCAAGACCAATGGTTGGCGTTCTAGGAATTGTGTCTGAGCGAGTCCACTGTATTAGAACAATGTAACATCAGGCATGCAAGAAAATTACCATATGAAGACGAGCTTCGGAAATAGAAAGAAGTTATATCCAAAAGAGAATACCCAAAGCCATGAATGAATTTATGTTGTGAAGCAAAAGCCCAGTAGGAGAAAGGAGCAGTTACATTGCTATACCCAGCAATAAAAATACCTCCTCGTTTGCTCCTACTCGGATTCATACCTATCTTCAACCCAACACTGCACTACACCTCACCACACCTAGTCCACGCCATTGCAATACCCCCAAAACGGCCCAATACAGACTCTAGTCCTTTAGAATCATCTAGCAAGCGTCGCGCCAATGGACAGTCGACAGAGAAGAAACCCGTTGGAGGAGAGCAGCTGAGCTCTTCGGTCTGCCACCAGGCAGACTTTTGCCCCTAGGGGTCACGGTCGATACGTCTAACAACAAGATGATCACCGACCAGTCCCTGTCTGGTCTCAGTACCAATTGCCGTGCGAGATTCTGTGCCAACTTCATCACAGTCATGCTATGCCTAATCTTCCTTGGCAGACCAGACTATCTCGGGGAAGTCATCAGAGCAGCAATGTGGTATCGGCTCGGTGTTGTCGTTCCCAAGCCACGGTTCAGATCAGAATCAGACCCGAATTTGCAGTTCCCGGAGCACAAGGGCTTTGTCAAGTAAGTAACCCGACCAAATGACGGCAATACTAACGTTTCAGGTTCCTTCCCAGTACAGCCAAGATGTTTGGATCCGATGATAGACGAGGTCTGGTCACCAGGGATCTCGTTGCGATGATCGATGCATGGAACGAGTATGCCGAAAAGGAGGATTTGAAAACCATGAAGGGGTACCAGAAGGAAACACGAAATAGTAGAATTAAACTGATTGAATAGCATTTCAATTTGTTTAGATACAGCCGTCACTGCTTAGATAGCAAAATTGACTTAACCAAATTCACCGCCGGCATTTTTAACCGAGTCAATTTATTCACCTTGACCATTTTATTCCTCCTCTTTGAATCCTCTTTGGGCTCTCAAACATCAAATCTATCTCTGGCTTCGCAGCCATCCGAATCAATACCCAATACCTCTCGACTCATACTACGTCCGAGCAACACGTCTCTTTCATCAACATGCACGATGTGAGACAAGTCACGGCCTCGAATACGAAGGCTTGACCTGGCGCTGTCGTGGTGGCCAGCATGCGGCTACCACTGTTGCTAGAATTTCCAAACGGCCTGCATACTAATGCCCACAATAAGCCTTACCCGATGCTGAAGAAGGCTTTCTGCGTCATGCTACTTGAAGTGGTGGGTTTGTCGAATGCGTACAGGTTAAGAAATTAGGAAAGCAACGCGAAGAGTGCCCCTATTTTAGGAGCGGTAGGTACGTGATGGTATATTTCTGTCTTTTTGAAGAAATTGATTCGAAAATCTGCTTACTGTTCTCTTCTCTCCAGTTCATTGTCCCGCATCCCAGGCCCCACGGCTTTTGCAGTAACACGCTGGCGTTTGGCCTACGAAGATTGGAAAGGTACTCGGACAAGACCAAAAGTTTGCAAGGCTCTAGACTGGCATAGCCTCTCTGCCTCGTCAATGAATTCGTTACCGCCATAATACCGTTTACAGTCTTACACCATTCCAGAGCAAGATGCGTCGGCGGCTTTAGGCGGTCATTTATCGTTCCCAAATGATGGGCGAAGGCGTTGAGATATCGACGCCACGCTTGCGTTTCTGACCTGCTTTACCACCGGCCTTTGATTTTGACAAATAGGGTAGAAGTCGGCGAAAGTACGTATCTTTGGGCTCTCCATCGTTCCATAAGACTCGTTAACTAATGTCTCGCCGTCCAAGTCCATAGCTCCAAGCCATTGTAAAAGGCAGGAATGAAATTTTTGAAGTTTCGGCGGGGTAGGATCTTCGAATCTGACTTGCTGCGCGATGAGGACGGCTTTCCTGTCGCGGAGAGGGCCATTCGTGAACACGAGTGGATAGACAATTTGGACTCGGATGATGACTGCCCGATTACAGGCGATGCTCAATCTACAGTGAGAAGCAATCTGCATGGATGGCTGTGGAAGACAATGACCAGATGGTCCAATTCGCTCTAATGGGTGATGGAGGAGTGCGAGGTGATAGTGGAGGACAGCACATGATGGTGGGGAGCGATGAAAGGGGCTGTTACAAAATGATTGAAGAGGGGCATTGTAGTATGAATAAGTGTATGGGTCAAGCAAGAACTCCGACCCCGTGAACCCCTCTGCAACTGGGTTGTTGTAGTTCTCGATGGTGTGCGAATTGAACAACTTGCCTGTATAGTAGGTGATATAACCTCGCTTCACAAACTTGGGATATCCACCTGGGGTTTCTAGCTGGCGCATAAAATGTTCTCATTGCAGGTCACTAACCATAGGGAGGCACGACGTCTGTAACATGAGTTGTGAGCCTGCATTCAAGAAGACCTACATTAGGCACAAACTCATAAGAAAAGGCGAAATTACCACAGAGGTAATTAACAACCTGGTCTCTACCGAGAAGTTCTAGCTGAAGTCGTATGTGCTGCCTCTCCTAGCCTTACTTGCTATCTCAGCAAAATTATCATCCTTTTCTTCTGGGGAAGCATCAGTTCAACCTAAAAGCCGAGTATAACGTACGCTCCTTAGGCAGGTCCTTGACCGTCATCTGCTCCGGAATTAATTGGTGAATGAAAGTGTTCCGAGATCGATAGCAGTTTGGACATAAGATTATACGTTACATCATCCTCAATCATGGTGCTTTTAAGGAAGCCTGAAAGGGGCTATTACTGATACTTAGCACTTCGTAGCTTCAGCCTGAGCATTGGCTTCGGAGATGAGGTCGTGAGTTGCTTTAGACTCAAGAAAGCTGGCCTGAATTTGTTTGAGATCGAGAAGACGGTTGGGCTGCTCAGAATTAGTATGCTTGAAGACCATGGCTAGTGTAGAAATTAAGAGTGAAATACCGCCATGTAGACATTCTCAGCGTAGTTCTCTAGTTTGTTGAGTCTATCGATGTAGAAATTAACTGTGGTAAGTGGTGTTTCTTGTTCCTGAATTTCTTCTGCTGGCTCATTGTTCATAGATGGGTTTGAACTGTCTGGAAGAAGTTGGATATAGTTGGGGTCCATTTTTGCCATAATCCCTAGAACCCTTTTCTGCGCTTGATAGACGAAGGACATGATGCTGAGTTCTTCTCTTATGTCTCTGATTTCAAGTGGAAGTTTTATTTCCTCTGTAATGAGCGAATCCTTTATAACAAGTTTCTCCAAAGACATTTTAAAAGCTTCAAAGCGTCTGATTTCTTTATCAGCCTATATTGTATTAGTTATCAGAGCAATTTCTCGAAAAATATTATACCGACATACGATAACGGTGATTGAAGAATGGTAGATTTCATAGAACTAAGTGGTGGGGGGCGATGACTGGCAGCCCTGAAGTAGATCCTGCTACACTCTCTAGATATAATCTCTGCCAAGTCGTAGCCGGTTGTAATAGGAGTTTTGCGACTCCGACAATTCCGAATAACATTCAGCACTAGTGCTGTGATGTTGAGTGACTTCCTTCTATTAGCTCGCTGTGGAAAACTTGTAACAACCAGAGGTGGCAAATCTCCAACTTGCGGAAGCACCCATAACCATAGTTGATCAACCATTGTTATGACTTCTTTGAAATCTTCGAATCCTTTGTCTTTCTCGTGTTTCTTATGGTATCTGCTTCCTGTTTGGAATCCATCTCTTTCTGTAGTGTCACAAAGAGTGTGATAGCGATACTGGTCCAGTGTCCGCCGAAGATGCAGGGGATGTGGTGTATGCAGGTATGCCCATACGAGGTTTGGGAGAGCGCTCCAGGCATTTTTGCATGGCGGATCTTCTGTGTGGGCCTCTTTTTTTCCCACGATGAATCTCATCTCCTCGAGTTCCGCCTTAAGTTCCCAGTGAAGATACGGCATCTTGTCTTGAATTTCAGAATAGCAAAAGTTAATTGGAGAGTAAATTACGTACAAATAAGACAAATCCTTTCTGAGGTGGTCCACTGCAATGAGCCATTGCAGCGTCTGATGTATTTTGGTTTGACTGAGGACCTGGCGATTCCCTGTCCAAGCTGGTGATAATCTTTGTATCTAGAAACCGTGAGTACAGTAAGCATCATTGGCTTTCTATCGCAGTGGAAGAATCTTGCAGGTTGGATTCATATATCTTGCGTGCGGCATCCCTTCTGGAGCATGATGCTGCAACAGTGTCCAATTGTCACTCTCAAGAATCACGTTGTCCTCTTCCGAATTGTTGTTGCCCTCATAAAGTTTTGCCATAAGAGTCTACCGTATAATGACACTTAGCAACCACTCGTACCGAAGAAGTTAGACAGAGACCCTACCTCAACCCAGGTCATCTTCAGCAATTAGTAATGTCTTCCATATGAGAAGGATACGATAACATACGTTATTTGCTGGGAGGTGAAACCATATGCACGAAGACCCCTTGCTAGATTTTGCTTTCCGAATTGGTCCCCCTTCCAGCATTGTCGTAATATGATACCTTTCAAGGGGTTTTATCCTCATCTTATCTTTAAGGCAGTGCATAATAATTGCTGAATATCCCCTATCGGCATAGTCAGTTTCCTTCTGCAACTCTTTTTGCAGTTTCGGATGCAGTTCATTGAAAAACAGTTTGATCTCCAGCAGTGCGCTAATCTTGTCTTCCCCTTCTTCCTCAATTTTTTGTTGTGCCGTATCTATGGCCTCATCTACGAAGTCCAATATCTTCGAGCCATCGTCGGTTTTGGCATTGTAATTGGCTCCTTTGTATACCAGAAGATGTACAACACTCAAACGGCCATTTCCTGCAGCCCATAAAAGAGAGCTTCTACCAGTATTATCCCTAGAGTCAACAAATACGGCCCGACCTGCTGATACCTTTGTACGCGGATCATCAGAAAGTAGAAACTCAGCCACACTTTCGTGCCCATTCCCCGCAGCCAAAGAAAGTGGAGTTCGACCCTGCTCGTTCTTGGTGTCCGGATCTAAGTCTTGACTTGTCAACAGAAAGCTCAATATGCTCCTTTGACCCGCTTCTGCTGCAACAAAGAGTGGCGTTTGGCCATTTGCATCCATCAAATTCGCGTTGGCAGTTTTGTCGATTAAAAGCTTGACCGCGTTTTTGTGTCCGTTCTTTGCTGCAAAAAAGAGTGGTGTTTGACGAGAAGAATCCATAGAATCAATTTCAGAATGATAGTCGAATAAAAGCTTCATGATGTCGCAATGGCCCTCCTGTGCAGCCAAAGAGAGTGGCGTTCTGTTGGTCTGATCTTTTGGCTCAGGTGCGTTGGCGCCTTTTTCAAGCAACCTTTTCACGATGACGGTGTGTCCATTTCTCGCAGCCCATGACAATGGAGTTCCGTCATAATTGTCCCGAATACGAATATCTGCAGAATGTTGAAGCAAAAGATCAAAAGTTTCGTCATATCCATACTCTGCAGCCCATGATACAGCCGTTTCGCCGTGCTCATCGTCCTTTTCGTTGACATCAGCATCCGGCAATAGAAGAAGCTTTTTCAACCCCTCAACATCCCCAATAGGCATAACCGACAATGGATTCGCTCATTCTGGTGTATTCGGATGTTTCTGAAATAATTTGAAGCCGCTTCGTCCTGGGTTTTGGAAACTATAAGATTACCGGACTATGGACGAGAAGTTCAACGCATCCCAAATACCAAGCTGACATGCAGTGAGATTAAATCCTGCCAATGTAGTATTTTGAATGCAACTGCAAACACTCAGCTGGCCGGTCGCACGCCATGCATATGAGCACCTCGCCTACATATGCCTGAAGTGGGTGCAGACCCTTCTCCTATTAGCTGAGCTGTCGATGAGAAGAGCTGATAAGTCGGGAATAAGATAAAATGCACGTCCATCAGATAAACCTTGCCATCGTTGGGTCATTTCACTGGCTTTCCTCCAGACCATTGATTATGCAGAGCGAAATTGTTAATTTATGAGACAGTTCATCCGAAGTATGGGACCTGGACGGGCCGAAATGATAAATTGAGGCTGATTCTGTCACTGGCTAAGAATACTGTCATATTGTGTTACAATATTGTTTTAGTTTGCCTATTGGAGGATATTATTTTGTCCAGATGTCCGAGAACTACCATCGTAGATCAATAGCTGTGTTTGGGTGGGCTTGTTATGCATTATCGTAATATTCTGAGAGGCTCAATCGATGGATCCGACATTTGATTAGCTTCGTGACAAGAGATAATTGATAGGTTCCACTGTAACTAGTCCTTGCAACTGGCTTGGAGCTTATTGACTAAGATAGAAGAAAGGGTAAAAGCAGGGAGTAAGGGCACCTGGTGGTGCGCTATAGCGATTTATGTGCATATAAAAGTTCAAATTTTATAAGCGCACTTCGAGCTTAGAGAATTAGAGTATAGCAGTTAAATAATAATAGGATACAGGGAACTTGATTAATTTTAGGGGGTAGAGGATATATATACACTTATCCTAATTTCTACTATTACAAACTTCTTAAATTTCTGGGGGCCATGACTAAATAAGGCAAGAAAGGCCTGAGAGGGAAATATCTAGAGGTCTCAGCGCCAAGCTGACTATGAGGAAGGTGTGGAGGGGGGGCAGGGAGTGGTAGTAAGGGAGGGGACCCATCAGACGAACCCTCTAATCGTGTCCCTCTGTCCTATAGGAGAGTGGTGGTTCAAGTACTCCCCGCACTCCCTCCGGGAGTGTCACTGTTCAAAAGAGAGAACACATAGCAGAACGGAACAGCTAACTAAGCACAAATCTGATGTCTAAGTAGTCAATTCCGCTCTAGAAAGTAGATTTCTTTGACCATGAGGGTAGGGGGGACACCCTTACAGGCAAATCATTCGTTGCTATAGGACGTTTTACAAGTACTCGTAAACCAGAAATCCATAAAGATCCACCTTTTACACTTGTAAGAGGTTCGTCCGATGCGTCAGCCGCCTCTACTTCTAGCGCCGCACTAAGTTCCCCGCATGTAACGGGTAGCTTTGTGGGATGAAACATACCTAGGTATGACATAGCGGGGTAAAAGGTGGGGGAGGCTGGATTCTAAACGCCTGAAAGAAGTTTTAACATAGACATGGATTTTGGACTTGCATTGTTCGTTTATACTAATGTATATAGATTTATACTACTTTGGAAAAGACTTGGCAGCGGGATGTTCGGAATGCGTAAGTCCCCGAGTATCCCTCTAGGAATCAATATACAACTTTCATTTTGAAAAAAAAAAAACGACAATTAGAACACGTAGTAAGTAGCAAGAAGGTTATAATAATGAAATATAAGATTGTAAGATGTAGGGTTTAACCCTCTACTTGTTCAATGATATATCTATAAACTTTTAAAGTGCAGGTATTCTACTCGATCAGTTAGTAGTGAAAACCCCTGCAGAGCGGGGTTGGGATGACGGTGAGGTGCATTTACACGTGGAAGTGAGGTTACAGTACAAGTACCTCGGACTAGACCCAGAAATTCCAAGATCAAACCTCAACAAACAAAATCATGCGCAAGGCATTTGCAAAATTCGCAGATAAAATTGACGGTCCCAAGAATGGGAACGGTGGTTCTCCCAGCAGCAGCTCCCAACCACCGCTCATCAATCACAGCACAAAACCAAGCCGCAAAGCCATATACCCCCAACCCGGGCACCGGGACCCAGGATCCGGCCAACTGCCTCCAAAAGTAGCATCCGCAAAACATCATGGCATTATGCACTTTTTCCTCCCCAATGGCCGGGAGCATATCGTCAGCAGAGATGTCGGCAATTCCGGTGTCCTGAATGGCAAAATTGTCTGGGGCTGGGGCGACACTTTGATGGGGGCTGGAGGACGAGGGTCGAAAGCCAATATCTGTGCCACGGATAGCACATCTATTGGAAACATGTCAAACCCCATGTATGCTACTGATACCGCACTGTGGGACAACAATGAATTCGTCGCCAATTTCATTCCGTGCCTGCCCAGCGAAGAAAAAGACGGCGGGCTCGTCTCCTATGCCTTTGGCGGCTCGAATGTCATCGAGTACGCTCCGAATGAAGGCCTCTTGTTCTTTCTGAAAATCCATCGCCCGGATGGGAAGAATCATATTAAAGGTGCTGGGGTAGCCAAGGTCACTATGGAAGGTAATGTGCCAAAATGCCACCGGGATATGGACACTCTGTGGACCAAAGAAGAGCCATGCTACGGCGACGTTGGGATTTCTTACGACTGCCGAGATGGTTTTCTGTATGCCTTTGGCAAAGGACCACAGCAAGATGATGAGCAGCTTATTCGGCGCACTTACTTGTGCAGAGCTCCCATCAAGCAGGCGTTTGACATCAACGCATACCAGTACTGGGATAACAGCAGCAAGACCTGGACACCGCGGCGTCTGACCACGCATGGCAATATGGGGACCTTGAAACTGACATATGAACAATCCATCTTCGATTACTTGCAAATGGACCGATCAGCGCCGTTCTGGAGCAACTACTTCAACAAGTGGATGTTTTTGTATGGGAATAGTTGGGGTTATTCGGATGTATATGTTATGACGGCGGATAGGTTGGAGGGGCCGTGGGATAATCATAATGGTATGATTGTGGCTAGCACGGGTGGGGAGCCGGTTGCGGGGGAGTTTAGGTATGCGATTAATGGACATCCTGAGTGGGATGAGAGTGGGAAGACGGTGTTTGTGACATGGACGAAATTGAATGAGATATATGGCACGACGATTACTTGGGAGTAGCAAGGCACTTGATATTTTATGAAGACGTGTAGCTGCATTGTTGGGTTTTCTTTGACTGAGAGATTGTTGAATCGAAGTCTAGTCCGATGTCTCAACATTTACGAGAGTACCCTCATGATCCATAGCATCCCCTGAGACTGATAGATTCCGGACCGCCATTTTGAAATCCCTCACTAACAGCGTATACTCAAGAAGAATCCGCCGTGCTGGATCGTAACCTGAATGGTGAACTACACTATTAAATAAATATTTTCTCCATGCCGCATGAAATCCACCGCATCGTTCTCAACAAGCTAATGGTAGCCTGCTCGCATTTGGCGACATCCAACTGACCATCATTTTTGAATTCGAGTCATGGACTGGGAAGCGTTGACCCTTTATCCTCGGAGCACTCTTGAACACATAAATTCCGAATACCAAAGCGGTCGTCAAAAAGCCCATTCGTGACATGAAGAGGATCCCATCAAAAGTGCAGCAATCGGACATCAACTTGAAGCTCTAAGCAGCATGATGCAAGTTTTTTGTGCGCCGGCTTCTTCGCCCCTACCGCGCTCTCACTCAAAGCATTTCGACCCGCGTCAGAGCCCACGTGCTATGGAAAATTCCTCGAGCAAAGTTAGTCCAAAGCTTCACGAACTGTTCAAAATATTCACTCCTCTCGCTCGATGCTAAATCCAAACGGTATGTCCTATGCATCATGTTCACCACTGATCTCCAGTTGTCGGGGATGTTCGCAACTCGGGATGCGGATGATTGATGCATTGCCTTTCTTGATGCGCGGAAAGAGCTTGATTTAAATTATCTGGTATCCTTAGTCGGATGATACACAAAATGGCGTCCATTGCGTGAACATGTAAATAAAGTCTTGCTAAGTTTTGCAGAACCAGCCGATCCAAGGACAGTAAACTGTGGGCATACTGATGCGGCTTTGTTGGACAATCAATTAATGTGATTTTGTGGCTGATCTTGCTTAGAAGAGGATGGTGTCTGTAGGTAAGCGCTGACGGCATGGAGCTCTTCATGCTGAGAGGAGGAATCTGGCCCCCAACCATGAAAATCATTAGCTGGTGCTATATGAGCACTGTCAGGTTCAGTCATTGCGGTATCAACAACAGTGCCATCTCCCCAGGGTCGTTTTGAAGCCAACAAGGCAAGATGGTCCAGGCCCGGAGACGCTGTATGAGCGCTGCTTTGGTCCACATAGTCTCCAAGCAAAGCCGGGTCGATTTTTGAGGGAGATGTAGGACTGGCTTGAATTTCCGGGTTGTCAGAAATGCTTGGGTCCATCATTTGCGTAGCATTTAGGGCGCTCGCCATGATACTTGTGCTGGGTTGTCTTCTGTGGGCATTGGTCTGCCCAGGGTCTCTATCTGATGGAGTAGGCTCAGCATCTCCGCCAACGATTTGGGGATGATTCTTTAAGTGCCTGACAAGGACGTCACTTTGATATTGTTAGCTGCAATTCGATAACAGACAATTCTGCACCGAGCTATGACATAATTGCTAGCAGCTGACCTTCGAGAAAAGCACTTTTGGCAACGTGGACATTTATATGGCCGCTCACCAGTATCTGAAAATAAGTAAGCTGTTTAGTCGTATCCAAGAGAGCATGGCGCGAGCGCGTTACATACGTGAGCGTTGATGGCGCTTTTGATGGTCTGCTTTGGAGAACCTGCGCTCGCAATACAGGCATTTTTTAGGCAAAACAGGCCTATGCTTACGGTCTTGCATTGAATCTGCGCTGGTAGACATTGTTTAGGAATTGTATGTGGGGCACATGGTGTCAAGACTGATGTATAAGAGTACCTAGGTACTAACAAGAGGTAGCGAGCGGTTGAGCATGGAGTGGAGTGTAGATGGACTTGAGAGGAGAGGAGGGAGGGGGAGGTTGAGGTCCCCGGTTATTGCAGGTGCGAAGAAGCGAAAAGCGGGGGTAGAGCGCTTACTAATCAGACATAGCGCTACCAACGGCTGCTGTGCTAGTTCTAGCGAGTTCGGTTAGATTCAGGGGTTAATGATTGACCAATCCGTGTTATTTAGCAGTATAACACGAATAAGGCAAGATAGGGAAACGTAATGGTTGCTGCCCAATAAAGTGTAAATCACTTTTTTTTGGATTCAAGGCAATTCAAGGCAATTCAAACCTTCTAACAAACTCCATTCCTTACCCAGCCTTTAATTTTGTCATCGTTTCCTCCCTCCAAACTCAATTTCCTATTAATCATCGCGTGATGAACACGCGCTGGAATGCACTCTTGTGCAACGGGTATGTCATCACTCATGCCACTTGGAACTTAGATAAGCTTAAAGATTGCTCCTTCACAACGGGCTTTATATCCGCTTTGTATCATGATTGCATTTTAATCATATCATATGGTATATTAAGTATACTTTTACCTCGCGGAGCCAGCAGTGGTGCACTGGTGTTAATCTCTAACACAGTTGCTTTGAGCCGCACATGGCTTTTATTTACGAAAGGAATACACTATGACAGGAAAATACTATACTAGCTTGTATGTAACGTATTATAATCCTCCGTTTCAAGTGAAGATCTTGAAAGAGCTTGGTGCCTCGTAAACGTAAGTTTTCAAGCAAGTTGGAACTTCTCTTCCACAATAAAAACCCACCTTACCCAGAAGACCTTTAACCCTGAGGAAATGGAAGTTGAAAAGTATTTTTTAGTACGCTAAAACATCTAGATTGGGATTACAGTAATGTATGAAAAGTATATGACATTGGCCGCCGGATTTTAGAAATAATTAATATAATAGAAGAAAAGCAGACGAGGAAGTAATTGTTATTTGTGCTCTGCCGGATTGGTGGAACTAATCCGAGTCTTGGCATTTCAACCCCTGACTTGCCTTAGCCTCGCTACCCCACGGTCACTCCATTTTTACCCGTCTGATATCGATAACGTCAATATCAACACCGACATATACAAACTGCCACACTACCACTGCATCTGCATCTGCCTCTAAATCTCACGCCTTGCTCTGTGTTCTCAGAACGATACTAGTCATGGGCTCACATGCGGCCGAGCTTCCCCCTCGAGAAGATGAAATAACAGTTCTTGTCACCGGCTTTGGGGTACGTATACCCCCACTTACCTCATGTTTCTGTGGTACCAACCACGACACAATACCCCAGCTACCCTAGGACCTTGTCTGTATAACCTTGCGAAACGGCTAGAGAACCAACTGCTAACACGATTGCTACTGTAGCCTTTCAGAGCACAATATCCTATCAATCCTTCATGGGAGATTGCAAAGTCTCTTCCACCCTTCCTACCTGCCGCAAAGCCGGCCTCGACACAATTATCTACACTTGCAGAGTTACCGCCTGTTCGAATACTTGTATACCCGGAACCCGTCAGGGTCTCATATAAGGTCGTTAGAGAGTTGGTCCCTACTCTATGGCAAGGTCGGAAAATAGACTACGCAATCCACATTGGCATGGCCTCGGGGCGTAAGTTTTACAGCGTAGAGAGGCGCGGACACCGAACTGGCTACATGATGAGAGATGTTGATAATGAATTTCTTGGTGACGCCGAAAGACGGAAAGAAGAACAGGAAAAATGGATCTGGCATGGACTACCAGAAGAGCTGCTGAGTTCTGTAGATGTCGATGATGTTTGGAGGAGGTGGAGAACTGCACTACCAGTATGTTCGGCTTCGTCCTATCGAATTCTAAGGGGTCTCTTAACATTTTATAGGACGTCGATGTTCGAGTGAGCGAAGACGCAGGCCGATATCTTTGCGACTTTATATATTACTCAAGTCTGGCGTATTTAACGAAAGAGGAAGAGGAAGAGCGGCGTGTGGTATTCTTGCACGTACCAGTCAACAGTGACGAAACGGCTGTTAATACCGGTACTGAAGTGGCGCTCGAGTTGATACGAGCATTGGTGCAGAGTGGGAGAATGAAGAAGTTGGTACAATCTTGAAAATATATAGCGCCAGCGCGATCAACTCTAAATGTTGAGAGAAATCCCGCCATTGGGACTCTCCCAAACCTTGGGATCATACTATGGTGGCTATCGAGGTTTCCTTGAAGATCGACATGTCTCCTCTTGGATCAAACCTTTTATCAGTGATAATCAGGCTACGAACAATTGATTCCGACAGTCCAAGTTGCAGATTTATTTCAAATTTCTGGATATTTTCTTATGCACAACATCTACACGGATATCATACTGTTCCTAACTTCTACCCCGCTCTTGGTCGTTCTCAATTCCGTCTCCTGGCCATAGACCAGTCAAATTCAGCTGGCGGCCCCAATCATTTTGACATGGCATGCTTTTTCTTCCAGTAACATACGCGACACCCCCTTCCGATGCCCCCACAGCCAGATTCTCATACCCCAAAACATACGGCAAAGCAGTCGACATCAAAGCATTAGGAATGGGTGGCTGTGCCGTACCTACCGCTGCACCTGCTGGTAACTGTAGATACCAAGGCAGGTAGACTTCGACTCTACCTATTTCTATGACAACCGCCCGAAGCATCCCAGCAGAAATATTCAGGCGGAAGAGGAAGCACAAATGTGATAACATCTGTTCGGCTATTATCAGATCAGTGCAGCTTTTGGGTTCTGAAGTTTACAAATCTGGCGCGAATGTCTATCACTGCGTGCTACATATTGTAGCTCTACACCAAGTGCTTCAAATTGAAGCGCTGAATGCAACCACCACACGATTTGCCATCTATCCTAGCTTACTACTATAAGAAATTAATGAGGATCAAACCGAAGTGTGAGCATGAAAGCATGCTTCGCAACTTAAGACTCGAGTGCTTCAAAACGAGCTCGAGCACTTCCATGAATCATCCATAAGAGGCAGGTGCCGTCAGCAAGGAATAAAATTATGTCAATAAGGCACCTGGGCCACTCCATAGAATGCTTGGAGATTACTCTCAAAATACCGCAATGTACGAGTCTTTACGAATATGGCTAAAATTAAATACGCCAAACAGAAGAGAGGAAATCGCAACGCGAACGCATCTTAGAACGTTAACGTTGGATCAAGCATTGCTTTTGGTTAGTTTTGCGAGCTTATTTTTGCACTAGACACAATGAAGCTCTTAAAGTTGCTGATAAATGCACTTGCTTGGTAATAACAGGCTGCGAGCAAGAGAGAATTAGCAGCAAACAAGATAAAGGAGAGAACAATAATACGTCGTCAGCTTAGCTTAGGCTCGGCATAGTGTTGACCGCCTTATGTTGCTTTGTAATCCGATAACACCATCGCGACAGATCGCTGGCAGAATAAATTATATCCGAACATAAATATCAACAATTCCCCTCCTTCGAGTTTTTATGTTGCTAAGCTCCCTTTGATAAGCTATTAACTTACAAGAGTCTCTCTCTTAAACAGCTAGTCTCTCTCTAAAGCTATTTAAAGCTTCTTCGCAGTTTTGGTTGCTACTATGGCGCCTAGAAATACCCCCGCGCTGAACGCGCCATTCTTTACACCAAAACAATCCCCCCCAGCTGGATCTGCTCTCTCTACCAACCCCCCAACGCTCTTTACTCCTTTGAAGATCCGTGATGTCGAGTTTCAAAACCGTATATGTTCGTATCCACTACTTCCGTTGTCCCTTCCCTTCAGAATCTAGCTCAATTCCCTTCTTCCCTTGACAGCGCATTGAACCAACCCCCCACTAAAAACCCAAATCCAGGGGTCGCCCCAATGTGCACATACTCGGCCTCCAAAGGCCACCTCACCGACTTCCACCTAGTCCACCTCTCCGCCTTCGCCTACCGCGGCGCCTCCCTCACCATCATCGAAGCGACCTCCGTGCTGCCCAACGGCCGCATATCGCCCGAAGACAGCGGTCTCTGGAGCGACTCGCAGATCGCTCCTATCCGGCGCATCGCCGACTTCCTGCATTCCCAGAACCAGAAGCTAGGCATACAGCTTGCGCACGCTGGGCGGAAAGCCAGTATGGTTGCGCCGTGGTTGGTGGAGCGGGGGACAGCGCAGACTGCGACGGCGGATGTGGGGGGCTGGCTAGGGGATGTTATGGGCGCGAGTGCGATTTCCTGGGGTGAGGGGTATCCGATGCCGAGGGAGATGAGCGCACGGGATGTGAGGGATGTTGTGGAGGGGTTTCGGGATAGTGCGAGGAGGGCTGTGGAGGCCGGTGTGGATGTTATTGAGATCCATGCTGCGCATGGCTATCTGCTGTGCTCGTTTCTGAGCCCGATCAGTAACCGCAGGACGGATACATATGGAGGGAGTTTTGAGAATAGGATACGGATCTTGGTGGAGGTCATTGAGGCTATCAGGGCTGTAATCCCGAGTGGGATGCCGTTGCTTGTCAGGATCAGTGCGACGGAGTGGATGGAGCAGCATGCGTCTGAGAGCTGGGACTTCGAGTCGACGATCAAGTTAGCGAAGCTGCTTCCTGGACTGGGAGTTGATCTTTTGGACGTAAGTTCCGGGGGCAACAACGAGGCCCAGGCTATTCAGCTGCACAACGGCTTCCAGGTCGGTATTGCGGGACGTATCAGGTCTGCTCTGTTCGAAGCTGGTATCAAAGACTTGCTAGTGGGAGCAGTGGGTCTGATCACCGAGGCCGAGGCAGCCAAGGAGATCGTGCAGAATGGCAAGCCAGGAAGCAAAGATCCTACTGTTGAGATCGAAGACGAGCACGGAGCGACTGCCAAGGCAGACATTGTACTGGTTGCAAGGCAGTTTTTGAGAGAGCCCGAGTGGGTACTTAGAGTTGCACATAGACTCGGTGTTGAGGTGAAATGGCCGCAACAATATCATCGAGGGCAGTTCCTAAAGGATAGTAAGATTTAGACATAATTTAGACATGTAGAGAGAAGTAAATAAACGTCAAAAGCTATTTCCCAGCAATTGCATTTCATTGGTCCAATTGCCTCATCATAAGATACGCTTTTAGGACTCAGCAGCCAGCCCAAACAACTCCAGCATTCACAACTCCATCTCTCATGAAGCCGTGAATCGACACCCCCACTCATCTCCCCCCTCCCAACCACCCACACCACTCCCCCCAACAACAGTCCCCACCGCCAAAACAGGAATCGCTTCGGCCAGTCACCCCTGCGTAGCCTTAGGCGGGTACGTCTTCCCATCCTTCTCAACTTTCGGCTCGCACTATACACCACATACTCATCAGCAGGCATTCATCCATTCACTCATCAATCACATGCCCAAAAACCACCTATCTCTCCTTCGAACTTTCACATAAGGGAGGGATAGGCAGGCAGGGTGGTCAATAGATGAGCAAAGGTGGGATGGAATGGAACGGGGAGGCGTACAATGCAGCGTTCATCCTCGGAAATGCTATCCATAACAGACGGCACGTGGCTGCCACAGCCAAACCATGTTGATTTTTCTACATAGGTGTTAGTCATCACTCTTAAGACCTAGTTACTTCTCTCTCCCCTTGACCACAAGTTTCCGAGAGAAAGAAGAGAGAACTTACGGCAGGTAGCACAGGTAGCTTTGCGACACATTTTTGCTTTTCTTTTTTTCAAGTGCGAGCTAGGGTGGGATATTGGCGTCTGTCTTTCGTATAAGGCCGTATAGGTACTTGGAGTTAAGGAGTCTTATGGTAGGTATTTTATGTTCATGAGATGTGCACAGAGGTAGTAGAGCAAAGGGGTAGAAGTTATAAAAATGTATGGGATTAGTCACTACGCTGATGACACTGATGAAGTGGGGCAAGCGATCTCGGGATCTTCTTGAGGCAGGCTAGAGCGCAGCCCGAGGGGCGGGGTGAGATAAGCGAGACGCCCCTGTTTCTTCTGTTGTTAAGTTCTTTACTTTTTACTTTCGGCGAGCGTTCGGGATCTAATACACTCTTTGGATTTGCTCTTCTACAAATATCATCATATTCTGGAGAAGGAAGTGCCTTTCATCCAAATTCTCAACCCAACTCTCTAAATTCGGCATGCAAATAGCCGTACTGCAAGCCCAAAAGGATACACGTTATTCTATTACAACGGCAATATATCCCAAAGTCCCCACAGAACTTGTAAAAATAGACTCCAAGCACGTTCTACTCTTACACATCAATAATCTCAGGGCCACATTCTCAACTCAAACATCTCCCCTTCTCCCGGAGGACCAAAAATGGTACTAAGATCTTCCTGGAAGCTCTGCCAGCTTCCGTGATCCTCATTTACCCTGGGTACCTCTTCCTCATCTCTCGCCCTAAGCCTCTTCTTCTCGTGTCCCTCTTCTTCATCCTGTTTATGAGACTCGGGTTCCTCAACAAACCCTCCAATCTGTGCCCACCTACCATTACCTACGACAACATGCCTTCTCATTGCAACACTCCAGTCAAAACTACTCTCATACGTACCTCCAAAGACACTACTCCGCAACAACACCTCATAGTCAATCAATCCCCTCTGGTCCCACGTCAGCAACTTCATCTCCTCCAACTCCCTTTCAAACTTCTTTCCACCTAGCAGTTCCTCCTTCGTCGTCACATCAATGCTTAAAGTTGCAGCCGTCTCAATAAATACTTTGGCATCTTCTTCGTTCCCAGTACTCAGATAAATAGTCGACAGTTGCTTGGCACGAGCATGATTGAGGTAGTTCTCAGCCTGCTGCGCAAACGGAGTCCAACCCGCCGCTTTCGCATCCGCAGCTGTCCTCAAATGCGCCCCATAAAACAGTCCCGGCTGCACACCCGCCAAGTTCGAATCAACACCCATCCCGAATTTCTTATCCATCGCATATAAAACCGTAGCTGCAAGCCGGCGCACGTCTTCTCGAACCCGCAGCATTCGCCCAAAGTTACCTACGAGGAGCGCGTCGTCGTAGGAGAGGGGAAATTGCAGGAGGAGTGACCTGAGGGAGACGAGGACAGGTATGCTTGCGGAGAAGGGGGCTGGGTGGATGGTGTTTAGGTACTTTTTGAAGGCGCCGGACCAGTCGCCGGGGGTTGCTAGCACGTCGCAGAGGTCATTTGGGGTTAGTAGGATGGCTTTGGCAGTAGAGGGTTGGTCCCAGAGGTCGTTGCGGTTGGGTACGATATGTATCTGGGGGCAGGCCTCGCTCAGGGAGGATGTGAAATGCTCGAGATCGAAGAAGTAGGTAAACGGAACGTTTGTATCTGTGTTGATGGTAGAGAGAGTTGTACCGCGAGATACCATTTCTGGTATTACGAATGATGTTGCTGTGGTAGTGAGCCAGACTGTCCAGATAATAGTAGGGAGCAGCAAGGAAACTTACCTCCGGCTTCAATGGCATATCGTACGCAGTTCAAAAATACGTTCCGCACGTTCGCAACCCCGCCCTTGGGTGACTCGCAATTGAAGATCAGGCCCGGTATCCATTCTTTGCTTTTGCACAGCTCAACCAAGGCACTATTGTCTATCGCACCACCAATCTCTGTCTCGAGAACCTTCTCGACAAATGCTACTTTCTTTCCCGAGACAGCGGCACGATAAATCTCGTGGTAGTCGGCTGGGGTGATCACTTGTCTTGAGAATAGCAGATATGCGACGGACAGAACTGCAAATACAATAACTGCAAGCTTGGAAGCATGAAATACGTGCGGCAACATTTTTACAATTGCACCAGAGATGTTGATTTTCTTGGTTTTAGAGGGAGAAGATGATAACTTTTACATTCCAGCAATATTAAGAGACAAAAGGGATGTCTCAGAGAACATCCCTTACTTGAGAAGCGATACGACAAGAGATAATACTGAATTCAAGCTGTCGTAAATAGTCGAAAATGCATTGGTCAAAATGGGAGACGCCGTACTACTTTGAAGTATAGATGTGACATTCTACCCCGAAAATTGAGGGGACAGATATAAACTTAATTAGGACCTAGTGAAAATGATATTTATTGAGAGAAGTTGAGGTTAAAGATGGAAACGTGATGTCAGTTACACAAAGCCTCGCATCCCTGTCGTATAACGAAAGCTTTAAAATAGACGCCGGCAATTGAATCCACCTTATGCTCGGTACGATTCAACATGAGTCTGAACAGGGGGCAAATACGTGAAGTTAGGCAGAAAACCATAAAAAAAGGCTTGATGTTGGGATAAGGGCAGTATCCCGATCTTTCCAGTCATGTGATTTAGCGTAGCTTAGTCAGCTAGAGGCCTTTACCTCTTCGCGTCTCCTCCCACTTCCACTTCTAGATGGACAACGCAACACAAACCGATTATGACCACCTTATACTAGCTAGTACTAGCTAGTACGAAGTGATTTACCCGGGTATTCTGTGATACCAACACTTGAAGAATATAAAGTTTTACTTTCTATACACTGTATGAAGAGATAAAACTTAGCATATTACTACTAGGTATATCCTTACATTACCTATTTTACTAGGGGGTTTAGAGGTAAGTTGCCTAGCTTTACAGTTTATTAGAGAAAACTGTATATTTTACGTTTTAAATTCGCTTCAATCGGACTTATGAGAAATCGCACCGAATATGACTGAGCGCATGTCAGCGTAACGGGCGCCGATTTCTCCGATATAATTTATATCCTAGGGAGTTCGCTCTTCGGAGGGTAGGGAGATTCCGCTCTACGTAAAATTGAAAGCGAAATCCTCTAAATACTACTCTGCGGTAGTTAGTGAGTCTTCCCGGCATACAACAGGAACTCATTCGCTTGTAAGCCTTCAGGATGAGTGCTTTCTAACGTTTTTCACTGTATATTGTGGAGGAAACAATATAACCGCGAGCTCTAGGCTAGGATCCGATTAAGTAATTATTATTATTTCGTTTTCTTCGCATCTTCGCATTCAACTCAGAAGTCGACACAGATGTCTCCCTTTAGCACAAAATGCCTTGCCGCCCTCTTGATATCGATTAGGGTTGTGCTGGTTCATTCATGTGGAGGACACCCATTGGTAGTGCGTCAAGAACCAGCACCAAATATCACAACGTACACCACCCCTCCGGGCAAGGTTGCCATCGTCAATGTCAGAGTATTTGACGGCACAACGCTACTTCCGCCTTCAGTTGTTGTGATTGAAAATGGTCTTATCGGTACGGACCCATTTGGAGCTGAAGAGATCGATGCCCATGGCGGTGTCCTGCTCCCTGGACTCATCGACTCACACCTCCATACTGGGTTTTTGGATAATGTGCTAGTGATGAGGAATTATGGTATTACCAGTGCTATGGATATGGCTTGCACGGGTGGTGCGGAGGCTTGCAATGCTTTGAACGTTGGTGTGGGATACCCAGAAATCAAGTTTTCATACGACGCGGGAATCTCTGCATATGGCCAGGTGGCATCTTTGGGATTAGCACCTGCCTCATCGCTCATACACAATCAGTCACAGGCCGTCCAGTTCGTCTCTGCTCGCCTGGCTGAGGATTCCTCATACATCAAAGTGATCACGGAGAGTCCCGGAATGGACGCAGCAACCCTGGCTGCGATTGTGAACGGCTCTCATGCTGGAGGTATAAAAGTTATGAGCCACGCACCACGCCATGACGCTATTTCCAATGCTCTAGCAGCCGGCATTGACTTCATTCACCATATTGCTGCGGATACGGCTATCGACTCCTCTCAGGTTGCCCAATTTGTCAAGCAAAGGGTCATCGCCGTTCCTACGCTCATCCAGATGCTCACGATCGCAAACACTCGTCTGTACAACTACTCTTACCCAATTGCCAATCTCGGCGCCAACGAGTTATTCAATGCGGGAGTTCCTATCCTGGCTGGGTCGGATGCTACTGGCTTGCACACCCCGCCAAATCTCTTGGTCCCGATGGGAATCAGCCTGCACCAAGAACTTGAATTGTTGGTTGGAGCTGGCTTGTCTTCAGTTCGTGCTTTACAGGCAGCGACAAGCCTCCCAGCTAAATATTTCAATCTGCAAGATCGTGGTGTGATTAAGCCAGGTTTCCGTGCCGACTTGGTGTTAGTCCGCGGGGATCCTATTGCCAACATTTCAGTAACACGGGAGATTGAACGTGTGTGGATTGGAGGGGTTGAATTTAACCCGTGGGATAGAACAATCGGTTGTTAATAAGGCATTGCGGACCAGTAGATCTTGATAATATTTTCACAAATGATTTTAAGTCGCTCGCAACTGTTTAAGTGGTGAATATTGCAAGAATTTGATCCCGGGATCCATTTAAGGAACTTAATCATGCCACAAATGTAGATACTTAGGCCCTGGTACCGTCCATATTCAATAGTTAAACAAAACGAGGTTAACTATTCGAGAGCTTCCCTGTAGACTTTCAGTACAATCCCGAGTTTCTACTCGCCTTTTCTTTAAGTCTGACAGCCCCTCTATAAACCCACTACTTAGCGTAAATTGCTAGAATCCTATAGATCTGACTGGCTCTTTTGCCCTAGTATAGATCCTTAGAACCACATAATGAACCAATCTTAAAGTGAGTTTGGACCTCTTAGAAGCCTGTGATCATTAGATCTAAGCTCTCTAATGGCGCGGAGGATATATTTATGGGCACAATTCAGGTGGGGCTGTCAGACTTAAAAAAGGGTGAGCAGACGCAGTTGAATTCACATAGTTGGAAAACTTCAAAATGTATTGTTAAGGAACCCCTTGCAGTGGTGAAGTCCAAAGACAATTCTGCTTGATTCCTCATTTTCCAAGCATTTTTAATTAGCTAACTAAGTCTCACAATGCTACGTTGAAGAGAAATGTTCTGCAACTATGAACGGATAATCGCTAACACCTGAATTGAAGAACTAGTAAGAGTTGTTGCAGTATACGTTGAATGAAAATACAGCCCTCGCTTTTGAAATAGGAACCACAATTCAATCGTCAGCCAGAGACACTGAGCTTAAAGATCCATCACTGTCATATTCATCGTCATTTTCTTCCTCGAGTTTGATGGCTTTTAACACTGCCCCACGATCTTCAATTCTGACTCCGTCGTATAGGGTCGAAAAGGAAGCCAGGAAGTCATTGATGACTTTCTCTGTCTCCTCTTGAGTGAGCTTGATTTGCGCTCCTGGTGTCGTATTTTTGTTACGGTAAGTGGAGCCACGGTTTTTGGACATGATCTGCAAGTGATGAGAAGGTTAGTATGAGTACTATCTAGATTTAAACACGCAGGATCGACGCTCAGAAAAGCTGAAAGCTGCAACACTAAGATGTCTGTAAGGGTTCTTGAATAAAAAGCTCTGGAGAACTCACAATAATTGGAGGTCCCCTGGGCGGTCCTCTAGGTCTTCCAATCCAGTTTTCAGGGGGTGGAGGTGGTGGTCCTGGTCGTCCTCCTCGGAAGATAATTTCACCTTTCAAGACGACAATGTATCCTGGGTTTTTCTTTGCCTTCCGATTCCAGAATTGACGGATTGGAGTCTTCTGTTCATCAATTGAAGTCATGTGCTCGAGCGACCATGTGTGAGCGTCGTATCTTTTGGGTTCGTTCTTGTTATTCACAAGGGTGTAAATGGCAGGGCTTATGTCTGGAGAGGCATTCATCAACGTTTCGAGATGAGACGATTGGGCAGATGTTTTGAGCTTTTTGCTTTCTGCAAGAAAGCTTCTTATCTCTTCCTGTGTTGCTGGAACTCTCTCCACCCAGTGCATCAGTTCCTTCTCGCGGCGACCAACTTTAAATGTTATTCCAAACAGTCGGAATAAAGTCTGCCTGGTAACTGAGCGGACATTGTAGCTTGCTCGATGCATTTCGAAGGTGTCGGTGTCTTTGTAGGGAGAGATGGGCTCTACCTCCATGACTGGAGATATTTCAATCGGAACAGCTTGTCTATCCGCTTGTCAACATCCAAATATCTTGTGCGGCGAAATTTATCATTCTTACTCTTTGTTGGGTGAGGCCGAAACTTCCTCAGAGGAATTACGTACTGTAATTGAGGCGGTTGTAGTTGATGCGGTATCTGCAGAACATTCGTCTTGGATACAAAATTTGGCTTCCTCAAGCATTTGTAAAGTGTTAGCGGCCTTTGATGTCTCGTTCAAGCTAAACGCCATGATAGAAGCGACTTTAGCGTCTCTGAGAGCCTCAAGTAATGACCCCATAGACTGTTTGAATTCCCGAAGACTTCTTTCCTCGCATGTTGTCAGAGTTCGCCTAGATAGGTTCATCAGTCACGAAGCAAACAGTAATATTTCAAGGGGCCGAAGAAACAAGATACTCACTTCTTTCCATAAATTTGAAGAATCAACAGCTTGACAATACATTGCAACAATACTGCTTGTTCCATCGATTCATCAAGGGAATTTTCCAAATCATCGAACTCTCTCTCATTCATGCCCAAGGCCCAAAGCAATTTCTTCCACGGCTTCTTAGGCGGCTTCTCAGAATCATCCCGAGCCTCATCTTTTGTCCACGAGTTGATCTTCTCAGCTGCCGCTCGGACTATTCGGTAGTCTTTCTCGCATCGCGAGGTGATACTCATAAACTTTGCTTGAAATGCCTCCGTGAAGTCATCTGCATTGCGATTGACTTCCCTTCCGACTTGGGTCAGAAGAGTAGCAGATAGAGAAATTTTTGAAGGAAGATCTTTGATTCTCTGGCGAGATTCGAAATGGATAAGAGAAGATGCAGCAAGTAAGCCTGAATCTGCGACTTCCAGTATGAAATCACCGGGTGCACGTCGTTCACCCATTATCTCCAATTCTGGGGTGATAATCATAATATAAAGTGAGCTGATATGTATCTCATCAAGGACTAGAAGTTGGATGTTAGTTACAGGTTCAAACGAAATTCATTTATAGTTTACCTATTAATTATCTTGATCTCTCAACAAGTTCACCGAGTAACTGCAAACAGTCCGGATTGTACTTTAGGATATTGGGAACTTGAGGTGAGGCGAAGTATAAGTAAAAGTTGCCTGACTCCCTAATAGTGCTCAAGTCGGTAGTACGTGGGGAATTTACCCTGAAAACAGTCGCATATGCGGGCCAACGTGTCAAGGCTGTTTGGCTGCCGGTTGTCTGCCAGCCAACATGATAAATGCAGTTTCTCGGCCTTGGAATCTGACCAGAAGAATCAATTGGTCCTTAACTTTGTTTCCTCGCCAATCGGATTTCAAACTCTATATTCAATTCCAATACTTACTTTGTTTTAGATTAACGTTCGTTGAACAGAATCGTACAACAAATGATGAGATTTACAGCAACACCCTACGGTGCATCACGGTATCTTTACTTCAAACTAAAAAGGGTTTTCCGCATATGGCGCCTTGCTTTCGATATTAAGATGTCAGCCACTGTGCAAAACTGCGAAGTGATGAGATAGGGGAGAGTAGTTGGTCACATGACTTTCGTTCGAGAGTTTCCCTAAGAGACCAGTGATCTATGGTCGTTGTCTATAAGATACTTCTTTCCCGATTAGATTTACATCTGAAGTATTTGAGGTTCCTATATTAACATCTTTAAGCATATTTCTACCTTACCCCTTTTGCACCTACACCAAATGCGCGCGAAGCGAAAGATCATTTGTAGCTATAGCGTTCTTAAAACCGTACTTGAAAGCTTTCAGGGGTTCTTTGTTCACCTTATATTCAAGGAAGGTATTCATGAACTGATTGCGTCTTTGCTTGTCTTTTGCCGCATTTGACTGCTAAAGACATTCTTTTGTGGGTATTGCGTTGACTTTATTATTGCTTAATCACTCGATCACCTGTTTCGCCATACTCTAGAAGCTCACAAATAGAACCACCACCAAAACCAGAATCACGTCTTACCAATGCATACTTATCTAGTAAGAAGTGATCACCCCTGTGATACCAACACATATGCATTCCAGCCAACTATGCTTAAAGATTCATGCACTTTTTCCGCGCTTTTTATCTGACAAGAGCCCTGGCCCTCTTCCGTTCATCTTCAGTTAGGACCCAAGCCATCTCCTCTTCTCCTTCCTCCTCAACCTCATTAATAGCCTCCCATTCCTCTTCTTCCATATTGACAAGCATACAGACTTGTGAGACTCTCGCAAACAGATCTCGAACGCCGTAGCGTCCGCCTCTCGCTACGACGCCGATGATACCAGAGAAGTCACGCTCCATGCGACTAGCGCCGTGTACGCTCATCTTACCAGCATAGCCCCAAATTCTTTTATCTAGTACCTTCGCGAGATCCTTCGCGGTCGAGTCTAAGAGGAGGGTGAAGCATTTAGGTGTTATGATCCGTTGTATAGGCTTCATGATTGAATCCCAGCCATGCTCAAAGCGTCGCGCTACTAAGTCATGCTGAATGTCCGCTTCGTCTTCATCGTCTTGCCTTGCTTGATCATCGAGCTCTTCTTCCGTGAGGGTGTAGTCCACGTCGCGGAACACGTCCCTGACGACAGGTCGTAGGCGTTGTTTCACAACTCTCTCGAACAGCACGGTCAGGCCGTCTGTAATGAGTTCTCCTGTTTTTGATGAGAAGGTGGCGTTTAATGATTCAAGAGAATTTTTGACGAATGTGGCGTCGTGTGCAAAGGGGTAGAGGTCTGCGAGTGAGGCGGCTGATGGATCATTTGGTGAGATCCGCGAAGTGACGATGCGGGCTATGTAATCGTTTGCGATATCAAGGGAGTTGATGAGGATTATGAAAGATAAAATTTTGTCTTCTGGAGGAAAACCGCCTTGTATCGCAGCTTTGGGATAGGACTCATCGCGCATTTTCCGTTGGATCATGCCGACGAAGTCAGAGCCTAGGACTCGGCCGATGGTGGGGATGACGGAAGCAATCACGTCTCTTTGGGAAGTCGATAGTGAGCGTTGGAGGACGGTATTGACGATGTACATTACATCGTCGACTGGTGATATAATAAATGGTGGATTTCCGTCTATTGGCTTTGATAGGTTGAGAGATAGTCCAGCTGGTGATTCGTCCAATTGAAAAGCTTTTTCCACGGATCTTCTGAAGAAGAATGTGGTCATGATATTAAAAGGTGTGGTGAGCCTTGCAGATATTTTCCGACTCAACGCTGATTTGATCAGCAGTTCTGGCATAACCAGAGGCTCGTCTGGATCAATTTCCGGATCCTGAGAAATCTTAGAAATGGCTTGCAAGAGAACTCCTTTTGGCGGACTTACCCTGCACTTGCTGGCTAAGAACCGGGAATACAATGACCATCTACCCAACATCATAGCCGTCTCATTCAGAAGCCCATCAACCTCCTTCATATCAACACCTTCGTCTTCACTAATACGGCCATTCGTGCCACCGCCAATCGCAGGTGAGTTCGTTCTCGATATTCCTGGACCTCTTTGGGCGGGCAAAAAGCTCGACACCAAGAACGAAAATGGGTAGCTCTTGACATCCGTCAACCTCCGATCAACACTCCTCTCATCCCCCCACGTATCCAAAATAATACCTCCCTGGACATCCGCCTCAATCTGCAGGCGCTCAATAACCTTCACCATACGTCCCTGCCCATAATGTCTCTCCACCAGCGTGCCATGATTCTCCACGATCTGCGCAATGTGCTCAAACAGCTTCGTAATAGCATTTGCGAAAAAGAACCCCTCCTTCCCATCCCTGCCCTTGGTCCCCTCCTTCAGATTGCCCCTCGCCCGCTGCGCAACACCTTGACAGACGTATCGTCCATAAACCTCCAGCCCTGTTTCCTCCCTCCCGATTAGTGGAAACAGCTTAAAGAACCTCGTAATCTTAGCATTATCCCCCTCCTCGGCAGCTTTCTCAAACTCTCTGAGGAAAAGCCCACAAAGACTCTCTTTCGCGCTCTCGATCGTCACTCCCGGCGCATCAGGCACTTCCACACTGGGAACAATCCGTGCTGCGAATTTGCCCTCTATGATATGTTTCGGGACCTTGGAAGCCCGCGCAATGTATCCAGCAGCAGCCTCCCAGTCCTGCGGTGCGCCCATGGAGCCCACAACACCTTGCACACATGCTTTTAGCTCCGCGACTTGTTCTACCACCCCCAGCGTCTCTTCCACACGCTTCTTCTCCAGATCTAATTGTTTCACTTTAGAAGACAGATGTGAAGCCGTCGAGGACGCGGAATCCAGCATGCCATTGCTGATATTGCGTGTATTGACGACCTGGGTCCCCAGGTGCGCGCGCAGGAGGTCGAGCCGTCCGAGTTCGCGAGAAAGGTCAGCTTGGGAGGTGATAAGGGTCTGCAGGCGCGAGGTGATGGCTGCGTCGCGGGAGTGAAGTGCGGAGAGGGAGGCGCGGATGGAGGCTAGGGAGGCTGATTCGGTGATGTTTGCGAGGGTGGAGGAGGGGGCCGCTGGCTGGGAGGAGAGGGCGCCATTTGGAGGGCCGGTGGGAGGCATTGGTTTGGGTTCGGCATGGGTATGGTGGGTTGGTGGATTGAGATGAGGTGTCATCACAGTATTTCGAGGTTCGTGTCGTTAAGCGAGGATTTATATCTCGGTCAATCACTTGTAAGATTTAAGCATTGAAGAGAATGAAAATTTAATTATGTAATTGCCGTTAATGTTTTCGCTGGCTATTTTTTCGCTGGGGAATCTATGCCGAATTCGACCTATGTATACAATGTGTTGCTCCCAAGCTCCTTTTTGTGCTTAAACAAGCTGACTATATCCACTTCCCAACCGCCTTCTTCCTCTCGATCTCCAGTATTTCCTTGCCTCATCCGCCCAAAACACGCTGCTTGTCAAAACTGTCAAGCCCACCAGGTCAAAGAATCCCAATGCTTCTGTTTGAAACACCTCTTGCAGCCATGGGAAATAGATAACCAATATCTGACCCACCAAGCTCAACGACACCGCCCAATTGAACAGGGTATTGCTAAACAATCCAACCTCCCCTCTCAAAACCGACTTTGATTCCGAACGGCAATTCAAGGCATTAAACATGTCAAAGAGAACGAAGCAAGTAAAAGTCATGGTAGTGTCTCGCTTTGTCACTTCTCCATCGGTGAGCATCTCGTGTGTATATACAGCCATCGTACCAATCATGATAATTGCTGCTGAAGTAAGGACTCGCGTGATGAGTGGCCAAGTCAAGACTGGAGCATTGCGCTTTCGTGGAGGTCTTGTCATGACATCTGGGTCAACAGGCTCAACACCTAGCGACTGAGCGGGTGGACCATCCATGATGATATCTGTGACTTGTTAATATAGTTAGAAAAGACGAAGGAGGTTGATACTTACTGATCCAAAGAATCTGCATCGCATTTAGAGGATTCTTAAATCCCAAACACGTGCAGAAAAATACCAAGCTCAATGCTGCAGCACTGGTACTCAATTGGAAAGTAAGGAAATTTTGGATGTTGTTAAAGATACCCTTGCCCTCTTCAATGGCATGGAGAATGGTTGAGAAGTCGTCGTCCGTCAAAATCATATCAGCAGCCTCCTTTGCCACGTCTGTCCCTTGCATTCCCATAGAAATACCGATATCAGCTTTCTTCAAAGCTGGCGCATCGTTGACGCCATCGCCAGTCATGGCGACAATATCTCCTCGAGCTTGGAGAGCTTTGATGATCTTTAACTTGTGATCAGGGCTTGTTCTAGCAAAGATTGACGTGTTGGCAATCGCGGCCTCCAATTCCTCATCAGTCATCTCCTCGATCTCCTCGCCTCGGAGTACTGGTCTGACTGCAACTGAACTTTGCGTATGTTCTCGTGGGCTGGCAATAGACATGCCTAGTTTCCGTCCAATCGCTACAGCTGTCGTCTCAGCATCACCAGTAATCATAATGACCTTGACACCTCCTCGCATGAGTCGCCTAATGGACTTCTCGACCCCAGTTCGAGGGGGATCACTCATACCGACAATCCCCGCAAATGTCAGTCCTTTGTACACATCTTCATTGTGAGAGATTGGAGCTTCATTTGTCGGGTATGTGGCAGTGACAGGGGTGCCATTTCGGCTCACGGCAGTAAGAGATCTGGTATGTCTCGCAGCAGCACCACTTGCGAAGCCAAGAACACGAAGTCCTTCCTCAGCGAGTTTCTCTGCAGCATCCAAAACTTCTTGTCTCCTAGCTGCATCCAAAACGACCTCGCGACCATCTCTAGTCAAATAGGTGTCACATCGTTTGAGGATACGGTCAACAGCGCCTTTAATGTACGCGACTTCTCTCGTATTAGAGCTCCCGTCAATGCTGACATCTCCTACCGTGACACCCATCCATTTTCTTTCCGAACTAAATGGAGTTTCCCCAATGCGGTGCCCCAGGCTATCTCGAACATCGTGTTCCTTGAATCGATCGAGCATATCAAGCATGGCAACATCCGTAGGCTGTCCGACCCACCTACTCATCCCAGCCTTTGGGCCTGTAGAAGATAAAACAGCCGTGGATGAACTGGATTGATGGGTATTTCGGCGACTCAGTCGCGCATTGTTTGCAATGTTACCAATGCGAAGAATGCGTAATGTGACTGCATCAGGCTTCATCTCCGCGCCCTCGTCGTCAGAATCGACTTCTACGGGGGATTTTGCATCTATGTACCACATTTTTGTCGTTGACATGTGGTTCATCGTTAATGTCCCTATACTTCTTAGCAATGATTCAGCCACGTGATGGTCAACCTACCAGTTTTGTCACTGCACACAACATTCACGGACCCAAGAGTCTCAACACTTGGCATCTTTCTTACAATAGCATTATGTCGCGCCATCCGGTGTACACCTAATGCTAGGGTCACCGTAACAATGATTGGAAGACCTTCGGGAATTGCTGCAACCGCAAGGGAGACGGAAATGGTGAAGATCTCCAAATACCCTTTGCCTTGAAGCCAACCAACAACAGAGATCACCCCAATGATGAAAAACGAAGCTTGACTTAGTTGTGATCCGAGGGAGTCCATTGACAGTTGAAGAGGGGTTCGAGGACTCTCTGTTTCTGTAACACTTGCTGCGATTGTTCCAAAGTGTGTTTTTCCTCCAGTCGCATATACAATTCCTTGGCCATGCCCAGATCTCACCAATGTTCCCATAAATGCAATATTCGTCGCGCTGTTCAATTGAGTGTCTACACCAACAGAACCACTTCCAGCAGAAGCATAATCGGGCGAGCCAGGAGGTTCCAGAGTACTTGAGACAGCCCTCCTAGCGAATACATTTCGGAGTTTCGCTTCCGCAGTAATTCTCACAGGCTCGTTCTCCCCTGTGAGGTTGGATTCGTCAATCGTCAAGTCCGATGCTTTCGTAACGCGAATATCGGCAGGTATGCGATCTCCCGTTGTGAACAGAACCAGATCTCCTGGAACCAATTGAGCAGCCATGACCTTGCTAGATGCAGACTCCAATTTTGCCTCCACATCGTCTCCAGAGGCAGAGTCCATCAGTGCTTCCGCCTCTGGAAGCGCGCCTTCAGTTGGTGGCCATGTCGGTGTGCGCTGGCCAGTCGTCCTCACCTCACCCCTAATCAAATGCGCATGGTTGGGGACCAAATGGCTGAGAGCCTCAATTGACTTTTCGGATCGATACTCCTGGATGAATCCTACTAGAACGACAATTGTAACCGCAACTGCAATGCTAAAAGCATCATCTCTGTTTCCCACCGCTATTGATGCTATGGCAGAACCAAGCAAAAGTAGAATTAGGGGCTCCTTGAACTGCTTCAGGAATCGAAGCCATAAGGGCTCAGGCTCTTCATGGGGGAGTTCGTTTGGACCTTGGGAATGTAATCGCGCGAGTGCTTCTGCGGGGGAGAGGCCGGTTACGAGTGAAGTTTGTAGTCTTTCGGCGGTTTCTGTGGGGGTGAGGCTGGAGTATTCATCTGCAACTGACTGGTAAAAGTTAGCTTAGATGTAAACAAGCAGCGAGAACTGTTCTGCCAACCTTGGCAATAGATGAAATTGATCGGGTATGTCCCCCTCTCGATAGTGAGCTATCCCTGGATCTGGTCCGCGACGAAGGTTCTGAATTTGCAGCTTCAATGGTTGGAAGATGTGACATTGGCAGGTAATTGCTTCCAGGACTTGCGGACCGGGAGATTCGAGGCCAGGAAGGCATCACGATGATGCCTCCTCCGAAATCTACACGGTACGAGCAGCAGTCTCAGCTGTCGCAAGCTCCTTCCTACCGCTGAGGCATGCGAGGTGAGAATTGGGGAGCAGAGAAGTAATCAACACGTTGGAAGTGGTAGGGCTTGGAACAAATAGAGCAGTGTCAGTCTCAAACTATGCAATTATTCTGAGCGGCTTGCATGGGGGCAAATATGCATATTGTTACAAAAGAATTTCTTTGGATGAATAATGAGTTACGTGTCTGTCGACGACTTCTTGGGCGTTTCAAGGTGGGTACAGTACAAGTTCGAACTCGTGCACCCCTGTACCTGCATCAGAACTCTAATCTGGATGTGGCCTTGCCTTGGGCTTGGACAGACTAAAGTTGGGACAAAGCTTCTCTAGTCATAGCCGGAAGCACTCTACGGGGTTTATGAAGAGGTGTTCAAATCCATGATACAAATACGCAAATGGAAATGGAAATCAAACAAACGACTAAAACTTCTTTGTTGTCCCCTTCCCCTTTTCTGCATTCCACGTGATGTAAGATATATTTGAACCTGAGGGGAAGGGAAGTTCTGGGTGACCAGTGAAAGCGGCACCACTTTCTATTGCGCCCAGCGGAGAGAAACATGATCATGAGTGCCGCTTTCCAGATCCTGCAGAAGCTATTCCATGTTAGGCCACTAGCGCGTGTACCCGCCCAGCCCAGCACCAGCACCAGCCCCAGCCATCTTTTCCTGTGACAGCTGCTCCCCACCACGATTCTGGTTCAATATCGCATCCACCGCCCTCCCCATTTGCTCTCCGTATTCACGACTCTTGCTTGCTTCACCTGGGAATCTCGCGACGCGATCATTCCAATCGCTCTCACCGCCTTGTACCGAGTAGCGTGTCCTTGAAAGCCACGACTGACTTTGCGACAAGCTGCTGGACGCGGGTGCAGTACACATCATAACAAACGCGCTCTCGGACTTCCATCAACAACCAACCACAAATTTGCTTTGAAACAACAAATTGCTCCCGCCATTAGGCGCAAACTTCGCATAACTCAACTATTCTTGCTTTCTCTTCGCCTTCACTATGTTCTACTCGGAGACTCTCCTCTCCAAGACCGGCCCTTTGGCCAGGGTCTGGCTGTCTGCCAATATTGAGCGCAAGCTCTCCAAGAACCATATCCTGCAAACCAATGTAAAGGATAGTGTCGAAGCTATTGTTACCCCCAATCAAGCGCCAATGGCTCTGCGACTCAGTGGGCAACTTCTGTTGGGGGTGGTCAGGATATATAGCCGGAAAGCGCGTTATTTACTCGATGATTGCAATGAGGCACTCATGAAAATCAAGATGGTACGCGCTACTTTCATTATTTGTTTGATCTATGCTGATTAGTCTAACCAGGCCTTCCGTCTCTCTGGCAATAACGATATTCCTGCTGGCCTCCACATGCCCTCTCGCGATGCTCTCATGCTCCCAGATGTTCTCACTGAGGGTGATAACCTCGAAATGCCACCAATGCCAGACGCGTCCTTCCTTCTCTCGCAGGTCGGTGATGAGTCGCACGTTGGACGCAAACGTCGAGCTGGAAGTCGCGACATCAATCTACAAGAAGACTTCAATGGTAGCCAATTTCTACAAAACAGCATTGAAAACCAGGACGAGGACCTTGTGATGGAACCGTTAGATGATATGGACTTGGGATTGGATTTCGGTCTCGATATTGATGATTTCAATCCCAAAGCTAACCAGAGTATTGAAATTGAAGTCAACCAAAGTATTGAAATTGGACGAGATGCTCCAGCTGCTCGTGCTACAGAGGATGATATATTTAGTGAACATGATGCTACAATACTCGCAAAGGACAACCTTGATGCAGGGGCAGAGAGAGACACGTCTTTGAACCTTGGTTTTGCGGACGATGACGGTGGCGCCATCCATATTGATGATGACGGTAACGTTGACATGTTCGATATTGGAGACCAACCCGACTTGACTGGTCTTCCTCCAGCCCCCCTTATCCGCCCGGAAAGAATCTCCGAGTCGCCGCTTTCAGATATCGATGACAACGTCGCCGCAGAGCTTGAGGCTGGCCACCATCAGGCCAATCGAAGCCTGTACGAGCCTGAAGATGTTGAAGAGGAGACAATTATTCGCAACCCCGCACAGCGTTCAAGAAAGCAAAAGCTACTTCACCCAGATTCCGAGACTACACAGCCAACCCGACAAATCAAAGAGCAGCAACAACATCACGACAAAATCCTGCGACCACAATCATTCCTCCCCCGTGATCCTGAGCTCCTTGCTTTAATGGAGATGCAAAAGAATGGTGGATTTGTCTCAAGTATTATGGGCGATGTTCGAAGTATGGGATGGGCACCAGAACTCAGAGGTATGCTTTCTCTCGACGCTGTCCGTAGCTCTGGTGAACTTAAGCGAAAGCGCGACAGCGGCATCGCCGATATGGAAAGTGGCGATGAAAACCGAAATAAGTCCCCACGTCTTGACCTAGGCGAGGAAGAGGAAGACATCGGTGCAGGACTAAATGATGCTGGTCTGGGCCGCCAAAGCATCTCGCTCGCTCCAGACGCTACAGTTATTGAGATGGCTGCCGACGAAGAGGGGTTCATGCAAAATATTGAGGATGACGAGCAGAACGCTGGCGCCGGCCTTGAAGCTGAATCACCTGGTCCAAACTTCGATGAGACTACCGCACCACTTGTTCACCCTGCTGATAGCGGACCTGTCTCGCTAGGTACCAAGCATGCAGTTCATCTATTACGGGACCGCTTCGGCGCTGAAGCTGCAAATAGCCCAGACAAGCGGAAGAAGGCCAGCATACTCTTCCAAGACCTTGTACCTGAAAAGACAACCAGCAGAGCCGAAGCCACAAAGATGTTTTTCGAGGTATTGGTCTTAGCTACAAAAGATGCCGTCAAGGTCGAGCAATCAGAATCGTTACTTGGTGGCCCGATCAGGGTACGCGGCAAGAGGGGTCTATGGGGTGATTGGGCAGAGACAGGAGCAGGTGGTGAAATTGCTGCTGAAGAAGAAGAGGTTATTGCTGGTCCTTCTCATGGTCTTGAGCGCTCTATGGCCGTTTCCGTTGCTGCATGAAAATATTAATTGGGGGTGGGGGTTTAGATGGTTGTATAAGTACGGCATTACATTGGATATGTTCAGGATACTTCAGATGCTGGTGCTGAAACTGGCGTTATATGAGGCGCCCTGGCTTCCTCGGGGTATCTGGATTCAAGGCGTTCTCGGCGTTCTCGATATCCTGCATCCCTGGTTTATTTTTAGATGTTATGACGCTTTAGTCGGTAACCAGTTACTTTATTTTGATGGGAAGGAAAATAGGATGAAATTATATGTCTACACCTCACCCCCCTCTGCCTAATATTCGCATCATTGCCTAAAGGTAATTATTTATTCCTCGGGGATACGCCATCTTTCTTCTCCCACCTCCAAATCCCGTTACCCCCAACCCAGACCTACTCCGTCCCTCTACCCACTTGCCCGCACTCACCACGTGCACCACCGTCCCATACCCCCTATAGTACAGTTCCGCTCACGAAATCCGCTCGAGGGACATGCTTCGATATCAATGGCACGGGCTTCTGCTGCATGCCTCCTTGACAGATGGGATGTTTTGGATTTGGATTTGCGGAGGGGAGATCGGAGGCGTTTGGGAGGCTGGCGCAGGGGAGGTGGGTGAAGTATGACATTTGGGTATTCGAGAAGGAAAGAAAATATGGATATGTTAAGGTGGTTGAATTATGTCATGCAGATAGATGGATGGATGGTGGGTTTATGGGGTTGAGTGCAGAAGAAGGTGAAGTTGAGGTTAAAATGGAAGGAGGGTGAGTTGAGAATTTGCTGGTTCGCTGGGTTCTAGAAAAGGGGGTTAAGGGGTTCTTGTGAAATGTATTTATGTACCTATGTGTGAGTCTTAAACATGACCGAGTTCCACATGTTTGCTATTGTGAGAAGATTGATCGTCACAAGATGTACTTTGATGCTGTGCATATATGTATGTGCATATGCGCTGTACTATCTTGCGAGAGCTGTTAAACTGTTATGTTGTTTGTTAAACGGGTAACGAGTCTCGGTAGTGACTGAGGCGTCATGATCACGGGGTATATTCACTGTTCGTTCTTCATGCCCGGTCGAGTGCGGGAAAATAGCTGGATGCTCTGTCTAGCTAAAGTACCTCGATGAGTATTTCTCAATCCATTTAGATGACTTTGTGGTTCGTCAATTTTCTTTCTCTTCTTCTAAATTCGAGCACGCTGTCTGCCATATAAACAGTATTGCAATGAGCGTTAGTTTTCATGCAGCATGCATATGTTTGACATTTCATAGACCAAGACAGTATGTGCAACTTCCGTGGATTTGCAGACTTGATGACCGCTATAGAATAATTGGGTGGAATGTTCGATCCATGTCTTCTGAAAGTCGTCATCCAGAATGTCTGCCCTTAACGTTGTAGTAACATAACAATCGCTCGATAATAACTCCAGTCCCATGCAAATGCTTCTTGCCTATTCCTCATGTATGTATTAATACTTGTCTCCCTTCTCTCCCCTCAAGCGCTCCCCCTCCTCACAACATCCACTTCCTCTACCCCCCCAGCCTGCGCTCCCAACAACGCACTCTCCTCATCACCACCCTCGCCCTTCCCCTCCACCTCCACCTCCTTCTTCTGCACCGCCGCCCAAAGCGTACTCCCCCACCACAATCGCACCTCCAAACCAACTCCAAGCACTAGGCAACACGCCCCAAATCGCCCAATCAAAGCCCAGCGCAAAGATAACCTGCGTATACATCATACTAGTCGCCTTACTACTCTTATCCATCTGCAGCCCCGCCGTCAGCAAAAACTGCAACACAAAGCCCAGCACTCCCAGCAAGAGCAGTAAAACCCATTCCCGCGCCCCGCGCGGCATGCTGAAGCCGATTCCAGGGATAACGAGCAGTGCGATGGTGGAGCCGATTGTCCCGAGAATAGCAAAATAGTTCACGGACATGAGAGCGTGTGCTCTGTTGCCGATGATTCGTATCGTCGTGTAAGCACCGGACGCACCGATGACTCCAAGCAGAGAGACTACGATGGCGATGAGGCGTTGCGTGGACGTTACATCGTCGACGTCACCTGCTTTATCAGCATCGATGGCATCGGTCACGCGGCCGAAGATAAACTCTGGGTGGGCGATGAAAATCACACCGATCAGAGCGATGATGCCGGCGAGGAATTCGGCGCGCCGGAAACGCTGGCCGAGGAAGAGGGAGCAGGCCCATGCTGTGACGACGGGGACGAGGAAGCGGAAGACTGTTGCTTCTGCTAATGGCAGATAATGGACGGAATCTGAAGAGGTGTTAATATAGTTCTTGGGCGGTGGAGGGGGGATGGAGAAGTAGAATCTTGAATCTTACAATATAAACAGAACAGTCCTCCGAATCCAAAACAAGCTCGGAGTATAAGCCAGCCTCTGACTTTAGCGTTCCCGAAAGGGTAATCCGGCACAGATGTATACCACATATAGAGGTTACTGAGGATGAATGTCATACTCATGCGTGCTACTATTACCTATATATGAATCTGGTTAACAAAGTGCCTACAAAGAAGGGGTGAAAAAAAAGGGGGAACGAACTTGGAATGGATGCATGCCATGCCCGCCTTGCTGCAGAAACCGCACCATGGCATCCATAGAAGACCCAACCCATTCCGCAAGAATCACTAGGAACATGCCTTTATTGTCATTCCATACCGATCTCCAACCGCTCTGACTAGACTCCGTTGAAAGACTCTCATTTTCCTCATGGGGTATCTCGCTCTCATTCTCGTGCTCGTTATTGAGGGACATTTTTCATAAGATACAAGTTTTTAGGACTCCAAAGCGACAGTTGTGGTAATATATTTAACCAGATATTGGTGATTGGTAGAAGGTAAGATGGGTCAATAACGGTACATGAAACTTTTGCCAGATTTTATACTAAGCTAAACCCCACTTTCGCGGGGTGAATAAGCCCAGTCCACCTTCTATAATTAGCGGAAGTCAGCTGTAAACTTCGCTGCACATGTTAGCTTAGTGGCATTCATATAAAAGAAGTCATGGTCTTTTCCAAAGCCACTTGCTCAAATACAGGAATGGGATTTTAGAGCAATCGATGCACGTGACTCAACGCCCTTTTCCATAATCCTGTTTTTGAGGCGATCTGGGGACTGGACTCTGGTTGTAATATATATTTATTCATATGTATATAGTGAAAACTACGCTCTATTAGTCGCAACACTAGCCTTGGAATTTTGTACATATTGTAACAATTTCATTCCAACCCTTAAATCAGATACGAGATCAAATCAGCAAGGCTAACGACATCTCGTGCCTCACTATTATATGTCCAAACTGCAAATGTATAGCACAGATCAGAAGAACACTTGACTAAAGCAAATTCCCACACGCCGTTTCCCCCGGTACCATTAGGAGCACTTCCTGGTACAATTAAGACTTTCTGTTTCCACAAACGCCACATAAACCCACATCGCCAGCGTTGATATATTCTCCACCCTTACACGTTGCGCTATTACACTTCCAGGCATTGGGTACAAAATCTGGCTTGAGAACATTTGAGCAGACGGTACAGGTCAAAGACATGGGGTTGTTGATAACAGAGCAGACAGGACATGAAGCCTCGACGGGCGAGACTGATATTTTTGACATTATAGTTGGAGGGACGTTCTCTGTCAATTTGGGCTTTGATGAACTGCTGCCGCTACCCTGTCCGGTGTCCTGTAAGATGCGTTTTCCTATGGTCTTTGATGGTTTAGATCCTCGAGAGTTTGTCGACAGATCCGATGACTTGGTTGGTTTCGATGACTGGGGTATAGATGAGACAGCGGCTTTTGGCTGGGAATCCACCTTCGTAGACTGAGAAAGCTGTGCTTGACTATGCATGCTCTGCAGCTCCCTCAACTCATTCTTCACATTATCATCGTCCTTATCTTCATCATCGCAGACCCTGACCATGCCATGACCCTTGCTATCAACCAGACGCGAGCCATCAATATCAACAGCGTCATCCGGCTCAGCTTTAATGTGCACCTCGTCCTCGCTCTCCGTTTCGCTATCGGTGACAAGCTCCTCATCCTTGATTTGAGGCTCCTCTTTCTTCACCTCAAATCTAGCCAATGCAGCAGCAGCTCGAAGCTCTCTTCCCCGAGCACTGCCAGCTATCCTCGGCTTTCCAACTGGTTTCTTGCCGTTCTCGAGCTTGACCTTTACCTTATCATCTGCACCTAGCGTCGTGCCATTGACGCCAAACTTCTTCCTGATTCTGCGCTCCTTTTGCTCTTTGTATGTTATCTTCGGCTTGGCCTTCCGTTTCTTCCTACCGCGTGATTTAAAGGTACCGCCGCACATATGTTCCGGCAGGATCTCGCCCTCGTCGAGAGTATCTCTGGTGAACATGCCGTTTTCCAGTAGGACTCCTTTGCCCCAGAGTCCATCCCCAGTATAGTCCTTCGCCCATAGTTCTTTCATCTCGCTCGCATATCCGTTTCGGACTTTCCAGAATCCTGCCACAGGTGTCAGTGGCAATTAGCAAATAGGGAGTAACTCCTGTGGTACCAGGCCCATGATTCATCTCTTTACAATGTGCCAATTCATGCATCATAACCATCTGTACAAACTTGAAAGGGAGCCATCGTCCAGTCGAGGGGGACTTCAGTACAAGCTGAATGATCTCGCCATTGTTGAAATTCCGCCCTGGCACTAATCAGCAACAAAATCGCGATCTGATTGAGGTCATGTACCCCAGAACTCCAGGTTAGGCTCGTATTCTTCCAGAGATGCCACCGCCAGGTAATTTCTGTTCATGATTGGAAGACATTGTGCTGCAATGCGCTCCAGGTAGTCTTTCGATATAGCTTCGTCCGGGCCTGCGCGGGGTTTGATGAAGACGATGTTTTTGTTCGGCGTCGACTTCTTGTTATTGATTCTTTCCCAGCCTAGAGGCATCTTGACGTTCGCATACGTGGCATGAGTCTAGAAACTTCTGCGCAGAGTGTTGTGTGGGATAGAATGCCCTGGGTAGTTGGATGAATGACGAGGGAAAGGTCCGAGAGAAGAACACGCTAAGAGACTGTGTCGCGAAACCACGTGCTGGTTTTAATCTTGTAAAAATCCTCCATTAGCTTTTTCTGTTCTATATCATCTTATTGTTCGCAGAAACTTAATTCTCAGTTCTATCTGTATCTTGATGGTTATAAGTCCGGCAAAGCAACGCTCAAAGAAACTTCACTTCCATCCATCTGCCCACTCACTCCCAAGTCTCCCATGATTCACCCTCATCTGAGACTAGGAACAACACCAGGACGCTGTCGTACCAGATTCAGAAGCGGTAGAAACAGCTTCCTCTCCAAAACCTCGTCCTCTTCAGCCTCGCTCTCGACCTTTACCCAATCCATCAATTCCTCCCAGCTCACCCAATCCCAGCCCTCGCACTTCTCAGGCTCCAGAACTTGCGGCTCATCACTATCCTTCTCTCGCACACAAATCGTGAACATTGTGATATAATGCTTATTCTCCGCCGGCATATAATCGTTTGTCGCAGTTAGGAATTGGGCCGGAGAGATTTTAAGACCTGTCTCTTCCAGCGTTTCACGCGCAGCGCACTCCTCGGGCGTCTCGCCGAATTCTAGATGGCCGCCTGGTAGGGCATATGTCCCAGCGCCGTGGGAATTCATGCGCTTGCCCACCAAGAAGCGTGGGTTGTTGGCGAGTTCATTTGAGGATGCGAGGATGAAGACTCCTACGCCTACTCTGACCTGTGGATTTGCCATGAGTTGAGGCTCGAACGAGGGCTGGGCTGGATAGCGAAGGGGTTGGATAGGTAGGAGCGCCAAGGAAAGTCGTGGACGGTGTATAAGAAGTAATCTCGACCAATCAGAGAGCTGGAAAACAGCTATACTGGTGACTTTCGAAAAGTCGTGCAGATAAAGGCAGAGTCGGTAACCTGAATTTCTCTTTCTTCTGCTAATTTAACCTTGGAACTCCAACTCCAGACTGAGTTGTGTAGAAGGCGAAAGTGGCTAAAACGTGTCTCAGATATGCAAACGTTGCAGAAAAGACAGGCTCATTAGTAATGACCGAATCTCACCTCCCAGGTCGGGCATGCTTGGTGTAGGTCGCAACTGATTGTGTGATGCAGATGGAATTCTCGCCTCAAGGTAGAGAGTCCTCGCATCAAATCTTCAAGGTCGAATTCAGTTGTTCCTGAAGAAGTCTTCCTGGAACTTCTTCGGAGAAAGCTAGCTAGCTACTTCCATGCCTTTCTTCAACTCTTTGGCGGTAACGATAAGCGAGAGCCACACCTGGGTTGGTTCTCACATGAGACTCCTGGTAAGAAACTATTGACATGTTTTGTGAAGTTGAGCGGCAGAATGTAGAAGAGGAATTCGGTTGAGGACAATGCCGAAATATTACTCTTAAATACAGAGACTTTGAAACCCCAGGAAAGTTCCCTTAGAAAACCTCTATAGCTTCATTCAAAGATCCTAAAACGGTATTTCATGAAGTGTTATATAAATGTCAAAGTCATATCAATACGCATTCCACCCCGCGATAGCTTCGAGCTATGTAACCCGTCCCCACATAGTAACGCTACCTATCAACCCCCCACCCATGACCTATTACCCCATGCTCGACTTCCTCAAATAAAGTAAATACACATTCCCCCTTCAAAACAATCACTTTCTCCTCCTTTCCTCCCCTCTCATTATCCCCAAAAATGCCACCACCATTAAACACCCCCAAAAAGCCCTTCCACATCGCCGTCTGCGGTACGTCCCTCTTCACCCCTCCCCACCCCACTTTACCCCACCATCCCCACAAACTACCCCGCAAATCAACTAACATCTCAACAGGCGGAGGCATCGGCGGGCTCTGCACGACAATCGGCCTCCTACACCAAGGAATCTCATGCACACTCTATGAATCGGCGCCGGCATTCGCAGAAATCGGCGCCGGCGTCTCCATCGGCCCCAACGCACTGCGCGCCCTGACGCTGCTGGACCCGGGGCTTAGCGCGGGGTACGAGGCGATTGCGACAGGTAATGCTGATGAGAGCAAGCGGAGGTTTTGGTTTGAGTTTAATCTGGGGATGAAAGAGGGAGCGTGGGCGGAAAGCGGAAGGGGGTTAAAGGCGCCGGGAAAAGAGGGAGAGAGGATAGCGGGTGTGGAGTGCGGGGATAGGGGGCAGGAGAGTGTGCACCGGGCGCATTTTCTGGATGTTCTTGTGAAGAGGGTGCCGGAGGGGCTGGCGCGGTTTGGGAAGAGGGTGGAGAGGGTGGAGAGGGTTGGGGGGAAGATGGTGCTGGGGTTTGAGGATGGGAGCAGCGAGGAGGCGGACGCGGTTATTGGGTGTGATGGGGTGAAGAGCGTGACGAGGAGGATTTTGTTGGGGGAGGATAGCGAGGTGTTGAACCCGACGTTTTCGCATAAGTATGCGTATAGAGGTTTGGTGCCTATGGAGAAAGCTGTGGAGGCAGTAGGAGATGCGTTGGCTAGGAATGCGCAGCAGTACTTGGGCCATCACGGACATGTTCTAACGTTTCCGATAGAGAAGGGGAAAACAATGAATGTAGTTGCGTTTCAAAATAAAGACGGTGATTGGGAGGACGAACGATGGGTATTGCCAATGAAGAGGGAAGACATGATTAATGATTTTGCAGGTTGGGGAGAATCCGTGCAGAAAATACTTTCAGTGCGTTCTTAATCCGTCAGCTTCCACCGCATAATCATGCTGACAACTCTAGCTTATGGAAAACCCTGATATCTGGGCGTTGTTCGATCATCCCCCTGCCCCCACTTACTATAAAGGTCGTCTTGCGATACTAGGAGATGCAGCACATGCTTCAACACCACATCAAGGCGCTGGCGCCGGTCAAGCTATCGAAGACGCTTATATTCTCACTCATCTGCTCGGAAAGATAAACTGCGTAGAAGATATCGAGGATGCTTTTAGAGCATATGACCACGTCCGTCGACTTAGAACCCAAAAAGTTGTGGTCACAAGCCGAGAAGCTGCAAGACTTTATGAGTTCGAAGATGAAACCATTGGGACTGATCTGGATCTTTTGAAGAAGAATTTGGAGACGCGATATAGTTGGATATGGGACGAGGACCTCTTGCAGCAGTTGAAAACGGCGCAAGATATGATGGGACTAAAGTCCAATCTGTAGCATAGACAGATTTAATCGATCGAGTCATCTCTGAGGGCGAAAAGCTCCTTCAAGACTAGGTCTGTCTTGCTTCTAATGGCGTCGTGATACATGGAATTTGTAATGAATTGTTTGCAGTTCTTCACGAGCTTCGCAGTATCTTGAGCCAGGTCGTAGTCAACATACATATCGTCAATATACGTTGCTGAATAGAGGGGGACTTCATTCCTAGCGAGTTGTGACTCATCGTACAAGTCCGGCCATCCTGCATAGTTGGCGATGATATCTGCTACTTGGGCCAGTTTCTCAAGTTCCGGGAAGATGTCGAATAAAAAGGGGTAGATCATCTCGCCCGAGAAGTACAGTGGCCCATCACGGACAACTGATGCAGACTGAGGCGACCCCGCAAGCCATTGGAAGTTGGCCAGCCTTTTCCCCACTCGTTCGGCGGACCACTTGGAAGCTATTCCTTGGCAGTAGCAAGCTTCGTGCAAGATGGCGTAGATGACATTGTCGTCAAAGGTAAGTGCACTTTCGAGGGCTGAAAGCGTTGGGCGGGTTATGAATTGAAATTGCGAAAGGTCTGTGTTGCAACGAAGTATCAAATCATGCACTACGTCTAGTCCTCCATGAGCTCCAAATGCTCTTCCGAGAGTCAAAAGCCCACGAACTGTCAAGAAACCTCCAGAAGGAAGAGCTAGTCCACCCTTGCTTTTGATGTGAAAACAAAGGTTTTGAACAATCTCAACATCCTCGGGATATTTCTACAATCTCGGAGTCAGCACTTATTCGCCAAACCATAAGTAACGGTTCCCATAGAGCGAGAACCCCTAGACAAGCTTCAACATACCGTATAATAAGCCTTGTTGCGTTCAATAACCTTCTGAAAGGTAGCTTTATAGATTTGATCAATAGGCTTTCCAACAGGTGCCAATCCACCAGATGTAAAGGCTTCACGGAGGCCCTGAGGATAGAAACTCAGATAGGTTAATACACAGAAGCCACCGAAGCTTTGACCAAACACCGACCATTTCTTTAGCTCAATCGGGTATTCAGCAGTCAGTGTCTTTCTAACAGCTTCACAGTCTCTGACGATGCTGTCTGCTCGAAATAGCTTCAAGTAGTCGGCTTGTCTGTGTTTGTCGCCTTGGAGCGCTAGGGTTGCTGCGGAAATCGGCGTACTGAGGCCAGTACCTCGTTGATCAAGATAGAGCATTTGGTATCCTCGGTCTAGAATGGCGTTCGTGATCCATGAGTTTTGGGGAGGCGGACAGCCGAAACCAGGCCCTCCTTGCAAATAGACAAAGTACGGCTTTTGGGATTTCTTTCGAATGTCTTCTTCCGAGGGAACGGTGGCTGGTTTTTCCTGTCTGATGACTGATCGAGCAAATAATTGGATGGTGCCTCTTTCAGGATTTGCGTGGTCTTTTGGAACCTCAAAAATAAGTTCAGAGACCTTGAGTTTACCTAGATGGGGAGTCAGCAAGGTCCTTCGTAATAGAGTGGGATGAGATGAGATGAGATGAGGAGCCGAAATGAGTAACCAGCATATCTACTCATCACATTGCGATATGAAGCAACCTGATAAGTGTTTCCTTCTGTAGCTTGCTTTAACCCAAGTAAAGTATAAAAAATGCATGTTTGCAAGAGACTGTGAAAGCCTTACCCGGGATCAGATGGGACTTTGAGTTAAGCAGCCTTGCCGACGCCATATTATCGATTGCTCTACCTGACCCGTACCTTGAAGATGAATTCTAAGAGTGGATGAGTAGGAAATGTTTGCCGTAGACTCTGCCTTGAATCTTGTTGCAAGACATGGAAGTGGAATGAGGAAGTCGTGACAGCGTGACAACCGAGAAAGTTTTAAGTTGTCTGGAGATTTGCTGCTGTGCGCACACTCTTCCAACCATACTGTTACATCAGCCTTGACGCCCGACTCTACACAAACCGTGGCCGGATCTGCAAGATCAGGGATAGCGAGTACGTGTGAATTATTATTTGAGCCTCTCGGGTTCACTGAAATGATCAATAGCCAGTGCAAATTCATTATTTCATAGATCGCAACTCGCGAAACTCACAAGCAGAAGAACCAGCAACCACGACTTTGCTTGAGTCAATACCTTCACTTGAGATCACAGCCCAAGCAGGGCTTAGAAGCTCATTCTTTCAACTCACTATCCCTCTCATTGCTTCTTTCACCAATATCCTCACAATCAAAACACGTGACTGACCTGTGAAAGTCTCTCAGGGTCATCATCACGCATTACCCTCATTCCTCACCATGGCAAAAGACAAGAAAGGAAAAAGCGACGGCAAGAAAGCCAAGCTAGCAGAAAAGAAAGCCAAGCAAGAGAAGAAAGGCGAGAAGAAGGAGAAAGTCAGAGCCTCCAAGTCAGCCGACAGCGATGCTGAAGACGTGGATCTCGATGCCGTTCTAGCTGAATACGCCAAGAAGCAAGAGCAGTTCCTCAAAGTTACGGAAGCTCCGTGTGATCCGCCGAGGGCTAGGGCTTCTGCGACTCTGATAGCTTCACCTGCGAATGAGAATGAGCTTTTCCTGTTCGGAGGAGAGTATTTTAATGGGGCTCTGGCTACTTTCTTTAACGATCTGTATGTTTATATGATCAATCGGGATGAGTGGCGTTTGGTTACTTCGCCGAACACGCCGTTGCCTAGATCGGGACATGCGTGGTGTAGAGGTGGGAATGCGGGTGGGATTTACTTGTTTGGAGGAGAGTTTTCCAGTCCCAAGCAAGGCACGTTTTATCATTACAATGATGTAAGTCTCATCTCAAGATTCTGTATATTGTAAAAAGGTCTAATATTCCTGCAGTTCTGGCGCTTGGAGCCCTCGAATCGAGAATGGACACGCATAGAATGCAAAGGCAAAACACCGCCAGCCCGTAGCGGCCACCGCATGACCTACTACAAGAACTACATAATCCTCTTCGGCGGTTTCCAAGATACATCTCAACAGACCAAATACCTAGCTGATCTCTGGATCTACGACACGCAAAGCTTCCTCTGGCACCAACCAACCCTACCGCTCGCAAACCAGAAGCCAGACGCGAGGTCATCATTCTCGTTCCTGCCGCACGAAGCAGGAGCTGTGTTGTATGGAGGCTACTCGCGAGTCAAAACGACAGTCACGGGAAAGCAAATGAAAGGAGGCGGACAGGCGCAACGAAATATCCTGAAGCCCATGGTCCATCAAGACTGTTTCTTCCTCCGCATCACCCAGCCCACCACCGATGCACCTCCCACCGTCCGCTGGGAACGCCGCAAAAGACCTGCCAACATTCCCAATCCCCCACGAGCAGGAGCTACCATGGCTTACCATAAAGGCCGCGGCATCATGTTCGGCGGTGTGCACGATGTAGAGGAAAGCGAGGAGGGTATTGATAGCGAGTTCTTTAATGCATTGTTTGCATGGAATATTGAACGGAATAGGTATTTCCCGCTTGCGTTGCGCAAAGCGAGAGCGAAGAAACAGGTTGACACGAGGGGTGGCCGCAGGGGACGTGGACAGGCGAACGAGGAGGAGCTTCTAAGGAATCTGGCTGCGTTGCAGACGGGAAAGTCGCTAGCGGATGCGGAGGATATGGAGATCGATAAGCCAAAGGGGGAGGATGCCAATGCAAGCGAGTTGCCGGCTAAGGAGGTGTTGATGGAGTTTCCGCATCCGAGGTTCAATGCGCAGCTTACGGTGCAGGATGATGTGCTGTATGTGTACGGTGGCACGTACGAGAAAGGTGATGTGGAGTTTACGTTTGACGAGATGTATGCTGTGGATCTGGGGAAGTTGGATGGCGTGAAGCAGATCTTCCGCCGGGAGCCGGAGAACTGGCTTGGCAGTGACGACGAGGATGATAGTGAGGATGACGAAGATGAGGAGGATAGCGAGGAAGATGAGGATGAAGAGGGAGATGTCAAGATGGTTGATGAGAAACCGTTGTATACTGAGAGTACGAGGAAGTCGAAGAGGAAGGATAAAGCTGCCGCCGTCGACGATGCTGCTTCTGAAGCTACTAGTACACCGGATTTGTCTATTTTCGATGATACGCCCGATGATGCTACGGACGCTACAGCCCCAGATGACAATCTTCCTCATCCTCGCCCGTTCGAGTCAAGACGGGACTTCTTCCAGAGGACAGGCAATGAGTGGCAAGAAGTGCTCATGCAGGCTTTGAGGTGGAAGAGCATCCAGCCTGAGACGCTGTCTGTGAAGGAGATCAAGACAAGGGCATTCGAAATGTCCGAGGAGAAATGGTGGGATTGCAGGGAGGAGATCACAGCGTTGGAAGAGGAACAAGAAGCTTCTGGTATCGGAGAAGTTGTTACGCTTGCTGATCGGGGTGAAGCAGCTGGTGGTGTAGGGAGAAGACGTTAAATGTCTCCTATCAATCAAAAGTATTATTTTACAGCATAAGTAAGGCCATTTTGCCTGCCTTGACGGTTTCCATACCACATAAACCGGTCCCAAACCCCATTTCCATAACGCCCCTGTAATCGTCGCGAGCATCAAGCACCATACCTAGTAAAACATTCCTCCTGATGCGTATTCAAACACTCCAACGCACACACCTTCCCTCCACACCTCATACACCTAACCCTCCCCCAGTACCCACAAACCTCACAGAAAACCCTCACCGGCTTCCTTCTATCCTCCGCCGTCCAGGATCCCCTCGCCTCCTCATAACTCAGCGGCGGAGCACTCAACAGCTTCTCCAGCTCTGCTTGAGACGGCAAGCGGGGCATCCGGGAGACCAAAAGCGGGGAGTCGTCTTCGGAGTGCGGGACAGGGGGTTTCGAGGAGCCTTGTGAGAGGACGACGGAGGGCGCGTCGGGCATAGGTGTATCGGGCTCTATTTTTATAGGCTGTGGTGCAGCTGCTGAGACGCGGCGTAAGGGCGTAGGTGTTGAGACCGCAGACGGGTCTTTCTTCTTGTGGGAGCGCGTGCCTTTCGATGTGAGATTCGTAGATGCTGTTCGAGGCGTGGCTGCTGCTCGAGGGGTTGCGACGGCGGGGGTGGGTGGAGGAGCACTGGGGAGGGGCGTTGGGCCTAGGGCTTGGAAGTCGGTGAGGTGGTTGGAGAATGTCTTTTGGGACTGCAGGATCTTGCGGACGGCGGGGGTGGTGCCTTTGCCATGGCTTGCTATTCACGTATATATATCAGCAAAGGTTCTTTCTTTCTTCATCTTGAGTCGTGTAGATAGCTTGAGGAGATGAGAAGAGAGCCTACCTCGTCCAGCATTATCTCGATGCCGCACCGGTATCGGAATCGAGACATCTTTGTGGTTCTCTCGGTCTAGAACGGCCAGCTCTCGTAGGATCTTCGTCTCTTGTCTCGCGGTCGTCTCGTGCAGACTCGAGGCTGCTTGGTTGCGCGCGCGTTTGCGGGGTTGTAAGGCTGTGGTTGAGCCTTTGGCTCCTGTGTCTGCTACATAGGCCCAGCCTGGAGCTGGTGCAACTGTCGAGTTTGCGACTTCTAGGACGCCGAAGTTCATTTTGGTGTCATAAAATCATAAAGTCGTTGTGAGGGAAAGTTGGTTGTAGGAGAGTCGCGGGTGGTTGGAAGAGGCGAGGCTACAAAATTTATGCGGTTCGGCAAGAAGGCTCTATGAGGCTTTTGATTTGGACATGGGAGTTGTGCAGTATCAAATAACAAGGGATTTGAAATATATTTTCAATACTACAGCGCGAATGAAGCGATTTGATATATTTTGTACAGCGTAACATCCTTCCTTCAACTGGAGATTTGCATTAACATGCCACCAAAACCAAAGCTGCCCTCCCCGAATTCCAGCCAATGTTTTCGAACAGATGCCATCATCCCATAGAAGCCCCATCCATATCCGTAATAGCATTATGTCCTGCCCGGTCAAGATCCTACTAAGACATATTCCTCATCCATCCCTTCATTTCTTCTTCCTCTCCAACTCAGCGAGCTTCTCCTCCAAGCTCTGCACGTACGAATGCACGCGCTGAACGGACGATTGTAGGGTCTGTAAACACATTGATTAGCCCTCTGTCCATAAGAACCCGTACATATCATCGCAGAGCCTAAGATCTCCGGGATCTCAGAATCCATCTCCAACCTTCCCCGCAGTAAGAGCACAGCGAGAAGGGCAAATAAACGTAGCAACGCACATAGATATCCTCTGTCAAGAGCTCATTCGACACCTTATACTCCTCCAAGACATAATAGTAGACACCCGCGCCTGCGAGCGTGCTTCCTAGAAGGAAGCCCATTAAGCTGTATTCACGTACAGTTAGTCTCTATCCATCAAATTACACAGAGAATAGTCGAGGGGGAAGCGCACCCTCCACGGAAAGCACCGTATGGTTTCCGGACAGGTAGTGGTGTTGCGACATCTGCCAGTCTTGCGGGGGAGCTGTGGAAGCTGCGGAGGGCCAGGGAAGGGGTGGATGTAGAGATGGCGCGGGTACTGCGGAGAGTTGGGGTAAGGATTCGTGATGCCATTGTTGAGGTTGATATATGGCGATTGGTTAAATTGAGTGCAATGGGAATATGGAAGCTGCGTGGTTCGAGGCGTGATCTGGGTTGCTCGGGTTTTGGTTTGTTGTTGCTCGGCACTTTATTGGAGGGATAGCTTCCCCGGATATTTCGAGGAGGCGAAATTTACTCAGACATGACAGGGGTTCGAAAATGGCTGCATCAATCGGAACATTCAATTACATATCAGTCAAAAGTGATACGATGGTTTTATTTAGGGACTGGTATCAATTTCAATTCCTCATGTTAGAAAGACGCCCAGAAAAACAGTAGCATTCATTATCCGTGGCAAATTCATGAACCTAGAATAACCTTTTGCAATATTGACATGCCCCAATGACCGTCAATTGCACGCATAGTAGATAGTACAGATGGAAAGGAAATATGCCAAAACGACTATCTAAAGCTCGTCATGAGTCTCCTCACCAGCAGCTGCCGAAGAAGCTTCACTGGCCGCGCTCTTGACAGCCTCCGTAGCCTCTTCACCAGCACTCTTCGCAGCCTCGGTAGCAGCCGCAGCTTGCTCAGCCATTGACTCGACAATTGGCTTCTGGGCCTCGGCGCTCTCATCGTAGGTAACCTCAGCCGCATGCTTGCCGTCCTCCTTGATGAACTTGATCAGATCCTCAATGCTACGGCTTCCGCTGTATGTCACTGGGTTCTTCTTGTCACCAGCCTTGTAGAGCTTGAGGGTTGGGAATCCTTGGATCTCATCTGGAACATCGTTGGCGGTGGCGTCAACTTTGGCAATGGTAACCTTATCGGCGAGACCAGCATCAACATATAGGCCAGCGAGGATATCATACTTGGGAGCAAGAGCCTTGCAATGTCCACACCATGGTGCATAAAACTCAACCAATACATCCTTGGTGTTATCCAAGACAATGTCATCGTAGTTCTTGGCAACAATGATTTGGACAGGGCCTTCCTGCTTCTCTGGGATTGGCTCAGACTTGATGCTTGGCTCGATCTTGCCGGCAGCATATTGGTCTACGAACTTAGCAATTGCTGCCTCGGTGATCTCAGCCTCCTGATCGTACGGGTACTTCTTGTTGCTAACGGTGTCTTGGATGGCGAAGGCGGGGAATTTATCGGCCTTGAGGTTCAAGTTGCCAGCGTGAGCACCGAACGACTTAGCATCGATGGTAGCAAAGCTGATGGCTCCACGGTGCTTCTCAGCAACGGTCTTCAGGAGAGCAGAGAGGGTACTACGCTCCTCCTCGGTTTCGGCGAAAATATAAGCCAATGGGATGCCAGTGGCCATGTATCCAGCGTAAGTCTCAGGGCCAACCTCGCCAATCAAGGGGATGGAGGCAGTCTTGGCGAATTGCTCGATAGCTTCTGCGTCGAAAGTCTTGGTGAAAATGCTCTTGCCCTCATCAAATGACTTGTAGAGAACGACTGATGGGAAGGTGACTTCCTCGGACTTGGCCAACGCAGCGTCGCTGCTAGCACCGAAGAGATAATTGTCACGGAGCTTCTCGGCAACCTCAGAAAATGTCTTATTTGACTCCTTGTCGGTAGGCTCGAAGTATGCAACCAAAACAACCTTATCTTGTGTCTTGAAGTCTTCCAGGGTGTCCTTGGATAGGACAGAAACGGCAGGGAGGGATTGCTTAGTCATGTACGAGACAATCCTGCAGATTACTGATTAACGCATGTTTCAATTGAAGTATGGAGAGCTTGGTGCTTACGCTGGTGCTTTTCTTTGACCTGCGTATGGGGTTATGTTCTCTGGGCCACGGAAGACCTTCAAGGTTGGGTAACCTTCAACACCATAGCTCTGGCAGAGGTCGGCCTCTTCTGTGCAATCAATCTTCGCGAGCTTGATGTTTTTCTCCTTTAATGTGGTGGCGGCTTCCTCGTACTCGGGGGCAAGAGCTTTGCAGTGTCCGCTATTGAATATTAGTAATCTGTAACTGAACAGGTGGCTTGGGGGCAAACTCACCACCATGGCTATAATGAAGAATCCGACATTAGTAAAGTGAAAAATATTTGCGGAATCAATAGAAACATACTGCGTAGACTAGAAACATAGTGTGTTAGCAGTAAGCTCTAGATTGAATTTGCGCTGAACTGGGGGGCGACTTACATTCTGCTAGAACCAAGTCATTGTCTGCGACAAAATCGGGGAAGGAATTCTTGGTGAGGATTTCGACGTCTGAAGCTGAGGCGACGGCAGCAAGGGCAGCGCCAAAGGCGAGAGTCTTGAATGTCCGCATTATACCGATGTTAGAATAAAGGGCCTGTATATCAAAGGGTTAGAGAGCTTTATTTTGCAAGAGCGCTGGTGTTTGTTTTTGACAGAATGTGGAAATAGAAGAAGCTGGAGGACATGCGAGAGATGTATATAATATAACGTACCTTGGGAATTGTTGGTGGAGGAAGAGGTGGGCTATGAAAGAAGGCGGATGTGGAAGAGGAGATGTGGTGTCTTTGTTGTATGGCGGCTTGGAGAGAATCCCTGTCGTCCGCCGCTAAATTTATCACTGATGCCCCCTGCAGGTGGCGCTGATTACCAGACCAGATTAGCCGTTTCGGGCATACGATAAGAGAGAACAGAGTGTCTTCAAAAGCTGGCGCTACCTTAAAGAGATGCGCCTTGTCGAGGCTCAGCTCATGGAATTATCGAATGTGTCACGTTTGCTTTGTAAACATAGATTATTTCCTCTTATAATTTTGCAAAACTATCGAGTACAACTTGCGCACCTTGGATTCTCAAACTCTTCCCCTAAATTCACATCCAAAAGGACAACATGCTCTTTTACAGCTCCCTTGTACGAAGTATCACAAGACCGTCGCCCAAAACGATCTTACCACCACCGGTAGAGGAATGTCCGATATCAATGTAGCACGCGGCTGATGTGATGCATGGGCATTTTATATCAAAACCCTCTATTCCTCACAGAGGCAATCGTGTCAACGCCAAGGCTCCGAGTCTCAATGACTGCTCCTGGCATCTGGATGAACTGGAAGGTTTTGGTAACACATAATCTGACAATCGCAGCCACCCTATAACCTTTTTCGTGTTCTGTACTTTTGCTCTCATAGTAATCAAGAAATCAAATTAACTGTCGGCGCTTATACTTGGGCCCTCTCTCATAATCCTTCAAGATGATGGATTACCCAGTGGCAATATCAAGTTGCTAAGCCACTGTGATCTATGTCTCAATACGTACAGTAAGAGAAATGGAAGCATGATGCTTCATATGTACCGCAGACCGTCTTTATACCATGGGAACATACAGCGTAAGGATTCGAGATGATGATTGAATCCAAGTGAGAAGGAGCACTGTTTTAGCTTCCTTCGTCCGGTTGTAAAGTTTCGAGGTTCATCCCCAGGTTTACAACTGAGTTCTCAGCTCTCATGGAAGTTTGTTCTAACAAGCTTAGTCCGGCCTCATTCAGGAGATGATTCTTTTGCCCAAATAATAAACAGCGAGAAACAGGTTCTCCACATTACAAATCAGAGTAGAAATCAGCGAAGAAAAGACACGAGCCAAAGCTTGCAGTTGAATAACGAAGCACTTGAAGTCATTCTGCTTCATTTCAAGTACTCTGAGGAATCTCAAGAGCAATGTATGGGGTATTTGCGCCCAAAGCAGAGAAGCAGACGAAAGCACGTGTAAGATGGTATTGTCTGGTGATATGCAGCAAAATCACAAAAGCAGTGAGACAAACGCTTCTCTATGCAAATCCAAATTCATCATTCACCTAGTTTCACAAAGACGAGTGTTAGAGCTATGTCGAAAATGAAGGGGTTTGGCGACGCGCCGAAGCGAGAGGTCGCGACTTCCCCATGGATATATACCTAGCCCAGGTAGGTACTTCTAAAGTGCGCCTGCCACCTTCACCTCAAAGGCTGCGACGTGCAGTCGTTCCTTCTTTCTCTGTTCTTCTCAGTCTCCAGATGACTTCCCAACATCTGACTGACTGACCGCACCCGCAACTACAACCGCATGGGACGAGTTGCTTCATTCTACCCCTTCAGACGGTCCTCATTTTCTATCCAAAATCTCTTGGCCTTGTCCAAGAGTCATAGCATGGATAATGGACGCTCTTGCGGGTCCTAACGCTTTGAGGAACCGCGATCGAGTGCCCAGCAGCAGCAATACTACCTCGACAGGCTCCACGGTCATTCGTCGACCCGCCAGTCAGCGAGATGTGCGTGATGGTGCTTCCATTGGACAGGCAGAGACTCAGTCTCCTGCCAATATTCCAAGGGCATTTGAGGGCATGCTGAGGAATTCAACCGAGACTGGAGATATCGGGATATTCTCCATCAAACCCTCACGCCTACCGCCATCTCTTAACACTTCACGTCGCGTCACGAGCTGCAACAAACCTGGAATGCCGCGTCAGAGCTTCCAGCCTTATGGAGTACCAGCTGGCATGGACGACAGGAGACGTCTGCCATCCTACAACCGAGATACCACATCAGAGTTGATCTCCATGTATGAAGGCCCCAGCCGAAATTCAAGTCGGCTCTTCGAGGAGCCCGACTATAGATCATATTCCATGACCCAAGCATCCTCACAGACTCTCTCCAATCACCGGTCATACACAAGCCTTCGGAGTCAGCCTGAGGGCAATGCCCTTCTGCAGCGGCCCAGATCCCCCTTTGCGTATCCAACGCGTCTTCGCAGGCCCGGATTTCGACCATCTTCCCCAGCATTAACAGACGGAGGCGGGGTTGATTACAAACGCCGTGCTGAGATCGATCGAACGCCATATGTAAGTGTTTCATAGACCAAGGTCATCTCTCACGTCTTGGTTGCCCTACCATAATATAGTCTGTCATATTTACAACCCCGATGAGTACGTGCTGCTAGCTTATGGTTGCTGACCTTCAATGTTAAGGGAAGCCACAATACATCTTCGCCATCGTCTCTATATGCCCACAAGCGAGTTCCTCCTCCTTTATCCACGCGCCCTGAATTTAACAGGTCGACACCTTCACTCTTGAACCAGGCATCGCCAACAAGACGTTCCTGCAGTCCACTTGTCCATCCAACCAATATAAATTCAAGTATTGATTACCCTCGGAGGAATGGCCCAGCATCTATTAATACATCTCCTGCGCGAAGCACCTTCAGTCTCACATCTACTGTAAATCTTCGCCCGGGAAATCAGCCCGCATCAACCACTACAACCCCAGGGAAAGTCTCGACTCCCCTGTACTATGATTATACCGAAGAATTCGATATTCAAGATTACAGTCCACCAAGGACAAGAGAGCCACCACCTCAATTTCAAATCGAGACAACAATTGACGAGGGCCGGCCCACGGCTATGGAACATCTAATATCTGCCAATTCTAATTCTAGCAAAGAAATACGAAGCTGCGGCGATGGCCATCGAACATCATCATCAGCAGAATCGAACCAGCAAAGACCTACTGAAGCTATTCCGGGGTTGGAACCAGGCTTTGTGAATAGCCAAAGTCAATGGCCGGTCAGAAAGGCGAGCCTTCCTTCGCCAAGCCCAAACAAGCAAGCCTCTGTCAAACAAGGTCAGTTTCAAGATGATAAGCTGATGAAGGAAAGTTTCCGGATTTCAAAGATGGGTTCTGGGGCCCAGGAACTAAACAGTCACGTTGCGGAAGTATTTGGCCTTCCACTATCCGAATCATTTGTGCTGATGGGCCCCAAGAAGACTGAACCCACTGAGTCAGGCGGTCAAGTTGATGGAGCTTCTACTACACGGCTGGATATAGGACGCTATATCCAGCAATCTTCGCAGAGCTCACATCTAGAGCCATCGATGTCCAGGGATTCTCATGAAGCCCAAGAGATTTCACCCTTCGATGATGTTGCTCATAGCAAAAGAGAAAGGGACATAGAACATAATAGCATGAACCAAGACAGCTCCGATAATCCAGCGAGGCTATCTACATCTCAGCCCTCCATAATTGACTCTGGACGACGTCGGCGGAATGACAAGGAAAAGAGGGCTTCGTCTCTTGATTTCACTTCTGCCCGTACAAAACGTCCAAGATCGAGTGGCTTTAACTCAGTCGATACAGGTCTCACTGAGCTTGCGGAACTCATATCGAATTTGGAAAACGCGGTTAGAACAGAAAGTCCCGAAAACAAAGTCGACGTTGCAGCTGGACCATCCTGGCAGAACACTGGGCCTTTACCAACTATTCCGGGCCCACGTATGTTGTTAAGAGCATCTTCTGGCCGTGATTCAGCATCTTCAACGTCAGCCCTCGATGAACAGCGACACGATAATTCTAGGGCGAATACTGAGCGTCAAGGATTAAAGCAAATTCCTCTAGAACGCGGGCGAAGACCAAACGTAGAGCAAGATTGCGAAATGGGAGATATGCCAAACTTCAGCCATCAGATCTCAAGGAGAGTTTCCCCCCGTACTAGATCTCCCATACTGGCACCAAAGCCTATTTCACCTGCGAGGCAAATGAAATTAAAGAACAGTGTTCCGCAGCTCATGAAAGCCCTTCCCCCGCTTCCACCATATCCGTCAATTCAAGCTGTCTCTCCATCTGAACGCATGACACCTGAGCACGGTCTACCTTTCCACCTCTGCACACCTCACACAGGACACGAAGGTGCACAGACTGGTGATCTTCCTTCTGTCCCAGAGCCAAATATGTCTTCAGAGTCTACACCTCAACAACGCGATTGGATGACGACTCTTGGAAGTGCGAAATCTCTCCCGACCATACCTTGCGAGAAGAAAAGGTCTGAGGAAAATTCGGCATTACCTCCATCGCCACCTAGAATGAAGCTTAAGGTTCGTAGCACTGCTTTAGGATCAGAGTCTGCGAGCTCAGAAGAGAATCCCCTCAAGCTAGACCAGAGCCACCGAGCGGATCAAGACGGGAAGCCAAGAGGCATCAATCTGCCAAAATTCAAGCTGAGAATCACCAGAGCTTCAAACTCATCGCAGGGGACAGTAAGAATCAATAGAGAATCCAGGGACTTGAAACGTCTCGCTGGCCTCCGGAACCCAAAAGACTTTTTCACTCCTCCTGCTGGAATCGACAACATTCTTCGTCAAGTTAGTCGGCAGATTCATACCCGGAAATCAAGTGGGAATAGTAGTCATGGCACAACAGGAAGTGATTCAGCAGCAATCTCAAACCAGAGTTCTGCAAATGAAGACGGGCCTGAAAGTGTCACATCGGCTCAGCTTCCAAAGACCAACCAATTAAATCCATCAGATGTGCGTAGCTTCTTCTCGGATGCAAGCTCAAATATGCAAGGTCGTCACTCTTTGCGGAAAAGGCTATCCAACTTCAGGGCTCGTATTGGAGTTCCATACTCATCAAGAGCTGTTGCTCAATCCCTTGAGGACATTTCTTTAAGGGGTCAAATCAGTCCAGAGGTCCCCAGATCCCCCGTTTCTCGTTCTGTCCCAGATTTGCGAGGCAGGCAGTCCAGCAGCGCGGAGGATCCACCTCTGCGAAACTCGACAGGTCGGCAAATGCGGCGGAATTTGAGGGAGAAGCTATTACGATGGCTCAAAGAGACACGATCGGCAATCGCCGCTCGTGTGAGACCACGAACATTCGCTGCGGAGGAAAGATGATGATAAAGTGTAGTTCAGTGAAGAATAAGGATGGCCCAGATGAGCAGATTGTGTTGCTGCACTATGTTGGCTTTGAGGTCATTGGTATTGCGATGAAGTGTTCTCTGATTTTTAATTCGCTATTTTGGTCATGTTAATAGAGCCTTAGCTTTGTGGGGTACATGGTGCTAGGAATTGATGGGTGGTAGATACAGTACCAGAGCTAACTTAGCGGGCGATGCGGTCCCAGGGTTCTAGATGGCTAGAACATAACAATCAAAATTTCTTTACATCATCGTCAGCTTTTGAATTGAGAAGCTTGGGGTTTGCTCATTTGAGCAGACGGTAAAGTTGAGTGCTAGCAAGCTGGAGGACCCCGAGCACATTGTGATTGCAGAAAACGGTAGGCATGCTTCACTTCTTCAAACGACTTCCGAGGCATTGTATCGACTCGAAAAAAATAGAATCTAACATTATTATCTGGATCTTGGAACTAATAGGTCCCAACATCCCTAGACCTCAGAGAAGCTACCACTATGTAAGCGTTTAGACCAATTGACAGCGGCATGAGCATGTACCCAAAGAGGTACTCGCTGTACGGAGTTTGCCAGCAAATAGTAGTGTATATGTAAATAATAATGGGGCTTATGATGGGGAAACACGGGTCCCCACATTCTGGAAGATGCCTGGAAGGACGGCGCTGGATCGATTTTCTGAAGTTAGGTAGGTGTTCAAGGAGATGGTGATGAATGATGGACGGATAGATGGATGGATGACGGGGTACATATAGTTTGATGGTATAGTGAGTAGTCATGGAACTAGGGGCGTGGAGGATTGTATGAGATGTAGAAGACCCATAGTGATCAATAAACTCTTATACAAAATACTGAAATTCGAATTGAAACTTCTTGTTACGCTCCAGACACTTACGTCCATTTGCATCGAACCTAGTGTTCCACCTGCAAAGTGTATTCTTCATTGAGTTCTCAGAATCTTGACATATTACCACCATACCAAGCTCGCCTTATACCGCAACCATGCGTACATCGACGTTGAAATGTTCTAAATCACCAAGACGCGACATCTTGGAAAAAGCAGTTGAAAATATCTCATGTGTAGATTTCGCCGATGCACCAGTAGCTTCGTCTGCTTATACAACAATGGTAGACGGGTACCCAAGACCAGCTGTGACCGTCAACGAGCTGTCACAGCTATCGATAACGGGCACGCCATCGAGAAGACCGTCAGTATTGAGATTCAGTCCGTCCAGGAATCGTTCTAGAGGGACTTCGTCTGGAAGCGATACGCAGGAACCGAGCACCGGTGAGGCTGCCGCCAGTCCCAAGACTATATTCCATGCTACGTCTTGGGGCACGAAGAGGATATCTGTGCAGGTTCCTGAAGATGCTATCGACGACGAGAACCAAGACAGTCCTCCTCCTTCGCCTGCTAGTGATGGCCCAGAGCGTCGAGCATCGCTGCTGAGACGGTGTTCGGATTGGTTTTTGAAGAGGGATACCTGTCAGGTCATGGAAGGTGTCGAAGGACTAGAGTGGACTTGTGAACGCAACGACCGGCCCGTTACAGATGTGAGTGCTCCTAACCTATAGAAGGTGTATAATTAAACAACAACCATACAAAGATGATACTAAAATCGCCATAGCAGTGCCAGAACACGAAAGCTCTCTACGAGGAGCAAGAATAAATCCGCGCAGACCACCTTCGAAGCATTGGTTTCACAAAGCCACTGAACTATTCGCAATAGTCGCAGAAAGTTCAACGAACTTGGCTTGGCTATTCGTTTTTCGTAGACTCTAGAATACAGCTCCCCCGATTATGAAGACTCTTTCTTCCTCGCGCTTTACCCATTGAATGACTTTGTTTGCGCCATGGGTGAGGCCTGCCCGCGATGTATTCGGGCCGGCTATGCAGTAGAATTCGAACAGGGGGGTTGTCCACACTAGAGAGTTACTGTCGCGGGCGACGCAGTGGAGGACTTTGACGTGAGAATGCTTTGCGTGTGTTGAGGCATGAAGGTTATGATATAAGCTCATCAGTCTGGTATCAATTGTTAGTGGATGGAGTTGTGTTATTTTATAGTATAATTGGACGATTTAAACGAAAAGATGATATGAACTTACTTCCGCCGCGCAAGAGGACTGCTGAAATCGGGGGAGAGCGATGGCATCATGAACTGAACATTTGCACGTGACTTGTAGAGGAAATGCCGTAACTGCGTCCCTGGCACAATGTCTGCTGTACTCGGTCGTCCCTGCCGCACAGCAGCTTTGATGATACCCATACTCCCATTGCTTTCCAATTGTGCGACTACGTCGTCTCGCATCTGCTTGAGCTCGTAAAAACTTTCCTTGTCGGTGCTGATCAGAAGGATTGCTATTTCATCTTCTGGGCTGCTTCCTGCGGTTGAAGGCCTTTGGTCGGATGACGATTCCTCGCCATCGTGAGCATTTATAAAGCTCACGTACATGTACAAATATCCTGTTTTGTTGAAACCAGGAAGGCATACGGGGATCCAATTTTCGCCTCCACCAGCCTTTACACTTCCAGCTTCAAACAACATGTTGAAGATCAGCGACAAATCACTGGGATGGAGTGAATGGCGCTTTGGTCTGATGACGCTGACGAGTCTCCCGCCAGCGACGACCAGGCCATAGAGAAGCTTCTCGGTTCGTGCTTTTAGAAGTGTATTGTTGATGGTGTGACGCTGTGATTTCCGGATCTTCAAGCATTCCAAAGCGGACAGGAGGGCTGATGGAGATCCTTTCGTGAAAGTATCTGCAAGAGATGATAGTAAAGTCTCGGTGCCTTCCAGAGGTCTGCGAAGATCAGTATTTGGCCGATTCGTGAACAGCTGGGTTAGAGTCGGTAAGGTCAATGTAGATAGAATTTGCATATACAAAGCCTCCAACTGAGCCCGAAGCTGGGAATCGCTTTCTCCAAGCTTGCTTATAGCTACGAAATAGAGAGGTCCTTCTATCAGTACCACAAATCTTGTACCGCCGGCAGTAAATCCCATCAAGGGATCCTTCGCGTCTTGGAAGAAAGAAATGATGGTCTGAATGATTCCAATATAGCCGTTGATGAGATTCTGGTCACCATGTCTGCTGTAAATAGGCTTGCCCGCTGATGACAGGATCAGATAATGCTTGAGCTTTGCTTTCCATAGTAGCAAGACTTGCTCTGAGATGAAATATCAGCATGCTAGTCTACGTATTAGGAAATAACCCACCTTCATTACCACCTTTACTATCCACAGCCTCTACTTCGTCGAATTCTTGGTCAAAATTAAGCAATGCATTATCTTCGTAGTCGATTGTCTCAAATAGGTTAACATTATCTGCTTGAGAACTGAGTAGCTTCCATGCTGGGCTTTGCGAATTGAGACCCTCATCTAACAGACTCGCAAGATCACCATTTGCCCTGAGTGTCGGCGTATAACTCATCAAACTTGTACTATCGTCGAATTCGCTCCCATTTTGGCTGACTTTCCTGCTTGATGGGGTGCTTGTTCCGCCAGATATCCCATGCCCCGCCTCTGATACCGATCGACTCCCTGGCGTTGGGAATGTCCCTCTCGATCCATCTGGGAAGGAGAGAGTCTGTATATCTACAGAGGAGACCGCAGTGGTAGGTTTCGATTGGAGAGCAGGTCGTTTTCTTGGAGATAGTGGGGTAGTTGGGCGGTCCCCGAGGAGTGAGGGTCTTGGAGGAAGAGCAGGCCGTTGTTCGTGCCCTTCAAGAGTTGTTCCATCGTCTTCCTGGGGTGTGATGGTTGCCATGGATTCGTCCGAGTCTGCATGTGTTCTATGCTTGGGAGCTTCGTTCTCGCCATCATATGTCATTGTTGCAGTAATTCCATCCTCCTTCGCAGCCGTCGCCGTTGGCGCTGTATCAATTGGCGCGTATAGTCGGTCATGAGAATGAGATTTGCGTTGATCCGAAGAGTGTCTCATGAAGTCCCAGCAGGGAGAGGAGAAGAATTCGGGGGCTGAAGATATTCTGCCCTTCTATATATTGTCGTCGACAGGGGGTGCTAGAGCTTGGCTTAGCGAACCTCAAAAGAAGTCCTACGCAAAGAGGCCACGCCATGCAAGACACCAACTACTTTCCTACAATTCTACAGAAATAAAAGTAGAGACTCGACATGCTTTGGATTTCTGCATCTGCGACGCCCTGCAAAAACCATGGCCCCCCTTGAGGCGAGCTCCAGGCGGCAATCTGTGTCCCCTACCAGCTCCGGGAGGGCATCCCCAATACCAACATCTAGAAAATGGACGACAGGTAGAGCTCTAAGCATTGCTTTGTAAGGTTCCTTTTAGAATACTAATGTCCAGTATTAGATGAACCTCTACATAAAGACAAAGCCTACCGCAGATATGCGTCTGGGGTCGACCGTTCCCTGTCGTTGTTCGACACGGCCCTTCAGGAATGGGCGGATTACATTTCATTTCTGGGCCGCTTATTGAAGGTTTGTCGCTTTAATATGTTTCTTGGAATGAAGTTATTGATTTTCCCTAATAGTCTCTCCAAGCACATCCTACAACCACTGTTGCAGTTCCGTCCAAAGCAATAGTCGCAAAGCGTCTGGCTCAGTGCTTGAATCCCTCCCTCCCCTCCGGCGTACACCAGAAGGCTCTCGAAGTTTACGCATACATATTCTCAATGATTGGAAATGATGCTCTTTCTAGAGATTTGCCCCTCTATCTTCCTGGGCTTTCATCTACGCTCTCGTTCGCATCCCTTTCCGTCCGAACCCCATTCCTGGACCTCCTCGAGAAATACCTCCTCAAACTCGATGGACGAGCGCTTCGTCCTGCCTTGAAAGCTATCATTCTTTCCTTGCTACCAGGACTAGAAGAAGAAACAAGTGAGGACTTTGAGCGGACCTTGAAGCTCCTAGACGGATTCAAGCACGCTGTCAGACCTGCAAACGGAGAGGAGCTCGAGGAAAACCATAACAGTGGTGATGGATACTTTTGGCAGTGCTTCTTTCTGGCAGCTATAACTAGCAATGGACGCCGTCTTGGTGCACTGGCATATATGGTTCGCAGTCTGCCGAAACTTGGTCAGCCTACCCCCTACAACGCATCAACCAATACTGCCAATGGATCGCATAACGGGGAAGGGGCTTCAAGTTCTGCACGCTTGTCTGAATTGGTAACGTCTCCTGAGCCAGGACTGCTTTTGAGATGTTTTGCTGCAGGCCTAGCCGACGAACAATTGTTGATTCAGCGAGGGTTTCTTGACCTGCTTGTAACGCATTTACCGCTACACGCTCACGTTCTACAAAATCGCGTCAAGACGGAAGATCTGGAACTTCTGATAATGGCTGCTGCTGGAGTAGTCGCCCGGAGAGAGATGAGCCTCAACAGACGACTGTGGACATGGCTTCTAGGCCCTGAGCCTGTTGGTAACGAGAACGAAGGTGGGCCAGACTCTCCGACATCTGTGACCGGAGATCCTTTGGAAGCACAGTCAGCATTGAGAACACGCTACTTTGAAGAATATGGATTGCGGCACTTGACAAAAGCCTTGCTAAAAATGATTGAACGAGAGGCTACAAATCCGGTCGACAGAGCGCGGCCTTTCCGAATCTGCCTTTCTCTCATGGATAGGTGGGAAATTGGGGGCCTTGTGGTCCCTACAATATTTTTGCCTATTGTGAATAGCGTTCGGACGTACAAAGCCCAGGCGCCTACAAAAAATGATTTTTCCGAAGTCCTTCGGAGTGCGAGCGTCTTCTTTGATGGGGTTGAGAGTGGTCTGATTTGGGGGGAGATTGTGGGATTAATCGCCCAAGCCATTGGGACCGGGAAAATTGCAGTCTCGGAGAGGATTGACAAGCTGACATTGGTCAATTTCACCATTGCCCATTTTAATGTGCGGGAAGAGGAAATGCTCGTGATACACGCCCCTTTAACAACTCTAACTATATTGGCTATGCTAGGGGACGCAAAGGCAAAGGCAGGGACCCAGCCAGGTGACGCCAATACCTCTGAGGACGTGTCGAGACTAGCTTTGAATACTGCGATGGATCTCATCGAACTGATTCCAGAGCGAGCTTTTCAAACACGGCCGTCGACGAGCCAGTCTGTCGCTACCACCCACGATGAGGAGGCGACGCGAAATTCAACTGATGTTGAGATGCTTCACACCATCAAGAACTTTTACACTCAAGATCAAGGAAACCTCGATGCTGTCTCGCCCCCTTTTTCTTCACGCGATGTTTGTGAGCTTCTCTTGAGGGAAGCCGGCAGCATTACAAGTCATAGCTTGTCTAGTCCAGTGTCAAGTGCTGATGCTGGAATGAAAACCAAGCTTTTAGTTTTGATGCTCGCAAAAGTCCCTAAAGTTGAAAGTCTAGATGTTGCACATATGCTTTCAGCCATGCACAGTAAATTAGCTGTGCCTTCTCAGCTCCAGTTCGTAGACTTCACTTCCATCACCTCTCTTGCAACTACCCTTTATTCAGCAGCATACATTTCGGCGGCAGACCTATCGAGCCTTGTAGGTCCTCTAGTGCGGTTAGCTTGGTCATACTTGTCGGCTTCGCAGCCAAAATATCATGTGGAGACAGTTCGAGGCCTTTGGCAACTACAAACCAGTCTGTCCCTCTCAAATCGAGAGGTTGAAGCTGCGATCTGCTCTCTAATGGTGGAAAATGATATCAATGGTACATTCGCAAATCGCAATGCAGACTCCGGCCGGATCTTTAGTATTCTTTGGACTCATACACTTCAAGATAACTCTGGCAATCTGGATCGCAGAGCATCAAAGCCGTCTAATGGCGAAACTAAGCGTCCAGCCCGTGTGTCTGGGATCGGAAATTATGAATTGATGCTCACCAGGCCTTTATTCATACTGTTGGACGCACTCCTTGACGAGCAGACGCAGCTCTTTATGACGGTAAGAACATGGCTCCAAAGCCTTGTTGGTATTGACAAGTGAGTCACCTTTTGAAATATTGAGATTCAATATGCTAACTAATCTGAGGCTGTTCCATATCTTCGTCTCAAAATTCTCTGGCTTTGACTTCCTTCAGACGATATCGGTACATGGTTCTCATTCCTTGGGGGAAGACGCACGCAGATACACCGACGACGACGATTTAGACCAGTGCCTGTACTACCTTCAAACTTTATCGAATATTTTGCGGTGGTCATCCGAGAATATGTGGGCGGCTCTGGCTGAAAACACAATTTCTACTGACCCAAGTGATGCTTCATTGCATCGTATAAGTGTGTTATCCCAATATTATTACTTATAAGCGTTTCTAATGACATATTTAGCTGGCAACGACGGGGAAATAACACTTCTCGAATTCTTTTTGCATGTCTGTCTCCGAGCAATATCTGGAACCTATGATCTAGAAAACGCCGAATTAAAACCTCGCGTTAGTCAACTCTATCGGACAGCCTTGACGACCCTCAATCGGATTCTCCTGAGCCCATATTCTCTGCAACTTGCCGAACTGCAATTGGAGCATGTTTTGATTGAGCGTTTGACTCAATCACTGGATTGGCCAGACCCTTACATTCAGGTTTTACTACTGGATGTGGTTTATGGTACTCTTAAAATTAGGAATGCATCGACACCCGTCGCGGCGCCGTTGTCCCCATCCACGGAGCACAAGCGATCCCTCACTCAAGATAGACCTCAAAGCTCCCGACTTTCATTGACTATGGATCGTGGGGAACAGATCCCTTCTTCGAGACTTCCTCCTCCTCCAGCGTCGCTGATAAATTGTCTCCTAGCAGGCTTTGCTGCTCCCAGTAGTCGGCCAGTCCTCGACAGCTGGGTCAGCTTCCTTACGGAATGTTTGCCCTTCTACTCCGAGACTATTTTCCAAATTATCATTCCTCTTGTGGAAACGCTTTGTTCCCAGATTGGGCACACGTTTGAGAATTTGCAGGTAACATTTAAAGAACCTGGTCTGCATGCCCAAGGCACTACTGCTCCTGAGACAACCCTTATTTCTCTATTGAACGGACTTGAACACGTTCTAGCCAGAGGCCATGACCGTTTGCTTCGGGATGAGCTCAGGGCTCCTGTGTTCAAGAGCCCAGAACAAGGTCAGGGCTTTTTCGGTAACATGGTGTCCAATGTATTCACATCCGAAGCTCCTCAAACGAGGAGCGCTACTGCCAACAACCGTCTCACAGTATTGCTCTCATTTCAGGATGCAGTGCGCATATGTTTTCTCATATGGACATGGGGAGGACATGATGGGACTCTTCAAGACGCAGACTCTTCCGCTTCTTTCACCTATACATCTTTACGGATGAGAAACCGTGCTCGAAGGTTGCTTGAGCATCTCTTTGCAGCCGAAGCTCTCGAATGTTTAGAGACTGTTGTGGAAGTGTGGCAGAAGTCGTCCAATAATGATGCTGATTCGCGATCGCCGGTCGTCTTCAATCTCCTCCATGTACTTGATGGTTCAAGACCCAAGCACACAATTCCCGCTATCTTCAACGCTATATACAGTCGTACGAATCCATCTGCTCTGGACCCAGCTCGAAAATCAACGTTGACTTCGTCCCTCAATGATACAGATCTGGTAATATTCTTAGTTGAATATGCTCGTTCCTTGGAGGACGATGCTATGGATGAAATCTGGACCGACTGTATGACATTTCTGAAGGATCTATTAACAAACCCGTTCCCTCATAGACAAACTTTACCTAGTCTGCTTGAATTTGCAGCCATACTTGGTGAAAAGGTTGACAATACCAACTTCGGTGAGCAGCGAAAGATGCGAAGAGATCTAGGTGTAAGTTGAAAGATGTCTGATCGGGACACACCAAGCTAATATTACTAGGACCTTTTTCTCCGACTGCTCACTGCAATATTCACAACAAGACCGATGGGATTCTTAGAGAGCGGCGCGGAAAACGATGATCCTGCTTCACCCCGACCAAGATCATTAGCAAGATCTAACGATGTTGTTGGTATCCTAGCATCCATAGCCCCCAACCTCCCTAAAATCCTTGTGGAGCCCGATCGTATTCTCTCGGCAGCAAACACAATCTCCAACAGTGTTATCGGTCCAACTTTCAAATCCAAATCGTTCCCTGATAACGTCTCGAAAAGCACGTTAGAATTATTGTATCAATTGACTAGACTTACAAATACCCAGAAGGCTTGGAGGAAAGACTTAGGCGATGCCTTCAACGATACGAGGTTCTTTGGCAACTCAGTCTCCCTCGTTGAGAGTGATTGGCTTCCATTACTGAAGCAATGGACCCTGAGTGACAAAGAAAGAATGCCGGAAATATTGTCGCGCATTGTGCCTCCTAGCACAGCGGGGATAGTTTTCGGTGTTGGTGCCACATCAGCCAGGCTTGAAGCCGATCGAAAGACGCAACTAAACCTGCGCCGGGTCGCAACCCTTGTTCTAGCCACTATGGACGATAATTTTGTGACGGATCTATCAACCATGCAAGAGAAAATCGTCGAACTTCTGGCCGCAACTACAACCACATCTCCATCTTCAAATACTCGAGCAGATATATATCTCCTGCTTCGTGCATTATGTCTCAAGACATCGGCTGTGCATCTGGCCACTCTATGGCCCATAGTCAATGCTGAGCTCCACGCAGCCATTGCTTCGGTCGTATCGCCAGATCACAGCGCCGCCTCCGAGACCTTCAACAACACCTGTGTTTTGCAGGCATGCAAGCTTTTGGATACATTAATATGCATCGCACCCGACGACTTCCAGCTTCACGAATGGCTCTTCATAACCGATACAATCGACGCTGTCTACCGACCAGCAAACTTTCACCCTGTCTCTCTCGTCGACGAACTATCTGAAGAACTAGGCTCCACAGCCTTAGCTTCCGCAATACAGACAGAAACCTCAGCTATGCAAGCATCGAAGAGCTCTACCCGACGACCACTGATAGGGCCAGGCGGTATCAGTGATGAGGGGCCTTGGGAGAGGAAAGATGAGCTGGTAGGGAAGGTGTTGAGGCCATTCTTTTCGCAGTTGAGCATTTTTGCGTTTGAGAGTACGTACTCAATGGGGGCACCGGATTTGGGGGCTTGTAAGTCGGCACTTTTGGCGGATTTGTTTGATGAGAGGAGCATTGTTAAGGCATTGTAGGTGGGGGATCAGGGATGGGGGATGGGGTTGGTAGGTAATGATTTGATATCCCATGTTTTGAGTGTACGATATGACGTGATTGCGTGTAAGACAAGGTAGAAGCGTGCGAGTGTAGAACGCGAAGCTTGTTCTCTGATATTTAGACCTATCATATGTATGGCATTCGAATTTATGCTTCTCACAGCTCATTAGAGTGAAGGTTACTTTGAAGAGAGCTGAAAATTCCGAATGCATTGGACTGCTTTGGAAAATGGTAACTTTACAGCTAAGCCTTTGCAATCGGCTCAAATCTAATCTGATCTGACTGAAAATACTTCATAGTCTCTTGTCCTTCAGTCCCAAACATGAAGACGTGGCAATGTGAATTTGCTTGTTAGGCTTTGTATTTCCCCGCTTATCATCGAAGCTCCTCAATTATGGTGTTCTGCCAATTTTGCAGCTAATGCTGGCCTGCCTCAGGACAAACAGACGATGTGCAACAAAAATGTTTCCCCTCGACTTTGTTTCCTCCTGAGGCTTCAAGGCATGATATATACCCACTTCCCGTCCACCTTTGCTAAAAGCCAATGTACTGTACCGCATTCGAATTGGGTCGTGCTCAAGCAACAGCGGGAACGTAAGCTACAAGAGCTTTACTAGCTCCCTCCATGCAGTACTGCACAACCTCGACTTTCTTTCCCTTAGGTGCTAATCGCGCGATCTGCTTCAGATTACTTGTCCTTGGTAGGAAGAGCGCAGAATCCATCCCCTCGCAAGCTGTGTGGATGTCTTTGATGGAATATGGCAACATTGTCTTCAGGTTGAAGACTCCATCTAATGAGTAATTTGGGCCGCCCCAGGGAGGCGAGGCGAAGATGACGGTTTTCGAGCGGTCGATTGAGGTTTGGTTTTGCTTGAGATATGAGAATGAGTCGTCGTTGATCCAGGTGATTTGGTCTGCAACGCCGTAGATGCGTGCATTATTTTGTGCGCAGGCTATTACCGAGGCCTCTTTCTCGATGGCTATGATAGCAGACCATCGGTTTGAGAGCGCGAATGCGATTGCATTTCCGCCTGCGCCAGCGAATATGTCTATTATCACGGTCTTTGACGAGGGTGTACTGGCCACGAGATCACTGGCTATCTGTCTAATGAAATGTTAGAAATAATTGACAGTCATTCCCAATGCCGGAACTTACCTCGCAACAGGCTCAGGAGTGACACCGAACCAGGCATCGTCTGTCATGTGTATTCCTTCATCATACAAAGAGAATATGCTGTACCGCTGCTCCCAATATCTAAATCGAGGTTAGCTTAGCTCGTTCATTTTAGACTTGTACGTACTTCTGAATGTCCCAGGGAACATCAGCTCGGCGCTGGTAATGATGGCAGTCGTCTGTCAGAGAAAAGCTCTTTGACTCTAGAGTGGGGCTAGAATCTACGCCGTTCATGTTGAAATCCTCTTCTGGCTGTCTCGCCATATTTGGATCTTCCGTTGGAGGCTGAATAGCCTCTCTAGGGGGTATATTGAGTTTTGGTATTGTACTCGTTTCTCCTCCGGCAGGAATCGAATCTTTGGGCAAACGCTCCGAGAAAGAGGGATGTATTTGTTGGTGGTGCTCTGGAGATGCTTCTGCTACTCTGGAAAGATTGCGATCTGATGAAAGGAGAGCTCCTGCACTGCTTCGGTGCGAGTTCTTAGAAAGCGCTTGAATCACACGCCGTGTGCTTTTCCCGCCCCTTGATCTTGTTTTAATCTTGCTTTGGTGACCTAAGAGCACGCCTTTCAACTTGGCTTGTCTTCTAAAGGCCTTGGGGGTAATCGCTTCTCCGGTGTATCTTAGCTGCCTTTCCTTTTGCCAATTTATAGGCAAGCTCCAATGAAGTACTTTCTTGGGTTTCTTTGATTTGGATCTTGGACTTGCGGTTGTTTCGCGTTTGGTCAAATTACTGTCCGTTAGCTCCGGGGCTTCGGTGCTGTCACAAGTCACGGGTATCTACGAGTGATCTTGTTTCGATATATCAACGTTCCCTCGCTTGCGAATTTCGATATCGGATACGACTTGAGTATCTTCTGGTCTTCTTATACGTGGTTCACTTGATCTGATGATGACTTGTACTTTCGAAGACTCAGATCGTAACGCTGAATTTTGACTAGCAGTCCGTGTTCTCTTGGCGACGGAGTCTTCAACGTTTCTGAATTCCGGTCGATCGATTCCAGCTGTTTCCAACGAAAGCTCTATTTCCCGTTCCTGATGGCTAATTTTTGGTTTGCGAGGCTGTTCCAAAAAGTTTGCATGTGATGATGACTGCGCTGTCATGAAACTATATGCTGGACAACTAAAATAAATAATCTGTCACAGACGGAAAGACTTGGGAAAGAAAGAGAAACACTCTTCTGTGACGGCGATGGACCAAACGCAGCTCCAGCCCGATCTTACACGGGTCGATCAGACTTGAAGATACTCTGCGTAGAAAAGTTAACAGGGACTCATGACTAGACCAAGAACGTTGAAAGAGATAAATTACATACCACACCCATTAAACAACTGTAGATCCCATCATCCCGCTTGCTTGTTAGATAGTAGAGGAAAAGGCTGAAGGGAAGATGGTTTAGTCCACTCGCTTGAAATTTGAAGCTTGGACCAACAAGGCTGACTTGCCAGATCGCTGCTCCAACAACAACAAACACTCCTACCCTTTAGAAAGCCAATCACGCATTTGATGATCTTGCGGATTTGCTGGAACTATGTTCAACGCACTCAACCGGTTTATTTCCCGCCTGGACTCGGATTCTCCAACCCAGAATTCCACCCATGGAGCTTTTGGTTTCCAAGTGCTACGCAACAAGTCTCCAGAGCTCGGAATTGAGCCTTGGTTTGACTTCATAGTTGGGATCAATGGGAGAATGATCGTATTTATGCCTATTCTATGTGCTGATTCAAGTTCTAACATGGTTAGGATGACTCGGACCCGACTTTGTTTGGTCAGGAAGTTCGCAACTGTGCTGGTAGTACAGTAACCCTTGGGATCTGGAGCGCGAAGGCAAGATGGAACTGATCTAAAGCTCTGAAATACACGCTAATCGTGTATGTGTATACAGGGCCAAAAGACAAGAACCCTTCACATTCCCATTTCTGCCAACCAACCATCACTTGGTCTCGCCCTGCAATGGACTTCGCTTTCCGCAGTAACCAACATTTGGCATATTCTCGACGTACCAGCCAACTCACCAGCCGATCTCGCAGGTCTTCTACCATATAGCGACTACATTCTAGGCACACCTGAAGGAGTCTTGCACGGCGAGAGTGGTCTTGGGGAGCTAGTCGAGGACCATATCGGACGACCTCTACGCCTATACGTGTACAATAACGAATACAATGTCACCCGAGAAGTTACAATCCATCCCAGCAGAGATTGGGGCGGAGAGGGGGCTTTGGGATGTGTATTGGGATATGGAGCTCTTCACAGACTACCTGCACCGCTCAGTGAGCCCCTTGCTGGGCCCGGAGAGACGCTGTTCGAGACAGAGAATGCACGATTCTCAAATGAAGAGCCTAGAACACTTTCTGGAATCGGGGGCGGTGACATTTTTGTCCCAGCAGCCACTTCTGATCCTTCAGAACTGCTAATTCCAGCACAGTTGGCCGCGGGTCCTCCAAGAGCTACGACTCCGGCTAAGAAAAAGGAGAGGAAGTATGGGCATAGTCCTAATAATGGGTTGGATGATTATTTCATGGAGGGGGAGAAGAAGAGTAGAGAGCTGGATCATGCGCCGGGCGCAAAGAGCACGCCTCCACCACCACCTCCCAAAGCTGGTGGTCCGCCCAAGGCTGGGGGACCCCCTAAGGCGGCAGTCGTGGAGGAGACAGCAACAGCAGATGCAAATGATAGTGGTGTAGATTAGGACATCCGATGTTTGAATACCTGGGGTTATTTGATTGGCTTGAATTACAGTTCCCAAAATGCTTGATTCCATTTGCGAACGCCATTTGTGACTTTTGTTATTTATACATTCTCTCGGTGGCCCAGATGCCACGCCCGTGATGTTATACATATCTAGTTGATGAAGTTGACACAGAAGAAATGTAGAATCAAACTGCCAAAAACGTAGTCTGCAAACGCCCTATTGAAAATCTGTCAGCGTAACATGCTCTCATCATTGGTATCATTTCCTTACCTCTCAGGAGAAACCTCCCCAAACTCCGCCTTATTCTCAGCATTTGTCTGTATCCGCAACGAGGCTATGACGGTTAGTCTCACTCCTTCCATCCTATCTCAAAACACAACCACACTCACCTGTCAAAACAAACTGTCCCACCGTCGCCGAGAAGCCAGAGAGGAAAGCATTGAACGGCTAAAAGGAAACATAGTCAGCACAACTACTTAATACCACATGTCTAATCCAAGACTAGAGTTTCGGACTAAGCAGAAGGAAGGGGACATACGTAATTCCCAGCAATAACACAATACACAAATTGCAGCACGCCGACTACAACCAAAAAGCTCATGAACACATCAATCAGCTTCGTCCGCTGCGGTGTCTTGTCCAGATAGTTCTCCCATATGCCTAGTGCGATTTCCTGCGGGCTCTGGTTGCCTGCTTTCTTGCTGGGGATGGGGACGGAGGGGCTGCTGAATTGTGTGGTTGTTGTGGTGGAGGAGGAAGGAGTGGACTCGCGGGCTGAGCGTTTCGGTGCCATTGTTGATTGTATAGAGGACTGACTTGGTTTGGAGTTTGGAATTGGAATTTGGTTTGGTATAGTACTTGGAGCTGTGAGGCCACGAAGCTTGATGCAGGGTATAGCGCCAAGGATTTCTAGGGCGGAGACAGCCCTTCCGCGCCGCCCGCCGAGGTTGAGGGGAGGGGGTGGTACAAGGCTAAGGAGCTTGCTTTAATCGAGGGAAGTACGGGGGCCATTCTGTCTTCAATTACCTAGGTACATTTACAGGTTCAACACTAAACTGAAATTTACCCGTGAAGCTTCTTCTCAATTGCAAAGATGGCAAGTCACTCTATGCACGCAGAACTATATTCGTGCTCTTATGGGATACTGAGCTAATGTCATCATTATAGGGCATCGAAACTTCAGCATATATCATCGGCGCTCTCACGGCAGGAGGTGGAACATTTGGATATGTCAAGACGGGTTCACTTCCCTCAGTTATCGCCGGCGTGACTGTTGGCACATTGGTATACCCATCCACCGCTCCTACTCAAGCTTCTAGGTACCGGTATGCTGACGATCAATTACCAGTATTTGCTTGGCGGTTACCGCATTCAAAATAAGCAGTCCTATGGTGTTGAGCTCGCGCTTCTTGCTTCGATTGTCCTGGCTGGTTCTTCGATCCCGAGAGCGCTTCGGAGCCGTAAACAATTGCCGACTGGATTGAGTGTTTTGGCGTTGTATGGACTTTATACGTATGGCAGGGCTTGGTATGCTAAGCTGTGAGGTTGTGGGGATTAGGAGGGGTGCGGTTTCTAGTAATGGATGGATTGGATGTTCGTATGGGACTGGAAGAAATAATGTAGGTGCGGTTGCTCTGACATAGCTTCTTGAGCTTCTGGGTGCTATAGCTTCTGGTCTTCCACATAAAAGCACAGGCGGGAATTACTATTTGATCGATTCGACCTTGCCTTGCAATTGCACTCCTTATTTAAGGTGATTTTCTCTTCGACGCAGGTGTGATAGCCATCAACTCCCTATTGTACATTCCAGGTACTCTCCCGGCTTTGTGGCGTGAGGTCTTGGTGAAATTCTGCCCAGTATCCCAACACCAGTATAACACCCTCCTATAACTCCTCAAAACATCGTCCACAGCTCTTCGTATACCACACACCAATGTCCTCCCTCACTCATGAGTTAGCGTCAATCTCAGCCCACTTCGCCCTCATCTCCTGGTTCTTGACCTTCGCAGCCTCCCGATTCTTCCTCGTTCGCTCGAGTCGTTGGGCTCGCAGACACAGGTTGACTTGTGTCTTTGCATCGTTGCACATTCCCACTGATTTCCAGAGGAAGCCTCGTGCGTGGCACTCGTCGAGGATTGTCATGACTTCCTCGCATGCTGTGGCGTGTTAGCTGCGGCTTTTGTAATCTATATTCGAGCAATTACTGACCCGTATTGTCTTTTGTATGCAAGTGGGGATGCATGTTGAAGAATTGAAGGTGTCTTCACTCTACAGCTTGATTGAGGTCGGTGGATGTTGTCTGAAGTTTTCTGATGTTTGGTGGAGTTGATCGATTTAGAGCGCGCACCATTATTCGGCAAGCGGAACTACCCGCTACATTTTCCAAAGCTCTACCAGCTCTCAAGACAACTTCACAACATCTTCCAGAACCCAACCATGACGCAACAAGTCTCCCAGAAGAAGCAACAAGGTCAGATCCTCTCTGAATGTACGATTGCATGCGCTAACTTCCTTGACAGAGCTGCAGCAGCAGTACGAGATCTACAAAAATGGCCTTCAACAGATAGCCTCGAAAATCGGCGACGTCGAGACGGAAGCAGAGGAACATAGGTTCGTCTCAGATCTCCCTCCTACTACAGTCTAAAAACCGTTGGCTCTGTTTTCAACGGCACAGATGTTAAGGTTTCCACTACGAAGAAAAAAGCTATAATAAGCTCCAAACTCACCGCCGGCAACGCCATGCTGACCGCTCTTGTACATAGACTTGTGCTGGATACTCTCGAACCCCTTCCTGTCGATAGAAAATGCTTCCGCATGATCAATGGAGTCTTGGTGGAGCGGACGGTGAAGGATGTTGTGCCGGCGCTGAAGACGAATTCGGAGGGGCTGAAGAAGGTGTTGGAGGAGCTGATGAAGCAATACCGGTCCAAGCAGAGTGAGATGGACACTTGGAAGAAGAAGCACAATATTCAGGGCAAGTTCTATCTTTTTCTTGAACATGTTTTGAGACTTGTCATGAGATCTGTCTTGAGAATTCCGCTCTCAGCTGCTCCACCATATCCTAGAACCCACACTAACCTGCGTATAGTTGTCTCTCAATAGAAGTTTTGATCACGGGGTTTGGGAAGCTATGGTTCCCATGCCATAGTGGGTTTATGACAAGCTGCATGGAAATCAACGGAGTCTTGGTGTTACGTCAATGGCATGTAGAAAAATGCGGAGTTTGGAGTGCAAGGCAGGTCAAATCAAACGTCATCTATCGTGTCGTGTTCTACTCTACTGCCGGGGAAGTGAAACTCAATATCCGGGAGGTAGTTGCAAGTACAGTTATCTTCCCTTCTAAAATAGATGGCAAGGCGAGGCAAGACAAGGCCATACTTCCGAATATTCTGGAATTGATGAGGTGTCACGTCCAGGAAGTGAGGCGGCTTTGACATGATTCGAGGGCGCTTCTTTGCGTCTGCAAAGCCCTATCAGCCTCGCTGCTGCCCAACATGACGTTGAAGGCCACCAGCTCCCGAAATCCGCAAACGCGGCAGTCTTCGCTGGCATAAATAGGGATAGGTAGGTACCAGGCTTGAACTTGCATGCAGGACACTAATTTCTGGAGGGGTTGCACGCCTTGGATTTCCTCGTGGGGGGAAGTTCGCCAACATCAGCCACCATGTATAAGTTCTCTGTTGTACAAGTAGATTGCACCTGGCCTTTCAGGGGGAGTGAAACGCCATTCGAGAACAGTATATCCAAATGCATGCATTGCCGTTAAACCTGTCCGCCAAGGACAGGGTCAAGAAGAAAAGAAAAGAAAACGAAGCGCGAATAATCCTTCGGACCATGTCATGGGATAGGGTGATCAAGATGCCATTATTTGAGCCGGAAAGGGTTTAGCGGGTGCTCTCGAGGCCATGTCGTGAGTTCATTGGCTGCCTAAAGCCATTTACCCGCCAGTGACAGCTTGCGACTTCTACTATTATTCCCTTCGCAGACTGCCAACCAGCCAGTCAACTCCCCACCTGACTTTGACGATTTCTCATTCGTTTGCCGTTGATAATAATCCAAACCAAAGCAAACCTTCCAAGCCAAGGTACGTACCTGGATTGGACTGACTGGCTGGACAGAGATACCTACCTACTCAGGGCATCGGCATCTATTCCCATCCCATTCCATCCCCATCCCATCACCCATTCCTCCACTCACACACCGCTGCTGCTCACCTTGCGCCGCGTGCCTGTCGCACGAGCCCGTTCAGCTGCAGACCGCCCGCCTAGCCTTACCTACTGCTCCGATTCTATTTGTTTTGACAAACACCGTCAAACCAATTACTGGCCGCCCGCAGTCGCAGTATTTGCATCCTCGGAACCTGTCGCGCAACTCAACAACGCGACCCCCAAAGCCTCGCCATCATAAACCCCACACGCAGCGTGTGCAGCCTCAGCCTCTCCTGCAGACTACGCCATCCAGATCCAGATATCCCAATTCCAGGGCTTCGTTGTGCTGCTTCAGCCCTGAAAATCTTCCGGTAGGTCGACAATCAAGCAATCAATGTACTCTTGATGGTTGTTTGGAATTGACCCGCATATGCAGGCCCGCGCCGCATCGCATCTACGGTCCCCCTCCCTCGAACACCACCCCCTCCCTTCACCCACCCCTACCCCCCCAGCGCAAACTCATCACCAGAGCTGCATTAGTTCGGCGTCATACTCTACCTCGAGGGATCTTCCACCGCCCGCAGCATTAACTCGTAAATCCGCCTTACTACTGCTGCGACGTGGCAAGTTGACCAAGCATTTTCCGCAAATCTGCCCCTCCTAGGTGCAAGAATCCGGACTTATAATGAGTTCGAGCCCGAAAGAAAATCAGGATGTTGTCCCACAAGGCGACGGGGCTCAATCGCCAGCCGACGAAAACATGGACATTCCTGGCGGGTTAGTGACGGCTACTTGCTGCAAAAGTACTTGAAGCTAATGTTTGTGTTCTCTCCAGATACGAATTCGAGGCGAGTACATCTCAAATCATCGCGGGTACTTGCTGTTCGTGTACAGCAAGCTAATTCTTCCTTCCCATACAGGTCAAAGAGCAGGACCGATGGCTTCCAATTGCGAATGGTTAGTCTTAAACCCCCTCCCCGAATTGCACGCAAATATATTCTCCGTAGGTTGAAGGTTGCCGTGAGTGGCATCGCTTCAACTTTCGTGCCCATTGCAAGCGCGTGTTCTACAGCCAGTCGTTGAGCTCGGAGCGCAAACGATTGATATCTTGTTGTACTACTATTGTCACACATTCTATCATGTCCCACGCTTCCTCGTCATCTTCTCCGGAGGCACCTCGCGCTTCTAAAGCTGGGAAACATGAGTACTCAGATGCTAACATAAGGAACTTCGCACCAGTTGCTAGAATTATGAAAACAGCCCTCCCAGAGAATGCGAAGATTGCAAAGGAAGCAAAAGAATGCATGCAAGAATGCGTCAGCGAGTTTATATCATTCATCACAAGCGAAGGTTCGTCCCGTCCCGAATTATAAGACAGCTGGTTTGCAATTGCTGATTGTCCAATCACAGCCTCCGAGAAATGCCACCAAGAAAAGCGGAAGACGGTCAACGGCGAGGACATTTTGTTTGCAATGACCTCCCTTGGATTTGAGAATTACGCCGAAGCACTAAAGATATACTTATCGAAGTACCGTGAAGTAAGTGCTATACATGCCATATCAGCTACTACCGAGCGTTCGGTCCCATGACGATAGCGAATCAGAGCTGACCTACTGAAACAGACCCAATCCACAAGAGGCGAGAATCGACCCGGCAGTCAAGGGTATGGATCAACAGCACCTGGTGCTCCTGGCGGGGCCCCCAATGCAACCCCATCGACAACGTTTCAAGGCGGCGCAGAGGGTACCAACAACATCCTCGGTGGTCCGACAGCCGAAGGTAGTGAACACGACACCGGCTTTCACGGAAGCCTGTATGGAGGCCCAGTCCCCAGCGGGCACAACGGCGCGACGGGTGGCGATGGCTATTGAGGATCTGGGAGTTGATTTGAGCAAAGGCATGGGCGTATGACGGTGTTACGGCGAAGGTAACGATGATTGGATGGGTATGATCACGGGGTATTGATATTTGGATTTATCTTCTTTGGGTGTATTGACTACCGGGTATGTTTCCAGGACTGGGCTTGGTCTTGGACGGGGAAAGCAGGCAGGGGCTGGCTCTGTACCTGGGGCCGTGCATGATTCATACACACAGGTTTAAAAGTATGGCGGAGCTTGTTGCTTTTAGATTTCTTTGCTCCTTTGTGCAGTATTCAGTCGCCTGAGACTCGCTCTCAAGATCTAAATGATCACATGATCAGCAGCAACAGATGTAGGAAGGATACAGTCCACAAAATACTTGTTAATAATAGGATTATACGTCGTAATTATATCCTATTGGGGCGTACGGAATGTGAGTTTTCAGCAATAAGAATCATTTCGGCATTGCAGGTGCATCATTTGTTGTCTTCGATGGCAATTAAATAATCATCGGTCTATAGAAAGGGCTTGGCGGTGTCTTTCTCGGTATTCAACATTTCAGCTAATTCGTCACTTCTTCACTCACTCGGACAAAAGTACTATGGGCATTTAACAGCAGGCAACTAGTTTTCACCCGGAGCATATAGTCTTCAAGAATTGGATGATATGTCAAGATTGTCAAAACTATTCATGTTTCTATCTATCAGAATCGCCTTTTATCAATTTCCATGACACTATCAACCTCCTTTCCCCGACTCTAAGTCTCTCTTATCCAGAGCTATACCTATTCCTATACCGCATATTTCTACGCCCATGTTAGCAGATGAAACGCTTATTCGAATCGCACTATTGAAAAAAAAGAGAAAAGAAGAAAAAGACTTACGGCTCAATACACTGGCATCCTACCAACCCAAAATATAAGCCCAATTGTTTATACAGAAAGACTTTCGATAAAACTTACCGGGTACCCGACACAGGTAGTGCAGCTTTTCTGTTCACAGCATTTGTAGACTGTAGCAATGGCAGAGGGGGGAAGGGGCCGATGAAGAGGACGGTGAGGGTTTGTAAACGCATTTTGAAGTTTTGTTGGAAGTTTTGTTAGGTTGCGAAGGGTGGTATGGGTTGAAGTCCTTGCTGGATGATACGAGTAGAAGACTTGGCGATTCACTCTTTATATATATGTGAATATTTCTTCGCTACAGACTCGTATCTAGGTCAATAACTATATAATCCTCCTAAATGAAAAGTCCCGTACAAGTAAAATCACAGTCTATTTTTGATACTGTTCTTGCGGGGGTATAGGATGCGCTATGAAGTAGAGGATATACTTCGTGGGAAGCGCTACCATATGATGTAGAATCCATATGTTTGAGGCTAAGTAATAGATTATAAGAAATAAGGTATAATATATTACAAAAAGATTATATCGTTAAATTGACTAGTTAAGAGAGTAATTAGGTAACTAGATGTTGAATACATAGTTAGGTAGTGCAGACCCACTTAAAACTTTCAAGGTTAGTGTTGGTGGGGGTAGGCACGTGCAGATATCCCCCAAAAATTTACTTTTATGATATGTTTCAAATCTTCGATAGCATCGCACACCACGGTGACGATCACTCGCATTTGTACCACTCTACACCACTCTTAGGAAGCTCCGACCTCAAGATCCATGATATATACACTTTTTGCCTAAGCTAGCGACATCTCGCCATCGCGGTCGCGTCCATGGTATCCCTCGTTCCCCTGGTTCAGGCCCAGCGCTCAGCGCCTACACCAACCTCGAAACCCAGCAAACCCCTCCTCCGCCGCACAACACTAGCGGGAACTATACGCAAACGCGATGATGCAGGTCTAGACGATGACTTTTTATTAGCACCTCCGAGTCCGAATAAGAGAGCTCGCGTCACCTTCAATCCGACAGTCGAGGAGAAGATCATGGATGAATACAGCGTGAAAGGGCGGAGTTTAGAGCTGATACGCTCGGAGACTAGGAGGGCGATAGAAGCACATAAGAGGGGCGATAGTGAGGCGTATGACACTATCAAGGAGGTGTTTGCGCCGAGGAAAGGGGGCGATGACGAGGAACCTGAGATGAGGGTCGAAATGAGGACGTACTTGCTGGCACTTAGCAGCTACGCTTCGGAGTTAGACAGAAGATGCTCGGGTTTGGTGAAAGGAGTCATCGCTTGTGAGTGGATGGGCAGAGATAAGGGGTTCGTCGAGGCTTATGTGCGGTTTCTGGGAAGTCTAGCCAGTGCGCAGGGTGCATATGTGGGGATGGTGCTTGGAATGCTGGTCGGGCATTTCCATGGAGGTAAGAAATCCCTCGGTATACCGCATCGTCAGTTTCTAACTCAAAATTAGTGAGGTTATCGAGTGGCCGTATAGAAGGCTGTCCTGACGTGAACCGAGATCAGTTGGCCTTGAGGATACACAAGGCGCTTGAATATCTTCTTAAACTTATCCCGTCTGCGAGCAACACTCTATCTGCGATTCTGAATGCCAAATTCCCCTTCCAAGACGAAACCAAGACGGTACATATCACATATATCAAGAATCTAACACAACTGATCGAATACGCGCCTGAGTTGAAGTCTGATATTTTCGCGCTCATCACGGATAGACTTGTCAAAGTCGATGTCCAGATGCAATTGGACCTTGACGATCTTGATGACGACGTTACAGCCGCCGTAGCTAAAACTGTCTTGACCCAAAGTTCCGAGGAAAATGATGGCGAGGATTCAGACAGCGATGTGGACTCAGTCACCAGCGATGAAGATATTCACAGCGATTCGAGACGAGTCAAAGAGATCTCAGGCAATATTGAGAAGATGGACGCCATCCTTGATCTGCTTTTTACTATATACAGTCCATATTTCACGGATCCAAATAGCGTCGAAGCCACTTCGATGTTCGAAACTCTACTTGCGCATTTTACAAATATCATACTTCCGATCCGCCACGCTCGACATACACAATTCCTACTATTTCACTTCGCCCAAACAGCCGACCATTTCGTGGATCGATTCGCTGGAACCTGTGTCGATCTAGCTTTCCGGCCCGGTCAGCCTGCCGTACTAAAGCAATCGGCAGCATCCTATTTGGCCAGCTTTGTCGCGCGAGGTGCCCACGTGGAACCCGAAGTCATCCGGACCGTCTTCGAACTCATCGGGAGTCATCTGGATAACATCCGCGTTGAGAATGAGCTCACCTGCCGAGGCCCAGACTTGAAGCGATACGGCACATTCTACGCCATGACACAGGCTCTCCTCTACATCTTTTGCTTCCGCTGGCGTGACCTCATCATCTCCACCGACGTACTAGAAGACGACGACCCCACGGGCTTCCTGGATCAAGACCTAGACTGGGCGCCAGGAATCAAAGAAACACTCTCCAGAGCCATCTACTCCAAGCTCAACCCCCTCAAAATCTGCACTCCACTCATTGTGTCCGAATTCGCAAAGATCGCTCACCACCTCCGCTTCTTGTACGTGTACCCGCGTCTAGAAAGCAATAAGCGGATACGACTCAGTCAATTCTCTTCCTCGCAAGCAAATGGTGCATTGAGGGAGACTGGGAATGGTGGTAATGATGAGAGTTGGCATCAGCTGGAATCGTATTTCCCGTTTGACCCGTACCAGTTACCCATGAGCAAGCGATGGGTCGAGGACGATTACGTGCAGTGGAAAGGCGTCCCTGGTCTCAATCAAGACGAGGAGTCTGATGATGATAGTGCATCGGAGGACGATGAAGAAGAGGTGGAAATCGAGGAAAATACCGCGACCGAGGACGATAACGAATGAGCGCCTGAATAGTTTTCACATTTGCATTTGAGCTGGAGTTTTATTTAGTTGTTTAACTTAGGTTTGCTTGGGTTGGAGTTTTGGGCATAGCGTGCATGCATGGCAAAGAGAAGGATTTACTTTGATTTGATAGGTGGCAAAAGTTTAGCGCTGAGGGTCAACGTGATCTCAGGACGGCATTGGAGGCGTTTGAATATTCTGGTCTTCATGATATATTCACAGGTTTGTGAAGACTGGCTGTTAAAGTTGAGAGGAGGATATGTGTCTGAATCCGCAATTGCTTCTTGCTCAAAGAGAGCTTTAGCTGCTAGCTTAGATATATATATGAAAGAAGACAATTCCCGAATCCTCTTTCCTTTGGTTTCCTTGAGGTTGAGTCCTAAGTATACTGCCGTTTTAGTGTCCTCAATTCTTCCACCTTCTCGTTTTGCATCGCACGAAATATACCTGCCGCCTATTGCCATTCATCTCTTAATTGACTCAGTCTCTTGGAACACACTTATCAGGGCAGCAAAAGCCGGCACATTTCTATTTGTAGAGCTTTCCATGAGCTATATTGTTCATTCCCGAATTTCGATGACTGGCTTCTATAGCTAGCTGGTCTTTCAGACCTCGTTCTGCACGGTTTTTTACTTTCGAAATGCCGAAGGTTCGGAAACATAGGTATGTTTTCTTGGTACATACGAGTGCCTTTTATAATATCTGAATTCGTATAGTGTTTTACGGCCTTCCCCCAGAAAGTCTCTGCTATTTGAAGGCAGGCATCGCGCTGGATAGGAGCAAACGGCACATATTTACAATGTGCCAGGTGGCGTGGGATATTAGAAGTCAATGGGAATAAGAGCTGCTTTCTATTCAAGTAACTTATGAAGTCGGGTCGGAAACGATCCCTCGAACAGTGAGTGCCATCGCCTCGGAATCTTCGGCCCCGTGTTCTGATTTCTCCTCCTCCTCCTCCTCCACTTCCACTTCCACTTTATTCTTGCTCTCTTGCTTCGCAAGCCACTGGTCCAACATCTTCGAGATTCTCCTTGTTCGTTCTAATCCATCGGAGCGGTCATTGCTTTCCAGCCACCAAATATGCTCCTTCATGTCATTGCACATGGTGTCCCATATATCTTGGTATCGATTTTCGACGCTAGCATTGAGAAGAACCTCGACAACATCGCCCTTCGCCTGATTGACAGCTACTTGCAGTGCGGGTTTCCCAGAGCTTCCTCGGGCATAGATATCAGCACCCTCTTGGAGCAATAGTCGAACAATCTCTATCTTCCCAGACGCAGCAGCTCCACCTAATGCAGTCCCGTAATCTCCTTGAGCGTTAATATCAGCACCCTCTTGGAGAAATAGTCGAACCATCTCTATACCCCCACGCGCAGCAGCTGCACATAATGCAGTCCCGTAATGTCGTCTTTGAGCGTTAATATCAGCACCGTTTTGAAGCAGCAATCGAACAATGTGTATATTCCTTCCCCTTGACGCTTGCATTAATGCGGTTTCCCCGTCTTCACTTTGTCCATTGACCTCAGCTCCGTGCCGCAAGAGCAAGATTACCATATCCAAGTCTTCGTTTCTGGCTGCTGCCTGCAGAGCGTACGCGCATGTGCCACACCTTTCATTTACATCTGCACCTCTAGCACAGAGAATTTCTGCAGCTTTTTTATTCCCAGTGCCTATAAATAAAACATGTATTAGCACATATCCCTTGAGATCCTAAACCTTAACGACGGTGGTTCTTGTCATTTGCCCCCAAGTTTGATGTGTCAAAACAGCGTCGTAGAGTTGTCTTGAGCTCTGTAATAATGGGTTTCAAGTGCAAATGGAAACCATATCATTTCAAACGGAACTTACAAACTGCAGCATAAAGCGGGCTCCCAAGCTGTCTTGTCTGAGGTATTGAAGCTAAGTCTGGCTTTTGGTCAAGTAACTTTTGCAACAAGAAATTCAGTCCCATGGCAGAGAGCCAAGTGATTGGATGTATCTGAGTTGTTTCTTTCTTACAGCAAATTCGAGGTCGGGAAGATGGAAGTCTCTTAACTTCACTTTTAAAGCTGTTCGCTTCATTGTTAAATGCGTTAAAAGAGGCCCATATATGCCAGGCACGAGAACCATATTTGAGAAACTCGAGGGCTGTTTTTTCGACTGGTGGCCTCCAACGATGCCCCTCCAGCTTCAACAAGTGGTACTGCCAGGAATTGGCGGTATAGTGAAGAAGTGGGAACTCCAGAAATATACGCTTTGTGATTGTTGGATGCTGGCTTGCCAGATACATGAGATATGAAATGCAAGATTGTCCAACAGATTCGTGAATAGAAAGTTCGTCGAGGTTGAACCTTGACACAGTACCATTTCCTAAGATTCGCGATGACATCAGATACTCCTTGACCGAGAAGTGGGCGAATTGAACCTAGCAAGGAGCGCCGCATTAGCAGATTTTTTCTTGATGTCTCAAGAATCTTTTGTAGCAGGTGCTTCAAATTATGCAACAAGCATGATGCAAATTGTATTTGGAATGGTCCTTCCAAAATGACTTACTATCAAATTAGTTCCACGGTCTGCATACCCCGCTGAGGTGAACGAATCATGAGACCTGGAATCATCCTCGGACTCTATACCACTACCACCCACGGACTCTGCATCATTACCATTCACGGATTCTACAACACTGCCATCTACAGACCCTACATGACCTCCGTCACTAGACTCGTTAGAATATCCTTCGCTTGTATCCTCTGATGGACCGTTGAAAAACTCCTCAATGGTGTTATCGACTTCGATTTCCACATGCACTGCACGGATGAGACCAGATGGTATAATATCGAGTAAACCCTTAGAATCCATAATTCTATCTTCATCGCGCAAGCACGGTTCGTTCTCGGGTGATATGATGACCGCCTCGGCCAATTCTTTCAAGGAAAGTGGCCTTGCCGCAAACGCGATCCATTGCAGTGCGCGGTTTGCATAATCTTGATCCTCCTCTGGAATTTCGAGGATGATTCTATCGTAGAATGCATCTAATGTCTGTGGGAGGTTTTCCATGGCTGATCGGATCTTTGACTCTGCTCGTAGTCTACTAAGTGCTTCGAGTTGTAACGCGACGAGGCGAAACCTAGTAATGTTAATAGGTATAAGAAGATACTGGGAAATAAGATAGAACGTTATAATGACTGGAATTGGACTAGTAGCTCCATAATACAGTGTCTCTGTCTTATCATCTCAAATTCGTCCTTGGAATTGAAATATTTACTTACATTCCATCCGCTTTTGAGGCAAGTGCTATTTCAACGTCCCTTCTTAAAGATTTCTTCCACTTCCTGAAAACGCTTGACTGAAGTTGTTGTTGAAGATACTTTTTAACGTCTTCTTCAACTTGAGGGCCAGCCGCAATAATGTTCGTAAAATGGTCTAGCTCATCAGCAAAGTTGGTAAAGGAATCAGCGATGTCAGTCTCCCTCCTGCTAGTTACCAGAACGTGTAATGATGATAAGTTCCAATTGCAGATATCACGTAACAAGTCCAAAAGCCTACGCCTTTTGTCTTCGATCTTTGGACATTCATCTAGAGCATCCAAGACAATGTAAACATTGTCAAATCCGGCCATGACTTCTTTTAGCATGGTAATGCAACTTTTCATGGTTGGCTTCTGTTGGCCAACATTGGCTCGTTCATATTCGTTCTGTAGGGACTGGGGTGTGTCCCGTCTATTGCTACAGATACTAGCAATTAGTGAGCGGAGGCAATTTGAAACATCCTGTTTTTCCACGTCTCTGAACGTGAAGTACCACTACAACGGATTAGTACTCTATTTCCTGTGAAGAGCAAGGGCTGAGAAGATGGCACGCGCTTCAGAAGCCCCAACATAGCAAATGCACAGAGGTTGCACAAAGAAAGGGGTCGGTTACGTAGACTACGGCTGAGGACGGCTCATCTCTGCAGCGGTTCTGGAGGTCATCAATGATGGTTGAGCCTGAAGATTTGAACTGTTAGTATCTCACGATGACAAAATTGCGGAGATTATCTTGAGAGCTGGAAGGTATTTACTAGAAAATGATTAGGGCTTCTTTGATCGTATACTAATGGGTGTGAAAACGAACCATAAGATAGATTTCCCCACCCCAGCACCTCCATTCAGCCACAAGAAGGAGTTCGGGGCTGTTAGCCAGCCCGAATAATCGTTGTTATCATGAATGAGCCAAGATCCAGTGGTTTCCTCATGCTTGTCTCTTGCAATGTTATGCTCCTGCGAAGGATTTGGGATGCCCCCGGAAAGCCAATCGATAATGCGTCGGCGCTCTTCCTGGATCTGGGCCTTGTTGATATCAGCTCTGATATCGGCAGTAATTTCGAATTGTTCAAATCCGAGGTGCCTTATAAGCAGTCAGTTAGTTAGACATATCGAAAGTATGCGAGAGATATACGACAGCCGGCATCGGCTGGATATCTAAAGTTCGCTAGATGTCGAGGTAGATAATTTCTCAGGGTCCCCACACGAGTACTTACAAACTTTCAACTCCAACCAGAAGACTCAAACTGGATTTATGTTTCTCGATCGCAACAACTAACTTCTCAGCGTCCTTCTTCTTGAAAGGCCACGTCCTAGAAACTCAAGTTAGTTTCATTCGGATTATCCATTGCAACATGGAACAGATCATGAACACTATAGTACTTACAACGACTGAAGAGCTCTTCGAGCACGAGTCTCACTCGCTTCCGAACCTTGAAGTTTCTTCATCAGGTCCTCCAAATCAGCTCTAACCCCCTCCAAAGGTTGGGTCAAAAGCGTCTCATCACTCATTCCTTTAGCTACATCCTTTAAACGTCCCAGTATCCCCTCAAGCCCTTTAATGGAGCCATATAGCTTCCGTATATCCTCCCTAGCATCGCGAACACCTTCGTAATAATCTTTGAGCGCTGAACCGACTGCAGTCGCCAGTTGCAACACAGCGATCACGCTCGCGGCACCGGAGAGGCCGTCCATCTTGATACTGCCAAGGTAGGAGATAACAACTCGGTGGGTTTAGATGGCGCTTGCTGTTGGATTTTCAGAGAAGGCTTTGCTGGCAAAAATGAACATGCAGAATGAGGCTGTGGCACAGATAGGACCAGCGTGTAGACTTGGAGCGTAGTAGTAGGATGGCGATCAGACTCGATGAACAGACGAGTTTCAACAGCGCACGGCTTTTCCCGGGTGTGAGGATCTTTGAACAGTGATGTTTGTAGAGAAATGGGACATCATTGCGACATTCTGAGGTTGCAGAGGAATATGCAGCCTCCATTGGCCCCCAGCTTGAATTACAGGAGCAGCTGACGACATCACGTGTCGCTAAATTGCTGCTCAGATTGAGGCTACACTTCTTGGGATCTTTGATGTAAATTGAAATGGTCAAAGGCACCTGTAAGTCTTTCACTCAACAGATATGTTGTGATATTATGACTACAATGCTCACCCCGTGGTTGGCCCCCTTCCAGACGCCCGGTCTGTTTCGATAGGCCTAGTCGGCAAGGAAAGAGCTCACCAAGAGAGGCTGGGACAGACAAAGTTTTTGTGCTTTTCAAAATTTAAATTAATCCATATATTTGAGTATTCTCCATTCATCCCCTCTTTCCAGGCTCTATTGCAAACCACCCTGCAATGGCAGATTCCTCGAACTACTGCCCACGTACACCGTCTTCGGAGAGTCACTAACAACCCAATTCTGAGTTGTTGTATCCCAGTTCGAAATATCTCTCCTTGTAACCTGGTACGTGAAGGTTTCTGATTCATATGGATCGAGGATCAGATCATCGAAACCTCGGAGCACGATTTTGGGGTCTGAGGGGCCACCAAGAGATATGTACTGTTGTTTATATCAGTTTCTAATTCTTCGAGTGAGGGAGACCGAGTGGACTTACAAGCTGTGGGATCTCCGTCCCTTTCACAAGGCCAGTATTTGTGACAGTGGCTGAGACAATGTACATAACATCCCAAAGTTGACGGTTACCACCTCCTGATCCTCCAGCAGGTAGTTTCGGTTGGGGCGAGCTATCTGATACGCCAGCAGGTAAGTCCAAGGTTTGGTTCCTGGGGATCGTGAAGTTGATGTAAGGGTATATGTATAGAGGGACCGCGTGGAACCCTGGTGGAAATGACGCATCGGTAGCATTGAGATTGATTGTTCCGAAAGTAGGAGCAGAACTTGTTTGGCCAGTTGTAGGCTCATATGGACCTGGGTTCTGCTTCTCAATTTTCAGGCCGGAGTAAGAGAAATTGGTATAGGAGAGACCAAAGCCGAATTCGTAGGAAGGCTCGATATTTTCAGCATCAAAGTGGCGATAGTCGATGAATACACCTTCGTTGTATGGCTGTTGGGGTGTATTTGACTCGGGTGTGTAGACAACATCTGTGCCCCAATCCTCGCGCTGCTTTCCCCAAGTAAACACGCTCTTGGCCGAAGGCACACGATCACCATAGAGGATGTCGGTGATAGCATTTCCGGATTCTTGACCTGGAATACCTGCCCACAGAAGGGCAGTGATATTGGGGTGGTTCTTAAACTCTTCTACGATGACTGCACCAACTGTGTGAAGGACAACAATTGTGTTGGGGTGGATCGATGCGACGTGGGCGATAAGTGCATCAGCATTTCCCCACAGTGTCAAATTGTTCCTGTCACCTGCGTTGCCGTCTACCGTGATGTAAGCCTCTCCAGAGTCAGCGTTTCCGAAGACTATTGCTGCATCAGTGCCAGTAACAGCCTTTGTTACCGCATCAAAGTCGTAGTTATCGCTAACGTTGGTAAATGTCGTCTGATCTCTGGCAGCTCTTGCTGAAAGTGCGGTGACCGGTGCAATCAAGTATGGGAAGTTTGCCGTCCCAGAACCCCATCCCATTGCTAAAGTTCCTTGATCACAGCCGCGATCCGAGCATGAGTTAATACCTCCGGGGTTATCATGAGCATCTTCTCCAATAACCGCAATGCTACTTGGTCTCTTGAGTGGAAGAGCGTTGTTCGTGTTCTTTAGAAGAACCGTCGACGCGCCACCAATTTCTCGAATGAGGTTTGCATGGTCGCCTTGAACATTGACGTGTTCATTGATTATTTGAAACCCCTCACTCGCCAGTGGGTGAATGTATCCTGTGGTGTTCAAAGACCACGAATTGAAATTGATGGGCACTCTTGCAGTGTCCCGGCCAACTTTGTAGTATGCCTAAGTTATCTTAGCGGATTTTCTGTAGAAAACTTTGCTCCCAAGATGATCATTCAAAAAATGAAATATCCAGACTGGGAAGAAAAATTCTGCGTCATCTTTACTTACGGACATAATTCTGACGACCATGTCATCAAGCCTCCATTGAGGAATTGTGCCATTTAGGACTGCAGCTGTAAGATTCGACCCCCAATAAGCATTTCCAGATGCAAGACCCTGATCTCCTGCCATGGTCATATCTAAGCCCGCGAAAACAGAAGATACGCCGGAATGTTGTGCCCACCAATCACTCACAACTAGATAATTTCAGTGTGCATTCAAAGTCCGATGGGAAAATCCATACCGAACCCTTGAAAGTCTAATTCATTCTTGAGCAGGTAGTTGAGAGTATATGAGTTCTGTGAACCGAAGCTGTTGTTGATGTTGTTGTAGGAGCACATCACAGAACCTACACCTGCGCGAACCGAATCCGCAAATGGCCTGTGTACCATTTAGAATATTGTAAGGAGGTTACTGGAAGGTGTGTATTTACCATAAGTACAGCTCATGCATTGTCTTGTCATCCACATTGGATGAGTACGCCAGGATGTCGCCTGAGTTTTCCCGATTATGCTCTTGCTCATTCATAATGTAATGTTTCGCCGTGGCTATCACACCCGCATCTTGAATTCCTTTGATGGTCTCTGCCATGGCCACTCCAGTCAAGACTGGATCAGGGCTGAAGCCTAGCCCAATATGTCAGCTCTATTATTTTGAACTTTGGTTATGCCAAATTTACCTTCCCAGTTCCTCCCTCCCGCGGGAGATCGCCCCAGCGGCCCAGCAACAGGCCCCAATTGTGCGTCGATGCCCTTGTCGCGGTGTTCTGATCCCATTGCATTGCCTCGGCTTTTAAAGAGTCGAGTGGTCCATGTCGCCGCTGTGTTCATTCCCGAAGGAAAGGCAGAATTGAAATCCGCTATTTAGGTTATCATCAATGAAAATGACCATTGACACGCTGTAGGACCTACTATCACGGATGCCAAGAGGGCTGTCTTGGAGGCAAAGTCCAGTAAAATTGAGGCGAGGAATTGATCCAGTGTTTCCTACGCACTGTTGACCTTCCCATCCCACACCAGTTGTAAGATTGACCTTTTCGAGCAGGGTAAGCTGAGAAACGAAGATCTGGGCTTTGGCATAGGCATCTTGCCAACCATTGCCTCCGCGCATCCATGGTGACGGATAGTGTGGAGGGGAGAGAGCATGCTCAAGTTGGGCATTGACAACAGCTGCCAATGCCGTAACAGTTGCTATCGAAGAAATCCACATCTTAAGGTACAAGATATCTCAATTGCTGAGGGAGAAAAAGAAATAAGAGACACGAGCAGAAAATGAGAAAAGTCTAGAGAGTTCGGCTCGGAACTTTATACTCCGCATTCCCAGACACCAATATAAATTACGTTTAATTGCATATGCACCTAGACGTCTTGTAATACCTGTAGCTCTGACAGGACACAGACCTGTAAGCAAACCACCCAGTCTTACTCAATGGGGAAGGTATGAAGCTTCCCCAGAGTTTATATAAAAAGGGCGGACACATCGGAGCGACCCCCTGCACGCAAATCATTTATTGCTCAGTGGTTGCTGGGTACATTTCACCATATAAAATCGACGTTTTTGAGTACGCACGGACCAGAAATCCATGAGAAAAATACACCTTTTACCCTTGTAGGGGGTTCGTCGGGAATGATTCCGGGGTAGGGGTCTGGGGTACAGTAGCTACTATACTCCGTATTGGAGATACTTCCCAGGGACCAACCAAAACTCAAAGCTCCACGATAATCGGTCCGAGCAATTTCCGGAAGATCATCATCAAAACATGAGATGAACAGAACATCCATGGTCATCCGATGTATAATAAGCTCCTGCTCCACGGTATGAGTTCTGCGGCGCCCTGCCTAGAGCTTCCCCTCACTTTAGAGGGAGGGGTTTGTGCAGCTGCTTAACATACCTGGCAGGACAAATTAATATATGCAGAGCTAGGGGTTTTGCGTTTACTGGTGGAACAGCCAATCGTGTAGGTTTCTTTTCAGACAAGACCCAGTCACGCACGCTCCATCGTACCTGAGTATCTTCTAGGATAAGGGTAACGTGGTATGGAAAATGGATGTGATGTCTAACCTGACATGTCGTCTGAGATGTGGCGTCAACGTAAAAGGCCCGAGGCTTTCAAGCCACACACGTGATGCGGGGTAAATAAAAAGGGGGAGGGGCTCATGATGATCGTGGTTCCAATTATTCGTTCGCAAACTAAACGTGGTGTCCTCGTGCGTAAGGAATAGGATAGTAGCTTCAGGAGACCAACAAGCATTCCAGATCCTTGGCTATAGACATATCATATTCCCAAGTACAAACTAAGGATTTGCAGACCGTGTTAGCACATAGTACCAGCAGTCATGTTATTCTGTTATGGCACTGAGCCACTAGAGTGCTGTGCCTCTGCATCCAGTGTACCTCAACACTAGCTTCATATGAGGAGAAATGGTCCACAAACGAAATTTCCCTCGGCGAACGGCGATTGAAATATTGCCGCTCAGCAACAGGCCCACTGATTTGAAGAATACTTGCGAAGCCATATTTTGTCTTTTCGAACCTAACCTCATGTTAGCAACAGGCTATCTCCAATTCATCATAGGGGGTTCGAAAGGATGGGGAAACCATCGTCTCGAAAGAGTGTTTCAGATTTACCAATTTTGGACCAGTTCTCCAATCATTTTTTTAAGGACATGTTTTTGCTCGACTCCCTATTCTCAGCCTCGTAATATGGTTAACAGAAAGTGTATTGCACATGTCTGGCCTACCTATTTGTGCTGCCGTCTCGCGTCTTATAAAGACCTCCTGTGCCCATGAGCTAAGGCTCTATCATGTCCTCCAAAACTATCTTACCACTCACCGCGGTGGTTCTGGAAGATGGGCTTATATATAGCTCCTCTATACACGCGTTTTCTAAGGACAAGGTTCACCATAGCTGAGTGAAGACGAAATATAACCATTTCAGCAGTCACTACTAGTCCACGACCTGTTCTCGCACAACGCCCATAAATAGTTCCGAAAATGAAAATTATAAAGAAAGTAAAAAGAGCACATTAATGAGACTAATGAAATTATTCTTTTCGCCTGAAGAGAAAGAGAAATCCAGCTTTGGATCTTCTTTACTAGAATTTGAAGGACATAGTGTTGATTTAGGAATCGCGAAACATTCTCAGAGTCAAAAACTCTTCTAGGGACATGACTTTAAACATCCGAAATATGCTGGAATGAGGAATACAATAATTGCGGAAGGTCTTACCAAGGTTTGAAATTTTTGTATTCCTGCCGAGCTTGAATATGAGCAGTCCCATCAGATCAACCTGAATGTGGTCAAGTGTAAATAGTCCATCACCTCGCACCTAGGCAAGCTATGTGTGGTAAGAGGATAGAAGGGGAGACAGAGTGGTTTCAATTAGAGGGCAGTTGAGAAGCTGTTGATAGATCCCCCCCCCCCCCCCCAAAAAAACATGCATGTGACAATGCCAATTTCTTGCAAGACGAATAGAGCTTTGTTGCATGGTGAGTACATTCTCTAGACTCACTACTGGGTATTTCATAACTTTTCTTCTAGTCTTTCATTCATGGAGCATCAATAACATCATTCGTCAACCTTTAGCTTCTGTAGTGTCTCCGCCACACTACCTCCCACATTGACCTTATCTGCGTCAGGGCCTTCAACATGCCCATCCGGCTGCGCCACAACTTTTTGTCTTGCCGCTGCTGCTGCCGCACGCTTCGCTGGATCGCCCTTGTCTTTTACTTTCTTGACTTTTACGGTGGCTTTTTCGGGTGGATAGGCTTGGACTTCGATTGCTTTCCACTCTTCGTCGGCGTCAAATTCAGCACGAATAGGGGCGAGGAGTTCGTTGAGGTGGTGGGCGAGAGCGGATTTGAGAAGTTGGGGAGTGAGCTGAACCAAAATGTTAGTATAGCTATGATGTGGGAAGAGACAGGACGTACAATGTCTGCAGCGTAGTCTTCCTTCAGCTTGTCTGCTGATTCGTAGATGAGAGGTTCTTGGTCCTTCCGTTGTACCACAAAGTTTGAGCCACCCTTCAGCGCAAGCGCTCTCATGATAACGTGCTCCACGAATGCAATGACACCGTTACCCTCCACTTGCTTCGGTACACACACTGCTTTCCGTAGTTTCTTCTCCACAGCCTCTGGCGCGTCAAGAAGATCTATCTTCGAATCAGCCTCGCTGGAGCTCATCTTCACTGCCTCTCCAAGCCCCGGTACCATTGCGTTCATCAGATGTGCCCTGCCCTTGTAGTTCAGCTTAGGAAGGTTCTCCATCGCAAACGTGAAGATCTTCCGTTGATCAATGCCTCCGAATTGGCAATCGACATCCAAGTACTGCTCATCCAGCGCCTGCATGAGAGGGTAGACCAGACCTCCCAGGAAGGGGTCATCACTTTGTTTCACGACCTCCGCCCCCGCCTTCTGCGCAACATTGATCCTCGTCATGCCCTCCAGCTTGAATCGATCCATAGTGTACTCCTTACTCAACTGGTAAGAGCTGCCTTGCACAAACTCCAGCCGCGTTATATCCACGCCCACAGCCTTCAACAGTGACCTTATTATCTTTCCGTAGTACTTGGCGCGGAACTCCACAAGCTCGAAAGGTGCCTTCATGTTGTCTAGATAGCCGTGTATGTCTGCTAGCAGGATTTTGATGTGGCATCCGGCTGCCAGTAGCTCTGCGACCTTCATCATCGGTACGAAGTAGCCGCAATGCGGTTTGCCTGTGGTTGCGGTGCCCCAGTAGACTTTGAGGGGTCGCTTTTCTTTGAGGATTACATCGTCGATGATTTCGGGGTTGAGGACTTCGGCAAGGTTCGCTTTTATGAGGGCAATTGAGTCCTCGGGGCTCAGTGGGGAGGCCATTTCAATTTGTCGTTGCGAGAGTGAGGAAGTAGTTGCGTTTGTATTACGCAAACGCACTGTTTGACTCATCGCGGGAAAATAAATTTGGCGGGGCAATAAATCCACGTGACTCGCTTCCTTGTTCGTCAACCCCCCTTTATTAGGGCGTTTGGCACTGAACCCATTTTGTGACCTACAACGCTATTTTTCTTGTTTCTTGAACCAAAGAATAAGAGAATTGCGTAGAAGCTCTTCCGATTTTCAAGAATAAAGTGTCTTCAAAAGAAAAAAAAAAAAGAAAGAAAGTGTAAAGGAGTAGCTGGGGGAAGTAATAAGTATATTAAGCCTAAAAATTCAAAGGCTATCAATTAGCAGACAATACCTTTCAAATGTCTTAATGAGCTAATTGTGTTGTATTTAAGAACAAATATTGGTTAATCAATATTCAAATATCACTTACCACGAAGGAATCCGCTATTCTAGTTCACAATAAAACAAACATTGTAGTCGAAATTCATGCGTATTTCTCTTCCTAAAGAATACACTGTTGCAGAAGAAGCTTATTGCCCTGCTAGTTGGGCATTAGAATAAACTTGATGCTGTCTCCTCAACTGAAAATCCAATGCCGTAATGCTATCATAAGCACTAGGTACTTGCGGCGTTACAAATTCCGGCAACGCCCCGACAAGGGCATCTCGTCTTGCTTTAAACAGGTACGGAACAGACCAGCGCTCTTGGATCAACGTCTTCTCTCCCAAATGTGTGCTCACAGGCTGCATCACCCGATGCATACCAGCCTTCAGTGTTCCATTTGTCCACCGTTCCAACGTATCAGCAACGTTGATTATCAACTCGTTCTTGGCTCCTTGAGGAATTGGTAAGAACTTTCCAGATTTATGACTTTCCTCAAATTCGAGCCCTCCAACATCGTCGGTCAAGAGCAAAGTGATGATGCCGAAGTCAGTGTGAGGCCAGATGCGGGCAGTAGATCCATCAGAAATCTCACTGGCGTGAATCGCCGGGTAGTGGTTGAGACGAACTTCACTTGCGGCCGGGTGGCAGAGATCCTGTATGGTTCCTTGAGGAACGTTGAGACCCATCTCAATGACAGAGATGACAGATAATGCCACATCTTGACACTTGTACCAGTAATCTTCCATGAACTATGTAATTTGGCTGTCAGTCTCTGCCAACAGGGTTATATAGTCAGTCGAGTGGGAGTTACCGATTGCCATCCTGGTAAAACATCATTGTTCAGCCATCTGCAAACTCTGAGGTCAGTACTTGTTGTGGGCGTGATTCTAAAGGTCTGGAAGTTATGACTGATGTGCGTACTGGTTCTGGAACTGGGTATCATCAGGTGGTCCAATGTCATAATGTTCCTAGATTCGGAGTGTATCAGTCACGCTCGGAAAACATAACCCTCCCAGTCGCAGCTTACCTTTGCATCTTTCAATTCATCCACCGGTCTTCCGGTTTCTCGACTGTAGAGGCCAGAGGTTTGTTCGACTCCAACTGCACTCCATCCTCGTTGAGGATTGTCAGACGCTAAGTGCTCTACTTCTTGCTGACGGTGACGAGGGAGAGCAAAGAACTGTTGCATCTGTATACAGTTAGCCCATGAACAAGAGATAGGTCAGGGTGGTTTCAGCATCACTTGACAAAAAATGGAGAAGAGGTGTGAGACTCCAAAGGACACATACCCGTGTGAAAAGCGCCTCGATAGTCGGATCATCAAGACCATGATTGACTATCTTCACAAAACTATGAGCTTTCAAAGCTTGAATAAGCTCTGCGGCGTATGCTTGTTGCTCTTTAGGAGTACCCCGCGTAAAGCGATAGTGATCTAATGCTGGAGCGTGCATGGTAAGAGGTAGTAATAAAGTTTTCAGGTGGTATTTAGAGTAGAGGAAAGAAGTTAGACTTTTTGGTTGGGAGAGATGGATATTTAGGGGTGGTGTATAAGCTTGAGAGTGGCTATACCGTGGTATACTTATAGATCTCTTTTGATGAGTTAAATCGAAACCATGATTCAACTAGATCCGAGTTTGTAATTCGTCGCCCCTAAATATATAATTCATAGCTAGACCGTCAAGTTTATCACATATTACTAACTATTTCATAGCGTTTTATTAGTAAAATAATATTAGCTTCACCTATATAGCTATCTCTTCTATTCGAATCAAAGAAAACGTCATACCGGGGGACCCTAGCAAGAAGAGAAACAAGAAGCCTCGGGTTATAGCGACAAGTACATAGGTAAATCCTATTAGTTGCGCAAATGCCTGCCGAATCGGGCTTTGTTCTAGGGATTGCTATATAGCCACTTTTCTGAGGATTATATGCTCTTCAAACCTTAGTGAAACCTCATATTTAGCGTAATACTCTACCTATAGGCATCAAGTTTTACAACTAATAGCAGAAACTATATCCACTGTTTATAGTCAAGTTAGACCAAAGTCTCAATCTAGTGATTAAGAGCGCCTTAGCGGGCGGCTCAGACCCACTATTATTTACAACGGTGGCGCCACCCAGCCGATCTTCAATAGAGGTTCCATATACGTTACGATGGGGAACATATGATTAGCATTTTATTATAGAAATAAGGATCGGGGCGTCGTACCTTAAAAAGAGGCTCCATTTTATTTACTGGATTCAACGTGAATGATTTTATGGAGTAGTATTCCTTCACAACCCTTCCTTCCTCTAGCCTTCTTTAGCGACTATTTTTCGCGTAATCATTCCCCTGATAATTCGCCTTCATTCTGCTAGAGCTTTTGCTTTGTCAATAAAACATCCCGAGATCATTATACTAAAAACAGTCTAAAGTTTAATAACTTCCGATTAAACTATAAAGCAGGGATATTAACTTAATAGGTAGTCATATCACTCTACTAATAAATGTTTACACCTTTTACGAATTATTGTTGCAAATAAGTTTATTATAATTACGTCAAGTAAAAACCTTCGAATGGTATTTTATACCATAAACAATAACGAATGTTTATATCTCAACTTTTTGATTTTCTTCTTATACTCTTCTCCTTTAAACGCATGGATTTCGCGGGGATTAGAGACTCTCCCCTTACAAGCTCGAGTCAAACCTTGCAAAACATTTAAATACCGCGATCCTTCCCGAGAAGCCTCAGATCCTCGGAGGTACCGAGATCCTGCCCAAGGATAAATGATAGGCGGTTCCGACTAAGATTTATTCTTACTTATGTTAACCTCGTACTCGAACGAGTTGAATTGCAGAAACCCTATTCAGTGGAAATCTACGAATAAGTAAAAGGTGGGTGCTCAAGTACGACTATGACTTCGACCTGCTTAATCGAGCAAGACTAGAGATATTTTATATTTATAATAGGAATGCTATTTTGAAGTCATACTTCTTTTCAGTATAAGATATTTTGGTCATTGTCATTTAGTATTTCTGTCAAGCCTCTTTTACGAAAGTAGAATTCAGCCCCCAAAAGTGTTCACTTTATGTGCAAATATGTCTCCTTCAATAGAGCTCCAAAGCTGGCATCAAGTCACAACAGAATCACAAACGGAACTAGTCTCCGAGCCGTCATATATCCAGCACGAAAGAAACTCAACACAGGCGCGAGAAGAAACACCAACAACTCCACATCTCAAACGCACCGATGGAGGCCCCGCAGCTTGGGGCCTCCTTGCCGCAGCTTTTGTATTTGAAGCTTGTTTCTGGGGTTTGAAAGACTCCTACCTCTTTCCCTTTACCCTCAAACTAATCAACACATCTAGGTTTTCCCATATCCTACGGCGTGTTTCAAAACTACTATTCCACGCTGCCCGCCTTTGCCGGCAGTTCCAAGATCGCGTTGATCGGTACGATAGCGCAAGGATTCTGCTATCTCGGAGCTCCTCTATCCACCGCGATTGCCAAGCGGTTCCCCAAGTTCCAACGCCTGCAGATCTGGATCGGATGGCCGCTGTGCATCCTGAGTCTGGTGGCTGGTTCGTTTGCAGAGACGTTGGACGGATTAATCGCTACTCAAGGGGTTACGTACGGATTGGGCTTCGTCATGTTGACGTATCCGATCTACAGCTTTGTGGACGAGTGGTTCGTGGTGCGCAAGGGCATGGCGTTTGGGATTGTCAGTGCTGCGTCTGGGTTCGCCGGCATATTCGTTCCCTTTATTGTCGAGGTCTTGTTGCATAAATATGGATACAAGACGACGTTGAGGGCCATCGCTATAGCAATGGCTGTACTTACTGCGCCCCTTATTCCGTTCCTTAAGGGTAGACTACCGCCGCCTGACCAAAGCACAAGGACGAAGACAAACTAGGGGTTTGTGAGAAAACCGCTGTTCTGGATATATGGCGCCTCCACCCTGATTCAAAACTTCGGGTTCTTCTTCCCCGCATTGTATCTTCCTTTATATGCTACTGCGATCGGGTTGAGTGCAACAAAGGGTGCTTTGATCCTGGCAGTCATGGCCGGAGCCCAAGTCCTTGGACAATTCTCCTTCGGCTACCTGTCTGACAAACGCGTGTCGGTGAATGCCCTAGCAATAACTTCATCTGTCATCTCGACCTTTACGACCTTTGTGCTATGGGGGATGGCGAAATCGCTGGGCATGCTCGTGGCATTCGCTATAATGTACGGCTTCTTTGGGTACGGCTTTAGTACAATGCGTGTGGCGATGGCTAGGAAAGTGAGTGATGATCCTTCAGCGATTGTGGCCATTTTTGCCATTCTGGTGTTCCTACAAGGCATTGGCAATATCCTAGCGGGGCCTATCTCGACAGCGTTGTTGTCACAGAGAACCAGGCTTGGAGCTTATGGAATCTTGAAGTACCAGTTTCTGGTCGTTTTTACAGGGGTTTGTATGGCTATAAGTGCGCTGACCATTGTATCATGGTATCTTCGGCCAAGAAAAACGAAACTGTTGGACGAGACAAAAGTTTAAAGTATTATTTGGTTCAAGAATGTACATATATAGATTCAATTTCAAGATATTTTACCCATTTGTACTACTCGAGCGCCCCTCTGGAGAGACCAATCACATCGTAGAATTTAATTGTTGGCGCGGATAAATCACGAGGATATATGAGCAATGATATATGGAACAAGCAAATCTAGCAGCTTAAATTCAACGCCTAATATACATATCTTTCCTAGCAGAAATTCTGTGGTCAAGCGTGGCCCCTCACGACATCAAATAAGAACTGATATCCCGGCCCTACTTGTGTATTCCACTTTTCACTCTCAGGTCTCAATCTCAAGTCATGGATATGATCCAAGCCCTCTAGAGGCAAAAAGCCATGCCGAACCCCCCGCTCCCGCAACTCGACCACAAAACTTTCAGCGCCAGCGAATGGTGCTATCTGGTCACCAGTTCCGTGAATGATGAAAGTAGGTGTGTCATAGGCGCCTTGGCGGATTTGGGCAAGTGGGCTGATGGAAGCGGCTTGTGCAGGTGAGGGTCGCGAGAACCATTCGGATGGTGGCGTTGTGGTGTCTGGCAACCCATTCAGAAGGAGCGGGAGCCCAATCCCCTCTTTGAAAAGGGCCATAACAAGCTCAGAGCGTGGGTCACCCGGACGTACCCAACCGAGACCAGTACTGTCAGCTTTCGCAGAGCTGTAGTTTGTGATCTGTGAGATTGCATGTTAGAATTATTTTCTCTAACTCTGGCGTCGACGATGAAAGAGAATGGAATGGGTGTGACAAAACGCCAAATGAAACCTACAGGTGTGGTTGGTAGAGTAGCCATAATGCGCTCCATGCTCATGCTACGATCCGGTAGCTCCGATAGGCGATTTGCATCAAGGTCTATGAAACGGCATTAGAAGGACTTCCGATTTTTCGTCACGAGCAACATACCTCCAGATTCAAAGTCTACAGGAGCGTAAAAGCTCAGCACTGCCATTGGAGGTTGCAAACCAGCCATCTTTGCTGTCCAGCCAAGTGACATAGCCAAATGACCTCCTGTCGACCATCCGACGACAACAACTTTGGTTTGATCTACTGTGATTCCATGCTGAGAAGCTATCTCCGGCAGCGAGGTTTGAGCCCACTTGAAAGCATCGCATACATCGGCCATAGGCCCATCAATGATATTGATTTCCGGGCAGAGGCGGTAGTCAATACTGACTGGGAGGAACCCATTGGCAAGAAGGTGTTGCGTTTGAATTGGACGGATGGCTTTCCGGGAGAGTGTCATGAAGCCTCCACCGTGGATCATAAGAGCTTGAGCAAAGCGTCAGCCAGCGAACTTCATGATATAAGTGGGGTAGTTAAACGTACCAATAGGCATAGGGGATGGCGGAGTCCTCAAAGGGAAGTAAACGTCTGCGTGAATTTGGACACCACTAACCTCTTTATACGTCATTGTTTCCATGCTATGAGCTCCATTTTGTCCATGGGGAGTGTCTGGTATGATTTCCATGATCGCCGAAGTGTTCCAAGGTTTCTTGGAAGCCACGAGAAGTTGTTGACTATTAGCCTCGAGAGTTGGACCATGCGAGTAGCCGGTAGAGACAAACCCTGCAGCTTCAAAGGTTGACATCCAAGCCTCTGCTGGCTGTAGGGGATAAGCATTACGACCCTCTGCCAACCACCAACCGTCGAGGAGACCGAAACAAATGTCATACCAATCCATAACTCTAGTAACTTCAGAAAGTACTATGAACCCATCTTCGTTCAGCACCTCTCTGAGTCTGCGGCAAGACGAGGTACGATTTGTCGTTGCGTGGACGCAGTTGGCGCTTACGACAACATCAAACCGATTTTGAAAAGCTGCAGGAACTTCCTTCTCTAGATTGAAGGTAGCAAATTCGATCCACGGGTATTGCTTGAACTTATTCTTCGCCTTGGCCACGAGACTCGGAGAGATATCAGTAAATGTATATTGAGCTTTGATGCCAGCGGCATCTAATGCCTCTGCAAGTCTCTTCGTGGTACCCCCAGTACCTGCACCTACTTCGAGAATCCTTACGGGTTGGTTGGAATGTTGATTTTGTAGCAAGGTCGTCATGAAGATGACTAGTTGTTCCGTCAACGTTGACATCATCGGAGATTGGCCATAGAAGTTCTCCATAATCTTCAAAGACGACGGGCTTCCAAACATAATCGACACGGGATCCGCTTTGCCACACAGGCAATCTGCGAGTCTAGGGCCAGTCAGACTGATGAGATTGGTTTCATGTTCATAGCCCGGAAACTGAGCCTGAAATGATTCAGCTAGCTGAGAAGATGACCTTGAATCGATTGGACAGCTGCCGCGTATTACGTCTCCTTCCTCATCGATAAAGACAATATGATGCTTCTGCAGAATTTCCCAAAGCCTTTTCATCAACTTGTCATATTTCTGTACCATGTGTGGCACTTGAGGGACGTAGTTGCCAGGTAGAATACGTGAGAAGTCTACCCCTAAAGTGCAAAATCCTTCCACTATGTAAGCAAGCAGTAACTCGTCCTGGAGAGGAGCGACATCTGACCAATATCGAAGGAAACCTTGTTGGTTGGCTGAGGCATTGAAGTATGTATCGGATTGCTTCAAAGCGTCGAAAGGATTTGGCAAGACGGCACTCTCTTTCTGCTGCGGAGCAGAACTTGGAACGGCCGCATCTGTCCTAGGAAGGTTCAAACTTGAATCTAGGGCTCGCAGTTTTGACTCATTGATTTTCAGCCGTGTCGAGAGTTCGCTCACTGTGCAGTCCAGATCAAAGTCGTCGAGGCGTACAGAGAATGCATCTTCGAGCTCTTGCTTCAAGTCAACCGAAGATAGCGAATCGATACCAAGATCAGCCAATGCATTAGGGGGTTCAATGTCCTCAAGCTTGGCACCAGATATTTCGGCCAGAATTTGCAAAAGCTGTTGGCGTCGTCCATCAGACTCTTGCTTCGGCAAGTCGTACGATGGACTAGCGATGCTGTTAGGACTTACATAATCCCCTGTCCTAGGCTTGTTCGACTCGATATTGACTGGGCGAGAGCCTGAAATACCGAGAGCCTGGTTGAGACTATGCAAAGTACTTGTGACTAGATCGTCCGAAGTGATTACCAACCCAAACTTGGACAGGAGCTCCGAAACAAGTTCAACAGATGCCAAAGAATCCAACCCTAAATCTGCGAAGATGGTATCTTGAGAAATATCCAGTTTATTGACCCCGGTATACTCGGCGATCAAGTCACGCAATACAGAATCATTGCTATCTTGGGCTGGCGTACTTGTGGCTGGCGTAATGAAACCGTCAGACGTTGTGATCGATCCAGCAGAGAGCTCATTCCTGGGGGTCTCCTTCCTGGGCGTCACCTCTAAGGGCACTTTTGAATTCGCCGAATCTAAAGCTTTTTCGAGCTTCGAGATCAGAATTTTGGTGAAGCGACAACCGCAAAGCATCGCTACTAGCTCACCCTCAGGAGAGGACACGAAAACGTCACCGATTGGTTGCCCCTGGTTGAACGAAAACTTTGCGTATACTTGCCAACCCTTTTTCTCATTCATCTTACACGCCGGTGAGATGACAGCACGTTCGATGCCAACCATCACCATGACTTCTCCTCGCGACACAGCATCACTACTATTCATGAGGAGCCCAACGACCTGAATAAATGAATCAATCGTGACGGTATCACAGATTTCCCAAGATGTACTCTCTTCCCGGTTGGGTTGATTCTCGGGGAGCCTGATCGTGGCGATTGCTTCCCAATCGTCCAGAGTTATAGCATGAATGCCCTGGAAAAATGGGGCATAATCCACCACCAGTGCAAATAGCCCGTATGCGCGTTTTGACATCAACTTTTCCGCGTCTTCTTTCTTCTCTAATCGCTCGGTGGGTCCAGAAACAAGCCGCTGGAACATACTGGGTATACCATTTGGGTCACGAGAGATGATTCCATTACCATGGGATGTCTGCCTCGGCTTTGGGTTGGTCGGCATCGAACTCCGAATATTAAATTTCCAAGACTGCCCATTAGAAACCTCTTCAAGTCGTATCACGACCTCATTTCTAGAATCAAGACCCAATCCAGAATGAAATTCAACCTTTTCGAAAACCAGACTGGCATCTTTGGTATCTCCTGTAAGCAGTTGGATGGCCATTGTGGCACATTCCATATAAAGGGATGCGGGACATAGTGGTCTTTCACGCACGGCGTGTCCCCCAACGATCTTCCTAAAGCGTTCGCTCCGAGTGTTCACCAAAAATTCAGCAACGCCTGGAGCCTCCCCTGTGGCTGCTCTACGTGTAATTAGTTGAGGCAGACCTTGCAATAGATCGACTGATGCAGTTGCAGAATCGCTTGTTGAGAGCTTTTGCTGCATTTCAATGACCCTGTCAACATTTTCTCGCCAATGGGGAGTCTTCTTGAATTGATATGGTGGCAGCCATATTTGCTTGTATTGTCGAGTATGCATCGGCAAAAAGCCCCAGTAGGTCGCGGAGACGCCACTCTTCCATAGAGCTGACAAGATACCGCCCACTGCATCGACGTATTTACGTTCACCCTGCATCTTCATGGCATGGAAGTTGTGAATGTCCGGCTGTTTGGACGCTCTTCTTACCATTGGAATAATTGGTGTGTCTACACCTGCTTCCAGCCAGATACAGGCTCCTAGAGAGTTCTCAAGCCTACGTACGGCGTTGGAGAAGAACACGGGCTCTCGAGCATGGCTGGAAACACTGTAGTTTTGCATGGATGGGATTTTTTCCGCCGTACAGACTTCCAATGGAATCTTTGGCTCGTTCCAAGTAAGTGAGCCGGATATGGTGGCCAAATCAGCAAGGATTGGTTCCACAAGTGTCGAATCTAAGTGTTGGGCATTTGAATTAGTAATACTTCTTCGACAGTACATCAAGAGTCCACTAGGAATGGATAGGGAGGAGATGTATTGAATGGATTAATCCTTTAATCAAAAGATACCCGAAAATAGAATTGTTTACTTACGAAAGCCATGGCTGGTCTCAAGTCGCTGAGTTCTGATTTTCTGGAGGTTTGGCTCGGTCCTTAGCAAATCTTCGACGGCATCAATCGTCGCCGAAGTGCCAACGGCAACCAAGGAGGCAGGTGCGTTATGACATGCAATTTCCAAACCACCATTTTGTGAGCTGCGCTTCAGGCGGACAGATATTTCTTCAAAGCTTGGAATATCGCACTGAAGAGCCAACATGGCTCCTTTTTCAGGGCCCCATTGACTTTCGATCAAGCGGCCACGAGATGCAACCAATTTGATGCTGTCGGACAGGGACAAGACACCAGATACCGCCAAAGCAGTGAGCTCACCCAGGCTGTGCCCAATAATAGCACTTATTTTCAAACCAGACTCAACCCAACATTGAGCGCAAGCATATTGCATGGCAAAGATACTGCATTGCAGAATCACCACATCAACGATCGGCTCCTTTTGGAAGATGGCGGGGAAAATAGAACCAAATCCTAAAGCCTGGATCTCCGTATCACAAGCATCAATAAAATATCGGAAGCCTGGGAAGCTCTCATATAGCGTCTTATCCAACGCAACTTTGTTGCTACTTTGTCCGCTGAAGCACAGCACTATAGGCTTGGAGCTTTGGCAAAATTCGAAACAGGCGGAAGGCTCTAAGGAAAATAGCTGCTTGGCCAAGTCGTCCAAACTTGTAGACGTTGTGCTCATGCAGTACTTGTGCTGTTTTCTTTTTTCGTTTAGGGTAAATGAAATATCTCCAATATTCAGATTGGTCGAGTTTTCCCGCAAATGCGCACCTAGTACTCGTGCACTATCCAAAAGGGTTTCCTGGGAGGCAGCGCTGAGCATAATGGGAAATGACATCTCGCTGTCTGTAGCATGACTTTTGTTTGCTTCCTGCTGGGGTATTTCACAGCACAGAAGAGCGCAATTTGACCCTGCTGCACCGTAACTGTTAACAAGTGCTGCACGGAAAGGCGCGTCCCAAGGCCGCAGGCTCTGAGTAATATCCAGACCATCTTCTCTCAAAGGAGGTATCTTTGGGTTTAGTCTCTGGTGATTGGCTTGTGGTGGAAGCTGGCCATGTTTTAACATGGCTAGAACTGTAAGCAAGCTTGCGACACCGGCCGCAGTCTCACAGTGACCGATGTTCCCTTTGACAGAACCGACATAGGCAGTATCGGATCTGGAGGGGCTTCCAAATACAGAGCGTATACTATCCATCTCCAGGGGATCCCCTGCCTGCGTTCCAGTGCCATGGCTTTCGATATATGTGACCTGGTCAGGCTGAAGACCAGATTGCTGGATCACTCTTTGATACAGCGCTTGTTGTGCCCCAGAATCTGGCACAGTGATCGAAGCAGACAACCCACCCTGATTTGTCGCAATGCCAGGAATGACTCCCATGATATGGTCACCATCAATAATGGCTTGCTTGAGCTTCTTCAACACTACGAGCCCCGCGCCATCAGAGCGGCAGTAGCCATCTGCGGACTGGTCAAATGGCTTACACTGTCCAGTAGGGCTCAGAAACCCGGCTTTGCCCAGATCGAGATAATTATTGATGCCAGTTATTATATTGATCCCACCAGCCAGGGCCAAGTTACATTCTCCAGTCTGGATTGCTTTGCAAGCTCGGTTGATTGCTACTCCTGATGACGAACAAGCAGTGTCAATCACCTCGGATGGACCACGCCATCCATAGTAATGACTCAACCTGCCACAAAGAAAAGCTCGGATCGTGCCGGTGGCAGTATATGCCGTTGGGCCGTGTGCATTCGTATTATCCAGATATTCCACGAGGCTGGCGCCAATGAAACAGCCCACGTTATCCCCCGCTTCCCGACGATGCTTTGAGAGGTAGCCCGAAGCGTCCAAGGCCTCGAAAGAGAGTTCTAGAAGAATGCGTTGTTGAGGATCTAGATTTGCAGCCTCTCTGGGATTCATTCCGAAGAAGGAATTGTCGAACCTTTGCACATCATCAATGAAGTTTCCGTAGAATTTCCGTCCGGCGGTAAAACCACCACTCTGTGATGCTCGAAAGCTTCCGTGCAGATCAAATCTATCTGCCGGAACCTCTTGGTGGCGATCACCTCCACTGGCTAACAGGTCCCACAGCTCCTCGAGGTTGTCAGCTCCTGGAAGACGACAAGAAGCCCCAACCACGGCAATTGCGCTTTCTTGGAAGAAAGAAGAGTCCAGAGGAACATTGTCGTGGTTTTTTGGCTTGCGCACCTTTTCGATAAGGCTGTGGGCTTGGAACTTGGTGGACTGTAGACGTTGTCTATGAAATGGTGACATGGGAATACAATCGTTCAAGCCAAATATCACAAAAGTATGTGCTGGCTGCTTCGATGCTGCCAAATCCTCTGCGACGTTATTAAGAAGGACATACCAGTCACATCTCGATGCTAGAATGGTAGTAACAATTTCTTCGGTCAGTGAGCCGTGAAGGAGCTTCTCCCCAGACCTGTTTGATCTGACGGGAACTTGCAGGGCAGAAGCCTCTGGCAGCTGTAAGCACGGCGTTTCATTGCAAAGCTGGCAAAGCTCTATCGCAAGATCTTTATTTTCAGGATTATGCACCTTTCCCCTAATGTCCATTTTCTGAACCTGAAGCCCTTGTCCACGGGCATAGTTGCACACTTCTTCGAGCTTCTGAGCCGCGCCGACCATGCTGACAGATTTTGGGTCTGTAATAGCTGAAACGTGAGTCTAGAAACACATGCGAAGTTAATATTATCATTCTTTTCATTACTATTTTTGTTTGTACATACTCCTGGAAAAAGACGCGCAAATTCATCTCCTTGACCTTCATACTTGAGGCGAAGTGCCAGGGTTGTCGTTCCCGTCCCGTTTCCTTCATCGGCAGCTTCACCATATGCACCAATACCAAGCAAGATCCTCATAGCAATGCCGGCATTCTTCACCACCTCTGTCTCATCCCGCGCGCAAGCCAAAGCAATCGCTGGCGGTAACCCGCCGCAGTATCCTTGCGCTCCTCCAGCATGCTGAATCTCGGCTAAAAACTCTTGGTGAGCGAGGCCTTGGAATTCCAGATACCGCAAATACTGTCCAATCTGGAGTATGATCAGGAGAGGCAGCGCAACGATTCCCGATCGCACCTCGGAAAGACGATGAGACTCGCCGTTCGCAGCCCAACCGCGAAGTATGTCGATATACACGGGGCCCTGAGAGAGCGCCCGGACATCATCCCTCGCATTCTCGAATATTGTCCAAATGCTTTCTAGATCTAAGATTTCCTGTAGAAGTATCTGGCCGTACTGGTTTTGCCGGAGAAATGAGTGAAGACCAGCGAGGTACTCTTCGTCTGGAGCCCTGCTTTGGGGGCAAAAGAAGGCCGCTGATAGCAGGTGCCGTTCTTCACGGTCCATAGCCATGGCGCGGTAGTATCACGAGTAGTTGAGAAGTGGGGATTGAAGGTCACGAATACATTGTATTCTTTCAGGGAAGTTAGTTCAGCTCGGTGTCGTAGCTGCGGCTGATATAAGCCTCGAGGTTGTGGCCGTGGCCGTGTGAGCAAGCATCCCCGGACGACAGTGAATACCGAGCTCCAGTGAATACCATCGTGAGGCCTAGCTAAACAGGCCGGATTATTCCGGGGTCAGATCTGTATATTCGGATTATTCACAGCAATAAGTGAATAATATATGGAGTCTTTACGGAGATAAGGTACACTGTAGTATATCCCTTGATGGTGTAATACACGCAATGCCAAGGGCTATCGTAGGGTTTTTTTATGGTAGTACCTCCGTAGACTAAGCCGTTACTTAACCTTCTCCGACAGGGGCTACAGTTGGCGTTAACAGGTAGTGGGGAAAGCTAGTAGTAAACCGAGATCGACAAGACCAGGGACCGAGATTAAATAACATGGCATTTTTCACATTAGAGAAGTCATACTACTATTAAATCATTAATCCTATTAAGAAGACAGGTAACGTACACATATTGTTTCACGTGGCAATTACCAGAGTTGCAACTAGGTCTATACTCTCTATATCAAAGAGTTAGGCCTTCACTTAATAATTAAAAACATTTCTAGAGATTTCCTTAGCTATTAGACCTCTGAATCAGATATAAATAATAATAATAATAATAACCCATCTACCTACAGTAAGTTAATATAGCAAGAAAGGTATATCTCTATCTTAGTCTCAAGCTGTTTCGCCAGAATACGGAGGTATTCTCTACCTATGCCTTAGTAATACGCTGCACCTGCAGTCTGCAGCTTATTTCCCGGCCCTGTACCCCACCCCACTGGTACTGTAACATCAGCCGGCCCCGCTGTCTGGGTCACTGCAGTACCCAAGTAATGCAAAACCCACTAGAGCTTATTACTTCTTTGGGCCTTCTCATGCTGTGCAGTATCACCGTCGCATTTCAGCGGATACCTCTGTAAGCATACCTAAATTACAAGGCCAAGTGCCTAGAAACTTTTACAGTACTGTAGTGACCTCCCTTGTAGATAGGGATAGGGGCGTTTTTGTGCAGTGGGACCACTATTCATAATCCCTCACGTAAAACCTCGGGTCGGTAGTTCGTGTTTCCCGCAATCGCGTACAGTATGGAGTTCTTGTAGGTATAAAAGTGGAGATTGTCCGCTTTACTACAGTAGATTTGTAGACGGCAAGTTTGTACCTGGAAATTTACTACAGTACTCCGTAGATAAGTATCATGCAGCGATACCCAGGTAATACAGTAGCTTCAAGTGTCCCTCGAGGAACGTGGCGGGTGGGGGAGACTGCATATGCCAACCAGCCATAATATCTAGGTAGGTAAGGTACAAGTAGATCAACCATAACTCCCAACCTTTCTTCGTCTATCCCCACCTCCCTCACTATCGGTGAAGTCTCCCGCACCATGACGACATCCCCGGTATTGACAGACATATCAGCATTTCTGAACCGGCCAAAGATTGAGATTGCTGGTTTCTGTGCGGCAGCTTATGCATTGGTAAGAAGAAGATCGTGAAGCTGAATGTTAGAGAATCAGAAGCGCTTACTATATGTCTGTAAAACCAGTACTATGCCACCACAGCCATCTACCTCGTCTTCTTCCACCCGCTCTCCAAATTCCCCGGCCCAAAAACATGGGCCGCATCACGCATTCCATGGGCGCGCCATGTCGTGAAAGGCGATCTATGGGAGGTCTTGAGCAAACTACATGAGCAATATGGCCCAGTGGTGCGCATCGGGCCGGATGAGATAACGACCATTTCGCCCACGGCATGGAAAGACATCTATGTTTCGAATCCCGTTCTCCCCAAAGACCCAAACAGTCAGACGCCGCCCCTCAACGGCGCACACTCGCTCTTCACAGCGGCCGGGGACACGCACAAGCGGATCCGGAATACGCTGGTCAACGGCTTCTCCGACAAAGCGCTACGAGAGCAAGCTCCTATCATCGAGGACTATGCCGTGCAACTGGTATCGCGGCTCCAGCGCGAGGCGGCAAAGAGTACTGATGGCGCGGTCGATATACAGAAGTTCTATGGCTACGCGACTTTTGACATGGTGACAGATTTGAGCCTGGGCGAGAGTTTCCACGGGCTCGAGGGCGATAATGAACATTCGTGGATTCTGGGCTTCTTCTTCCACGCCAAGTTCGGCACTATCCGCAATTGTCTCAGCCGCTTCTCACCGTTGGATATCCTGCTCGGTCTCATCCTGCTTAGCGTTACGCGCAAGAACCGCCTGAAGAACTGGGCGACTGTGACGGAGAAGATTGACCGACGACTCGCCAAGGGCGACACATCCGGTGTGCGTTCTGACTTCCTGACGCCGGTTATCGGGAAGCTTGACGAGGGGGGCGTGAAAGGCATTACGAGAAAGGAATTAACAACCAACGGGCTCGCATTTGTCATTGCAGATTGCCAGCTGACTACGGTAGCGTTGTCCGCGAGCACATATCTGCTTCTTCGCGACCCAGCGAAGATGAAGCAGCTGGTAGAGGAACTACGGGGGGCGTTTCAGAGCGATGACCAGATTACAGTGCAGTCGACACAAGGACTCGTCTACCTCGAAGCAGTCATCAACGAGAGTCTGCGTCTCCACCATCCCACACCCATCAGCCTCCCACGATTACTACCTCCAGCAGGCCGAGTAATCGACGGTGACTTTATCCCCGGAAATGTAAGCACTCCCTACTCAACCCCTTATTCACAACCCCGACTTAACTCCCCATAGTCCGTAGTAGGTATCAACCTGCAAAACATCCAAAACAGCCCCTCCCTCTGGCACGAACCGCGCGTCTTCCACCCCGAGCGCTTCCTCGCCGCCTCGGACCCGCGCTACAACGCCGTCTTCGAAAAAGACGTCAAAGCCGCCTTCGTGCCCTTCTCCACCGGCCCGAGGAACTGTCTGGGGTGGAAGGTGTTCATGGCGCAGGCGAGGGTTATCCTGGCCAAGGTGCTGTGGAATTTCGAGGTGGAGATGGTGGGCGCGCAGGAGGATTGGTTGGAGCAGAAGGCGTATTTGGTGTTTGAGCCGAAGCCGTTGCCGGTTCGACTTGAGAAGTACCGTGGGGGGAAGTGAGAAGAGTTTTTTTCTTCTTCGATTTTGGTTTATCTTGGAGCGAGCTGTAGTTGGAAAATGAATTGTTAGGACCAGATAGACAGACAGTGAAACTTATAAAGGGGGATGTGAAAGAATGAATGTAAGCGAGAAATGCCACATTAAAAGGGACACCATCTACCTTAAGGTACCTTATCTTCCATAAGTCATAAACTCACAAGACAAATAAACAATATCAAAAACATCTATTAAAATCCCATCTAATCTATTCTATTCAACGTGTAAAATTACCAGAATTTCTCCCAACAGCAACAGCATTATAGTACGAAAACAGCGAATGCGGGTCATAATGCGCCTTCAGCGTCTTCAGCAGACTAAGTTTCCCCTGCGTATACCACGCGGCCTCGCACTCATCTCCATTCGCGAAATGGACATATGTCTGCAGCTCTGTCTTTCCGCTGCCCTTGTGCAGTAGATCGCGTACCGAGGCGCCGAATTTCGTCAGTGCTGGGACGGGGGAGGTGCTGAAGGCGAAGCCGTCTATTTGTCTATGGGGGGTACGTGTTAGTGGGAAATATCTGGGTTGGTAGGTAGATGGGTTTATAGGGAACAGATGGATGGGAGAGGAGGGGGAATAGGCTTACGCGAAGATAACAGCATCCCGATAGGGGAACGCAGATGAGGAATCAGCGTGCAGCTGAAACCCACTCGGCGCGTACTGCGCCAGAGCCACAACCGCAGTCTGCACATCTGGAGTAGCGGCCATAGTAACGTTCATGAAATTCACAACGGCGACCATGCTAGGGACGTCGATCTGGTAGAGGTTGACGGCATACGGAACGTATTCGACGCCCGTGCCCGCGCAGCCTTGGTTCGTGGCGCCGTAGAGCGCGGATGAGGCGACGTCTTTCCAGGGGACGGAGGAGATGTTTAGGAGGGTGGGTTGAAGGTCTAGGAAGGGTTGGATGAGGGCTGTGAGGGCTTTGAGAGGGCCGGCGTAGATGAAGTTGCCTACTATAGCCATCTGTGGTGTGGGAATGGCTGATTAGCTATTATGCTCTCTTCATCCCATTGCGAACTGGCTACATACCTCTCCTAGAGTCGCATCATAGCCGATGGAAAAAGTGATGGCGAGCTCTTTCGGATGCTTTCCCACGAACGACCGTGCAAGTTCCCATACAGAGCCGTTCTGACTCCCCGCAAACGTCATGTCGGCATTTATAGCCTGGCCGCCATTCGTGGCGTTGTAAACATTGTACGTGATAGCAGTAACAACACCATAATTGAAGCCCGCACCTTTCATGCCCCAGAAAAGATCAGGATGTTGAGATTGCGATACCGTAAGGATCTCTCCCGTACCCGTCACCATCTCAATTTCAGCCACCGAGTCTGATGCCGTGCCATAGAGTCCAGAATATGGACCGATACCGCCCCCGAGGGTAAAACCCGTCATCCCAATACATGTGCATTGGCCCACCGCTGAAGGATTCTGGTCAGCACTTTATCTGACTTGTTAGACGCGGCGAGGTCTGTAGATGATCATACGCATTTCTTTGCCAGCTTTTTGCAATGCTGCAATGACACTTGTACCGCGTACCGCACCGCCGATTTTCATGGTATTGGCTCTTGAGTCTATTTCAATGGTGCTGAATTTCCCCATGTCCAGATCCAAGCCATTCTGCAGCGCGCTGAGCGTGTTTGTGTACCCATGCCCACCACCCGTTGCCAGGAACGGCACATTATTCTTCGAAGCATAATTTACCTTCAATAGCGCATTGCATTAGCAAAAATGTGTCTCTCCAAAGTCCCAGCCAGTGGACCAGCAGTCGGGAAAGAGTAAAATTTACACCAGAGCCCACTTACGACTTTCTGTACATCTACTATAGAACCAGGCTTAACCGCCACCACATAAGTAGGCGGAGCGGTGATTTCCCAGCGAGAAGTCGTCTGGTTCGCATATGCAGGATCGGACGGGAGGAAGACGTGAGATCCTGCAGACAAGCGCGCCGTCAAATCCTGAGCGATTTTGGATCCTGAGAGGGCCAATACCGGTACATTTGCACACAAAACCGAGAAGGCGACCAGAAAAGCTGTGAGGCTTGCCATTGTGTTTCAAACGAATGTGAGAGAGGGATAAGAAAACTGGGACAACAGAGAGAAGGATTCAATCTCGCGATAGCATGTTCTATGCTGTTTGCGCGCGCGATGGCAATGAGATGGAATTCAAGAAATACAGGTACTGGTATGCTATCACCAGGGACCAGGCTGAGCTGCTACCAGGTACCGGTTCGGCCCAGATCAGCCCCGCGCCTCATCTCCCATCTCACATCTCTCACTGTTTTCTCGCCACAATAATACAGTAATACGGAATGACACGGCTTGTAATCGTTGATTATCCCCCTTGGATTAAATGGAAGCGAAGCCCGCTTGTGAACTGGGGACTGGGAACGTGCCAGAGCTCTCCTAGTAGTACTGTACCTAGTGCAGTATTTGAAAGCTACGGAAAAAAAGTAAGATGAAGAGAGGAGGGGAAGTGGGGTGGCTGGCATGCTGATTTCCTGCGAACGGTGAAGCTGCCAAGTACAGTACCGGACTCTCTTACGGAGTCTGTAAGACTGTATCTGAGTTTGCGTATGCGTACTCTACCTCACCTAAGTAAATTCAACCGAGTATTCAAAAGGCGTAGAAGTGACCTCCAGAGTCTATCGCCGGGGTTTATGATAGGTCCCCGCCCGAAACAAAGCTCAGCTCGCCGTACGAGGTATCTGTCGTGCTTCGGACGCTGACGTTACAAGTGCAGCTAGCTGTACTTTACAAGTAGCTATTAAAGCAGCACTGTGACCCCTCCCGGCAGCCATGAAAGGCAAGGGCCGCTCCCTGTCTAGTAGGACGCTACTTATGCGGCAAGCATTACTAGGTGCAGTAGCTTTAAGGTTAAAGCAACATCGGTAAGAAACGCTAAGGACGTGCGTCACCCAATCTTCTTTATTTAACAGAAATCCTGATCCAGTATAATGGACGGTGTATATATGTGGAGAAGTCTCCAATACTGAAACACACCTCGGCTTACTGTACTTGTACCGAGAGTCTGGGCCCCAGTGCTACCACTCTAGTATTATGCTGGGCGGGGGGAAATGTTCGTCCTCACTCCCAAATACTTCGTACTCGTAACACTCCTTTGGCATCAGGTACCCTAGCCTAAGGTAGGCCCGTAAGCGTATAACGTGGCACGTTCACGTTACTAAATCACGGTACCGAGTATCCTACTACTCAAAGGAGATTTGCTTTACGGAGTACGCATCACGTTCCTACGCCACACCTGGTAGATAGCATCGCTGAAAGTGACCATGTCAATTCCAAAGATCGATGTCCATCATCACATCCTGCCGCCGGCTTTCAAGAAGGGTGAGTGGATTAGTCAGAGAGGCTGAATCTGCTGTTCTGACGTATTCACAGCATGGGACGAAAATCCAGCTGAAAGCCAAGGCATGAGGCTTCCTCCATGGAGCCCGGAGCAGAGCCTGGCCTTCATGGAAAAGTATAACATCAAGTCCTCAATCTTGTCGCTGGGCGCTCCCGCCACCAGCATGGGCAGCGACAGTGCCGCGCGCGCAGCCTTCTGCCGGGAAATGAACGAGTATTCTTCTGGGCTATGTAAGCAGTACCCGAAGAAGTTCGGGTTCTTCGCGACGGTGCCGTCCTTGCACGACACGCAAGAGTGCATCGGAGAAATCAGGTATGCACTGGAAGAGCTGAAGGCAGACGGCGTCAACATGCTCACCAGCTACGGCGGTAAGTATCTGGGACATCCGGATTTCACTCCTGTGTGGGACGAACTTGACAAGCACGCTGCTGTATGCTTCCTCCATCCGGGCTTGGAAACTGCTGGGGCTCCCATCATGGAGCCAGGGCCGTTGCCGAAGCCTATCTTTGACTGGACCCATGAGACGACGAGGACAGCTGCGCATCTCATCACGACGGATACGCTGAAGAAGCATCCGGCGTGCCGAGTGATTTTACCGCATGGGGGAGGAACGTTTCCGTATATCGTCAATCGGATCGCGCATCTGAGTGAGGGGTTCAATCTCATGAATAAGACGGCTGAGGAGTTCATTGAGGAGGCAAAGGGGTTTTATTATGATCTTGCTTTTGCTGGATATGAAGAGCCGCTGGGACTGCTGCTTGACTTTGCGAAGCCAGGACATGTTTTGTATGGAACGGATTATCCATTTGGGAGGGATAATATGGTGGCTACTCAGGTTGAGCAGATTGAGAAGGTGTTGAAAAATCGAAGTGATGCTGCACTGATATCTCAGGATGCGGCTTTACAGCTTTGGCCAAGATTTGCAGACTGAATCAAGGTGTGGTCAAGATAGAGAAACATGGATTATGACTTGCATGCTCAGATTTGAAATTGAGAGTAGGCAAGAATTATTAAATTCAAGAATCTAATTCGTAAATCAAGGGGGCCGATGCTTAATTGGGAGTTTAGATGAGATAAGGTTAAAACCTATATCAAACATTAATCCTTCAAGCTGTCTAGAAGTATTGTTTGGTATATAACGGTGCCGTTGGTTCAGCCCATAAAATAATAGCCCAAAAATAATATTGCTTCATCCTATCATACTAGACTAATTTCCAAATTACCCCACTATATCTTCAGGTGGGACTTGAAGCTGTTCAAATAAAGGACTTGGCAAGACGTCACACAATGCATATCTTTTTATGCTTCTCACTTCTAGCTTAGCCACAAATACTACAATCTGAAACTCATCTTGACTATTCCATTATCAAAATTTAAATAGATTGACGTTAATGACCGTTATAGCTCAATGATGTATTAATCTAAAATTTCAGACTGCAGCATATAGTCACGAAAATCCTGCTATTATTAGATATAGTACGTATTTCCACGGCATGGCGTCCCGCCTCTATTTTCGGATCCTCCCCTCGTGGATTGGTCGCGCACGGGACATGGTTGTGCATTCACTTACGGAGTACTTGCAAAGTAGAACAAATATAAGAAACATCCAGACCTTGAAAAAAGTACCATGCTATCGTGCTCTGGTTCCATTGCGTCGTGCTTCCTGCATCCCTCTGCTTACTTCCGGACACGATCATCGTAACCATGCATCTCCCCACGCTCCTCGCCTGGTGCATGCTCGCCATGTCCACTACCCAGACAGCAGCATCTCCTGCTAAAGGTCGTCAAGCATCAGGATCTGGATCTAGCTCCGTCACCCAGATCTACGAATTCCCCAACGACACGCCTGTCGAGAATATCCACGTATGCGACAATGGGAAGCTCCTCCTCACTTCCACCGGCACCAACACAGTCTTCAGCCTCGACCCCTCTGCCCCATCCCCCTCGCCCAATGTGCTCGCCACGCTCAACGGCACCACAGGCCTCACGGGCATAGTAGCCATAGCACCCGATACCTACGCCGTCAGCGGCGGCGCGCACTCGTCCTACAGCTTCGCCAACAACAGCATGTCCGTGTCCGTCATCTTCGCCCCGGGAGCCTGCAACGTCGGCACAGTGCTCTACAGCATCCCCGTGCCCAACACGCAGATGCTCAACGGCATGGTCGCGCTCCCGGGAACGCCGCACGTCGTGCTGTCTTCTGACTCGATCGGGGCGCGGATATTCCGCATCGACACGCTGACGCGCACAGTAGATGTCGCGTTCGCGGACCCTTTGCTCGGACCGGGCGCCATCGTGACACTTGGTGCGAACGGGCTGAAGATCCGAGATGGCTATTTGTACTTTGCGAATTCTGGACAGGGGTTTTTCGCGAGGGTCGCGATTGATGGGCAGGGGAATAAGGTGGGGGATATCGAGACGCTTGCCTCGCTGGAGGATGTTGGATTTAGCAATGCGTATGATGACTTTGCGTTTGATGGGAGCGGGAATGCGTATGTGGCGTTGCACTCCTTTTCGGTGGTCAAGATCACGCCGGAGGGGGAGCAGACGGTGTTTGCGGGGGGTGGGAATAGCACGTTTTTCAAGGAGCCTACTTCTGTTGCGTTGGCGGGGGATGGGAAGGCGATTTTCGTGACGACGGGGGGTGCTACGGTGGATGGGACCGTGTATGGGGGTCAGGTGATTAAAGTTGATCTCTGAGAATAGCTGCGAGGTGTTACGATTTTGAATCTTGTGTTCAAGAGTCGATAATTCAGGCTACTCGAGTATATCAAATGACACGAGGTTTTCCCAAAATTGAGATCTCAAGTATGAGTGAGTATGTGCAATTACGGAGTATATTCAACTATAACTAACTTCTGATGTGAAAAGTCTAGACCTTGGCTGCCGCACTTACACTTACCTACCTAGGTATATACTTCAAATCAGGTATTTCTTCATACACCAGCTTAATACGACTAGTATTCAATAAACACGTCTAAACTTTTACTAGCAGCTCAAGTACCACCTTCCAAAGTCATAAAAAAGTACTGGTGGTAGGCTTCTTAGTAGAAGGTACAAAGCTCTCTAGTACACTTTAGCACGTTCCTTACAAGGACCCCCTAGCACAACTAGAATTTCCCTTCCCCACAAGACACGACCAACGAATTTCCAATTGGCCTGCCCGGTTCTTTCGAAACCACCATTAGCTAATGCATCCCTTATCTGAAAGAAGATTGTACCTCCGTAACTACTGTATACTGTACAACCTGACCTGGCTGCATACACTAGAACTATGGATCGGGAATTCGATGGCTTTTCCGTGCGGTGGCCTTTTCCGGCCAAGTGGTTTTCTATGCCATACAGTACGGTAACGTTGTACAGTATGGTAAGCATAAGCACAGGCACATCACATGACATGACATACAGTCAGAACCAGAACCAGAACCAGAACAAGAATAAGAATATACGCCGCAGACGCACAGAAGTTAATGAGATTACATACCGAGTAATCAGTCGATAAGGTTACGGCACTTACAGTACAGTACGAAGTACCTACAGTACTTCCTTCGTAACTGTACAACCCCGTCACACCGCACCGCACGAAGCTTACCCTCACCTATGGAGAACTGTACAGCACCTACAGTAGGGTACGGAGGTACTTTGCAGATGCCGATATCTTCTCATCCTGCGCTGATCTTCCAGCCATCGGACATCCAGCCCCCATTCAGCCCCCATCTCACCAGGTATGACCACTAAAAGTCGACTAGGTATATCGTCGCACAGATCCCACAGATCACAGACCAGACCAGCCCAGCGTACAATCCCGACAAAACGCATACCCCTCTCTCATCCCATCCTCCTGCTGTATCATTATGCGCTTTCCCAGAAATTCCAAGCAACCGTCTTTTCTGTCCAAATCCCGTTTCCATTCTGCATCTCATCGTACTCCATAAACCTTTACGCATCGCATCCCGAGTAACTGGTACTGGTACTGGCACGGTCCTTTCCAAGCCGTCCCAAGCCACTGCCACTCCCACTCCCACTCCCGCCCGAGACCATGGACCAATTGCCGCCCAATTATGACTCGCAGTCGGGCGGCATCGTGGCTGTTGCCGTCGTGATGATGGTGGTGTCCACGATAGCCGTGATGTTGCGCTTCTGGTCGAGAGCAATCGCAGCGTCAATGAGGTTCTGGTGGGATGATTGGGCTATGCTTGCAACTCTTGTAAAGCTCTCCAAATCCCCTTTATATGTTACTTGCGTACATACTGACATATACTTCAACAACTTCAGATCTCATCCTACATCTTCCTCGCCCTGAACATCTACTGGACAACCATCGGCCTGGGCAAACACTCCTGGATGATCCCCCTCTCGGAAATCGCCCCCAACGCGCGCATCAACCTCATCGCGCTCGTCTTCTACGCCACGACCATCTACCTCATCAAGCTCAGCGCGCTGCTCCTCTACACGCGCATCTTCAACACCAACCGCACCTTCATCACCTCGCTCTGGGCCACCGGCTTCATCATCACCGCATGGTGGGTCGTGACCGCCATCGTGCCCTGGTCCTTCTGTCGCCCGTACCGCAAGATCATCGAGCCCATGCTCGACGGCGTATGCCATAATTCCGAACCCTGGTTCACGGCCTCGGCGTTCATAAACGCCTTTCTCGACTTGGTCGTGCTGGTCTTGCCCCTGCCGGTTATATGGCGCCTGCAGATGACGTTGAGACGCAAGCTCGTCGTTACGTGTTTGTTCTTTGTGGGTTACTGCTCGGCGTTTTTGAGCTTTGCGAGGTTTATTATTATTGAGGTTGATCCTGAGAGGTTGAGTGCTAGTCCGACGGCTGATCCTTCTTGTATGTTCCCTCCTGCTTTGCCTTTCCAGAAAGTGTTTTCCTCTCGCCCACTCCTTTTTGGGGGGGAGGGGAAGAAAGGGGGTTTTGGAAACAACCAAACTAACAATCCTAACCAGGGAATCTTGTCCCCCTCCTCTACCTCTCCATGCTTGAAGCGCCCGTCGCCATAATCGCCCTCTGCGGCCCAGCCATAAACCAACTCGTAGCACGTGGCATCAAATACCGCAGTCTAAGCTCCCTCTTCACCTCGCGCAATCTCTCAGACCCCAGCCGTCCGCGTACAGGTACAGGAAAAAGCAGCGGTATTTCAGGTTCTACTTCTACTTCCGGTGGTGCTGGGTTTAGTAAGACTGGCACTGCGACAACGACGACGACGACGGGTAGTACGGAGCTGTTCCGCCATGATGGGGGGTTTGACCATGGTGATGCGGATGAGGAGATGGAGCGGGAGCAGGATATCCCGATGGGGAGGATTGGCGTGCAGAGGGATATTGAGGTTGCGAGGTATAAGGCGGACTATCAGGTTTCGCCGGTATGATTAGAGGGATGGATGGTTATGAAGGTTATGATATGAATTAATATATTGGATGGGACGGACGGGGGTGTTGGGGCGTACATTTTGGGTTGATGGGGGTTTATGATTTATGTTATGGTTATATCTATCTAGCGCTTAAATATCCATGTCCACTCAGGCAAGGAGAAAATATAAAAGAAGTTATCAGTCTCAGATAAGTGGAGCACTCACTTTCCCAGGTGAAGTTGTGAATGAAGCATAGGAATTCAAGCTACTGAACTCTAATTGCAAGCAAGTGTCTGACACAGAATAACACGCAACAAAACTACCTGAATCCTTTAAACCATTTCCGAACTCCCATTTGTTACACTTCCGTCATAGCAGACCCATTCACACCCCCTTACTCCCCAGTCTTTCCGCTACCTGCCAGAGCCTTACCCCCAATCCTGACCAGATCCTCATTAAGCAGCGTCTCCTTCTCAATCCCATTAACAGCCTACACGCAGTGTCACAATAATTAGCATTCATTCATTCATTGCCTGAACATTGAAGCCAGTCTGGAGGTAATAACAAATCATCCCACTCTCTCACTCTCACTTCCACTTCTCGAAAGTAAGTTACAACATACCTGATGCAAAAGCGTCGCCGCAATCTCACTCCTCTGCACCTTGGGCAACCCAATAATAGTCCGTCCAATCATCTGCACAACACTCATCAACGGCCCCGTCTTGCCAGGCGCGTCGATGAGCCCGGGTTTGGCGATGCAGGGCTGGACTTTCCCTTGGGATTTCGCGGCGAAGTCTAGGACTGCGGTTTCGCATTCGCCCTATTGATACATCCAAGTGAGTGAGTGAGTAGTCCGTATCCATTGTTGAATAAAAAGAAGTAGTTTGTTGGGATTGGGGCTGGGGTTGGAGTGAAAGGGGGGAAGAGAGCATACACGCATAAGGCAAAAGTCTCCCAAGACCCAAGGTTTCTTCGTAGCATCACGCTCGCTGTTCGCGCCGCTGGTGTACAGGAAGCGGAAGGGTGTCGATGCGACAGGGGTTATGGTCTCGAGGCCCGTGACGGTGTAGTCGAGGCAGATCTTGCGGGCTTCTGGGAAGGTCATTTTGGACATTTGGGAGGGTGTTACTGCGATGAGCCTGTGATGTATTAGTTAGCTAACCAATACATAAACAGAAACAAACAAACAAAGCGATCGATAAATACGGTGAATGAATGAATAAATGGATCAGGAAGAAAGAGCTCTCTGCACGTGATATTCTACGTACAACAATGAAGAGAAGGGAAGGCAGAAGATGGGGCCCAGGGTGAGAGGAGGACATACCAGATACAAGCATCAGCACCAGCAAGTTCCTGCTTCACGCTCTCAGGGTATTTCTCAAAGTTGTCGCAGACGACGCTCTTCAGCTTCGAGACATCAGCGCCGGGCCCTGCATTTTGCGGGACGGCTGTTGGGCGGCGGGCGAGCGCTTTGATGGATGTGATGGCCGGGTTGGAGAGGGCTTGTCTGATGACTTCAGTAGCGACGAAGCCGGTGGATCCGGCGACGATAAGCTTCATTCTTACTTTTGTGTTATATTATCTCTTTGTTTCTTGGTGGGGAATTGTGGTGGTGGTTGTTGTTGTTAGTGTTGTTTAGGGGAGGTTGGAAGTGACGGCCGATCCGATATGACTGCCGAGATGAGATGGGTTATATGTAAGTCGTCAGCTGACTTTACTTTTGTTACACATTATACTTTTTTGCTATGTTAGATCAATAGAAGATACTTTTCCTGCATACTTTATGCCAATCTTTTACATAGACTTTCTGAATTGGGGTCTCTTTTCGAAACCGAGTCCGAAGTTCATGGAGTTCGGACACAGAGTAAAATTAAAACCCGAAGGCTTAAATATATTTCTAAATAGATATATAGTAGCTTTAACTCCATTTTATACTAGTGGTTCTTACTTTTTAGTAAACTTCAAGTAAGATAAAGAAGGGTTGATACTAGACAAGCTAAGAAGAAGAAAATTCGTAGATTTAGGAGGCTTTTCTTCTATTGCCGCTTCTCAGCTCATAAGCTATATAGAGATGAGTATAATGATCTTACAGCTGAAAAACCTATATACATTAATTCTTAACTGAATTTGGTTACATTTTTGCCTGATAATAAGGTTGTGGGCTATAATCTAGTAGTACTATGAGCATTTTAACTCATGTAAACATAATACTAGTTACAAGCCTTAGTTCAACGCACTGAAACAGCAGGTTTAGGGGGGTTGGAGATTGAAAGGAAGGAAGGGTAGGGGTATGTAAGACCTTCGCTGCTCTCTCTCTAGCTACCATCACTTTTGCATCCCACAACCCAATCACTTTTGATACACCAAGATTCTCACAAGTACATAGACAGTTTAGTACCTTTTGAGAGGAGCTAGTCTTTAGTTCTAGCCTCCTTTCCTAGATTGAGACAAAGGTTAACCTTATAATCTAACCCTCCTCACGGGAATGGATTATATTCTCCTAATCCCAGACACGCTCCATCCACATCGACACCATCGACATGCTGCGATACTTTCCCGTCAGCGCCGAAGCGGATGAGATCACCACCATGCGGATCACTAGCAACCAGCGGCTCCCAGCCCATCGTCTTCTGCGGGCCATTGAACGGATCCTTGACGAACGCGAGAATATGGTCCTGCATGGACTGACTGACCTCAACTTCGAAGCTGGTGGTATTTGCTATGCCATCCAGAAGCCCATACGTCCCAAAGACCATCGGCAGGTCGCTAGCATGGTACGCGCCGAGCCACTTGAAGTAATTCAAATTGGGGAACGTGCCCGCATGCTGGAACCGGAAGACGGGCACCCCCTCGCCCATCCGGTTCCGGTATACGGTAGCATTTAATGTTGGACATACCCCCAACGCAATGTCTCTGGCAGTGACTGCTGGCTGGTACGGGCCCGCAGTGAGGTTATTCACTGGATACGGGACCAGCGATGAAAACTCATTGGCCGCAGTCGAGATAATGAATGGCACACGTGCGATCTGGCCTGCCTCGGACCGCCCCTTGTAGTCATGGAAGACGATGCGATCATCCGCAATCACGCCAAAGGACAGCGCGGGCGTTGAACCCTGATCTCCGTACTGTCCAATAAAGTTCACAATCTGCGCGAATGGTACCCTACGCATGCAGTCCAGCTCCGCCGTGCCGTCTTCGTCGCCGCCGCATGGGGCCTCGCACCCAACATGGCGCGCTACGAAGCTGAAGTTAGAATGCATCAGATCCTCAGATGGTGAGCTAATCAAGGCCGACCCCGATTGCAGGAAGTAGGCTTGGGCGATAGGATCCTGGTAGAAAGCATAGGCATGGAAATCCGCGGCAATGGACCCAGCAGACTGCCCCCAATGAGTGATGCGGTTCGGGTCACCGCCAAAGGCGGCAATGTTGTCGCGGACCCATTCAAGTGCCACCCGCTGGTCGAGGATGCCGATGTTCTGGTCGCCGTCCGCCAACCCGCGTGCGTTGGGGAAGCCGAATATGCTAAGGCGGTAGTTGATAGTCACGACTATGTGAGACTGCGAACGCTCGACCCACGACGTTGGCAACTGCCACGGAATATCAACACCTCCAATCTCGAAGCCACCCCCTGTCATGAAGAAGAGGACGGGGAGCGTGGCATTAGGCGCGGCCGTTGGCGTCCATATGGCCAGGTACAAGCAGTCCTCGGACGTGGCCTCGCCCACCAGCCCTGACGAGTCGTTCTGATGGCCATTATAGATTAGGTTGCCCTTGGTCAGGTTCTGATTCCACAGCGAAGTAACCGCCGTCACGAACTGCGGGCACGATGGCGGGAACCGCGTTGCATAGTGATACTCGCTCGGAGGCGACGAGAGTTTCTGCGGCGGGAGCCAGCGGCGCGATAGCACGGGGGGCTTCGCAAACGGAATGGCGCGGAATTGGCGTGTCTTTGGAAACTTGGGATCGATGAGCCCCGTGTATGTGCCCGTGGAGGTTTGGACGGTGAGATGGTCTGAGCCCGAGCAATTGGCTTCCCGGGCGAGGACAGAATCAGTCGCCAGCGCAAGGAGGGATAGGATCGCGAACTTCATGTCAGGCAACCTACCAGTGTTAAAGCATAACTGACACTCCTAGGCATACAGAGCTGATGTTCTACACTTTATATGCCAGCTGGAGTATTTAGAGGTCTGCATAAGTCATTTCCGCCCTGGTACGGACGGTACGTTCCTTCCTAATCACTCAATCAGAGTCCTTCGTTCGTAACGAAAAATCGGAAAAGTCCGACGTCAATCTACTTTGATCCTATGTGGTAGGGAGCACCAGCTTTCCCGGTCCAATAGAGAAGCGGTATTGCCATCGTACATTCTTATCAAGGTGATTCCGAGTATAAGTACAGCATTTGCGATTCAGCCCCATTGGTTTCGCTCGGGGTGTCGAAGTTTTAATATTGCGACTGATGTCGCTGATGCGCATAGACCACCACCCTACTAAGAGGTCTATGCTTACATAAAACTGTCGCATCATAATAAATACTAGACCTATAAAGCCGTTCCTGGTAGAATTTAGAGCGCTAGTATAGCTTTAATATATCAAATGTTTTAGAGACAGATTTAGCTTAAGGTCCATTGTTCTTTCCTGCTATTGAATTTTCAAACAATACTTCTTTAGTTTTCTAAGCGAGGAAGCTACAACCCCTTTTCCTTCCTTCCCTCTTCTTTCTCAGACCCAATAACTCTTTTCGGCAAGTCTTTCCATACACTCAAGGATTGAATCCAAGTAGGGATGATTATGAGAAGTCGAAGGCGTGTTTCGACAAAGTGATAGAAGCTCTTCAGCGCCAGAATATCGCACACCCAGCTCGTCAAAGCCGCTACCAATAAATGGTTGATAAAAAAACAATCCATAAGCCAAAGCGACGCGGACCGGCGGACCTGATTATCAATATCGTGAATTTGCTCGCCAGATATCAAACATAACCCCACTCTTCCGAAAAGAGCTCGGCGAAGAAGTTTTCCGCTGTATTGAATTACGCACGTCGACACCTCGTCACGGATTAGGACATCTTTTGTCTTTTCTAGCAGACATACCTGCAATACACTCTAGCATCAAATCCCCATTCTTTTCTATGAGTCTTATTGAGATGCCTTTCGTTAAAGAAGAGGCTGTAATTTTTGAAGAGTGGTGCAAACTCGTGTCGAGACATCTGGAGCTTGAGGTTTGCGAGGTTAAACTCGACTTCTATGCAGACGATACAGAGGAAGTTCTTCAAGGCAAAGCACAATATACCCCTCTCCTCGCCATAAGAGAATTCCGCATCACTGAAAGCTTTGAGATCGAGGTCAAATTTGTTGAGTGCGGTTACACTTCCAAAGACGGCCTCGAAGATAATGTTGGAGACAACAATGACCCGGATCCTGACCCGGACGATGATTCATCCCCGAACTATAACTCGGACGGACAACTTTGGTTCATACAGAATGAAAATGCCGTGCGAGACCTGCTGCTACCTAATGCATACGACCTAGCTACTCCGAGCCAGAGCCAGCATCTGAAGAACAGAAGTATTTGAGCTCTCGACTTCAGAAGCTCAACCTCAAGTAACAGAATGACCCACAGCGATAAAAGATTATGTTTTTCTTTATATGATTAACGGGCTAGCTAAATGCATTAATGTTTCTAACTTTGATCATAACAATGAGAATCGTGAACTAAGTATATATATGGAAACACTTTTTAATCAAGCTCGGCCTAGAAGCCTAATATTGCAAACAAAAGACATTGTATATCGAGTATGCTGCCGCCGAAAAGAATCTGCTAGGAGGTACCTATGCTAAAAGTACGGCAGAGATTTGTGTATAGTAGACGTATAATCTTGGGATTGTTGAGAATCTTGTTTGAGGAGTTGCGACGTGTCGCAAATCTCTCGATCCAAGGGGTCCCTTTTTCCCTTCTTCGTTTTAACAATTGAAAACAAGAAACACCGCAAAACACGCAGTAGTATTACCAGAACCAGAAATTTTAACAAGCAAACCTAACCATAAACCCACCAACCATTTATCCATCTATCCCAGACTCGATTAAAACCTCATACTTCTTCTCCCCCAAAACCCACCTTCTCACCAAGCCCACAGCAATACACCGTCGTACTACATTTCCGCACTCGATCAGAAAACGAGCGCAGAAACCAATGCAGCCCTGTACTTGCAGCCATCGCTGCGCACACGGCCCACGGAATAAGACCCAGCATGATAATATCGCTATTAACATCTAGCGCTAGTCCGGAAAACGTCGCTGCCGTGATGGCGAGGATGAAGAGCGGGGCCTGGTACCTGTCGTGGTCCTGTCTGCGGTATGCGAAGGAGGAGATGGCGCAGCCGAGAGCGAGACATGCTACTAGCATTACGGGGGGAGTTGGGTCCAGGATGAACGTGATGTGGCCTGGATCGAATGCTAGGAGTGGGTTCTCAGAGGAGCTCGGAATTGGGCTGATGCGCTGCTTGCTCACATCTGTTAGTCTGAGAGAAAGAGCGAAAGGAAGAAAGCTACTTGAAATTTCAATGTAATGTGATGGAGATACGAACTCTTAACTCATTGTGCAAGGTATATGAAGTAGTTATCAACGAGCAAAAAGAGCTTATGAGTATTTCCCAATATGTCGCAAGCGTAGCGGGCGTACAGGTTCTGCGAAGAAACGCATCTGTTCGGTTAGAGGGTTCCCGTTCTTGTTCTGGTCCGACTATCCTGCTGCTGCAATATCTTGGATCGCTGGAAGATAAATACGACTGCTCAATTGTGAGGTAGATGATGCTTGCCATGGTAAATTTGACCTGGTCTTCGCCAAAACATAGATGCGTTGCGCGCTTTCGAGCTTTAATAGCAAAATCATGGGTGGCTACAACCGGAGAAGGCTGAGGCAGTAAACATACCATATTAAGAACTCAAAATCACCTTAGAATCATAAGGATATTTGCAACATAGTGCTGCCTTCATGGGCAAGACTTCGCCCAGCCAAGGCTATCAATTTCGCAGCCATCGGGCGTCGACCGCTGGTGGTTCTGACCACCCCCACTTAGAAACAATACACAAAGTGTTTTATATCCGTCCTTCACCGAGATTTCAAATCCGGTTAGCGGCGGCTGCAGCTCGTTGGCTGAATTCTGGCGTTTTGATTTGGCAAGGCAGACTCGTTGGGTGGAAAGAGGCTGCAGGCTGACCGGCAAGGCTGCCCTTGGGCAGGAATCCGCATTTGTTCACCGAAATCAAATGGATCGGATTGGCTGTAAACGCAGTTTGGCAGGAAGGCATCCAAGGCAAATCAACGAGGCTGAACGATTGAAAGCCATGATTATGATAATGATAGGGTATGTCCAGAACAGGATTGTTGCATCTTGCGAAGTTGTGGTCGTAGAAAGATAGAGATTGGCTTCAACCACAGAATCCTTGTACACCACAATGCCTGTAAATCAGATGTGTAGCGAACAAGCCCAGGGCATCGATATAATGACGGGAAATATGCACCGTTTTCTCTTCTAGGCTTCATAATCCTCATGCATCACTGCCCAACAAGCATGCCTAAATCGATTCTAAATCAGGATCTAAGGAACTATCTCCCCTGGTGGACTACACTCTGAGAGCTGTACATGGGATATGGGAGGTTAAGACAGTAACATATATAAATCGCAGATCGCGCCAAACAGAAATTACCACCTCTTGATCGCAAGGATTTACCCTGAACAAAGGAATCTCAATTGCCCTCAAGACAGAGAATATCAAACCTGATATTATTACTACACACAAGCTACCTCTTTAAACCTTCGATTTTGAAAATTCACACCATTGACTTATAGTATCCAGTCCGGTTGCTAAAATGTCTCAAGCCGTCGTTCACGGACTCCAAAGAATGTTCTATCTTGTCGGAGTCGTATTGGATGCTATTCAGCGATTCACTGACAACCATCGCAAGAGAATAGAATCCATCTCATGTGGTCTCATGATTGCATCCGCAGCGGTTATACCCTCTTTATTTACTGAATCGCTTGGTCTCCGAGGGTTATACGTAGCGTATTTACTCCTTCCACATTTTCGGTTTGTTTATGCTGATAATAGGTAGCATGCTGGCCGTCTGGGCCTTTGCGTTGATGCCATTCATATGGTTCAATATAATTGAACTACTGTAACATCCGACTATCCAGGAGTTCCGAGTCCACGAATGCTAATGAATGGTTACAGGAATTTGGCTTGGGCTTTTGCAGGACTTTCAATCGTCTCGGTTCTCGCCATTCTTTTCTCCCGGATATCGCTCGAGGAATTCAAGCCATACCTGCCACTTTTCATTGCCACCGAATTGCTACTCACAATACACATGGTTCCGAAAGTGATCAGATTCGTTGCGCCAGAGGATATAATGTTTCCCGAGGAAATCAGACTGGCACACAGCCAGTGGAGAGGATCCGACAGAGCGTCCAATAGCTCAAGCGTTTCCGGTGGAAACCTCCACCAGGCGTTAGGACATTTCCCTCCCTGGGACTTGGTGTTCTCCCACATGGACCATTCAGACGGAGAAAATCATGCCCGTAGGATTTCAAGTTCCGCCGGAAGTGTCAGCAGTATTGATCCAGAACTGGGAATTGGCCGAGAAGATGCTTCAAGTACCGCGTCCGAGGATCCCAGAGCTCAGTTGCTTTAGTACAAAGCAAGGCTTTCAAGAAGAACTTGTGCTGTTGAAAGACTTCCAGCATGTTTGTCTCCGCACTTTGCACTGCCGCAATATATTTCTATATTTTTGTCCCCTTTGGACAACCCGGCACCATGTCGCTTTCAAATGGTGTGCCAATACGTTAATCGGGTTTGACCAATCCGACATCCTTTCATGTGCCCTAGCACAAAGCCAGCCGCAGAAGAAAACAGGATTCTTGGAATATTGTATTTTATTAGACCATAAACCGTTTTATGGGGCAAGAGAATCCCCACAGTTTGTTGTTTTTTACCAGAGCTGCCCAGGCAGCCACCCAGCTATGATGGCCGTGTTCCCCTCATCGTGTTGGACCAACACCAAGGAGTACAGGAAAGCAATTACCAAACAGAAGAGGAACCACAGGACCTGCGAGATGATACCACAATGTAAACCAAATGCCATGGACCTAGGAGACTTCCATCGCTCTCCAACACTCTGAATTACGACCCCTTTGCTAGCAATTCGAGGGGTAAGGTCCACAGAACTCTCTCCACACCCAATACCAACAGAATAACAGACACAATATAAGACTCGAAAACTGGATAGGGCTACAAGGCAGATATCATTGTCAAAATCCACCCCGTTGAATCTTTGGATCAGGCCACTGCCGTCAGAAACAGATAAGGATGGTTCTCGTCTTGTCATAACTTTGAGATTTCTCATCTGAGTTCTTACTTCATATGTTGGGGTTGCAAACAGTTGAAAGAGAATGCCAACCAGCACTTACAAGGCTCTCACCGTCTCACCGTCATCCTTCCAACAGCGCCCTCACTACTCAGCACACCTAGAATGCAAACTTCTAGCCACCATATCACCGCCGTCATGCGCATCGAGACCCTTCCTGATGATACTAGTCGCCGAAGCCGTTCAGCTAGGCCGCGAACTTGGCCCCATCAACCGACGCATCGATCGGTATGTGTTGCATCTTGAAGACGAAAGCCTTTCGAGAATATCCCGGAATCAGTTTGGTTGGAAAGTCGGGAGCAGACGATGGAGGAACCTTTGTTAGAGCTTGAGATTCAAGATCCGGAAAGCGCAAACGCGGGCAGATTCCAAAGAAGGACGATGCTCAAATGTGTACCACCAACAACATCCAGAGAGAGACCGTTCACGCGGAGGAGGCCTTTTGAATTTGGCGCGATTAGGGAAAGATTATTGTATGGTATTCTGTGCTGGTGATGTTGCAAACCCAGCTGATATGGCGAGAGCAACTGTAATGTACTGTACAGGAGGGAGCCATTAAGGCTTTGGAATCCCGAGGTGAAGCAGGACCTATTTCACCCGTGGTACTGTTTTCATGAACATACCTTTTGTTTGTTAAAGGAAGATTGAAGGGGGTCTGTATTGTATTGTGCTGGACTGAGGAAGGAAGGAACAATGTTGTAGTTCTACATTACGCTAATGTAGCGCGTACTGTATGGACAACGCGAACGCGTCTCTCTCCTGGACAGGATTCTAGATAATCCCTTTAATAACGTGACGAGGAAAGGAAAAATCTAAAGATTCTGAAGTTTACTATTCTTTATATTGTAAATACTGTACTGAATACTAATTCGGTACTTAAATCGGCGTAGTTGCGTTTATTCTTGTTTTGTTTAGTTTCGTTACGAGTAAGTACTTGCTGACTGACACTCTTTGCGGGGAAATCTTTTGGACCCCTTACTTTACCACGACATCTTGATGTCTTCAACTTCCTCAGCATCCTCACAATGCGTCTGCGTCTCCCCGGCCTGCCGCATGGGAAGATAGCAATATGTGCGCTTCTCGCGCCCTCCCTGCTAATGTACATATATAAAACCCGCCTCACAATCCAAAACCACAACACCACCCCCTCCCCCCCACACCATCCTCGAATCGCTCAAATCCCTCGAACCGCCCGTCTACACAACCTCAAGCACGAACCTAACCGTCAACCTGGTCCTCGCCACCCTCCAATCCGACGACATATCCTGGACCGAAGCCCTGCACCTCCACATCCCAAACCTGCAAATAATCCGCTACATCTCCGACTCCCCCTCCTCCGAATACCACCCTCCAGTCCCTAACAAAGGCCGCGAAGCACTCATGTACCACACATACTTCAGCGCCTTCTACACGCGCCTGCCCGACATCTCCATCCTAATCCACGCCCACGAAGCGCCCTGGCACTCGGACCTGGCCCTCTTCACCAGCATGTTCTTCACGCTCTCGCACCTCTCGCTCCCCCACGTCCTCGAACGCGGCTACGCCAATCTGCGCGTGAGCTGGAAAGACGCCTGTCCGGCTTGGATCAACACGACGAAGACGCCAGAGGAGTCGTGGAAACAGGAAGAGCCATTTATGGCGCAAGCGTTCGCCGAGAATTTCGCGCCATGGGGCGTGCGGTATGTGCCGGAGATTTTGGCGGGACCATGTTGTAGCCAGTTCGCTGTCTCTAGGGATGCTGTGCTGGCGCATCCGAGGGAGCAGTATGAACATCATGCTAGGTGGCTGGTGGAGAGTGATTGGAGTGATTATATTGTGGGGCGGACGTGGGAGCATATGTTTCCGTTCTTGTTCAAGGGGGAGGGTGTGGATTGTCCGGTGGAGTGGAAGGTGCTGTGTCGCATGTATGGGGTTTGTTTTGAGGGCGCGGGGGAGTTTGATATGTGGCAGGAGTTGGGGAGGGAGAGGGAGGGGTTGTGGGGGAGTATGGGGTTTTGGGCCGAGCTGAGGGATCCGGGGAAGGTGCAGAGGATGAGAGGGAGGGTGCAGGAAATTGAGGGGGATATGGCGAAAATAATGGGGGGAGGCGTTGGAGAGGGGGAGGGAAGAGAAGGTTAGAGCGGAAGGGGTGGGAGATTTGTTTACTTGGTAAGAAGGCCATTGATACTATAAGGCTAGCTCCTGGTTGGATTTTAGGAGTGATCATGGCGTTTTATGGTGACTTGATTAGCGATTTACTTGGAAGAGATACCCAGACTTTGTATTCTGTACTTCTATATGTACAATCAATTGTACATCATAATGACCATTATCGCATATATGTATCAACACTTATACACTTATTGTACATCCTGCTAGAGGAACAGAAACTGGAGTCCAAGCACGCCGGCCCCTTTAACAGATACAAGCAAGCGTTGCATGCTACTTCTGTTCCTTCCCCTTGATACCCCATTGTCCAACAAGCTTCATTCCATTCCTCGTTCCATCACTGCCCGTGAGTAGTCTTTCATCCTCAAGAAGTGTCGACAAGCAAAGCCAAGGATCTCTAGAACCACCCCACTTCAGTAAATTCTCTTTAAGACGCTCCCCTCTATCTCGGCTTATCGAGCCCTCTTGACGTCCTGCCATAAACACCATCTGCCAGACTCGTCGAGCGAGGACGCTGTCAAAGATGTAGCTGTAGTAATTACCTCCATAGCCAAAGAGATGCCCGAAGAAGCCTTGCCAACTCGTGCCTGCTGGGTCTGTGGGCTGTCTGGAGTACTGTGCTTGTAAGTCGTGGTAGAGTTTCGTCGTGTCGAAAGAAGCATTCGCGGCAGCCGCAGAGTGACATTCCTGATCCAGAAGTGAGAGGATGATTTGGTTGTCTGTATCTATTGCATCGAACTTTTTATCCATAGCTAACTTCTCAGCCACCATCTCATATGGCAGCGGCTCATCTGTCTCGTAGTGTCGTGCAAATAGAGAAAGAACGGTAGGATCGGAAGCAAAGTGTTCCATGAGAATAGAAGGCAGTTCTGACATATCTGTGGCACATCGAGTCCCTGAGACCTCTTGGAAATCCGTTCTGCCCAAGATGGAGTGGATGGCATGGCCCATTTCGTGGAATAGAGTTGAAACCTCGCTGAAGCTGAGGAGAGATGGCTTGTTAAGATCCTTGGGTGTCATGAAATCGCAAATTAGCGCAATGGTAGGTAATTGCATCACGCCTCCTACTGGCAAAGTCTTTGAAGTAGACATGCCATCATTTGCTGCTTCTTCAGCAGAAGAGAATAGAGGATTTTGGTCAAGGTGAGCTTCCTGGAGCTCTTCGTCACGGATCAATCGAGAGCAACGCAAGGTAAAATGTGCTGGATTTGGTGATTTCCCTGGACGGGAAAATAGGTCGCAATATAATACAGCGACATGGCCATCAGTGTCTGATATAACATCAAGACGGCGGACATCCGAATTCCATGTTTCTCCAGGCCGAGTCTCATGGGGCACAAATCGAATGCCGTAGAGGCGCGAGAATAATCTTGATAGACCTTGCATCACTGTTCCTAGTGAGAAGTAGGCGGATAGAAAATCAGGGGTTCGCTGATTAGAGCGTGATTTGGCAAGGACTTTTGCCATGTAATATTCTTTGTCCCATGGCTCAAGACCTGCTATGTCCCCTGGATAATGACTTGTCTTTTTCTTTTCCTGCCTTAAAATTTCCAGCTGCGACTCTAAATTCTCGGAGTTTTGATCATTCAATCCGCAAAGAAATGCGCGAGTCATCTCTGGACCTCCTGCCATTTTATCTTGGAGTGTCATTTCAGCATAATCACTGTGGCCTGTGAGTTTGGCGAGCTCAGCCCGCTTTTGCAAGAGAGTCTGGAGCTTCTGTATAGTTGAATGGGATGATGTACGACTGGCCATAAAAATGTCCTTTCTTACATTCGAGTCCTGGACAGAACGCAAGGCCAGAGTGGCAGGATCTCCCACTGTGGGTAGTGATACCTGGCCCCATTGCGTAAATTGCCGAACGAACATAGGGTCCATCCCCTTTAGCTGACTGCTTCGAAACGTCAAGTACTGTTTGCTCGGTGCCATGGAGTCCACGAAACTCGTCCCAACGTGGCTAATCTCCTGTGACAGAGATATAAACCGCTCTCTTTGGGCTTTGGGGAGGTCGTGGGCCGACTTTGCAAAATCATTCCTTAGAATCTCCGCCACCATTCTCTCCTGCTCTCCCCACGGAGCATCTTTATGCGACATGGCTATATTCAGTTGCTTTTCCAATTCGGTCGTGGTATTAAGCACATTCATGTATTCGAACATAACTGAGTATGCATGTGTAGCAGCGGCTTGTATAGCGGGATTGGGATGTGTAGATCGAACAAAATCCGAGACATCGATGACTCTACATAGCAAGTCGCTCAGCCTGTCTAGGTTCCGTACGATATCGTGGTATTCTGCAACGGAGTTTGCATGTAGGACCTTGTCTACCAGTCTCTTTGCCTTCCTTAGACTTGCATTTGCGAATTCCACGAACCCTTGGGGATTCGTCAGGTATCTATTTTGAAAGAGGCCGATATTTCCGCCATTTTGCCCGGTCTTCGAAGACTGAGAGAAATCTTTCCAGAATTTCGCCGAGTCGAAGATCTTTCGTAACGTCTTGTCATCGTGGACAGCTCCAGGAGCATCACCTCCTGCTGTCAAAGACCCTCCAGACTCTCGTAGAGCCGGTGCTGTATGATTCCATCGAATGGGTGTTTGGCGTCGGATGCATCTCGAGCAAATCCATGGTCGAGTAATGGCAGTCCTGAACATATCTTTCCCCAGATGAAATAAGATATTTACGGAGGGGAGAAGAGGCGGACGCGATTAAAGATTTATGAGCCACTTATGCACTCTACAAGATTTTATGCAGCTCCTCGCATAAAAACACGACAGCCGCAAGCTAGGATTACCTCGGAAATCCCAGACAACCTCTTGACAGACACCACATCGTCGTCAATTGAGCTATGGCTTCACGATTGTTCCCGCGGCAGGTGTGTACAGTGTATTGCTCAATTGGCTTGCTACATTATTGACAAGATGCAGCGCTTTGCACCCGTGGCTACTGGTGCCGTCGTGGCCGGGATAGCTCTTTTCCCAAAGACAACTCTACATGCGGAGTCCCCCAGTGAGCCAGAGGTATGTCTTCCACTATATCAGAACCCTCAATTTCAATTTCTAATGGACTACATAGTCAAAAAAGTCAATATACGATGACTATGAAGCTCCCGCCGCTCCTCCAGCAAAATCCGGCCCGCCTCAGACCACACCCGAAACCCCTACAAGAACCAAATCCCCAACTCCCACCGACCGCCTAGCTGCTCAAATAGGAAAGACGCGCATGTTTCTCTACACTCGTGTTGCGGCTGCCGAGGACAAAGTCAACTCGTTCATGGACTCGGCGCTGGATCTCGAATCAAGCTTCACCAGTACAATCGCCTCCCTAGCACCATCGCCGCAATCTGGTGAGAAGCTCATGCCCGGCGCTTTATACGTGCTCGTCGCGACCATGACCGGTAGCATTATCTCGCGGAACCGCAGCATACTTCTCAGGGGTGCCTTACCACTAGCCGTCGGAATCGGCGCGGGCTGGATCGTGTTGCCGATTACGATGAGGAATGTCTCAGATCTGGTGTGGAAGTACGAGCAGAGGTTCCCAGTGATTGCGGATGGACATATCAGGACGAGAGAGGGTGTGGAGAAGGCTTGGAGGATGGCGAGGGTTCATACTCAGCAGGCTGTCAATATTGTGGATGATACGGTAGCTAGTGGGAGGGAGACTGTGGAGGAATGGGTGAAGAAGGGCAAATGAGTGTAACATAGAAGGCATCAAAGGGAGACATATTCTCCGTACCAACAATATACTTTCCTTCATCCTATATATACCTTTGGGTATAACTCCAAAGAGCATGAGTTGTTTGGGCTTCCGCTTGAAAACTTGCCAGATTGATGCATCCAGTCTATTTTGCGTGAACCCAAAAGCCAAATGATGTGTAATATTCGGTCATCCTTCTTAGGCATTGCAACCTCCGGGTTTTTTCTCCCGCAGCTTGAATGACTAATTAAGTTCCCCACCTTACGACTGCGTTCCTCAAAATCCTTTATCCATCATCATTTCCATCCTTTCAAACGAATCTATCAGCCTCATGCCATGATAACAGGGAGCAAAATGAATCATCGAAAGTTTAGCGCTTCAAAGTTTAACAAGTCAAATATTTCCGCACGAGCCAAGTAGCTCGTAGGTTATACGAGTGGTTGGAAAGATATCTATCATTGTCCATTCATTGCATGCTCAATTTTAATACATGGTCCAATCATCCTTTTCTTATATCACGAGTTTTCTAGCAGTTTCAGTATATGTAGAAAAGGAGGGCAAATCTCAAGGTGATGGTGGTTCTGTTGGAAGTCCAATAGAAGGGGTCTGAGCCTGAGCAAGAAGTCATTCTTACTCTTGCAAAAGAATCACTACCTGCGTTAGTGCGGATTTCTTGTTTGTTTCATGAAATATGAAGTATCAAGTCTGAAAGGCGAATCAATGTTTTGGTTTTGTGGTTCTTTTTTCCCCAACAGTTTTTTATAGTGTTCTTGGCCTGATCGTGAGCTGTTGCTTGAAAGCTGGAGGAACCTCACCTCAAGAAGGCCATAGCTCCCACGACCGAGGCTGTTTTTAACTACGTAGCCGCATATGATAGACAATGATAATTTCAAATTCCAGTATCCCTACTCCTTGTTCTACTTATTCCGGTGCTTCCGTCCGCGTGGACGAGGTATGCGTTTCAGTTTTTTCGGTTGTCCGCAATGCTGTGATTCAAGAGATTCTTGATGAAGAATCCGAGGGACCCTTCTTTGGAGCACAGTTATATGATCGATTTCACCTACCTCTATTTTCCAACGGAGTTATATCATGGTATGTCACGTGCAGTCAAGGCTGTTTCACTTGTCTACTAGGTGCACCAGTGCTTCTTTCGGATCCGGCCGCCCTAGAAAACGCCATGACATGTGTCTATTACTACCGTATTGCCAAAAAGTCTATGATCCGCTACTCAATAAGTTTTGAATGCCAAGCCCAGTTCGATTAATATGAATGTAAAGTTGCAGTGAAGTTCCCAGAGAAATGTTCGACTCGACCCCACCCCTTCAATGGCGACTCTGGGGTTTGCCGATCAATCTGCACGATGGACCCCTGAAAGATGACTGGGGATTCGAGACGAACACCTGGGAGTTGCATCCGACTGGACGGGACGCACCGGTTCGTTACCAGTACGTGCAACCCCCGCGGCTTTGACTATGTAGCAAGTTCTGGCCAATGTGATACAAAACACGGCAAAGCTTAGTGAAGAGTACACGTACGAGCACACGACAGGCTGACAAGCTGCATCCCGATCTACAATTAGACTCTTTAGAGTCAGATCGGACATTCAACCTCCCCGTGTCCGCCGTGTCCGGTTGCGTTCAACTCAAAATCAAGGTAGTCCCTTCTTCCCCTTTTTACACGGGATTTGTCAAAGTATTCCAAATTCAAGATAGGTCAAGGTTTTTCATCTTTGTTTCCTACTTCGACTGTACCGTCTACAACGGAACAAGAACTTTGAACCCTTTCATCGTAGGTTTTCTGTTGTTTCCATATACTCCTCTACCCTCTGCAAATAGTCCGAGGCTGACAACAACCATTGCAGACCTACTTCTCTCCAACCCACGATCATTTCCATGCACCAACACCAGCATCATGCTCGACCCCTTCTTCGCACCATTCCCACTTTTCAAAGAACTCGCCCAACCACTATGTGACACTCTGCACCTCTACTCACTCCCCCTCCACATCCACGAAATCCTCTCCGCATTCGCCATTTACCACATCATCTTCGAATACATCGCCGCCCCGCTCTCAACCGCGCTGCTCCCAACACGTTATACCGGCCTTTCGTGGGAGAGCAAGCTGAGATGGAATATGCACTGTGTGTCTCTAGTGCAGAGTATCAGTATTAGCGTGCTTGCGCTGTGGGTCATGTGTGTGGATCAGGAGCGCAAGACGATGAATCTGGAGGAACGGTTGTGGGGTTATACGGGGGCTGCGGGGATGGTGCAAGCGCTATCTACGGGGTACTTTTTATTTGATCTCTCGGTTATGATTCGACATTTGGATGTCTTTGGGGTTGGCATGTTGACGCATGCTTCGAGTTGTCTTCTGACTTATACCCTTGGATTCGTAAGTTTCCCCGAAATAAGAAACCGGGTACAATGAATGCACACTAATCAGATTCTCAGCGTCCGGTTTTCAATTACTACGGCTGTGTATTCATGCTCTATGAGTTGTCAACACCTTTTTTGAATATCCACTGGTTCTTCGATAAACTCGGCATGACTGGCTCGAAAGCCCAACTTTACAACGGCCTCGCCCTTATTTCCGTCTTTTTTAGTTGTCGCTTGGTCTGGGGAGCATATTCCTCTTTCAACATCTACAAAGATGTTTGGGACGCTCTCCACATCACCAACGATACGAAGTTCGATTCTCGTCCAGAGATGATGATATATGGTCAGGATAGATCGCTTCCGTGGTGGCTGGTGGTTTTGTACCTTGGCGGTCATGTTACCTTGCAGGTGTTGAATGTTTTTTGGTTGGGCAGGATGATTGCGGCGATTAGGAGGAGGTTTTCGTCCAAGGTAAAGGTTAATGGGAAAGCTAGATGATTTCCAGAGTACCATAGAGGCAACGCTACTAAAGAATTACCTAGATAGAGAGGAAAAATCACTAAAATATACACAGATAAATTTACAAGGGTGACAGAAAAAAGCAGTCATTTTGCAATCTCTCTAAATAAAGAAGACAGAGACGTTGGACAAGGAGGCTTCCTACTTGTAAACGCTTCCGAAACACGTTGACCTGCTCTTTTTACAGTAGCGATGACGCAAGCTGAAAGTAACATCGACAAGTTGTTAATGTATCAGGTGCCCTGCCAGCCAGCAATTTTCGGGATCCCAGCCGGTTTTAGCGTGTCCGAGTAAATCTCCCTCTCCCTCGTCTCTTTCCTTTCCTGCCAGATTTTTAATATTATTTCAACTTCTTCCGCCTTCACTAATACACAGTATTGTATACTGTTGCTGTCGTTATTCGTTTAGATGCTTTCATGATCTGGCTAGGCACAGGTTGAAGTCTTCCATGTGTGAGCGAGAAGGCATTGCAGAGTCTCCAGCGATATACATGTCGCCTCAACGCGGCCAGAGCATATTAGGGAAGTCTCTTGATACTCTGGTCTCAATCGAGTGCATATGAAGTATTGTTTATCATGCGGATCCTAGAAGTTTTACTGGTTACGAGTCCTGGTGGGTTTGTAGCCTTGTTTTCTTTGCAGAGTCTGCCTGCCTGCAATGGCCTCTCGGATAATCTGCACAGCTCAGCCCAGAGCGTTGAGCATACTGCGAGGCTGTTGTGAACCACACATGATTGGAGGCCTCTACTAGAGGATTTCCTTCAGGACCTTGCGAAATGATTGGTGGCCTCTGAACGTCATCAACAAGGTCGCACAAAGCCTTACCTTGCTATCTGGAGTATAAGTCAACGCTAAACCTCCCACTTGTTGCAACTTGCACCTCATCGACGAACCTTCCTAGCTCATTGACACCACAACCACCTCGCCGCCGTGCGGCTTTGCGCGCCCAGATAGGCGCACACTCGATTAAACCGCAGGTGTAACCACTGCCACGGTGGTGTGCACCTGCGCCCAAGTACCAAATCCACAGCTACTTGTTTTGTCTCGATTGTTATCTACATTCAGACATCTCACCCACCTTGGATCCTCGATCCACTCTTTATAATCCTCCAAATGTTTTAAGTCAACCCTCTCTGATAGACGTTTCCGAGTGCTCATCCCCTGATGGTACTCGGGGAGAAGCTGCCGTGGAACTTCACGATGACAGCCCCAACGCGGTTCAGCACGATCGCACCGAGTTGGTCTCCGATGCAAGCCAACACGTCGCAGAAGAAGGTATAGTGCGCGACCCCTCCCTTTCCGCCGAATCTTCCAATCCCGTTCTCCCTAGTCCTTCAGTGGATGATGAGAGCGGGAACCACACCTCAATCTCCCCCGCCTCACAAACGGAGATATCTTCCGAGTCAATGAATGGACTAGTGCCAAGCCCGTGTCAATCTATGAGTTCGGCGTCCCGAGTCTCCTGGACAGTCACCGAAAACATTGCCTACATATCACTGCCGGATGGCACATTCAAATGTCCCAAGTGCCCAAGAATATTTCACGAAGAAAGAAAAGCAAGGTATATTGCTCTGGAAATGTTTATGGCTCGCAAACGAACACAGCTAAGCGTTTGAAATAGTCGACATCTTCAAGACTACAAGCATGCACATGCTTGCACGGTACCTGGGTGTACCTGGAGTTACAATCTGCCGAAGGATCTTCGAAGACACTCAGTTACACATAATCCTCAAGCAAGAAGATATAATTGTCCGCATCCAGACTGCGTCGCTGGCCCCGGTACGCTTGCAATGTCTTTCGCTCGACCTGATTTGCTTAATCGACATATGAGGAATGCTCATCAATGACTTGGCCTGGCATAAAGTCCTCTCAAGACATAATTTACTCGGAAATTTTGCAAGTAAGTTGATCCTTCAAAAAATAATTCTGCCTATCAACAATTCTAACCAATAAGAGACTTTTCACAACTTTTCACAGCACCGTCCATCTCACGATGGGTACAGCGGCACACAGATCCAGTCTTCCCGCGATCGTCATTACACAGATGTGAAATCTCAAGGAAAGTCGGTCATCCTTCAAGCTAAGAGCTTGAAGGATGACCGACTATTAGTTGAGACCTTAGTGTAATGGGTGAGACTGACTAATCGGGGGTCCACCCTAGCTTCGCAACTCAACCTCCAGCTGAAGGTTGAAGGTTGCGGGAAGCTAGGGTGGGACCCCCGAGGGCCCGAACACATACGGTGTCCCGGATATGTATTGTGGGTTTGTCACAACTGTCCTTCCTAGTGTCATATGGCTGGTACTAAGACGCTACTGCATCCCTTCCTATATATAAGCAGGGGTTTACTCCCTTCCTCTCCTTTGCTCTTAAGATAGATTCATTAATACACTTTATAAGTTTTACAAATTTTACATCTTTACTCTTTAGATCACCTGCTTTATGTAGATATTACCATATATAATAATTATAAGCCTTAAAGCTATTAAGCTTCCCTATATAGTTGAAGCTAAAATAAATAGCCTTTCTATTTTTATTCCCAAAACACTTTTTTGTCTCAAATTACACATTAAGTAACCATTTCTATCTATTAATATAAATGCTAATAACACTACTTTATAGAGCTTCCTCTAGGAGCATACTTTTTAAACCAAACAAGACTAGCCTAACTTGAAACGTTTTAAAAGCCACGTAACACCAACAACAATGCATAACAGTCAAACAGGGCCAAGACTTGGATATCCTGTTCATTGCTGTACTATGAGTCCTCAATACACATAGTTGGACACAAAGACATTTCTGGACCATCAACTTCATTCGACTTCACATTGTCCTATCTCATCTCATCACCACGGAACCACTTGGCAGGACCGAAGTTATAATAGGCGATGCTAGAGCACAGCTAGATAACTTGGCATGGGACAAAATTAATAAAGCATAGGAAATATCATAGAAACGGCTTTGAAGGAGAGACACCTATGAACTTGCAGCTTCCCTTGCGGGGCAGAAATTCGGGAGAAGAGTAATATTCAGGCCACCTATAATTATCAGTGGATATAACATCTTATATAAGGTCCAAGTTAAGGGAATAGCTTCTAATGTCTATATTCGGCTACCTTGCCCTGATTGGGCTTAATTTCCAATTGAGAAGACTCTATAAGAAGGTGCCACAGCAAGGTATATCAAATAATACACCCAAATCCTAGTTCCTAAGGTATTCTACTATAGCGAAAAGTCTAATCCTGGTCCTTTTATAATCCTTTAACACGTGGAAAATTATGGATTAATAGTTAATCGAATCAAAATGCCTAACCCTAACCCTAACATAACTTCTATCCTGGACCTAAACATCTTAGAGACTATGCTCTCAAAATTCTACAGGAAAGCAGCATAATGCTTATTGCAGCTCTCTTAGCTATTATTCGATCGCATTGGATCGTTGTCTGAGAACGATGATACTTTCTCTGTAACGGGACGCCCTCTCTCTAAGAATATGAACGATAAGTCCCCACCCCCCCCTTCCGGCCACCTCGCTTAGCTACTACCTTCCTACTTTGCAACCTTATAACTTTTTTATTCCTCTACTTCTATAAAATCGCCTGTACTAGCAGATTCTATAGATAAATCAGAGTCTTCCTCTTTAATTTCCCGGTCTCCTGCTCTAATTTGGGCCTCTTTTATAGCCTGAATATCCACAAACTTCGAATTTGGACTAGTCCTCACTTTCTATCTTTTCCGCGGCTCTAACTGCTCTAGTCTAGCTTCTAATTAAGTAGCCTGAAGCCTTATCTATGCTAGTGCATAGTCCCTTTTATCAAATCCTTTTAGAACCTTCCTAAAAAGCAGCCGCTGGGTTAGAAGATTACTATTACCTAATCAGGAAATCGTCTCTACCTGCAACCTTACTTCCTTAGCTGCCTTAGGGGTTTCCCAGGTAACTAGGGATAATGCATAACCTGTAAGTGCCTCTGCATCCCTAATAATCTTATTTGCAGCCTCTTACGGACCATTATTACTGTTTTCTAGCAATAAACGGCTTATTAGAGGCTTAGCTATATTAGGGGGCCATAGACCTATAGCCTGCCATCCCGCCCTAATATTCCTTAATATAAGGCTTATCTCCCGTGCCCTAGCATAGCACTATAAGAAGTTACGCTTCCTAATTAGGGTAGAATCTATAAGGAGGCTTAAGTTACTAAGCTCCTTTTAGTAGGCGCTCTTTAGAGGGGAGAATATTAATAAATCTAGTAGTTATAATATATGTGATATATGTGGAGGCAGAAATAAGAGGTGTATCTTATGCTAGAAGCAAAGCCATATAAAATTAGTGGTTTCATAACTGCTATAACCGTCTAATATAAGTAACCGTAGCTCCTATAGGTCCTGTGGTGCTATGGAGGGGATAAAGACTTTTTCTAGCCATTCTAGGGCTATAGCATCTAAAGTCTAGCTGTTTTTAGTTGCAGTGAAGTGCTAATGCTTATATAACTCAAGGCTAGTAGGAAACCACTACTATTAGACTGTCTTTCCCTTAAATATGACTAGTGGAGGAAGCGCTAGTCCCTCTATACTAATACACTTAATAAAAGAGGTCCAGGCCTTAGATCCTAGCTATTTCCGCTGAATAAAATATTAATTTACACTCCCTATAACCAATCCATTAATCCCCTGGCCTTCTATAATCCCTGCTTTATCCATATTCCAGAGATTTGCAGGCTTAATAGCCTTGATTTCCGGAACCTCTAATTTTTGAAACCACGGCTAAATTATACTAGTTATAGCCCTATTCACACGTGTAGAATTAATCTATAGTTGCTTCTTAGTCTTAAGAATAGGATTGCGTTTAAGAAAGGCTTATATCTAGCGCTTTCCTAATGCATTTCTATCTCCCCGTATAGCTAGTAATCGCCAGGCAAAATCCCTAATCTGTGTATGCGTAGGGCTAAGTCCTAGGCTTTCCTAGGTTAAAATCCAATCTGTTAAATGCTTCTCTTAAACCATAGAAAGCCTTTATAAATGTGCTGCTCTAATTTGATGCGATTCGTGGCCTGTAAATCAGTCCTGGAGAGTTGTCTGTGGGATGCCCTAATCTAAGCTAGCTTTCCGAATAGATTAACCATTTGCGATCGCATGAAGCGCATCTATAATATCAGCTTTAGTATATGTAGGCTTTATAGTGCAAAGATTATTGTATTAAATTTTTAAAGTATTCTATAAGAGCGTTGGAAAGTTATTAAGATATAAAGTGGGAGGTTAGGTAGTAGCGGTGAGCTAAGCGAGGTGGCCGGAAGGGGGGGGGTGGGGACTTATTGGCTCTGAAACGTTGCCATTCTCCTTGTCTACGCACATGCGTGAAAGTTGGGAGACTGGCCGCTTCTGGCTCAATTATGCTGCGAAGAACAGCTAGGCGTTTGACACGGTATTTTGGAAGTATTTGGATAAGAAGTTTTTTGGAACCCGAGAGGAGGATGTTCCTAAGGATGACCTATGGAGGACAAGGGTTAAGTTGTTAAGTGAGAAGGAAAGAGCGGCCATGGAGGCTTTCGTGCAGTGGAAAATGGAGGACAAGAAGGAAAGGAAATTAGTTGATTGGGATCCGGAAGAGGCAAAACAACGCCTATCTGAGGCGTTGTTTGATTGATTCTGAGAAGTTGGAGACCCGCAAATGAGCATGTCTCTTCCATGATGCTGTCTGAATATCTGCATGGCAGAATCCACAGCAGATCTATCGCTCCCATGGGAGAACCGCTCGTCGGTGGTTGGGGGTGTCAATGGAAGCTGGATCTGCTTCTCCGGTGGTGTTGCTTTGTTCAAAGCAAAGCTAGCAGGCTTCTGGGGATAGGTTCATCCGTAGATCTGCAATGAAGCAGTCATTTCCCACGACTGATGAGAGGTTCCAACTCCGGACGTGATATGGAGGTTCGTCAAGCACGTCTGACTCGCCTCTTGAGTCAAGACAAACACCGACTGGGAGCGTAACTCATCTGATGATAAGCTGGAGGACGGGATGGATGGCAGGTTTTCTTGGGAATGGCAACGATCACAGAATTGACCATGGATCGAAGCTGCGAACAAGCATCTCGTAGGTCCCTGCTAGTAGTCTAGTTAGCTTCCAGTCTGAAACAAGAAGTAAATCGGTTTATCATTTTCACATGGAATGGAAGGCAGAGAGAAAAAAGCTCAATTGATGAACAAAAAAAAACTATGTACGGAGTATGTCACAAAAACACCCGAACTAGTCCCAAACCACTTCACAACCGGTCGGAGACCAAACCACCATGCCATGCACCCCTCAGTGGGCCTCCTCCTCCCCCTTACTGTCACCAGTCAGATCAATGACGACAGACTGATCAGCAACTGGTTAGTCAAAGCAATAAGCATTGATTGACTTACTTGGTGATGATGGGCTCGGGCGCCTCCCCCCTATGCTCCTCGATGTGCTCCTTTTTGCTATAACTGGTCAGTGACTCTCAATCTCCAAGCACATGATCTGCGCTAGTTGCAGATCAATTGCAGTATGCATAATGGAATATTGCTAATACTTACTGCAAAGTAGATTTCATCTAAAGATCGTATCATAAAACGTCACATGTTGCTTCGTATGATTGGGAAGAACTTAATATTAATTTTGATTGATATAGTCAAGTACGAATGGCATTGGGTTCTGGTTTCTGTATTTATAATTAGACCCTCGTGTAGTAGATTAGACCAGGCAAAGTAAGTACTTCTTCGTCTTTTGACACCCCCTTTAAATCCTAGACTTTGCAAAGGCGCCCATCGTTTTGCACTTCCCAACGGTCGCTCCCAACAGCGGTCAAACCATAGAAGATGCTGTTCGGATCATACTTGTCCTTGATTTCCAAGAGTGGATTGTAAGTGTCGCCGTAAAAGACTCGTTTCCAATCTGGATCAAAAGGGTTTGCCTCATTCAGATAGCTCGACATTCCGCCTGGCACTAGCGCATCAAGACGAGGGCCGTAGTTGTTGGTGATCAAGTTCCAATCATCTACATTGGCTGAGAGGCTGGTTCGGTTGTAGGGGCTGATCAAGCACACGGCATCAGTCTTGAGTTTTCGATCAAAGGTTGTTATGAAGAGGCACTTACAGTCCAAATGCGAGATAGTGAATGGTAGTTCTCCAAACTGGGTTGACCGAGTTGGCAACTGGGTGAGTGATGTCTTGACCTCGAGCAACATTAAGAGACACACCACCCGTGACAACGCCTTCAGTGACCAATGTTTCGAGTACATTAGTAAGCGCCGAGGCATTAGCCTCAGATGTAACAAGATCGCGAGGGAGGAGGTATGCCCCCATGTTGCCATCTGTAACAGGCTGGGGAGGATTCATGGCATTGTACGCATCGAGGAAAGTGGAATATCCAGCAGAATACGATGCTGTTTAGCAGATTAGCGTTTGATGGCAAATTTACAGTAGGAGATGATCAAATCATATACGTACAGTATGGTATGCCATTCTGGTTTAGGGCTGCCAGTGTTGGGCTGAGCAGGTCTTGCAGCTTGGACAGTGTCAGGTTCGGCCCGAAGACGGGTGACAGCGAAAAGAATCCGTCCGCTAGGGTCCAAAGGGCGACTGCTCCAGCATCGACAATGGCGGGAAGGCTCTGCAGCCAGGTCTGAATGACAGCGAAAAAGCTCTCACTTGAGACACCCTCAGCTATCGTGAATGTCAAATTAGCTGCGGATACCTCGACATCTGGATAGGCCTTCACCGTCACCGAAAGCACCGCTGCATATGCACCGCCGCCCCCACCCGATAAGGCCCAGTACAAGTCCGAGTTGTTAAGGGGAGTGGCCACGAGACACTCGCCAGTGGCTGTGACGACCTCCCATTCGAGCACCTGGTCAGCGCTGAGGCCGATTACCGATGCCATCAATGAATGACCGCCACCTTGAGTATAACCGCCTGCGACCGCAAGGCTCTGACATTGCCCGCCTGCCACCACGAGGCCCTGCGCGTGGGCAGCAACTAACGCGTCTATGACTTGCACACCAGCGCCCGTCTTCAGTGCCTTCCCGGTGTAGTTGCGCGAGTGGTAGTCAAGGATTTCCATATCCTTCATATTGTGCGTCCAAAGAGCAAGCGCTCCAGCGCCAGTAGACTTCCCAAAATAATCGTGGCCCGTACTTCGGATAACAAACCGAATGTTTTTATCGGTAGCAAAAGCCATTGCCTTCTGGAAATCATCCGGTCCTGTGGCATTCACGGCATACTGAACGTAAGTTCCCAGGACGCACTGGGCAGAAGGTTGGGTAAAAGGGTCGCAGCTCATATTGGCGAAGAATTGGGCCATAATCGACGACGACGAGGAGTAGTGTGTCTCGGGTAGAAGCCAGACATTCTGAAGTTGCTCGCACTTTTCTGCGTCGTAAGGAGCAAATGAATCGTGGTGGCATATGCTTGCAATGGGAACGGTCGCAATAAGTCTCCCATGGATGGTTTCGTTAAAAGCAGCCCATTCAGCTGCACTAGGCCAACATTTATCCCCGGGAAAACATCGACAGCCCAAAGTACGAGCGAGAGTCGAGCTCAAGATGGTGATACACACGAAAGCCTGCAGAGAAGACACTTTGAACATGGCGATTGCCTGAATACTGGATGTCAAAGGGTAGAGATGGGAAAGCAACGGGGCATCTACTGTTGTTTATTCATAGTCCCTTCGCTGCTTGGTGGCTGCCCATTTCCCGTGTCTGCGGAGTATATACCTAAGTAGGTACGGAATGTACGTAAGTATATAAGGTATATAAGGTATATAAGGTATATAAGGTATATACCAACCAAAGGTACCTACCTAGGTAGGTATGTTATGTCTGATAGCAGGGAAGCGAGGCACGCTTTTCACCAACTCGGCCGGCCCTACGGTACGAGTATAACTTACCGTGCCAATGCCAAGGCTTTTGGGAGCGAGGTGTCTCGGGTGTTTATCCCCTGCAGGTTACACAAAGCTTATCGTTACAGTAATACAAGGTAAAGGTACCTTGGGTATCCAAGCTACTTAGGTGTCCGTATCTTCATGATATGATAAGTATTAGCATTGGCACGGTATAAAAGCCTCAAGCATGCCTTCTAAGCCCATAGTGTGGTGGGGCTCAAAAGGGCGCGTCGCGTGAAGTGGAGCTATGCAGCTAAGCTGCATCACACTCTATAAGTACGAGCGCTTCCACATTCTTAGATCAGCATCCATTCTACAACACACTCTTTTGCATAAGCTTATTATATATATATTTATACAACGATGAAACTATAAGTCAGATCCTAGCCTAGAGTTCGCGGTTATGATGTCCCTCTATAATAGCCAATATAAATCCACCTATAAGAAGTAATAATCGATTCATCTTTTCGCTCGCCTCGCTTGCAGATAGAGGAAGCGAAAGTCGTTAAGTCTTGTACGAAAAATATAACTACTAATATACTATCTCTATACTTATTTTGCAACGCTTTCTCACTACAATAGTATTCCAGAACAATGCTTTTTATAGATTATTAGCTATATAAAGCTTCTAAATTTTATTATAATCTAGTATAAAGTCTTATCTATGTATGTAACTATATGCCAGCTATGAGATCTTATGCTACGCATTTAAAGTGTAGTAGAATTATACAATTCTAAAAAATCACGTTTCCTACGCTTAAAACGTCGCGATTTTTAGTAGGAAGATCGCTTCCCTAGGATACGTATTTGCTTCCCCTGACTATGCGAGGCAAGATAAGGAGGGGAAAAAGGACCGATTATCAATACACCTGTAACTCGATTTAACAAGAGTGTTTTCAGCTCTAGAAAAGCTACAGTACCCTAAGGCGCCCTATGAGGACATTACCCCATGGGGTGTTGGGATTTATGGCGCACCCTAGCTTCAGGCCTTTTTAACAACCGTTACTATTTCCACTAGGGCTCGGATTGTGGAGCCCCATCATGTTACATAGTATTATCCTGTAAGACAAGGTTTGAACTATTGGCTAGCCTATCAATTCTACCAACGTTCTGAAGCGACGGTCGCGCTGTCTGTAGGACCACATGTTATCATCTAGGTATTTTTGCTATTGCCCCTCCAATAGATCAACTCCGTCTTACTACGTACTTATCTAGGATATGCCGTGAGAGCATACTTCTACATTCAGCGGTTCAGGGCTCCGGGTAAGTTCTTGCGCGGCTTTCCTGTTAGAACTCGAATGTGGCTTGTCTGGTACTACTATCAAGCATCTACTAGGAGGTATCTGTAGGTTTCATCATACCATGAGTGGACCTTGCTGGGTCGTACAACTCAGCCGTGTTGGGCTTGACGCAACTTCGTATGGTTAGGAGAGAGTGCATTAGCAGCTGCCCATATTTCGGGTCTTCAACCAAACACACACATCTGCAGTCTCCTTCTTCCGTGCGTTGACAAGAGTCTCACGACTCCGTAAAGACACTGCCATTTTACATCGATAGCAAGCACCAACAGCTCGCTCCTCAGTTTCTTCCTCTTAGTATCACCGCCGTACACTTCCTCCGTGTCACCATTACGGTCTACTCTATAATCATTGCATCTTTCAAGTTGATGTCAGCAATTATGAGATATAGTAATTTGGTCAGCATTGAGGAGGGCTTATTTTCTCTGGGTGGGTTCCTTTCAGGTGTTGCTATTCACCATGGATTTTTCATCCACGGCGAGTGGCATAATCAAGCGCCAATCATCCTGCGTTGTTATGCAGGTATCTTCGGCTGTGTAGCAATTGCTCAACTATTCTATTACAAGTCAGATCTTACTAAGAGACTGACTTCTGATCTTGTTGTGTCAAGCTTCTTTCATGTCCTCGGCTTGATAGCAAGCATTTTGGTCTACCGTGGCTATTTCCATCGCCTCAACAACGCCGAGTTTCCTGGTCCATGGTGGGCACGATACACGAAGATTTGGCAAATATGGGAGAATAGACACTCAAAAAACCATGTGTATCTGCACGAGCTATACCAAAAGTATGGTGACGTGGTGAGGACAGGTGAGTTCTGACCCAAGACAAGCAGGGCATCTTACCCAAAACACTTGACTAATAGACTCCTATCAGGTCCAGCCGAGGTCACTGTGTTTCTAGCCGAAGCTCATGAGGCAGTCGGCGGCCGTCACTCTGATTGTATCAAGTCCGAGTTCTATGATCTCTTATGGCCTGAACAAGCCCTCTTTGCTGCTCGGAACAAAGCAGTCCATGCAAGGCGACGGAAGGACTGGCAATATGGATTTTCACCCTCAGGTTTATACTTATAGATCCCAATCAATTGAGAATATATAATAATATTACCATCACAGCTATTGAATATCATGGAACAAAGGCACTCAAATGGATCGATGAGCTTGACAGACAGCTGGAGAGAAAAGCCAAAGAAGGCTCGGTGGTGGATACCACTGAATTCTTCCTATGGTTCACATTTGATATCATGGGCGATTTTACATTTAGTAAGTCTTTTGGGATGCTTGAGGGTCAGAAATGGCACAACATCATTGTCAAGACTCAGAACGCCCGAACCCTACTGGGTCCACTTACTGCAACTCCTTGGCTTCTGCATATTGGAGTGAAACTACTGCCACGGATTCTATGGGTAAAAGATTGGTACGAGTCGGTCGAGTGGTGTCAGGCGCAGATGGAGGAGAGGCTTTCCAAGGGAGCTCAGTCTGAAGTCCCGGACCTGACATCCTTTTTCATGGAAAACAACAAGGGCGACCAAGCGGATCCATGGCTCCGAGGCGATAGTTTACTAGCGATTCTAGCAGGCAGGTGAGCCTTCCACCAGTTGATATTGCTCATTGTACATTTTGGGCTGATAAGCTACAGTGAGCCCACTGCGCAGATCTTGACAGCAATCTTCCATGAGCTCTCGATACACCCTGAGCATATAGACAAGATCCGCCAAGAATTGGAGGACGTATGTATTACCGACATTAAGGTCCTGACAAACCTGCCACATCTCAACGCCATCATTCAGGAGGCAATGCGCCTCCATCCAAATCTTTTGACCGGAGGGAGCCGGAAGACAACAGCAAAAGGAGTCACGATTGGCGATGTATACATTCCTCCACACATCACGGTCATCACACCACACTACACTATTGCTAGACGTAGGTTCTCCCGCTGACACTGATCCCCTGGAATGCGTTATGCTAATGAGTTTCATCCAACCGATCAGGCGACGATTGCTTTGAACAGGGCACCCAATTCATCCCAGAACGCTGGACCACAAGGCCCGAAATGGTGCGCAATTCCAAGGCACATATCCCGTTCAGCATAGGTAAGATAAAAGCATTTAATTTTGATATTCTAATATTAGGAACCGTGAATGGCACTGCACTTGTATACAATGACCTGCTTGCTGACATTCACGACCATTCTCAGGTCAATACAACTGCATTGGGCAGCCACTGGCGTGGCGTATTATGAGATACACCATCGCTCGGGTTGTGAGGAAGTATAATTTCCACCTGGCGCCAGGGTATGATGGACGCAGCATGGTGGATGACAAGGTCGATAGATTTACTGCCTTTCCTGGAAGTGTGCCGCTTTGTTTCGAGCTCAGAGATTGATATACGAAGGACATAGGTAGTTACATAGTAGTTGGGCTGTAGAATGAGCGTCTACTTCTTTCAAGAGTACGCGCAACTATCATCATATGGCCCCCAGGCCTTAACGCGTCTTGTTCTCAATATACACGTCTATTTTCATGTACTCGTATTAGAGCTGGCCTAAACAAATAAGATCTACCATTGGTGCAGTATAGTTCAGCTCAGCGATGGTCTTGAGGCAATAGATAGATGTGTGCAACTTTAACAGAGAGCTTTTTGCTTGACACGGAAGGGCTACTTGGGGAAATGCAGCATGCTGCTCACGAGCCTACAAGCACCGTACGTCTACGAGAAGTTTTCCAACACGCCCATAGACGGAGATTGCCATCCTATGGAGTCGGCCGATAAACGAGCAGTCAATAGGTCGACCAGGGGGCGATTATCTGCACAAGATATATTGCACCAACATATATAACACGACACATAAAGAGGCGAGTCTAGCTCGTACTCTCGGGCCTATCAGTATAGTTCCTATTAGCCGCAGCTAGGGGTGAGGCTACCTACGGCAAGGCACCAGGACGGCTCAGCGATGGGGCGTTCTGCACGTCAGTAGCAGCTGGGGATGTGGTCGGTGAGTTCGTACTGTAGGGTGGCATCCAGTGATATCTGCCCGTGGTTGGTGAGTTTGTATGGACACCCTCTTATGCCGATCATTAGATTTTGGCAAGTGGGCCTGTGTAACCACGGTACCACACAATACCTACCTACCTACTGTACCTACCTACATTCTGATGGCCCCCACCCCATACCAAGACTGTCCAAGCTGTCCAGCTGTCCTCCCACATGTTGCATTCCTGGATATGCAGTAAGCAACCAACCAACACAGCCCTGGTTGCCTGCCTGGTTGTTGGTAGCACATAACGTGTTACTTCCTGTTCATGCAGTCTTGATAGTAGTGTGGAGAGCAATACGGCAATATAATATAGTAGATCCTGTATTACACTAATATGTTATCATATATTATAATATTATAATATATTATAGACCTTGATACTCCCAGCCTAGTAGACCGCACAACGAGACCCTCTTACTTTACCCACCAACCCGAATTTCACAGGAAGACAAGACGCTCCTCAGAAACTGTTGCCCGGTTGAACATGTTAATTGTTGCTTATTTAAGCTCAGACCTCCCACTCGGTTCATCCCTCAATTCCAGTTCTCGAGCCCTCTTCTATTTGAAGCTCATCAAGTCTTGACCTCTTTCCGAGATACTTCCCAAATCCTACTATTTCCTTCCAGCGAGACATCACCAGAATGTCTTCGGAAACCTACGATATTGTCATCATTGGTGGCGGTACTTCCGGCCTTGTTCTGGCCAATCGCCTCTCCGAAGATGCGAACTTGCAGGTTCTCGTTCTCGAGAGTGGCGAAGACCGTAGTGCAGATCCGAATACCCTCACTCCGGGCGCTTGGCCGTTGCTGTCAGATTCTCCAGCTAACTGGACCTTCCATACGGTCCCCCAGAAAGACCTCGAAAGGCAGATCACAGTCCCGCAGGGAAAGGCCCTTGGAGGTTCGAGTGCGATCAATAGCTTCCTCTTCACCTCCACGTCCAAGGCGACGGTGGAAGGATGGAAAAGTCTGGGCAATGCCGGCTGGGACTATAGCGCGTACGAGAAGGCTCTGAAGAAGTCTTTTACTCTACATAAGCCCTCCGGTGTGACTGAAGGCAAAGGGCCACTCCAGCTTACACTTGCTACACCCGAGAGTGCTTGGCAGAAAGCCTGGATTGACGGCCTGGAGTCCGTGGGATTCCCGCAAACGGATCCCCTCTCTGGCCATCTTGGCGGGCCAAACATCGCTCCAGAGAGCATTGATCCTAAAACGAAGCAGAGGAGCTATGCTGCCAATGCATATCTGGATCCAGTTCGAAGCAGACCACACCTGACAATTCGAACCGAGACGACGGTAACTAAAGTGTTACTCGAAAGACCTTCATCGGCTGGCGATGCTGTCGTTAAAGGCGTTCAGTTTACCTCCAAAGACGGATCTTCCCAGATTATTGGAGTGCGCAAAGAGGTCATCATTTCTGCCGGGGCCATCAACTCGCCCCGACTCTCGAGCTCTCGGGAATAGGCGGGGCTGATTTACTTCAGCGCTTGGGAATCAATGTCGTCGTTGACAATCCACATGTCGGCGAGAACCTCCAAAACCACCTCTTCACAGGATTGACTTTTGAAGCGCACGATGATGTGGAAACTATCGATGCCTTTTTTCGCCAGGAACCAGCTGCTGTTGCCGCTGCTATGCAAGACTACGGCACCAAGGGAACGGGCCCTCTGAGTACCAGTAATATGATAACCATGGCCCAGCTTCCGCTGCCCGAGTTCCACACCGAAGCTGGACGCAAAGAACTCGATCAACTGTTGGGCGCCCTAAATCCCGACTTGGATGCACGTCGCTCTCCGCCGACTACACCAGCCTTCGCTGCCGCACACGAGACTTTCGTACGCTCCATTCTCACAGATCCCTCGGGAGCCCTAGGCAACTACGTCTTCGGCTCAGCATATGCGCCTTTTGATGCTCCCAGCCCGACCTATCGTGCTCCTGGCAAACATGTCTCGGTTGCAATCGAGCTATCGCACCCGCTCTCCCGCGGCTCCGTACATATCACCAGCGCCGCGCCAGAGCTCGCCAGCACTAATGAAGGCCTGAGTATTGACTCACGTTACCTCTCTCACCCGCTCGACCTCGAGGTGCTTGCACGCCAGGTCCGCTTCACGGAGGACGTGATCAGCCGCGCAGAGCCACTCGCCCGCTACCTGAAACCGTACACTAAGCGGTTCACAGATCTGGAGGTAACCAAGGATTATGTTCGTCGGACAGTGGATGGTGCTTACCACTATACTGGCACATGCTCTATGATGCCACGTGCCATGGGGGGCGTGGTGGACAACAGACTGCGCGTCTATGGTTGCTCTAACCTCCGCGTCTGTGATGCGAGTATCGTGCCCCTGGAGCCAACGGCGAACCCCCAAGCAGTCGTCTATGGGGTTGCCGAGCTAGGCGCTAGCCTAATCAAAGAAGACATACTGTGAGTCGATGCAGTACTCGGGGTGTTACGTGCAAAGACGCCAATTTTGGAAGACTGATATAATTTATTGTTATTATCAAACACTCTCTGGAGCCTGCTTGACGACTGAGTACACAAAAGAAGAAAAGCCCTATGGTGAACTGCGACACCGTCACTACTGACTTTCATGTTCACTCCCACTTTCCAATTTAGAAATCCCTGCTATCAGAACAAGTTTCCCGAAAGTGTCTTGTTCCAAGTCATGTTGGCCGGTTGTGTAAGAAGACCTAACTAAAGTGCATCATCTTACTTCACTGCGGGGCTTTCACATGAATCTGCCGTGGCCAGGGATAGAAACCTTCACAAAGGTTGAATTGCTTTCTCTTTATGTCGTTGCAGCTAAGTTTCCTGAAATAGTGTGGCCTAGTTGTGTATATAAGCAAATATACCGTATTTGCTTTTTACCATCACAAGAATATATTGACAAGGTACTTAGCACCAGCTGAGTAGTTTTACTAGTAAAGCGGGCGATGGCTGGTTTTCCACTTCACGCTGGTCATTATTAGACTCGCTATTGTAGAGTGACTTCTGTATGCAGCAGGTCTATATAAACTACGTTCGTTCCAGGTGGAGGAAAATATGAAGTCACATAGGTATGCTCAATTCTCACGGCAGTTATCATACCTATTCTACTTCATTTCAACAGATATGATATTGCCTGATCATTGTATAAGTGATTGAGCAGCTGCAACGTACTTTCCTTGTTATAATTGATCGTCCGTCAAAAACGGCACTCCATTAAAAATCGCACCTAAAAGCTGGTTCGGTTTTTGACTTATCTATGCTATTTTAGAACCATAAAAAACTCTATGAAACCTAATCATATTTTTACGGCGATTGTTACATTCAAAGGAACATGATATTCTAAACATTACTGTAAAGTCAGAAAGAAAATTATACAAATTTTGTGTATGCTCTCGCCGAAATACATACCCCCCGCTCCACACCACGCTTGATCGGTAAAAAATAACATGTACTGCCTCGCTCATATTTCGGACGCCACTGGTCTGCGTTGGCACACGGCTAAAGCCAATGGCATTACGTGGCCTAGAAATGGTTAGGTGTGGCCGCGATGCCTCCGAAGTGGCCAATTAGTTAAGGCAGCCGTATCATATAGATGATTGGAATAGAGCGCCCTTTTGCGGCACCCCTTGTTGCGGCACATGTGGGTGGCTAAAGGGTTCCATGGCCTGCATTTCCACCATCCATTTGAGCAAGGGAGGGAGGTTGGAGTGGTACAGGAAAAACAAGGGGCTTACAAAGTTAGCATCTGGGGTGAAAGAGGGGGTGGAAAGTGTAGAGTGTAGGGAGCAGAGGCGAATCACGGGAAGTGTATCTATTGTTCCCCTCCGCCCTCAGCCTCTCCGCTTCTCTCTCTCTCCTCCCACCCTCTGTCTCCCATATCCAACTCACTTGTCTCCGTGCTACTTGAAATACAAGTATCGAACATAGTGATTCCGTGCCAGACATCAGAACAGGTTAGGAGACGTATCATGGAAGACATATCTTCCAAACAGGTGGACTGTCTGGTGAAAGTCGGGCTCCGGGACCGGGTTGTCCTCCCCGCCAGCGATGAATTCGTCGCACGGATTGATTCGTACTTCAACAACAGTGCGAAGCTAAAGCCGGCGTGTATCCTGATGCCACAAACGACAGCCGAGATTGCGATTGCCATCAAGGCGCTGGTCCATGGGGATCAAAAGTTCGCCATACGCTCGGGAGGGAGCAACTTCTGGCCCAGCAACAATATCGATGGCGGCGTCACCATCGACCTCGGATGCATGCAAGCTACCGAGTATGATCCCGAGAGTGAGACAGTCGTGATCGGTGCGGGGGTCCTCGCCGGCCAGGTATGTCTGTCAACTGTGTATCCTAGCCCTCCAATATTTTCAAGCACATGATCCAGTGTGTGAAATGAGTTGAGCTGGGTTGGATTGAGTTGAGTATAACACTCAACTCAACTCAAGCTCTAAAAATGCGTATTGAACTCCTTTATATATTAGAATATATACTTAGATATGCTTCCGTGTTCTTTTTCTGTTTCCCCCCTTTTACCCGATTTAAAGTCAAATATATGAAAGTCGACTCAAGTCCGTTTGAGCTGTCAGAGTGTTTTTGCATACGCTATCAGAATCGAAAATCAAAACTCCAGTCGAGAGGAAAGGCCTGTCAACTGACAAGCCACATGCATCTACAGATTTATGAAAGGCTCGCCAAGCACGAACGGGCTGTAGGAGCAGCGCGAGAGGCCACCGTTGGCATTGCTGGGCTCGCTTTGACCGGCGGTATCACACTCTTCACGGGCCGTCATGGCTTCGCATGTGACCAGGTTGTTTCTTACGAGGTAGTGCTAGCCGACGGTCGTATCGTGGTTGCCAATGCCGCGGGGGAGCACGCGGATCTATTCAAGGCTCTCAAGGGGGGCGGCAATAATTTTGGAATCGTCACGCACTTCACCATGCATGCTTGGCCGTGCAGCACAGTTTGGGGCGGCGGGGTCATCCTCCCAAAGGAAATCTTTCCTAAAGCAGCAGATGCCATAGTCGACTTCGTCAAGGGGGTCCCAGATGATCCAGATACTAATCTGGTCTGTATGTTGTGCAAACTTACACCAGAGCCCGTGACCATCATTGCCTCCTTGTACGCTAACGTGGCTGGCGTGGAAAAGCCACCGATCTTAGACAAGTGGCTAGCGTTTCCGGAGGTCTGGAAATCATATAAGAAGGATAACCTTCTTGGGCTCTTGGAGACCACTGAACAGGCAAAGAATTACTAGTGAGTCGCGCACCTGTCCGCGGGGGCTTAACGCGCAGCACATATCTGACAATTATTTCCAGTGGTAATTGGTTCACCATGTGTTTCAAGAACGATGCTTCTATCATAATGAAAGCGGCTGAGCTACATGATGCTCTGGTGGAGGAGTTACAGGATCATATTGAAGACGGTGACTTCAAGACGCAGTGTGTATTCCAGCCGCTTCCGCTTGCGTTTATCCAGAGATCTGTTGAAGCGGGTGGAAACATCATGGGCCTTGAACAACACGACAGTGATGGGATTATTTGGGGCTTTCATGTCATGGTACGCACGCCGGAGCTAGAGCTTTGGGCTTTGCCTCGCGCGCGACGGGTTTACGAGCGCTTGCGGGAGTTTGCTATGTCGGCCGATGGTCTCCTGAGCTGGGTTACCGCCAATTATGCGCACCCCACGCAAGAGGTCTTTCAGAACTACGGCAAGGGTAATGTTGAGAAAATCAGAGAGGTGGCTGCCAAGTACGATCCTGATGGTGTTTTTCAGTACTTGTGTCCTGGTGGTTTCAAGATCTCGTCTGTCCTAGATTGAGTGAGTTTAGAAGTTACAACTTACTAAGGCATCTACCGTATCCTTGAAAGCCCAATACATGATTGATTTGCTATATTATATTAATATAATATGCAATATGGTATTTTATTGCCGTATTATTCTCTACACTGCGAATTATCTAATCCCTACCGATTATTATATTATATTACGAATTATCTAATCCAACATTCATTAAAGGGTACCTAATCCGTTGGGTCTTGCATTTTGATTATAAACTGTATATGTATCATATTCAGAACGCTGCTAGCACTATCTCCACCTTTTCATATGCTTGTTTCTCTTCGCATCATCTAAGAAATACTATCTTTTCCCTAGCAATAGCATATAGGTCCTACTCAAAGTCCAACTAGGAGTCAGTCTCTTAAACCTCTTACTATCTGCGACTATACTTATATGACCTAAACTATAAGCGTAAAGGTTATATGCATTAATAAGTTCCGGATATAAACGCATAGGTATCGCCTGGACAGGGTAGGTAGGGAGTCGCGTTGCACCGAATAGTCTTCCGCTAAATTAGATTCGGCTCGCTAAAGCCCCTTTTTCGACAAACTGCACCATAATATCGCCTCCTACTTGGCAGTTTAAGTGGGAGAAAGAGCATTAGAGGCTTTAGATACTTGAATCTGGTTGATAGAGAATTCAAGTTTGTAAAGCAGATGTTCAGCAGTGGACTTCGGCTCGCGTGTACTGGTATAAGTGAATGTGGTGTGATGAAATGAAGTCTAAGAGAAATATATGTATGGATGTATGTATGTAGGTATAGATATAAGCATAAAGATCATTGTTAAGTAAGATGCAAATTGGATATTCGGGTACTCAGTGTAGTGAGGTGGGGATATTATCAAGAAATGAATGAGTGATTGTTGTGCCGTTTGTTCCTAAGAGGTTTCTCAACTGTGTGGGGATCTGTCTTTCGCCCCTGCTTTTGTTCTTTTGTTGGCTTGGCTTGGCTGGGAGAATGGGGACAGATAGGGAAGGAAAGAGATGCGATGACGCGGAAGGATGGTGGAGTATGTGGGAGGTGGGTTGGAAATGAATGACGAAGAGGTGAGGGGGAACGTGAAAGGATATATAATTAGTGAGTTTTTATTGGAGAAGATGATAATAATGCTGGACACGTGCAGAAAATTACGCTTGTGTGTATAGGGGGGTGGGTCTAAGGATAGACAATCTTGATATTGAGATCGATATAATAAAGGAGCTGAGATTCAAGCAGGTGTTCTGGTGTTGTCATCGGGATGAAGATCCAAACATTGCTTCTATAATATCTCCTTTGTTCTAGGCGGAGGCGTACTGAACGGCCGATTATGTAAAGAGTAAGTACTTAGGTATGTAAGTAGTCCGCCGTATAAATATCGTAAATGCATCAACTTTTCCCACCAACTTTTCGTCCTCAATGCCTTTCCCATCCCACCCCACTAACGCCATGTAAATGCATATTCAGATTTTGGGGTATACATCCACTGCTTAAAGAGTAAAATCAAATTCCTTGAATACCGCTTTGAAAGCTTCAATATCCCTTTTCTCCTCGTCCGCCGTCTGCGCACAATCCCGCCACTGCAGTCTCTTCTCCAATCCCAGCAACTTCGCCAACACACTTCTACCGAATTGCAGTGAGAACTTGTTACTATAATCGAATGGCATGGTAATGCACTTCGTACTACCTTCCGCCTCGTCCTCCGTTGGTGGTGTCCAGATCCAGACCCGGAAGAAGTCTCCCTCGTTCTGACCTATGCCTGGATCACGAACCTCGAAAGGGGGGTAGGATAGATTCTCGGCTTCGACGCGGAATGCCGCTTCAACCAACCCTTTGCGAATCGTCTCTGCAGGCATTGGCACGAATTGCCAGTGCGTGTGAACTCCATTACCTTTACTGATCTCGTAAGTAACCGCACCTAGCTGATTGTTACTTCGGTCGGCGATCATTGATTGCAATTTCTCCTTGAACTTGTTCATCTCGGCAAACGTCTTCTCCTTGGACTTTTCTTCTTCGGTTTCAGGAATGGCGGCAATAGTTGCAGAGTGTGTAAGTGGAATGATTAGTGCATGAGCAGGGAAATCTATGCCAGAGGTAGCATACGTATCCGATAAGGTTAGAGGGCCTTTGGCAAGCGTGAGGTAGGCATCATCACCAATCGAGGAAATGAGATGAGTGTCAAGATTTGGGTTGGAAAGACAGAAGAAACATTGATCTGGTCCTGGTGGGGGTTGTCTCTGGCCTCTATGCCTCTTATTCTCATGGCCATTGCGGTCATGATTGGCGTATCTGGAGTACGGGTTCGATTCGAGAGCTGGCCGCTTGTTGCGATTTGGCCTCGTGATGAACGGTGAAGCTGTAGCACCGGGTGGTAATGGAGCAGTTGAATCGATGGAATTCGGAAGAGAGAATGCGTATAGAGCCTTCTGTTTGAATGGGTTTCCGTGTGCGGCAAGGGAGATAAACCGAGTCAGTGGACGCATATCAGGTGCGTCTTGAGTTGGTGTATGGAAGAAAGGTTCTCTTTCAAAGAAGAATTCTGGAGAAACCGAGAAATGGTAACGAGGCTTGAGAACAGCACAAAGATCCGCAATGTGGTCCTGACCTGTGATATCCGTGACCCCATCAGGAAGCGGAATTTTAGAACCAGTTCTGATCAGAGCAGGCCATGTGGTTGTAAGAAGGATATCAGCCGTATTTGCACCATGCAAAGCTTTTGCATCGCTAATGGTATGGAATGGTAGATATTGCTCTTTGGAAGTTCCCCCAACTATACTTTCATCGAGTTGTCCTCCAAGTGTGACTATTTTGATGCCCTCTGAGGTCTTAGTCGTACTTCGTTTTCCTAGGTAGTGGAGGTTGGGACAGATCTACCAAATGAATTAGCATCAACATGAAAGTGACAATGGCCGTATTCAATTGAACCACACCTCTTCGTCTTTCTCAATTTTCTCAATGATGCGCTGGGGAAGAGGCGTTGTGCCAACGGTAAAGTATGTAGGAAGAGGTATGGTTATTTTGTTTGTAAGAAGCTCCGTGACAGCATCGTTGTCTTCTGAGAACAAGTTACCGGTGACAATGGCAAAGGTGAAGCTATTCTTTGCGTGAAGAGTCGATAATTTGGTAAATACTGGCTGTAATTGACCGTTGATGTCCCCGAGGACAATTCTGTTTTTAGTTTGTCAGTTTACAGTTCCAGGTAATGGGGGGATATATGCTTCGCAGAGTTGAACATGGTACTTACATCTTGGATGCCATCTTCACGCAATTGGAAAGCTAGAAGGATAGACGTCGTGGTTAAAGTTGCGACAATTGTACCTTTGACCTAGTTTCGAGTGAAGTCGCGTCGCGATATTTTTGAGCAGCTCCTTATCTTATCGGTTCATCCCGCGCTAACCCACTTCAAGGATTCTGCCGTTCTCCACCGACGACTGTCCCGCAGAAATATTTTGAACCGCAAAACCCTCCAGTACTTTTACATGTACACCCTACAAACAACTACAACTACAACTCGTGGGATGCTCCCGACATATCCAATATGCCGGCTACGAATTCAGGGAGGATTGTCAAGACCCGAAAGGTCAAGAAGGGCACTCTTCACCAGAAGAACCACCGGTGGGAATCCTTTACTACGAAAGTCTCCAAACTGAATTCTCTCGACCCTATCCGAAGAGTTCGCCGTCATGATCTCGATGCCGAAGACCTATCTACCACCACCTCCTATTTCAAATCTGGGCTAGAAAAATGGCAGGATCTCAACATGTCCGAGGGCTTTGTAGCCTTCTCGCAAGAAGTGCTGAAGATGTGCGACAGTCTGCCTCAAATTCTACATTTCGAGGACCAGATTATGGAAAATTTGGTTACATATATGGAGAAGAGGGAAAGAGAGTCCATGGAACCTCTGCTCGAATTGGTGACGGATTTTGCGCATGATTTGGGAGGCCGTTTTATGAGACACTTCCCCAAGGTATTGGAAGTTGTCACATCTATCGCAGGGACTCCTCAAGATGTCGAGGTTATTGAGTGGAGTTTTACGTGCTTAACATTTATGTTCAAGTACTTGTCCAGACATTTGGTACTGGATCTCAAGCCAACATACGACCTGATGGCCCCTCTTTTGGGGAAACATCGCCAACCGCCACATATAGCCCGATTTGCAGCGGAAGCTATGAGCTTCTTGATCACGAAGGCTGGGGCTCCAGCCCGTAGGGAGGAATGTCTTCCTCTCATTGTGCTTCACGCCAAATCGGATCTCGCTAGCATCTCTGGATCTAAGGAATTCGGACTGTACTATCATGGAATTATGACAATGTTTGCTCAGGCAATGAAAGGAAATGGCTGGACTGTACATACTTCGGGGGCTGCCATCTTTCAATGCTTAATCTCAGTTCTAGACGACGAAGATTTCGCGGCCAAGGAGCCATCTCCGTGGATGAACGTTATTTTTGGTGTATTGACCAGTATCATACATCAAACTAACTCAGGAACATTCAAGGATATTATGGATATAGTCATTGGGGGGACGAATGAAGCAGCCGAGGCATTTCAAACATCGAAAACAAAGGCCGACCTCGGGCGCCTGCTTCTTTTCGCTCGGACAATCGGCATTGTATCTGGGGTAAGGAAAGCGAGCCGCGTCAATGACTGGCCCGCGCTTCTTGAAGCAATGTCTGGTGTTCTTCGCGCAATATCCAAGAACGTCAGTGTTGTCTCCAACTTTGAGCCCGAAGTGGACATTTGGAGTTCTCTAGTACTGAGTGTATCGATCATTCTTCAATATGTCCCTATGGATGCTATGATACGTTTCATCTCTCCTTTCATGGATTCTTTGACCAAGGACCCACTAGCGACCTGGTTCTTACCTTTCTGCTCATATCTATCTGACGCTGAGCCAGAACGGTTTCGCGCCATTGTGCTACCCTACTTCCAGAGGTAAATCATTCCTGAGCTCGTTCTCATACTCATTCTAAAGTTCACTCTAGGTTCGTTATTGCGCATTGGTCAGATGCACGTAATGGGGACACCTTGTCTGTTTTACTGCCTAAAATGGTATCTTCAGGAGTCCTGCCAACTCCTCGCGGCAAGGAAGGATTCACTCTACCCCAGTCTTGGCAGGACCAGATAGTAAGCAAATTCGAGAAGTTGGAAGTATCACCATTTCCAGAGCAAGCGTCACCAGCCATACATGATAGAAGCCCGACGACTTGGCACGATCGATGCCTACCTAAATACAACGCTCTTCTAGAAGTTCTAGCATCCACTGTAGTTCACCCCTCGACAAATGCTAGAATTTCTGAAATTCTACTCCGGAAGCTGAAACTTGCGTTGCGACCATCATCATCCCTCGCCCCAGAGGAGGCGAATTTTATCGTTGGCCGAGGTTTCAGTGCATTTTCGAGGATGAGCAAGGGAGCTGGGGAACTTGACAGAGCACTAGAACCGCTACTACGAGCTGCTGCTCCTAGATATGCTCGTCTACCCGATTTCCTCGAGGCCTTACTTGATTATCAGAGTAGTCTCAAGGCGTCACCAAACCCGAAGCCCGGACTAGACTCGAAGGAGCCGAGTATTGATGGTGACGAAGATCTACTAATTACTTCGTTGGTTGCCAATCTCTCGACAGACTCTCATGAGCTAAGGCTCCTCTCTTTACGTCTACTAGATCACATCTATACGACCGATCAAAACTCGACTTCCGAAGCGTTGTCTATCATGCTTATGGTAGAACAAACACCCCTAGATTTACAGACTGCTCGCTCAGCTTCTATGCATATTCGCAAAGTAGCGAGCTTGTATTCCCATCAGTCACCATCTTCATGGCTGAAGCAAGCGATCCCATTATTCTGTTTTGGTATGCTGACTGTGAAATTTTCCCAGCTTTGGGAAGATGCATGCGCAGCGCTCAAGCAGATAGCGGAAACGAAGTCAGGGGAGGAGGCCGTAGGTCAACTTGCTTTTGAATGGTTGGAAACCCCTTCTGCAATTTGGGATGGCTCTGCTCGAACCGTGGAGCAATCACACAACAATGGCCTCACCGATTTCGAGTGCTCCAACCTTATGAAGCTAGATCAGCTTGCGAAGGAGGCGGATGCTGAGGTCGCGAATTGTCGTGACACAATGCTACAAAAGTTCGAAGACGCCCAAAAGTTGGTCGCGGATCGACCAACCTCTGCCAGAGCACAAGCCCTTCGAATACTTGCTGGCGCGCCAGCTATTGCCGAGAAGCGCTCCCGTCAGCTCGTACCAATGTTCCTCTCCTGGGCCAGTAAGCAAATCGATGAGATCGAGCCCAGTGACGGTGAAGCCGTCTCTAGTGGCTGGACAAGAAAAGACCAGAAATCGCAACTCGATTTATTTGGTCTTTTCGTGAATTCGGTATCATTATTTAGAGCTGCAGATGTGCACAGCGCTCTTTTAAAACTTCTTGCAAACGGTGACATCGAAATTCAAAAATCCGCTCTCAAGGCAATTTTCACCTGGAAGAATGGTAGCATCAAACCTTACGAAGAAAATCTCCTTAATTTACTGGACGAAGCACGTTTCAAGGACGAAATCACCATCCTGTTGCAAGGTCAGACATTGGTTCAAGCAGAGCATCGTGAGGCTCTCATGCCGGTACTCCTCCGAATTTTATATGGCCGTTCAATTTCCCGAAAGGGATCCGCCAGCGGTCGACAAGGAATGGAAGCCCGGAGATTAACAGTTCTACGAAGTCTGAATGCCAGAGACGTCGAAGGTTTCTTGGACATCGCTCTTGGTGAGCTCCAGGATATTCATCTGGTTGAGAACGGCATCGTGCAAGACTCTATGTTTGACACTGAACTCCTCGGTGTTAGAAAACAAGTCGGTCTGACCAATATGATGGAAGGCTTTATAAAAGAGCTTGGCACAAAAGTCACTCCTTTTGCCGGCAAATTGGTACAAGCAGTGCTGTATTGCACCATCTTCAGCTCTCGTCAATTGCAGGGCGACACTGAAGACATCGACGAAGGAGCCAACCAGGTGACCCAGACCTCCTTGTTAAAAGTTGTCCGCCAGACAGGCTTGAAATCTTTGATACTTTTGTTTTCGAATGCCACGAGCTTTGATTGGTCTCCATATCTCAGCAGCATCATCAATGATGTTGTCGGTCCAAGACTTGAAAACCTCCCCATCGAGACTGGTCAGAGTATTTCTGCTATACTCAGGCTTCTTTCGACTTGGTCAAGCACCCCTCAAACTGTGCTTTTCCTGGGCAGTCATAAGAAGATTTTATCCAAAGTGGCAGAATGCCTTGCGCCCCAGAAGTCCAAGGACGAAGTCAAACTCATCGCCCTAAACATTCTCAGGAACGTGGTTAAGCTAGGTCGGGAAGACGAAAGCAATGGGGTCCACGACCAAGTGAAATCCGAGCTCCTTACGCCCAACATGGATCATTTTTTGACACAGATTGGTGGGGTTCTCCGAGGGCAACATGACCTCAGCAAGGATTTGCTCGAGTCTTGTGTTACGACTGTCTCTGAGCTCGCGCCATTTGTCTCTACGTCGACCCAAGCTCACAATTTGGTGGACGTTTCGATCTTCCTACTCGACCAACCCTCACGACGAGTCAATCCCAAGACAAAAGGAGGTCTCCTCTTAGTTCTAGAGCACTTCGTTCCACTTTACGATCTTCAGAATGATGCTGAACTGAAAGACAAAGTCTATCATACCGTGACTTCGCTTTTTGGATTTTTCAAGGACAAGGCTAGTCGAGAAGTCCTTTCTCGGGTCTTGCTGGTATATGCACAAAGAGATCCAGTGATCGAAGAAGTTGCATCGATATGCGTAGACCTTAACTCCTTTGCTGTGGGTCGCCTTGATGAGCCCGATTATGATCGCAGACTCAAGGCCTTCAATGTTATTAATTCCCCAAGAGATGTGGCTTTCACTGCGCGCCAATGGACACCCTTGCTTTACAACATGCTTTACTATATACGACACGATGAGGAGTTTGGAATACTGTCCTCGAACTCGTCCGATGGTATATGTCAATTTATCAACACCGCAGGAAAGGCGGAAGAAGAATCCGAGCAAGCCGCCTTCAAGGGCATGCTTTCATCTATCCTTCTTCCAGCACTCTTTTCAGGCGCACGAGAGCCATCCGAGGTCATCAGGCGAGAATATTTGAAAGTAATGGCCCACCTAGTTCGAACATTTTCAACTTGGTCAGAAGTCAGCGACATGCATAGCCTTCTCGCTGGCGACGATGAGTTAGAGTCTTCATTCTTCAACAATATTTTGACCGCTGGCAAAGGTAGGCAGTCCAGTGCTCTTGGACAAGTCGCTGCGGCTGCAGAGCGAGGAGAGCTTAGTGGCAAGAGTGTTAGCCATTTCTTCGTTCCTATTATTGAGCACTTTATCTTCGACCGAGCAGAGGGAAACGAAGCACATAATCTGGCAGCCGAAGCTACGACTACTATTGGGATCTTATCCGGTTCTTTGGAGTGGCCCCAATATCGAGCAATGCTCCGGCGGTTCATAGGATACGTTGAAGGGAAACCAGATTTGGAGAAGCAAATTATCCGATTGCTTGGAAAGGTCATAGATGCCCTCGCTTTGGTCGCACAAGCCCCCGATGCCACGAGCGATGCCGTTGAAGATCTCCCCAGAAAACGATCCACATTGGCAGTGACAATACCGAAGGGACTCAAACTCGCGGATGATCTCACGTCAAACATCTTACCCCCTCTTACAAAATATCTTCACCACAAAGACGAGTCTACTGTCAGTCTCCGTGTGCCAGTTGCAGTAATCATTGTTCGCCTCCTGAAGCTTCTGCCTGAAGATCAATTGACCGAACGGCTGCCACCTGTCCTAACCGATATCTGTCACATTCTCCGAAGTAAAGCACAAGAATCAAGAGATATGACTCGAGATACATTAACCAAGATATGCGTCTTACTCGGCCCCTCTTGCTTCGGATTCGTCTTGAAGGAACTACGCGGAGCATTGGCGAGAGGCTCCCAACTTCACGTGTTATCTTATACCATGCACTCACTACTCGTGGCTACAACTCCCGAGTACGCACCTGGCGATCTGGATTACTGTCTACCATCCATCGTTGCAATTATCATGGATGATATCTTCGGAGCAACGGGTCAGGAAAAGGATGCTGAGGAGTATGTTAGCAAGATGAAGGAAGTCAAGAGCAGCAAGAGCCAAGACTCAATGGAATTAATTGCCAAAACCGCCACTCTGAGCAGATTAACAGACTTGGTTAAACCAATACAGGTGCTACTAAAGGAAAAGCTGAACTTGAAGATGGTCCGCAAAATTGATGAGCTGCTCAACAGAATTAGCAGTGGTCTGCTAAAGAATTCCGCTGCGCAAAGTCGAGACAGCCTAATATTCTGCTACGAGGTCATTCAGGATGTGTATAATGCTGGCAAGCCAGAGCAAAAAGTCAAAAGCGATTACAGACTCAAGCGGTACCTTGTACAGAAGGGTGCCAAGAAGAGTGGCCAAAGGGGAAGCACGACTATTTACACGTATAAACTGGTGAGGTTTGCCTTCGATGTCCTTCGATCCGTGCTCAAAAAATACGATAATCTCAGAACATCCAGCAACCTCGCCGATTTTATCGAAATCCTTGGAGATGCGGTTGTCGAAGCCGAAGAAGAAGTCAAAGTATCGGCTTTCCGACTACTTGCTACCATTGTCAAGGTACCACTGAAGATTAAAAGAGATGAAACAATCGCGAAGAAGTTTGCGAGCGGGACAGATCTATATAGAATTGCCGCAGCGGAAGCGACGAGGAGCATCTCTGCTTCTTCCACCACCACTTCTGACATTGCTCAAGCTTCGCTGAAGCTTCTGTCAGTCATACTGCGTGATCGTCAAGATGTAACTGTCAAGGATACAGCCGTGGATGAGTTACTCACAAGGCTGAAGGATGATATGACCGAACCAGAGCGTCGACACGTGACCTTCAACTTCTTGCGGGCTGTCATGGATGCTAAGGTCCAGACTGCCGTTGTGTACGATACACTTGACTATGTTGGAACAGTCATGGTCACGAATGATGATAAGGACACCAGAGATCTAGCAAGAGGCGCATACTTCCAATTCCTTCGAGACTACCCGCAACAGAAGAATCGATGGACCAAACAACTCGGGTTCATTGTCGCAAACTTGAAATACGAGCGCGAAGGTGGACGACTCTCGATTCTCGAAGTCATCCATCTCCTCCTTGCCAAGTCGTCTGACGAATTCGTCCAAGAGGTATCAGCAACTTGCTTCGTGCCCCTGATCTTTGTATTGGCCAACGACGATAGCGAAAAGTGCCGCATGGCTGCCGGAGAAGTCCTCAAGGAGATCTTCAAGAAAGCCGACCATGAACGAATGACTACTTTCCTCACTCTCCTTCGATCATGGATCAAGCAAGGCGAGAACACGTCCGTGGTCCGACTAGCACTTCAAACGTACGGCTTTTATTACGAGTCCCATGGAAAAGACGATGGGGATGTCTCTATGCTCCAGGAAAGTATTCTAGTCACTGTCAAGACGGCTGAAGATTCCGAATCTGATTGGGAGCAAATCTACGCTGCTCTCCAACTGGCCACTATCCTCGTTCAAAAATTCCCAGATACTCTATTATCCTCGAAAGCCAAATCTCTCTGGTCCGCAATCCGGAATTGCCTATCGTTCCCCCATGCCTGGGTCAAGCTTTCTGCCGTCAAGCTCATCAGCATTTACTTCGCGCATTTTGCCCGAAACAACATCGAGTCCAAACTAGAAGGTCTTCCACTTAAAGGCTCAGGGGGCCTAAAGCTTAGCGGAGACGATATCTCAGAGCTAATCCGTCGCATTGCGCATATGTTCAAGACGCCCGGTCTCACAGCCCTGCTCGCGGATGAGGTAGTCAAGAATCTAGTCTTCCTGGGACGCTGTGCAGCAGCGAATGATCTGATGTGGCGGTCTGCTCAAAAAGAAGGTGATTCTGACGATGAGGATGAGGAGGTAGAGAAAGGCGAGAAGCAGACTGCCTTGGGGTATTTGTTTGGACGCTTGAGTTTCATTCTGAGGAAGGAGACTTCGCCACCGCGTGCTTCGGCTTTGGTGCCTAAGACTTCAGCACTGCAACTCTTGCAACACCTCACCAACCACCTCTCGCCCGCACAACTCGCGCCCTCGCTACAAAGCATTATTTTGCCGCTACATAATTTGACCGACTCCTCTATCGCCGCCCCTTATTCAACAGATGAGACGTTCCGCACATCTTACGAAGAACTCAAGACGAACAGTGAAGAAATCATGGAGTCTTTGAAGAAGAAATGTGGAACGAAGGAGTACAGCGAGGCTCTGTTACGGGTTCGGGAGGGTGTCAGGAGGAGAAGGGAAATGAGAAGGGGGAAGAGGCGGATTGAGGCTGTTAGTATGCCTGAGAGGTTTGGGGAGCAGAAGAGGAAGAAGGTTGAGCGGAAGAAGGAGCGAAGAAAGGAGAGGGGGAGGGAGCACCAGGGGAGGAGGAATGAGTGGTGATCTTGTGGTCAGAAGCATTGCTTGGGGCGTTTGTGGTTGGGAAATTGCATTGTGTTGGCGTTGGCTGTGACAGCTTTGTGAAAGAATTAAAGAGGAGAAATCTTGATTCATTGCCAGATTTGAGTTGGCCCTATACTTTTGTACATCCCATATGTGAACTCGACACGCCTAGTCTGTACATATATTGTAATGTACAATATATCCCATCATAACGCCTCGTGATGCCGCTAATTTCAAGTCCTTCGCCCATCCTGCAAAAATTATTTTCGTTGTCGTTCATTATACATCGTCTCCCGCATTCCATATAGCACAGTACTCTTTCGTTGAATCAACGCCCTTCCCATCCTTAAACCTTCGGCCCATCCCCTATCTCACCCTGCTTTTTCTCCTTCCCTCCAACGTCCTTCTTATGTTCCGTCTGCGTCCCATCCTCCCAAAACTCCAGATCCCCATCCTCACTCAAGGTCCCCTTCTTAACCAATTGTCCACGCTCTTTCATCAAATCCTCTATTGTGAGGTTTCCTTTTCCAAAGATCTATAATATATCACCGCATTAGCCCTTGCTCGCCCATCCATCTTTGCTCTCCCCTTCAACTTCCTCAGCCTTCGCCCAGGGGGAAAAGCTTACATTCAGATGATCACTAATAATATGCCTATTCCTGCATTCTGGACACGTAATCAACACACTCCCATGGTGATACCCTTGTTTCGAGACGCGGTGCGCGGAGCGAGTACCGCAGGGTTTGCAGGTGAAGGTTAATTCGTATTCCGGTTTTGGTTGGGAGGGCGGAGAGGGGACTTTTGTTGGGTTCTTTGGTTGCAGTGGTGCGTCTGTGAGGGGTTTGGAGGGCTCTTGGAAACGGAAAGGGGTGGTGTGGAAGAGTCGTGGGCGTTGTGGTAGTAGAGGTTGTCGTCGAAGAGGGACGTTTCTTGGTGATTTCGAGAGGGATCGAAAAGCGGAGAGAAAGGTTGTGGGTTTGGGCGGCATGTTGGATATTCGTGGGTTTTATGATGATTGTTCCAAGTTTAGAGCAGTTGAGTGAGGTTGGATGAAGATATTGATGGCGATTTAATGATGAAGGCGGTGTATAAAATTTATATTTCCGAAATGGCAGAAATGTCATAGCCTAACTATGACGGGTTAGTACAGGGCTGCTTCACGATTGCCTAGGCCGATAGCCATTCACTCCCTCCTTTCCATAACAATATTGACGCCCCTATTCACAACCTCATTCTGCCTCCCAACACAGAAATTCATTCCCGCAGGTATTTATACTATCGAGGCATAACTGGGAGCACAAAACATCCAGGTCTCAACGCGAATATGGCACAAAGTCGAGTCTTGTAGTCACCCCCACCTCAGTTATCTGTGCACTTGCAGAATCAACACGTTTATTTCAGTTTTGCATTTACTCGAGTACATGGATTTTTATGCTGGGTAACATTGCGAGCAAACACCTACAAAATGATTACCGGTAAAGGAAGACAAAAGATCAGGCCTCCACGGAGGGTAAGTTGCCAGTTCATTCTCAGATTCACCCCTCATTCTTTACGCCGCTTCATCTTTCTATTCCACACGATCACCCACCCTCAAATTCCACAAGTCCGTGAAAATCTCACCTACGAGCAAGCATGGCAACCCAAGAGTCTCACGATGCAGCCCTTGCTTATACCCTATACGAGAGTCAATTTACCAATAGGAATCAACGTGTAGTTCACCTATTCACCTCCCCCTTTTGCCATATCTTTCAGACACACCTTACTGACAATGACTTTGCAGCCCCTCATAGGTAGTGGCGATGGCGAGTTCGATGCGATGTGGGCTATCTTGCGGGAAGCTCTAAAAGAAATCCACGAAAAGAACGCCTCCAAACTCTCCTTCGAGCAGCTCTACCGCGCCTCCTACAAGATTGTCCTGAAGAAACAAGGCGACAAGTTGTACGACAAGGTCAAGGAATTCGAGGAGCAGTGGTTCGGCCAAGAGGTCATGACTGCTATCGGCAGCCTTATTACGCCAAACTTGGTTAAAATCACACTTGGTGTCGTGGCGGGAACAACTGCGAACGAGAGACGCCTTCTCGGAGAGATTTTCCTTACAGGTCTGAGGTCGAGCTGGCAGGATCATATTACGGTTATGAATATGACGACGGATGTCCTGATGTACATGGACCGTGTCTATTGCGCCGACAACCGGAAGGCATCGATATTTACTACGTCAATGGGGCTTTTCCGCGAGCACATTCTACGGTCTACTTTTGGCAAGGCGACAGAGAACTCGGGTCTTACTACTTTCGATATTCTAAACTCTGTGATTTTGGACCAGATTGGAATGGAGCGCGAGGGAGATGTCATCAACAGAAACCTCATTCGATCTAACATATACATGCTTGAGGGTCTATATGAATCGGATGACGAAACCGAGAATGAGAAGCTCTATCTCACAGTTTTTGAGATTGAGTTCCTCAAGGCAAGCAGGAATTTCTACCAGAAGGAATGCCAAACACTACTGCGAGAATCAGATGCCAGCTCTTGGCTACGGCAAACTAAGAAGCGATTACTGGAAGAAGAAGACCGGTGCCAGACAACAATTTCGAATTTGACCGCGCCGAAGATTGCGAAAGTGGTGGAGGAAGAGATGGTCAGCAGCCATTTGACGGAATTCCTTGCTATGGAAGGAAGTGGGATTACAGCCATGATTGAAAATGATCGTTACGAAGATCTCACCCTGCTCTATCAACTAATATCCCGCGTCGACCCTACGAAGGAGCCTTTGAAGATTGCTTTGCAGGCTCGTGTTTTGGAGTTGGGTGGGGACATCAATAAAAACATTTCTAATACCGACTTATTGACCGTTCCCGCGGCGGAAGAAGGCGAGGCCGCGGAAGGTGAAAAGTCAAAGGCGCCAAAGCAAACCCAGCAAGGAAAGCAAACTACGGCGGCTATCAAGTGGGTAGATGAGGTCCTGCAACTCAAGGACAAGTTCGACACTATGTGGATGAACTGCTTGGACGAGGATCTGATCTTACAAACGGCGCTGACCAGGAGTTTCTCGGATTTCATTAACCTTTTCCAACGGTGCTCGGAATATGTCTCGCTGTTTATTGACGACAATCTCAAGCGCGGTATCAAGGGCAAGACGGAAGCCGAAGTTGATGTTGTTCTTGATAAAGCCACTACACTTATTCGATACATCCAAGACAAGGATATGTTCGAGCGATACTACAAGAAGCATCTTGCCCGGCGATTACTACACGGCAAGTCTGAGAGTGCGGATGTCGAGAAGCAAATGATTACCCGAATGAAGCAGGAAATCGGCAATGCTTTCACGACAAAACTAGAAGGCATGTTCAAGGACATGTCGATGTCTGAGGAGCTCACTTCCGGCTACCGGTCCCACATTCGTAATCTTGGCGATATGGATAGGAAAGTCGTTGATTTATCCATCAACGTGCTTACCACGAATCATTGGCCGATGGAGTCGATGGGTGGTGCCAATGCGAGAGAGGAGGGCGGACGACACAATTGTACTTGGCCTTCGGAAATCAATACTCTGCAAGAGTCATTCAAGGCTTTTTACCTCAAGGAGAGAAATGGCAGGATGTTGACTTGGCTGGGCTTTCTCGGTAACGCAGACATTCGCTGCGTATTCCCAAAGATTCCCGGAAAAGAAGGCGTTCTTGGCCGCGAAAGAAGACACGAAATCAGTGTTCCTACATACGGCATGATCATCCTACTTCTTTTCAACGACCTAGCAAAAGGCGAGTCTCTTTCATTTGAGGAGATCCAGGAGCGCACCAATATCCCAACTCAAGATCTGTCGCGACAACTTCACTCTCTTGCTGTTCACCCCAAATGTAAAGTCTTAACCAAAGACCCCGCGAGTAAGGACTCACCAAAGGCGGGCGACAAGTTCTCTTTCAACGAGAAGTTCACCAGCAAAGCAGTTAAAATCAAAGCTCCTGTGATATCTGGTTCCATCAACAAGGTAGAAGGGGAAGAGGAGCGCAAGGACACCGAGGAGAGAAATGATGAACATCGTGGCAATGTTATTGATACTGTTATTGTCCGCATTATGAAGTCAGTCTCATCCCCTATCCTGGCTGCCATTCCGTAATACTAACGTAACGAAACAGAGCACGCAAAGAACTCACCCACCAACTCCTCTTCTCGGAAGTCATCACCCAGCTTTCACAACGCTTCAAGCCTGACCTCGGTATGATGAAGCGCCGTACCGAGTCGCTCATCGAGCGAGAGTATCTCGAGCGTGTTGAGGAGGCCAGTGCGCCTACCTACCGCTACCTTGCCTGATTTAGAAAAGCAATTTGTCGCAATCATTGATGTTATCGTTCTTTTCAGGGTGCATGGCTTGCGGGCTGGCGAAAATAGGCTGGGATGGGGAGTGGATGGCGTACTATGAGCGTGCTGCTCTATTGAAGAGTGGCTTAAGTGAGATAAATGAAGACATAGATAGGCAGCCTCTATAAATGAAACCTACCATTGCAGATTAGGGGTGGCGTTTGATTGATAATTTGTATGTTTAGAGTACAAAGAATCTCATAAGAGTAAGAGAAAAGATGGGGCGCGAGGGGTTCCAATCAACTGCATGAATCGCAAGGATGAAGTTTTGTCAGTCTCTGCTTATTATCAATTACATTTTGTGTATCAGGGCTGAAAGTTCAGCTCATACTGTGTATGTACCCATTATACTGCAGTGTACTGGGTAAGGATTAGCGATCTTCAAATGCCGAGACCCCTCCTTGCTCTAGAGACATCATACATGAGCTAGTCATTAGTAACATCAATGCCGTCACCATAAACAATTTTGATATACCTCTCTTCTTCACATGTTTCTTTCTGTTCTCTTTCACTTAATATCCGTTTTCCTAATCTTTATAAGTTCGGGTTCTTTGCATAGCATGCCGAAAGTTGGACTCGCTCAAAACTTCAGATTCCGTGCTTTCCAATCCTCAGCCTCGTCTGCAAGGCTGACATCTCTCACGCACTGCTCAGCTCAAAATTCCACAACTCATAGCAATCCAATCCCCTTAAGATCTCATTCCTACATCAAAACTCCAGCCCGATCTTTCCAATCAACACTCCCAATGATGGCGCCCAAATCAGGTAGTCTAGATACCCCCACCAGCTCATCTTCGAATGCAACACCACTCCACACCCTCCCCGACAAGAACAAACCAACCCTCGCTATCCTCGGTACTGGCTGGGCAGGCTGGACCCTCTCCCAAGAACTAGGCTCCCAAAAGTCCCCGCTCTCCCGCACGCATAACATCCTCATCCTCTCCCCTTCCCGCACCATGGCGCTTACCCCCCTCCTAGCCAGCGCCGCCTGCTCCATCTTCGATTTCCGCATCGCTGAGGAGCCAGTGCGGCGCCAATCGCTGTCCGCGGCCGTGCACAAGTACCAGGTACACGTGCTGGGCGTGGATTTCAAGGACAGGAGAATTAAGTGCGTGCCGGCTGTGGGTAGTAACGGCGATGATCGCGCGCCGGACGGTGGGAGAGCAGGGGAAGGGGAGTTTGAGGTATCGTACGATATCTTGCTCATGGCTCCCGGCAGCGATACGAATACGTTCAACACGCCCGGCGTGGCCGAACACTGCTACTTTATGAAGAACATGAAAGACGCCATGAAACTCCGGGAGCGGATGCTCGATTGTCTCGAGCTCGCCTCCCTGCCCATCTACACGGAAGCCCAGAAGCGGGACCTGCTGCATTTCGCGATTGTGGGCGGCGGGCCGACGGGTGTCGAGTTAGCGGCGGAGATTGACGAGCTTGTGCATGGGCATCTGGCGCATGTGTATAGGGCCCTGGCGGGCTTGGTTACGATCAGCGTGTATGATGTCGCGGATCGCATGTTGGGATCCTTCGGGGAGAAGCTCTCCGAGTACGCGATGGAGAGGTTTCGGAAGCGGCATGTGCAGGTCAGGATGGGGAGGCATATTGAGGGTGTGGAGAGCGGCGTGTTGAAGATTAAAGAGGATGGGAGGGTGGGCTTTGGGCTTTGTGTTTGGGCGGCGGGGAATAAGGCGTCGGGCCTGGTGCAGGGTATGGATGTAAGGAAGAGTGAGGGGGGGATGGAGAGGGTGCTTACGGATCGATGGCTAAGGGTCTTGAAACCCAAAAAAGAGGGCGATGAGGAGGATGGGGGGCTTGTAGAGGGTGTTTATGCGCTAGGAGACGCGGCTGATATCGACGGGCATGAACTCCCTACTACAGCGGAAGTGGCAGTCCAGAAGGCGGAATGGTTAGCGCGACACCTGAATGCCGGCGAACAGCCCGATAGCAAGCCCTTTGCCTATCAGCAGAAATCAATGGTGGCGTATATTGGACGTCAGGATGGAATTGTCGAGGGGAAGCAGGACTGGACGGGTGCGAGTGCCTGGCTTGCTTGGCGCTCCGGCAGTCTGCAGTGGACGAGGAGTTGGAGACGGAGGGCAATGATTTGCATATATTGGTTTATGAACAAACTGGATGGGAGGGAAATCGCAAGGAAGTGATAGAAAAGAAGATATATGAGGATCTTGCAGTCAGCGTGCCAAGGAGGAAATCATGCAAGCATTGGCTCAAGCGTCAATCGCGTGAAAAGAGCAGACCGTGAGTTCATATTTTGTACGAAGTATTTATTGACGACTACAAATCATCCAGACCAAAATTCAAGCCTCTCAGCTCGATTGAAAAGTGCTAGCTAAATACCGTCGTGCCAGTGTCATAAATGCATAGTAGTGGCGTATCAACGAGGACTTTCTTGTATTCGATCTAGCTATCTTACACTCATTCCACCCCGTGGCTCATAATGCAACCTATCCTATTCCTCATACAATGCAGAAACCAATCCGCCAACGCCCGAAATCAGTACGCTTCGTAACGTTCGTTAGTGGTCCTTCCTTGCTGAAGAGACCGTCCCAGGTTTTATTCAGGTGCATCCAAAGCCAACATCAGCCAGCCACCTCGATCCCCATCCACGAGAATGCATAACATAACATCTCATTCTCGACCCTTTCCCTTCCCAGAATGAGCAGAGAAGAAGCTCGACGGAATGTCGCTTCTAGACACAGGCGAAGCCTCGAAACGAACCTGCTGCTTGACTGGCCTGTTGGTGAATTCATAAGGTTCATTGTCATCGAAAGCAATTGCCTTACGCTTAGTGGATGACGTTGAGTCGGATGACGTTGAATCGTCTGAGCTATCCTTTTCAGGGAAGGCTTCGTCGGAATCCCTTTTCAAGCGAGCGGACCGAAGAACATCTCTCAGTTCTTTTTCCTCCTCCAATGTAGCGTCAAATGGAGGATCGTATAGGGGAGTATATACGATGGATTCGGCGGGCTTAGTACTATCAAATACCACCGCTTTCGAGGGACCTGGGTTGCGACGTTTGTATACAGCGTGTATTGGGTTACTTCTGACGTATTCGTATCCTTCAATTTCTCGGATTGATGGATGGACAGACTCTTCGAAAACCTTCCATTTACCACCTGGGAGTGTCTCACCTTCAACACTAGTCTTACTACCGCCATCCAGAGTCGAGTCCCCCATAAGTAGATCAGCATCTGGATGAAGGATTGCACCAGAACCTCTGCCAAATACAGACTGCGGTGTCCTAAGCTTCGCCATATGCTCAGGACCCGGCATATCTTCAACTGCGACAGGCAAGAATTGTACATCTCGGATCCAGTCATAGATAGCCTGGTCGTCTAGGATGTTCTTCATCTTGTTGTGCTCCTCGTTAGTGATATTTTTACGACGCTCAAGGATGAGCTCTTCAATGCTGCCCTTCAAAACCAAAGTCTCGACATAAACGGGTTTGGTCTGTCCAATACGATGCGCACGTTTCACTGCTTGTGCTTCCACCTGTCGGGAGAACACAGGGTTGACAAAGTAGACTCTGGACGCGGAACTCATATCAAGTCCAAAAGCAGCCTGGGAAACATCCATCAACAGAACTCGAAAGGTTTCTGTTTGATTAAACGTTACGATGTACTGAGAAAGACGAGCCTTACTCAGGGTCTTGGCGTAGATGAGGTACTTTATTCCTAGACATTCGAGGGCTTGGGCAATGTAGTAGGCGACGTTGTTTTCTTCGTAGAAAACCAATATTTTCTCATCTTCATGGTGAACCTGGATACGATCCATGAGGTAAGAAAGCTTTGCCGAGGCCGTAGAAATAATGGCTGCAGAGGCCAGAGAAGATGATGGGTCGAGGGTACCAGTGTTCTCGGCCTTCTTTGACTTCTTTAGCGATGGCTTTGGTTTAGTGGGCGAATCCCCTGCTTCGTGTTTATTCGAGCCTGCTGCATCCTGCTCAAGCCCCCCTTCTTCAAAAGCTTCCCCAAATGATGATTCGGCCGTATGAAGCATGTCCCTTATTGATTCAGCACTTATTGGTTTCAACAATGGTCGTTTCTTCAAACTCGAGCCATCTCCAATTGCAACGCCGCCAGCTAACGCAGGTGCTGAATCAAGCGCTGCCCCAGTGCTATTTCTGCCATTTTTCTTGCTCTTTCTTGGAGAGGTATCATCAGGAGGAGATTCCTGTGCCAAGAGTGTGGCTCTCATAGCCTTTTCCCCAGCCGCAATCATACCCTCAGACGGATCATGCTTCCAAAGTTGAGATTCAACAAACTTTTGCGCCTCGTGAATCATGGTCGCGCCCATTAAGGTTGGATTTCTCGAATCCTCGTCGAGGGCCCAGGCAAGTCGGACCTCTTCCGGCATTTCGTTTTGAACATACATAGGCATTTCGTGGAATTTGCGGATCGCCCCAGAAGTTCGATTCTTGAGGATCACATTGCCAACTTCAATTGCCATCTTTAATAAATTCTCATCCTCTTGACTCACAACAACTTCACGTTTCTCCAAGAAGTCTTTAGCAATATCAATCGTAGCATTGATGGCTTCTTTCGTGAAACCAGACCAAAAGAAAGATGCTTGCCGAAGCTTGGATACCAGAGACTGAAGATGTAAACGCTGGCGAGGGTGGAAAAAGTAATCGGCATCCTTTCTCTCGGATGTAACTGCATTGCAAATAATCATCATTGAAAAGGTGTTCAAGGATAATGTATCTGGCAACGATCCATCAAGATAAACGACGTCTTGGTACAGTGGAGGAAGCTGGACCTCACGCTCTACATCTCCAGGTCTATGGCGAATCATCATACTTTCCAAAGTATTCCTGAGACATTCCATATTGCCTTGACTCTTCGCTCCATGTCGTGGCTGCATTACGTGCTGTGCCCAGGACGCAGTATCGTGGGACGAAGGGGCCCACGGTCGAGCTTTCAAGTAAACACTCGCAATGTTGCCTAGCTTCTCTAAATCCTTGCGCTCTTGCAAATGAAAGAGCATCTCCCGTTCCTTTGACGAATTCGACGCGATATCATCTTCTAAATGTTCTAGTTCCTCCATTATAGCTGAGTTATTGTCATCGGCATCAAGAAGGGGTGTCCCAATTGTAGAAGAGCTATTAGATGATATTGTTACTTCCGCTCCGTAAAGTCCCTGGGTGGGCGTGCCAGACACTATCCAACGTGCATCTAGTTGCAAAAGATCAACAACTCCAACAGCTATAGTTCTAGAGTTTGCAGAAGCATTGCCGAATGTGTGCCCTTCATCGGTGATCAATCGCTTGAAATGTAGCGACTTCAGCGGCGAGTGATAAACAGCTTCTTCTTTGAGACAGGTGCAGTCTCTCTCTCTCGTGCCTCTAATGTATGGGCATCTGCAAATTATTCGGGTAGCTGTCATACGTCGTCCACTGTTATCACTGCCATCTTTTGCTTCCAGCTCGAAGCGTGATTTGCTAAACAGAATGATATCAAAATCAGCTAGCTCTTCCGGTGGAGGGAGTGATTTCTTTTTGTCGTCCATAATAAGACATTTGAGGCCTGTTGTATGCTTCTTGATCTCGTGGCACCATTGTTTGACAAGATTTGCTGGGACGATCACGAGTGTAGCAGCAGTCAGCCAGATTTTCCTCGGTGGAATAATCACAGGATTTCTGGATTGTCGTCGTGGCGCAGGACTAGGGAGGTAGTAGTGCCCGGCATTTCTTTTGATCAAGTCTACGCATGTCTCATGCGTGTATCCTCCCTGCATATCTGACAAGTATGTTTTCCAAGGCGTTGCGGTTCGTCCGACGGCAGCGGCAGCCATATTTCCCAACGATCCGGTAGACTTTCGCACTGGAATTGTTCCGACGGAATATTCTACGGGGATTTGCGAAGGTACATCTCTTGTCGCCAAGATGAGAGCTAAGCATATCAGAGTTTTCCCCAGCCCCATGGTCTCCGCACATATGCCACCTCTCGCAGCTTCATATATTCTAGCTTCGGTGCGGCATGAGCCAGCATCGAGTTCGCAGTACCATGTCGCTCCCCGTTGATCCTCCAGGCACTTCAAGCGCGGGTCGAGGGTTTGTCCGGGTTGGACTTCGCGTTGAAGCATCATCGCTGCGGAACGGCGTTGGTAATTATACATGGTAGTCTTCAATCCTTCAATATCGCTACCTAATATTTTGCACATAGCGTGCTTGGCATATCCATCCGCGATGGCTTTTGGATCTGGATTCGGAGATGGCAGTGTGTTAAACAGATGAAAAAGTGAAATGTTTTCCTCAACCTTGTCTTCATCCAAAGTAGAATCAATATGCGTGACTGGGATATCATCGGACCATTCGCCTCTCCAGGTAGCCCTGGAAACGTCCAATATTGATAACAGCTGTTGCATTGACCGGCGCAGGACAAGACTCTCGCGGGAAATAGAGACACGCCCAACATCATCGGGCAGAATGAACACTCTTGCTTGCCCAAAACAGCTGCCTTGGCTCTTGAATTCCATTTTGATCCATCCTGCGTAATGAAGACCGCGAAAATGTGATAAAACTGGCGAATTGAGCAAGGCCCCTTGTATAGTGCCCGACAAATATTGTCCTGTAGGTTTAAACAGGTCTTGTGGGTGAGCAAATGTTGCCCAAGTACTGCATGACTCCCAATGTTCCGCAGATATTGAGCATTTCGACCTATGGATTCGTAAACATCCCACCGGAATATATTTCGTTATATCGAGGGCCATGGAGGGGTTGGAGGGGTTGGAAATAGCGGGAGGCATGTCGAAAGAGAAGCTTGAGTCCCAATTCGCAACAGAGGGACGTCCCAGAAGCTGGTGCAAATTGTTAGCATTTACAGGAGCTGCTTGGGGCGCGGCCATACCTGTCCAATCCGCCCCTCGCCGCTGTCGTTGAGACGCTGTCGTTTGCCCGCAGGCTCTCCAATACCCATACTTTTGTCAGGTCCCTTTCTCAGCACACAGATGTGAAGTTGGTGCGTCCCGCGCAGCAATGAAAGGGCGATGGCGGAGTTCTAGGCATCCATGCGCAGCGACGGTGTTTGCGTTGATATTTCGGAGATATGAAATTGAAATCTAGTGTGATCGTCGGCGAATCATAGCTACCAGAGTTTTAAAGGATGTAGAAGCTGTTGTAATGGGAATGAGATCATACAGGGCTCCTCTGAATAGGAATCATATATTGATACGCTGAGGAAGAGCGATATGAAGTTGGTGTTGGTGTTGGAGGGATGGACGGTTTGTCAGGCGGGGCATACGAGCACCGATGGATTCAATTAAGGTTTAGCGTAACTCTGGGGTATGCATGGAGCTAAGGTAAGGGATGAATAAATCACATGCCTCCGTATTCCTCAACGTCCTCTTTCCCCGTGAAAGGTACGTTCTCCAGAAGGGGATTTAATAATGTTCCTGGAGTTTGTCAGCCAAACGCCCTATACACGATTGACATTCTACCAAGCTTTGCATTACAGCGCCGGAGTAGAGAGGCGAAGCTTTCCAAAAGTGGAAATTTCCACGTAAAACTTCAGTCTCTCCAATACTCGTATACCTCGCAAGCATATTCCATGATTGCGCTCTTATCCCCTCAAGTAGAGCTCCAGTTATGTCTAAACGATCAAACATAAACTACCACCGAATAAATCTTTACCAAAATCTCATAGCTTGACCATACGGGTATTCTCCTTTTTGTTTGCTTTTGCCTTTTCCTTTTCCTTTTTCCTTTTTCTTGCTTGCGACCGCGAGCCAATACCTTCCAGGTACCTTATATCTGTATATCTGTATATATATATGTGTGTGTGTGTGGGTCTGTAATCGAGTATACCTTCAAGAAGTACCGCGCGGTAGCAAGATAGGTAGACTAACGCACTTCAATATCAAGGATAAACAAAAGAGTTGTTTATACAAAAAGAAATCTGTCGACTGCAGCACTTCACTTTTAAAAACATAAAATGTGATTATTTGTCCGATGGCGAAGCTGCAACGTTCGTGTATATTATATTATGCTAAAATCCAGAGAAAAGCATAAATGGCATATCTTCGTATCAACATATCTCCATATACGAAAGATGTGTTCCTATCATTCGAAAATTCATATCGTCATATCGCGTAAATTCCTTTTGAAGCATGAGATCGTTTGGTCTTTTATCCGGACAGCACAGTAGTAGCCTCTACAAGCGGGTAAGCTCCCAAAACTTTCAGACATGCTAGAGAACGTTGGACAATCCCACTATCCTCTTTGCCCAACATGTAAAATGTTGTCGCCACTTCCGAGTAGATTGCAAACATCTCATCATCTCATCACCGTTCCTCCCCAACACCTCAATCATGGAAGGACATCCTGAAACTAGGCACAGTATTCGACCTCATGAGTCTCTGCGCCGGCACGAACTCTTCCTCCCTCTCCTCCCTCTCCAAAACCATAAATTCAACTGTATGCTCCGCCGGCACCACGACCCTCTTCCTCCCCTCCTTCCCCCTTCTCACATCCCCAAATGTCAATCTATCTGTCTCCCCATCCTTCTCTCTCACATTCACATCCACACCTCCAAACTCCCACCACGGAATCTCCGCACCAGGAAAAAGCAAAATATACGTCTCGCCTACCACAAGATGCCTCAAATACGGCAAGGGTAGCGGAGATTGCGTCTCCGTAGGATCATAGGATGAAATCTCCGTAATCTCTTCCTTTGGAACAGCATCTTCATCTCTAGGCGCCGCATCTTGCAACGCTTCAATATCCACTTTTTCAAAACCCCCATCTCGAGTCTGATGCAAGAGTAACAGGGGCTGGCTTGATGACCATAGGATAGTCACGGGACGGTCTTCGATCTCGCATTCGGGCGGGTCATAGCGGAGCGTTGACCAGACGCTGAAGGGGGCGCCTAGATAGAGTTCGGGGCGCACTGTGAGTTCTAGGGAGATTTGCGGGGCTTCTGGGCTGAGGATCATTAGTGGGGGGTTGATGGGATAGGGAGAATATGGTAAGGAGAAGCTTACTCGGCGTCGCTTTCAGAGAACGTGATGAACTCTTTGATTTCCTTACCGAGAACTGGAAAGGAAGCATTCGTTGAAGGATCCAGGGACAGTTGTCCCACGCTCTTCTCGACGAATGTTTCTGGTTCCGCTACGACTGGGGTGGTGAAATAAGGCTGGCTTTCTGGATCAAGCTTCTCAACCTCCGAGATGGTCGCCATGGTGTTCGTACCTTCGGTCATGATGGTTCAGTCGTAAGGTCGTTAAGGATCCAGATGAAGAGCGAGCCGTCTATCTATCTATTTTCCTTAGGATGCCAGCACTAGCCTGTGATCGCGATGGCTGTGTGATGCTCTGAATCCTGAACTGCGGGAATCCTCACTGGCGCGATGGTGGCGGTTGCATCACCAGTCTCAGCGTATCGCAATACTGTGGGGTCCGAAAGCAAGATCTCGTCAAAGTCTCATCTGAGCGTAATTGGGTAGCGTATCGAGTCGTCTAGATGTCGTTTGTTTAAGAAGTTCCACTGACTTGTGCGACCGCGTTCACACACGGTTTTATCACCAGATCCCTCCATGAATCCTTCCGGAAACATAATCCGGAAGAAGCTGGCGAGTGTATTTCGTATCCATCTCGCTCCTTCAGCTGCTGTGCGCTGCCTGTGCCGCGGGAAAGGCTCGGCAGCAGAGGGTAGGGGGTCAGCTCCTTCGGTTTGCCATTGCGAGTGAAATATCCAGATTCGTGATCCACCAGATCCTTCAGATTGGCGAGGCGAGTGGAACCTCCAATCTGGAAAGAGGCGCCAAGATAACTCGACGGTTAGCAAAGCTTGAGTGAGGATCATAAGGGTCCGGGACCTAGAGGATTATATAGCAAAACTCTTTGGGGATCGTCTCCTTTTCTAAACAATTCTTGTCACATCTAGCCAGTCAGCCATCTAGCAGTCAAAATTAAACCCATATATTACATTTCATCTTAGACAAGCCTTTCTCCCACATTACAACTCCACGTTTTATGTCTATCTCTACACAGACTTTAGCACCTATATGATTTGAAGTCTTGAATATTAACATTTTTGGGGGATGCAGCCCCTGAATCCCAGCTCCTCCAAGATGTATAAAACTTGGAGTTTGAACCATTACTCATAATATATTTCCCATTCACAATTAATTCCTCCCTTGCCCATCTACCAATCTTTGATCCCCTCCTCCTGTAAAACATGACTCTCCCCACAAGCCGCCGCCCTCGCATTACTAATCTCCCACTCGAACTCCTTCAACGCCCTAATCTCACTCCCCACAAACAGCCCCCCTATCAACCCATCAATTACACCAGCACTAAGTCCCAGCGTGCTCACCAACATCAAGATAAACGCCACAAAATTCCTAGGGCTGAACCAGACTGCTACTAGACAGCCTATACTTACAAAGACCCAAGCAACGAAATGACCTAATCGCAACCGTCTTTGACGCTTTTCGCGAAGTCGGTATTTGGCGATCATGGCCAGGATCTCGTCGTATGTTTGTAGAGGTAGGTAAGGAGGGGTTGTGTAGCGGAATTGGGAGTGTAAGGTTTGTAGTTCGCTTGGGGTGGGGGAGGATGAGAGGTATGCGCCTGCTTTCAACGCGGATTCTTCTTGTTGTCTTGATTTTTCACCTTCTACGCTTTCAGAATGCATAAGTGTTGTCTCAACGGAGAAATGGTCGCTGAGCGAGCATTGCAACTCCGGGTGTCGGGATAGGAAGCCTACTTTGGCGGTTTTGACGAGCCAGCCTCCTCGCTCTGGATTCGCAAAGTCGAAGGCTGTATTGGCGAAGATGTAGTCTAGGCGTTTCGCTTTGGGGTCAATCGTATCGCCTGGTACTTCGATGGCTGGTCTGTTGCGTCCTAGGAGCTTTTGCTGGCCTTTATTCCACCGCCATGTGTTGAGGACACTATCACATGTAGCTCCATTCTCGACTGTATTGTAGTCCGCTGTCGGTATGGGACGTCTCCTTGCCTTTTCAACAGCGTCATGGGAAGCACCTATTGAAGAATCGGGGTGTAAGAGGAGCCAGACATCTCGAACAGGAGAATGGGTGCTGATGAGACGGTGAGCGAGGGAAAGCGGAATCATGTTGAAATCTCCAAGAGCCAGGACCAGATGCCCTCGTTCTGTAGCTCCCCGTATAAGCTTTGCAATTTCCCATGCTTGTGCAGTTCGATGGCAAATATAGGAATCGTTCGGTTCGCTTTCGTAAGGTGCGTGGAGCTGGAATGGTTAGCATGAGCTCTCGCGCATAGACGGTGAACTTACATGAGTAGTGAAGACCTCCACAATATCCTTCAAGGCCGGTCCGAATCGTATTCTTGCAGAAGCAACACCCTTTCCCACGAACCAATCACCTCGGAAGAAAGCAGTCGGCCTTCCATTGAGGGGATACCTGAACATGGAACTCTCCTCTATGGGCCATTTCGACAGTATAGCCAGCCCTCCACCAAATATGCCGCTGTGGTAGAATTTCCCATACGGCAGAATATGTTTCGTTTGCTTCCGGATGCTCTTATAATCCTCTTGTGTCCAGCATTCCTGCAGTCCAACAATGTGTGGTTGGGGGTCTGCAGCTGCTATGCGTTTCCCGATTTCTGCCAAACGTTCATTACGGAATTTGGCCAGGTACTTGAGACCCCAGCAGTTGAGTGTAATGACATTGATCTCTGCCGGAGCTACAACTGGTAAATCCATCCTTATGCGGGCTGTACCTAGATATTTTTTTGTTCGTATAAGGGGTAATCTGGAGAATAAAAAAGGTAGGTAGTTTGCGCCACTATAGTAGAAATGGGGCTAGCTGGTATTATAGCTCTAGGCTATGCCTATGAGATGCTTTTCGTGATAACAAAACCCATGTTTTATTGTTTCGTCTAGATTCGTAGAGGTGAGAGTTTTATCTCGAGGTGTTGGCGGCGAGGGTTGGTTTGAAATGAATGGCAGGAGATCAGGATCTGGTCAGGCAGGTCCTCTTCAACAACCCCTCGATGTTGCATGATCTCATCTCCAGAATACCAGGGGGTGCCACACGCTGCACAGTTCATCCTTTTAGTGTCCGAGCCGCCCGAAAGTTAAGCTCTTCTAGGCGCATATGCGCGCGCGGCTACAGTAGTCATTAAATCTTTCCGCCGATCAGGAGGACAAACGCGTCTCCAGAATTGCAGCCGCGATCAACTCAAATCCTCGACACCAGAACATCTCAAGATGTCAGACTTCGACTCTACAGATGACGTGCCTGCCGCGAAAGGACACCGGCCACAAAAACGACGAAGAGTCTACGACGACAGCGACGCATCAACACCGCGATACAGCTCTCCAGACGAGCTGGCAGAAGACCGCCCTTACCGTTCTTCCAAGACTACCCGTCAAGATTCTGGCGCACGACGGAGATCGCATACCTCAGATGTTAGTGCCGATGAATTAGATCACACCTATAATCGTAGCAGAAGTAGAACGCGTTCTACCAGTCCAGAGTCACCAGCTTTGCGCCCACATTCCCCAACCGATGCGCCCTCTCCACCAACACGCAAACCCTTACGACTAAATTATAAACAGAAATTCATACTCAGAGGGCACCGCAAAGGCGTGGCTCAAGTACGTTTCTCACCAGATGGTCGTTGGCTTGCAAGCTGCTCTGCAGATGGAACTATCAAGATATGGGATGCTTCAAATGGAAAACATATGCGGACCCTGGAGGGACATTTGGCCGGTGTATCGACAATAGCATGGAGCCCCGACTCGAATACTATTGCTTCCGGATCGGATGACAAGGCGATCAGGTTATGGCATAGGGCAACTGGAAAACCATACCCCGCACCTTTACTAGGTCACCACAACTACGTCTACTCACTAGGATTTTCTCCGAAGGGAAACATGCTAGTCAGCGGAAGTTATGATGAGGCTGTGTTTCTCTGGGATTTACGAGCGAGAAGGCAGATGAGGAGTTTACCTGCGCATTCGGATCCAGTGGGCGGCGTGGACTTCATCCGAGATGGCACGCTGGTGTGCAGTTGCTCTACGGATGGACTAATGTAAGATACCTAGCCGGCTTTCTGTATTACTCAAGCTAATGTACCTGAACAGTCGAGTCTGGGACACAGCAACAGGACAATGCCTCCGAACTCTCGTTCATGAAGATATGCCACCTGTGACAACAGTTCGATTCTCTCCCAATGGTCTCTACATTTTAGCTTTCACACTTGATTCATGCATACGACTTTGGGACTATGTTTCCGGCCACTGCAAAAAGACCTATCAGGGACACGTTAATACGAAATACTCCCTGGGTGGCGCTTTTGGCGTTGGAGGAACCGATGGTTTTATAGTGTCGGGCAGTGAGGATGGAGACATAGTCTTCTGGGACGTACAGGACAAGAATGTGGTACAAAGAGTCAGCGGACACGAAGGAGTGGTGTGTTGGGTTGATACGTGTCCCGGGCGTGGTGGGAAGATAGCCAGTGGTGGTCTTGATGGCACAGTGAGAATCTGGGTCGATGCTGATAACGATCTCGGAGTCGATGGTCTTAACCTAGATGATGAAGGAGGAGAGAATGGGAATGGGTTTGCACGCAGGGACAGCGTTGGCGTTAAGATTGAGGGCGAAGATGGTTACAATGATACCCCGATGGATGATATGAGTCTAAATGGTGGGCAACTCCTGGAACCAAGCGTTGAGGCACCACCTCCAGATGAGATGGAAGAGGATTGAAGCACGAGGCCCAAAATGTCGATGGTCAGCGAATATACTTCCGTCATCGTTACATTTATCGTGTTTCACAAGAGTGAGGACATGCCCATCTCAATATAGGTCAATATAAACCTTTCTTTTTCCAATGACTCTATTGGGCCACAAGATATCTCTTCCATCCCCGGTATCTATCTGGCCAAGTGGCTGCATGGGTCTGGGAACTGGCGATCCCTGCCAAAGTAAGAGGCACGTGTCACCCTCTCAGCGAAATGGCGCTATTTGGAAGGAACGTCCAACGCAGACCCATAGATCTACAACTTTACATGGGTTTTCCTGGGTTTTCCTACCTCCGTAAGTCGACTTGAAGAATTAATAAGTCGACTCACGCTAATCAAATCGGGAAGGCATAATAACTCATGCACAGAATAGACATCCGGACTTGCTAGGTACTTCCATCTCCATACAAATATGGAGGCAATTAAGGTATCTAACGAAATTTAACCTAAACGCATCGTTGCATTTATACATAGAGATAATAATATCCTTTTCTAACCCTTCTATTTGTTAATTTGCAATGCTAAAAGCTTATCATTCAACACCTATATTATCTTCTGCTCTGATAAGAAAAGGATAAATGCTACGCATATTAAAAGTTAGGAATAGTTACAAAAACGTGATGAGTGGTGCGTGCGCTTACTTATGCATTTTATACATTGCCGAATCGGTTAGCGCGTAAGTCGACTTTTTAATTTTTCAAGTCGACTTGTGATAACCCCTTTACGTGTACAACATCGACATTTCGTGCATACTGCCCCACTCCACTCATGTATATCTTTCCAGCGAACAGACTTAGCTGCGAAACTCTCAATCCCTAGCCGATAGGCCACTTCCCCGCAGTGTGACTATATAAGTCAGGTCTCTGCCGGTATGAAGTATGGCCTCCAGGATATCGTATCCCCAACTCTTGGGCAACAGCACCGAAGTTGGCCCCGTTCTCTCTACGCTCGCGATGACGGTGTCGATTTTTTTCTTTCGGCTTCTGTCCCTCTTGGGGTATGCAAGATTGACGATTTCAGCTCCTAGTGGTCACACCAAGGCGGAAGTTGCATTCAATACTCTGCAAACATGGTACAACACCAGCAGCGGGATATACGATACAACAGGCTGGTGGAACAGTGCAAATTGTTTGACTGCAGTCGGTGATTTGGCCGCCATCGACGCTGCTGTTCTCCCAGAGGCAATAGTACTTTTTCTTAATACGGCGGTGCAAGCACGTAAGCTGATCGAATTTCTAAAGACCTGTTCCAAGCAACTTCCGTGTAGTTACGTACCCCAAAAGTCACTTAAATTCATTGATAAGTAATCTGGTTGGGATATGCAATGCTGACTTGCACAGCAAAATACAACCTGCAAATGCAAAAGGTAGTCACTGATGATTATAGCATAATCTCATACTACGGGCCATCCTTCCCACCAGGCTTCCCCATTCCACCAATTCTGAACCCCATAGGTTTCTTGAATGGCTATTATGACGATGAGGGCTGGTGGGCTCTTGCCTGGATCCAAGCTTTTGATGTGACCCAGAACCCGTTATTCCTCCAAACGTCAATAGAAATCTTCCATGATATGAAAAATGGTTCTAACACTCCTTGTGGAGCTGGCGGAGGCATCTGGTGGGATAAAAATCAAACCTACGTAAACGCCATCGCCAACGAGCTCTACCTATCCGTCGGCGCACACCTCGCCAACCGAGTTCTACTCAACAAGAACTTCTACCTCGAAAACGCAAAAAGCCAATGGGCATGGTTCCAAAAGAGTGGAATGATCAATTCCAGAAACCTCATCAATGACGGCTTACAAAACTGCAGCAACAACAACGGCACAGTATGGTCGTACAACCAAGGCGTCATTCTGGGGGCTCTCACAGAGCTCTTCTACGCCACAGGAGACCAATCCTACCTCACCACAGCGACCTCTATCGCCAATGCAGCCATCACCGCTCTCCAAGACAAGAACAAAGTTCTGCACGACAGTTGCGAACCCAACTGCGGTGCCGATGGCTCGCAGTTCAAGGGGGTCTTCATGCGAAACTTACAAATATTGCAAAAAGCCGCGCCGAGCCAAACGTATGTGGACTTTGCTGCTGCGAACGCGGCGAGTATTTGGGCGTACGACCGCAATGCTAGTGATGGGGTATTAAGTGAGGTTTGGAGTGGCCCTTTTGTTAAAACAGGCAATGCGAGTACCCAGAGTTCGGCGCTGGATGCGTTGATTGCGGATCAAGCGTTTGGGGATAGCAGTGCAGGGGTTATTGCCTCTAGAGAGAGGGAGCTGCGATCATGAGGGGAGAATATGGAGTCTTAACATGACTAGAATGGATTTGAAACAGTAGTTGAGGCTTTGATAATCAGGAAGGCATGCATTTTCTCGGTTGGCTCTTTCCTTCTCCCAATATGTCAAATAAGAGCTTTGTCCAATGCTTGATCAAAGACCTCCAAGTAGCATTTTGGTCGTTCGAGATCAGCTTAGTTGTCCATAAGAGTAAGTGCCGCCTTTTATATATAATATAGGGAAGCACAGTAAGATTCAAATGACTTATAATCAGAGGGCTTTCTATTAAGAAAAAACCGTAAAACACTATAGATGTAATCCTCTTACTATACCTTCCGTTTAGTCTAATGTTATTCATATAACGGGGAAAGTCTATTACATTTCTTATATCCGCCGACCTTTATTGGACATTACAAATCAGCTGCTTCTATCTCTCCGGTACATCTAACGAAAGGGTATAGCGGAGTAATATGATTTGCACGTTAGCTTAGTGCCACGCTAGTTTAAGCGGAGATCGGCCAGCCTACCCAGGAACCTCATCCTTCTGCACATCGACAATTACTCTAGCCTAGGGCTCCTGTTATCATATATTATTATTGCACTGCCTATCGCCTCCATAGTTTTTCACGCATAATACCAACCATTCATCGTTCACTCTTATCATCATGGACTGGAATAACTACACTCAATATACGAATAATCACAACTCCCCCGATACGACGGATGCGGAGTTTCGCTGCGGTCTCTGCAATAAAGCCTACAGTCGCCGTACGTTGTCTATCTGAGTACATGTGATTGATATGTTTTGTGACTAAAGTATTAACGTATCTAATAGGGGATCTACGGGACCGGCATCGACGTCGCTGTGCCAAAACTTTCGGACAGGAACGCACATCCAAGCGCAGGTCTTGTGAAACTTGCGCTCAAATGAAGTTGCACTGTTCATTAGCCCGCCCAGCATGTAGGCGATGTGTTCAGATGGGCACCGCCTGTCACTATCCCAATCCTAACACGTCTTTGACGTCTTCAACACGGGTAGATCAAGACACAGGCCCGGAGCATGTGTCGCCCTTGGAAGTAGCTCTGGAACCGACATCCACAGGTCTTACCCACGTTACCCCTCTCTCGGCTATTACCTTGCCTGGGGATGGCAGCAATAGCGCGCCCGGTTTGGACGGCATCGCCTGGAGCCCAGCACTCAATGATATCGATTTTACCCTTGATGGAACTGGCTTTCTTGGCTCACCATCAGGCTTCATGGACCATCTGGATGGCCAAACGTCCTTCTTTCTTACGCCGCAGGAAAAGTCCAAGGCGCCGCATCCGCTAGATGTCTCCCTACTACCCCTATCCTCGTCGGCGGGCAGTAGTCACCGAAAACCGTCCGTGGGACGCGACGACGTAGAGACCAATATTACAAATATGTTTGCTAGCTCCTTTGTCCCGGACTTGTCCCATCTAGAACTGCGAGAGACAGCCAGTCTATTTCAGGAGCTTTTCGGGATCCTGCGCGAGTATCTGCGAATGATGTTGCAGCCCAACTTCTGGTCCCCCTTCATCCACCACCGTCTCTACCGGTGCTCTAAGGACGGCATGGCTGAACCCCTTGGCATTGCCCTGGCCTGTGTCGCGGCCTATTCGAGCTCTGTCGAGTCCAGCTTTGAGTTCGTTGATAACATGGTCAAGTCGCAACGGGAGCGGCTAGTCCGCGGATTTCACCTTTACAGCGACCGTCCGGAAACCTGCCTCGCCGCTCTACATGCTGTTTGCATGTATCAGATATTGGGACTCTTTGGGGCGCTGTCTGTAGATAGCCCCAGATCGGGTCAGGGCACGCTCTTTAAAGATGAAAGTGAGCGACGTCGCGAAAACCTGGGCAAGGCCGCAGAACTCTACAGTTCCTTTCTACTGAAGGTGAGTATGGTATATTACCTTTCCTCCCCATTGCCTTAAATCCACACCACTCATTTGTCGATCGCCGCATAGATGACCCGGCGTCTCTGCAAGCTGCACCAAAAAACCCTCGGGCAAGACGAAGTAGGCTGGTCCGAGTGGAAATTTGCTGAATCTGTCCGCCGCAACGTCTTCTTCGTCCACATCGTTAATATACTCGCCGCCGAAGCCCGGAAGCTGCACCATGACTACTTTGAGCCGTTGAATGATGCCATGATTCTACAGATGCCCCTTCCAGCACCGGAGCCCATGTGGCGTGCCTGCAGCGATGCGGAATGGCGAGTCGCCCGCGAATATGCTCGCCCGACATCACCTACTCCGTGTACCCTCCAAGGTTTACTTGACCTGGGCCATGCGGGAAGTTTGGACGTCCCGTCACTGCAGCCTTTAACAAGGATGATTTTGGCGTGCCATATGATTCGGCTTAAGTTTAACGACGAGGAAGAATAAATAGGCGATACTAGAAGTATATGATTCATCTATTCTTTTCTTTTCTTTTCTTTTCTTCTGGTATGTCTCCAACCCATTAATTGTATCCTCCTAATCTATGGTAGTAGTATTCCAAGTAGCCCTCTCACTACCTCCAGTAGTGTCACTGTTCAAAACGAGACAGCTGACTAAGTATACTAGCGTAATTTAGAGAATGGTAGGCATAATTGTCAGAGCACACCCCTAACTTCGCCTAAGTTACAAAGCGCTTCACTTTCCACTTGAGTTGAAGACTTGAACTCAAGTCAAGACGCTCCACTTTCTAGGGGAAAATCTAGCCATTCAGGCATTATAGCCTAGCTTAGTCAGCTGTCTCGTTTTGCTATATGTCTCGTTTTGACCAGTAACACTACTAGAGGTAGTATGGGGGGAATGCCTGGACTACTACACTAGGGAGGTCAGGGGGGCACGATTATGAGTCTGGCTTTCTAGTATCCTATTAGTACATGATCGGCCACAACGAAGCATTATTAATGACATGGACTCACTCATCTTCTGCGCACCGTGTGAGTGGCTCGGAGGAAAGTGGACATCACTTGATCTATATATCGGAAGGATATGGACGACGTCGTATCACGTGTGTTGGTAATTACTGGGGCTGGAGCTATTAACAGAGCCTGAAATAACAAAAGTCCTTTGACTTTGAGCTATAGGGGTATAAGGCTTCCAACAGAATCATATCAATTTGGAAGCCTCGGGACAGACGGTACTTTGACATTCGACTTGAAAATTGCATAATGGAAGTGGGTAGCAACCAACTGGCTTAAACAACTATGTGTGACGTACACGGTCTGACAAATGAGCAGCTAGTTTGATAAGAGTAAAAGGCAAGAACAAAGTCTATTCGTTATAGCCGGAATGCACTTGTGATAGAAGCTACGACCCATTGCAGCAGAAAAGGAACACCAATGCAATACATAATAACTAGAATGAACATGTCCAAATCAGAATTGTCCCTTAAAGCCACCATGTTTCACACCGCCCCAGATAATGAATTTAGGTTCAAATCCCTTACCAACCTTCTCAGTCTGGCTGAGACCACCATTTTCCGGCAGGAGCACAACGTTCTCCGGATACAGCTTACCTAGAGTTGCGAGAGCAACGATGGGCTCCACGGTCGGGATGACATGAACACCACCCTGCTTTGCGGTGATGAGACCACAGTCGGGGTTCAAGAGAGCGTCTAGGGCCGAGTGGACGGTAGCAGCTTGAGCAGGGAGGTCTGTCTCCTTGCCCGGGAGGGCCTGGTACGCATAGCGGTGGCCGCGGGCAATCTGACCAATGTCGACGCCGACGCATTTGCCGTTGTTTAACTCGAGGCGGAGCTCCAGTTGACGGACGGGACTGGACTCGGTCGAGTGCACCAGGTCCAGACTGGCATTCTGGACCACAGGAGTTGCGAACTCGGAAGGAAACTTCAGCAGATCTTTAGCCTGTACCTGGGAGCCAGCGGGAATCTCAGTACGCGGGGCAATATAGTAATCTGAGAATTGGTAGTCGAACAGAATGTTCTTCTGTGATGGATTGAGCTTGGTGGGGACGTACTCCAGCAAGTGGAAATGGGTATCTCCGCCGCTCAGGATCGCTGGCAGGATTGAGCCATGCTCGTACTGGAAACCATAACCACCGGTATCAGTCCGGGGCAGATCTGGCGCCAGAAGCGCTTTGGCGTATGACAGCACCGACCCCTGAGTGACGCTCTTGGTGACGAGGGTCGTCAGGAATTGCGCGCGGCTGGGCTCCAGATGACGGATGCCCCGGACAGCCTTGCTGTCGATAGGAATCAGGACCTCATCGAAGTTCCGGAACGGGAGGAGAGCATCGCGAAGAAGCACCATCTGGTGCATGTATTCATTGAATAGTTGCATCAGGTGCGGCTGACTGCGACGTCCGAACATGAGCTCGACATTTGCCGGTGTAAGCAGATGATTCTCGCATGGGCTGCGGATGTTGAGGTCGGGTTCGAAGGGGCCACTGGAGGCCTCACGCGCCCATTTGACGAGCGTCTTTCCGATTCGATCGGCCTGCTCCTTCATCTCCCTGCGCGAGAGATCGGGCACATCCTTTTGGAAGGGCAGGGTGGCTTCGCGAGTGTCGGTGGCCAAGTTGGAAAAAACATTGTCGAGAAGCGATGCCCTGGCGGGCCTCGTATTTGGGGCATCGTCGCCCAGACGGTAGACGACCGTGTCTAGAAGGGGAGCAAAGCCCTCAACCACTTGACGCGGAGTATACACCCCAGAGCGCAGGCTCCATGCATGAGGCTGGGGCTTATCGCGAGCACTCCAGCTGCCCTCCGGATGTGGGGTTATGGTCTGCCCAGCCAGTATGCCCCCCAGGCCAGCGAGGCGATAGATGGCGCTTTCAGCGACAGGTTTGATCATAGTTGCGTTGAGCATTCCGAGAATGAGGAAATTGAGAAGCAGGATCTTCATAAGGTAGCTCGGTGAAGGGGTCTTTCTGTTCATATTCCCTGATTTCCTAGGAATGATTAATAATTGCGTCCTGGTCTGTTTCGGGGGATCGTGGTCACTTCGCAGATGCTTAATCAATCATGACCACCCATCTCCGGCCAGCTACCACCCATGTCCAGATGTTCCAGTCGCAGGAGCAGAGACGAGGCAGTCATGAATCATGATAAGGCCGTTGTACTGAAGGTCGCAAAATCGACATGTCCGACAATTTTAGCCCGCGGAGCATAACTTCAAGTGTTCACGCCACCCGTGGAGGAATTTGTATATCCCCAGCTCTCCCCCAAATACCTTCTTCCCGTGACCGTGATCTATCTAACCGCTTATTCCCTATTGGTAGATCTAGAACAAAGAGAATAATGGCTGCAGTAGAAACATCAACGTCCACACCAGAGGTGTTCGGGGGAACAGAGGGTTAGTACCTCTTGCCCCACCACGTCCCGAAATCGACCACTTAAACAGGCAACATGGATATATGCCAAAGTCTGCTGTGATGGCAACCTGCTAGGAGTTCCCTACCAGAGCCCAACAAGTATCTTGAGATACTTGACAGCGGCTGGTTGTTTCCTGGAATATTAATATGTCTGTCGTTGTTGCATCATTTGCATGGCGGTAGATTAGGTTAAGCTTTGCCGCCTATCTAGGATATACGAGTAATTTGCATTCTGATAAGCCTGATGCAGAATAATTGGTGGAGAAGTACTCTTGGTAATTCGTAGAGAGGTAGTCGTCGAGTTGTGAAAGATTAAAGTGACTAACATGAACCGGATTGAATATCTGAATATCTCAGTATTAAAAGACATCCATAATCGTTTTCCGATTCGCCTACCTTATTTAAAGTGAGGATAGTAGATCTTTGAACTGATTGGATTGAAATGATTTCGTGGAAGCTTCTGGTCCTACGACTCGCCCTTCCTCCTCTCAAGCACCTTCATAACATCGGCGGCACTATTGCTATCACCTTTCCTCTTTTTCGGACCTCGTTTCCGTTTATTCTTCCCCTCTCCTTTCCCGCCCTCTTCATCATCATCCCCTTTACTACCCCATTCCGACAGCTTAACTTTCTTCTCCTCAAAATCCTCCTCGTCCCCGAACCTCGAGCTTCCGAAGCCCATATCCATATCCTGTGCATCTCGGTCATCAGCCTGCAGCATCTTCTTGCGTCGAGCTTCTTTGGCTGCTTCTTCGGCATTCTCGGCTTCTTTGGAGATAGGATTGAGTGTGGAGGCTTTCTTGAGGACAGCCAGAAGGGTGGGATCGCTGAGGCCTCTGGAGGCTGTTGAGTCTTCTGTTTTGGTGGTTTCGGACGTCCCAAAGTAATTTCGTGGTTGATTTGGTCGGGGTGGTGGGGCCATGCTTCCTGGAACTGGATTTGGTGCCTCATTTGACTCGGCTTTCTTCTCCGCGGAGTCTGAGAGCTCGCCATCCTCTTGTTCTTCCTCAGAATCGCTCCCTTCTAACCCTGCTAGAGGATCATAATCATCTCCCGCATCGTCAAATATGTTGATATCTTCTTCGTCTTCCTCTGGCGCTTGCGGTATATCCGGCACTTCCATGCCCAAAGGCGCGACATCTTTGTCTGGCATCAAGAGTCCGTGTCCTTTCTCAAGCTCTGCTTCTGATTTAGGCTGAACCTTCCTGACCTTCCGCTTCTCATTTCCGTCCTCATCAACCGTGATCAGAACTTCTCGCCCCTTACTGTCCGTCTCAATTCTAGATTCCGTCCTTGGACCACCAACTTTCTTAAACCTCGATCCTAATGAAGGTTGAGCTGCTTCTTTCGCCGCCAAACGTGCAGCTTTCAGATCCGCGAGTATTTGATTCCTATTCCTCTTCTTCCCCGTAAGCGAAGGGGGCGCCATCTCCCCTTTCTTAGCCGTCTTCTCCTTGGTAACAGCCTCCACCTCCTGATCTTCCAATCTCTCAAACTCATCATCGATATCCACCTCCGGCTCATCCTCCTCTGCCTCGTCTTCTTCGGGAGCCTTCCCCTCCAATACGTCCATCACCCCAATCTCCCCACTCCTCGCCTTCTCAAGTAATTTCCAATCCAACCCTTTGACCAACCCCGCCCTTTGCCCCACATCATTCCCCAATATTTCTTCCCGCAGCTTCACAAAAGTCGGCTCATCAATCTGCTGCAACTTCATCATCTCTTCCAACGCTTTGACCCGCTTCACTTTGTCATCTTCTTCAACTTCCTCCTCCCCTTCTCTCGCTCTCGCGCGGTCTACATAGCCGGTTGGCAGTTTTGCGCCTTTAGGCGCGGCGGATGACTTGAATTTCTTGGGAGCGGGCTGGCCTTGACCTTGGGCGCGTTCTGCGAGTTGGCGGGCGAACTCGTTAGTGCTGCTGTAGCCTGATATTGTTCGTCTTCATAGAACTTTGGTTAGTGAACGTTTAAAGCAAAAATGTAGGCTGCAGTAGGAACCTACGGTGTCATGGGAATATTGCTTCGCATGCGCGAGCCCAACGCTGATGGCGTTGCGCCATTCCGTGCTGGAGTTGACTTGATATCTGAGGGCGAGGAATAGGATGCTTGGCGGGCGGGCGTATCAAGCACGAGCTTGCGGAATTGGTTGTTGTTCATCTTGGTGATACTGCTGTCTAACAGGTGGTGTTGAGGTTGGAGTTTTAGAGTTCACAGCCTCGCGTTGAAGTTTAGCGCGCCTTGTTTTCGCCCCCAAACTCACTTTTTGGGACAGTGAAATTGAAATTGAAATTGAGTGAAGTGAGAAATTATTTCTTCAATAGAAGAAAGAAAATTGGCAAATATTCTTTTGATTTCCTAATAAAAGTCACGTTTAGTTAGTTAAAGAGTAAAGTGTAGTGAAAGACCAGACACCACTTAAGTTATATAGCCTAAAGGTCTTTAGGTCAAAGTTCTTTGGCCTAAACCTCTTTGGGTTATAGATATTGGGACCAAAAAGTGAACCAGACAGAGCCTAAGAGAATTGAGCAGCAATAGGATGTAAAGAGTGATAGAATTTAAATTTAGACTACTAGATACATATACGACGAATAGTTGCAAGCACGGCGCGATTTCCCTTCCAGACACTTAACCACTAATTCACGGCAGTCACCCAGGCCGTAGTGCTTCTCCATAGCGGTCCTAGATCCAGCTGTGGATGTTTACACTCTGAAAGATAGGCAGCTGGGGATAGCATGACTCCAATACTCCTTATGCCCCAATTGTATTCGAGTTTGTGATACGAAAGGCCAATCGCCTTCATTTCATGTTTGATCACTGCCTTCAAAACATTATCGACTACTAGAAAGCCTGGAACATTCTCCTCTATCGGAACGAGCAGGGCGGTCAATGATGTGCCTTCAGTGTAAGAGGTCTGGTTAGTAAAATCAGGAATCTATTGTGGCATTGCATGCCTCCTCTAATCTAAAGTACTCTATTCGCAGCATTTACTTCGTCCGCCCTCTCCAGGCATTCCTCCAGCACTTGCCAAAACCGACCAATATCCAACCCCCTAGGAATCTTCAGACCATCCTCCCCCCTCTGGCAACAAGCGAACAATCGACCTCCCAGTCTGCGCTCCCTTTAACGCATCATCATGACTCCCCTCCGTCACAATTTTCACCTCATATCTTTCCCTTCTTCTTTTCTCCCCTCCCACACCACTTCCCAATCCATCCTCTACTCCAGTCCCCGTAGACTTAAAATCATAAAACGGTATCTCCACCCCAACAATCCCATCAAAGACAGCTGCAACAGCAAGCGGATCATGCAACGGCGGCCCCGCTGTAATTCCAAAGACCTCCGCATAGGTATTAGCGAAGAAAATCAACAAATCACTCAACATCCTCCTCAAAGTCGTCTTTCCTTCATTCCCATTCTTTACACCATCTTTCCCCCACAACAGCAAGTTTTGCACGTCTGGTGTAGCAAGACACAGATGCGTGACATCGAGCGGAATCAACGTCGTCTTTTTCGAAAGAACAGGATTGGAGAAGAGCTGAGAAGCAGCTTCCGGATCAACAAGAATGTTGAACTCAGCCCACGCGCTCCAATTCCCTATCCGCGCCGTCTCTTCACCGCCCACGCGTCCCATTGGTGCGGATGTAAAACCGTCACCGATTGCACCACCCATTATACTTAGGCCTTTGATGTGAGATGCTAGCTCTGGGTGGGAGGAGAAGAGGAGAGCAATGTTGGTTAGGGCGCCTGTTGCTACGAGCCAGGCTGTTTGAGGGGGGGTGGAGAGGAGTGCTTTGGCCATTGCCTGGACTGCTGGCTCGTTGATGGGCTGTGCTAATGGGGCAGGGAGGAGGGATGTCCCGTCCAAGCCGGATTCTCCGTGGATTGCTGGGGCATGGACGGCGGAGCGAGTGAGAGATTCTGACGCGCCAGAGTAGACGGGGATGTTGGGGGTTCCGATAGCGGCTAGGAGAGAGAGGGCATTGTGGGTTGTGTGGGGAAGGGAGGAGTTGCCGTGGACTGTTGAGAGGCCCAGGAGCTTGAGGTGTGGGTGGTGAGCTGAGAGGAGTATGGCGAAAGCATCCTGTTCAAAATCAGATATGCTAACTTTGGAAAAAGGGGCAGGGAGCGAGGTTAGTCATGTGACTATTATGATAAATGAAAGCAGAGTGTCGTGATTCTGGAGCAAAGAGCTCTATTCAGAAGAAAGGAGACTGCGATGCCTCCTATATGATTCATGAGTCGGGAACTTACATCGTGGCCTGGTTGAGGCATTAGCTCAGTTCAGTTTGCATTACGAACCGCGAACGGAGACTTACCAGGATCACAGTCCAACCAAATAGGAATTTTGAAATTTGATTCCATTCCAGAATAGTGCTAGTTGGTCACTCTGATTTGGATTGTGCCTCTGAAGACAAAGTGGTGGTGTTTACCGATCCGACCTGGTTTGGTAGAGTTGAAGTTTAATGTTGAAGAGTGGGAGAAGGCGTGTTGGCGATGCAGTACTATATAATAAAATAGGCGAGGTTTCGCTTTGTATGTTTCAGGGGCTCATTTCTAGATGGAGAGGGAGCGAACAAACCAACTCGTAGAAGTTTCTACACTTACTTTCCCGAAGTTTGGTTTATTGCATTGCTGAAATTTTCTGTGCATCCTTCAGAGAACCATCGGAGGCAAGTTAACATACTTCATTTTTTATTAACGGGCCCGTTGCAAATTGTAGATTACAAATGACAGCTAGACTTCCGAATTTTGGCCATATGTTTGATCTTCTTGAGATTATATATCCAAGAAGGACAACTCTATCTATCCCAAACGCCCCGCCCCCACTCCCCCCTCCTTCCCCCTGGTATTCCACATGCAACACTCCCTGAATCAAGGCTCCAAGTTGCCATATTCAACGCCATGCAAAGACCGCCCTTTATACAACGCATAACCAAAACTCCATGGCCCCAATACCTCCAGTGTCCTACTCTCCTTTAGACTTCGGTTCTCCTTCCGCATCAAAGCCCAATGCATCCAGTCCCCGAATCAATTCGTTGATCTTGATGACTTTGGCAAACTGCTCAGGCAATAGCGCACCTCCCCCCTCTTTCTTCTCTTTCAAGTCCCTGGCCTGCTTCAGCTTCTTCTTGAGATTCCTCGCCTTTTTCTCCTTCTCCACCTCCGGATCCGCTACCTCCTCTTCCTTCGCAGGCTCTTTCGCAGATCCATTGGTAGCTAGCTTCCCGTCGCCTCCTTCTTCCGCAGCCTTGGCTTTCTTCCTTGCTTCTCTCCTCTTTGCATTCTTATTACTTGCAGCAGATCCATCGTCTGTATTTTCCTTCAATCCTTCAGCGCCAGGGACTCCACCGGTGCCCCGCTTCTTCCACCCATCTGCTATACGGTTCTTATAGACTTCGACATCCTCTGGGGGCTTGTAACCCGGCTTGATTTTTATTTCCTTGCGTTGGGATCCGTCGGGTCGTGTGGAGGATGGGATATGACGCTCGCCGGATGTAGTTTCGATTATGCCGGCTTTGGAGGGTGTAGGTACTGAAGGCATCGTGAAAAAGGCTATCGCTGGGACGACAGCCTTTACTTGTGATGAGATAGTATGGGACAGCTCAAAATGATTGCAAATGCTGCAATTGGCGCAGGGCCGCGCACCTCGTAAGGATAATAAATATAACTTTGTTGGTGGGATTTTACCTGAACTATAAATTTGGACGAGGCTGCGTAAAGTAGATATTTCGGAGAAAGCTTAGATTATGTAAGCGGCTCCAGAAGCCGAAAATCGCTTTGAACCTCGACAAGCTTCAAATCGTAAAGACTTCAAACCACCCTCAGCAGTTCTTCTCAAGATCCACCACCTTGCGCTCCCCGCTGAACATTTCACGATGGTATTTGAAGCTTCCTCGATTCCTCCCCTTCATTTTGCACCCAGCTAACGTGTGCAATGACAGGCTGCCCCCGCTCGATCTATCTACAAGCAAGTCACCCCATCCATTCCACAATCGAATCGCGAACGAAGAGCCGGACATGCCGGAATCAATAGCTAATACTGCTCCTATTATAGCGCCCTGTTTCGAAAGAATTATGTCTTCCTCGGTGTTGTCTTTGCCAGTGCATTCGCGTTCGAGATGTATATTAAACCCCCGGGCCACCGATGCGGAGCTGGGTCTAATGGGCATTATAGGTCATTCGACAACGTGATGGACAAGGTCTGGGATGGTTTCAACAAGGGCGTAGGTCTTCTGGTGCAGCATATGAGATTGACGTTGGGCTAATGATGTACAGCGGCAATGGAAGGATATCCGGGCGAGATACGTTGAGGCTGGGGGAGATGACGAATAAACTTTAGGAGAAGACATGAGGACATGTGCGAAATGGAATTGAAGGGTTGGTTCAGATGGGTGGAGAAGGGTTGCATGGAAACTAAAGGATTCGTTGCGGTGTATAAAAGACAAGCATTGTATCAAAATATGCCTTTACAAGATCTCGTGCCAACAATTAATATCCAATAGTGGATGTGATCATTTAGAATTGATGTGATTTCTATATGAAAGCTGCTATGTAGAAGTCACTATTATTGGCCAACGTAGCTCCAAACATTCTCGCAGCCTTTTGATAGAGCCGAATCAGGACAAAACAGCACACCAAGCTTGCCCCTCCAACCTTCAACACATTGCTAGACCAGCAAAGCAACCTATGATTCTGTGGAACCACAACCGGCGGTGCAGGATCTACTAAAGAGCCTGAGGCTTGGACGAAATTATCCAAACGATTCTACAAACCAGGCTTGCTTCTTGAAGCTGCAAGTAGCTTGATGCTCTGCGTCAACGATAAGGCTTCCAAACAACTGCGATTCGATACCCCCAGTGCAACGTGCAACTTTCTCTCGGTTTTTTGATTCTTGGCGGAAGAAATGCAGAGTACTTCCTATCATAAATGATGGAAAGAATGTCAACCCAAGAGCAACAGCTCTGCCAGTTCCTCAAGGAGCAACCCCGCGTCCACAATTACCGCTACGACTCTAAAGCAGAGAACGACCTGCTTCAGTCTCTATTTTGGTCCCTTGCCGGCGGACGATCAGATTATCTACAACTCTTCTTCCCAGACAACACGAAACCTCCACCTAATGCAACATGGAAGTTAAGGAAAGCCCAAGGCGGGGCAGATGGGGACGAATTCACCGAAGCCGCTCGAGGCAAGGCGTGCGGGCATATCTTCAAGGCCGGTGAAGCTACATACAGGTGTAAGACTTGCAGTGCGGATGACACCTGTGTTCTTTGCAGCCGGTGCTACGATTCCTCAGACCACACAGGACATATGGTGTATGTTACAGTGTCCTTGGGCAACAGCGGCTGTTGCGATTGTGGAGACCCTGAGGCCTGGCGGCTTCCTGTACACTGTTCCATCCATACTGCGCACGAGGGAGGATCGCAGCCGCAAGATAAGGGGAAGGCACCAGTCCTCCCTCCAGATCTTGTTGAATCTGTTCGCATGACTATCGGGAGAGTGTTTGACTACATATGTGATGTTATATCTTGCTCCCCTGAGCAGTTGCGACTACCGAAGTCCAAAGAGACGATTTTGCTGGATGAGAAGATGTCAAGACTTGGCTCTCAGTTTTACAAGGGAGATATTGCGGAGGAGCAATGCGAGTTCGCTTTATTGCTCTGGAATGACGAAAAACATACCGTCTATGAGGTCAGGGACCAAGTTGCTAGAGCTTGCAAGACGACCAAGGACGAGGGACTTAGGAGGGCCCATGAGACTGATGATATTGGCCGGAGTATCGTCAAGTATAGCACCGATGTCGACGAACTGCTCAAAGTCTCTAGAATCATAGAGCAGATCAAAGTTACTGTTACAATTAGGTCTTCTAGGGATACCTTCAGAGAGCAAATGTGCGGCACTATCATTGAATGGCTAGGAGATATTGCTGGATGTAGTGTGGGACCTGATCACAACATTCTGCGCCAGGTCATATGTGAAGAAATGCTCAAGGAATGGAGATTTGGCAGCGAGGCAAGCAACAGAGATGTTGGAATGCATGGCCTCGATGACCACGAGATAGATGACGCCGACGAAGACCGGAGACAGTTTACGGTTATACGTCAACGGGAGATCTTCAGACGAGCCCAAGCTGCAGCTCTTGCAGCAGAAGCTGGCAATGATGAGGATTCGGATAACTCGGAGGATAACTCCCTTGGTGATAGTCCTGCGCCTGGTGATCAGTCCGATTTGGACGACAACCTGAATGAGATAAGTGACGATGATGAGGAGGACGACGATGTATCGGATTTTGCCACCGCTGTTCAACATTATCTCTTCCAGCCAGGACAAGCAGAGACTGATCCCGATGGCGATGTGGATATGGAAGATGATGATTCACCAATGGAAAACGGAGAGGCCACGACTGCAGGCTATCCCCCGCCCCCGCCTCCGCCCCCTATTCCTCAAAGACCGAACAGAGATAGAGATCTTACTCCTTCCGATTCAGATACTGCGGAAATGCAACCTTTGATCTCTCCTAATGTCTACGCTAAGGCTAATATGGAGATTCCGAAGACGCCTAGGAACAAACACGCTAGTGAAGCGCAGCCCAAGCCAGCTAGATATTGGTTGGAAACATCACAACCTTACAATGAGACAAGCTCAGTACCGCTGCATGAGAATCTGTGGGAGCGGCTACGATTAGATTGGATTATCCTGTTCGACCTGCGAATGTGGAAAAAGGTTCGCATTGACCTTCGAGACCTCTACATATCAACTGTAGTTTCTGTTCCCGAATTCAAGCGAGTGCTTGGACTGCGCTTTGCTGGTCTCTACACCACGCTGGCTCAGCTATATCTCATTGCTGACCGAGAACCCGATCACTCGATCATCAATATCTCATTACAAATGCTGACGACACCGACTATTACCGCTGAAATCGTTGAGAGAGGGAATTTCTTGACCAATCTTATGGCCATACTCTACACCTTTCTCACCACGCGCCAAGTTGGACATCCCCATGAGATATCCCCAAACGCTACGCTTGCCTTTGACTCGGGCACGGTTACTAATCGTCGCATGTATCACTTCTTCTTAGACTTGAAATACTTATTCAGCTCAGAGCATGTTCAGGAAAAGTTGCGCACCGAAGACAGATACATGCTGCAGTTCCTGGATCTTGTACGATTGCATCAAGGAATTTGTCCAAATACTCGAGCCGTTGGAGAGCACGTGGAGTATGAGACCGATGCCTGGATTAGCGCATCGCTTATCACCCGTGAAATCAATCGTTTGTGCAGACAATTCTCGGAGGCTTTTAAATGGAATGTTGGAGAAGACCACACTTACATCTCCAAAGCTATCAGGCTGTCTGCTAAGGCAGTCATCCTCAATTCGCTGGGAACCGAGAGAAAACACTTTGAGCAAGCAGAAATCAAGGATGAGATCAAATTCAAGAAAGTCGGCGACTTCGAATTCGATAACACAGATATGGCGCAGAGTGTACTTCAGCACACTGTTGTGAAATTTGTTGTTGAAGCCCAACCTATCAGTTTTCATCATGCACTGCATTATACTCTCTCTTGGCTAATCGAGAGTGGCAAGAACATGTCCCGCGAGCATCTTGTCCAGTTGTTGAGCTTCACGACTGCTGAACTTCTTGAAAAGCCTAAAGCTATGGGTCAGCGAGTCATGCCGAGTCAGGAGTATTCCGCCGAGGATCATTTGATGGCTGCTTTTGACTATCCTCTGCGTGTCTGCGCTTGGCTGGCACAGATGAAAGCGAGCATGTGGGTCCGTAACGGCATGAGTCTTCGACATCAGCATAGCACCTACCGCGGCGTCAACCAACGAGACGTGTCCCATCACCGTGATCTCTTCCTTCTACAAACAGCCATGGTCGTATGTCCCCCATCTCGTGTGCTGGCTTCTATGATCGATCGATATGGTCTGGTGGTTTGGATGAAGGGTATCTACGAACAACCGAAATCTGAAGGCGTCGACGATGGACAAATGTTGGACGTGGCAGAAGACCTAATCCACCTGTTGATTGTCTTAATCAGCGATCGAACAGCGCTCGTGTCGGACGAAGAGGAACCAAATCCACACGTGCTTGCCATGCGTCGGGATATCACTCATACGTTGTGCTTCAAGCCATTGTCGTTCACGGAAATTTGTGGCAAGCTCCCCGACAAATTCCAGGACCAAGAAGAATGCCAAGATATTCTCGACGAAATGACCACCTTCAAGCCACCGGAGGGCCTCTCGGATACAGGCACTTTTGAGCTGAAAGAGCAGTTCCTCGAGGACATCGACCCCTACATATCTCATTATAACAAGAATCAGAGGGAAGAATCGGAGAACGCATACAAAGCCTGGATGGCGAAGAAGACAGGACGACCCGCTTCCGATATTGTTTACGAGCCAAAGCTTCGACCCATCGAAACGGGTGCATTCTCTGACCTCTCTGCCTTTACCCGAACTGGAATGTTTGCACAAATTATTTACTATGCACTTTTGTATCCACTGAAGGCACAGAAATTTGTCCCGAGTGTTCCGGTCACTCGTCTTGAGGCCTTCCTTCAAGTAGTATTACACCTGGTGCTTATTGCAATTTCCGAGGATAAGACCGACGAGGATGAAATGTCAGAGGAGTCTCTTCAATCCTTTGTTTACATTGCCCTTACGAGCACTGCGCGAAGCAACTTCATGGAAAATGCCCAGGCATTCAGGACCATCGTTGCTCTTTTGGAGCTATTGTCGCGAAAAGAGGAGTTCAAGGCTTGCCACTCCAAGATTACGCTTGTTCTCAAGAGAATGAAGCAGAAGCGACCACGAAACTTTGAAACTGCTTTTGCACGTCTAGGAGTCTCGGTCGACAGAATATCTACTGCATCACCAGCGAATAATACTATACTTGAAGACCGAGAGAAGAAGAAGCAAGCCGCCCTGGAACGCCAAGCCAAGGTCATGGCACAATTCCAACAGCAGCAGAAAAACTTCCTCGAGAATCAAGGTGACATAGATTGGGGTGAAGATGATATTAGTGATGATAATATGGAGGTTGAAGGGGAGGATCATACGACACATTGGCAGTACCCTACTGGGACCTGCATTTTGTGTCAAGAAGAGACCAAGGATGGCCGACTATACGGAACCTTCGCACTGATGACGAATAGTAGCATATTGCGTCAGACGGACTTCCAAGATGAGGATTTTGTTCGTGAAGTCGTCAACACACCGACGTCTCTAGATCGATCAGCTGAAAGCCTTCGACCATTCGGTGTAGCGGGAGAGAACCGCGAACAAGTTCACAAAGTCACTGCCAGTGGAGTCGATATTGTGACTGAACGTCAGTCCATTGGGAAAGGATATCCATCTGGCTTAACGCGAGCTGGTCCTGTATCTGTAGGATGCGGGCATATAATGCATTACAAGTGCTTCGAGGTCTACTACGATGCATCACACCGACGGCATCAACAACAAATCGCCAGACATCATCCCGAGATGTTGGGTCTGAAAGAATTTGTCTGTCCGCTGTGCAAAGCCTTAGGGAATGCCTTCTTACCTATTATATGGTCCCCGAAAGAGGATTTACCCCTGAATTCTCTCCAAGGGCAGACATCCTTCGATAATTGGATCAATGGGGTCGCCGGGCCCAACGCCAACCCTAGGGTAGGGAAAATTGAACACAAGACTGGCAGAAGCAGCCGAGCTGTCGAGCTATTCATGGAAAACAACAAGGCTGTGCTAGCACCTCCATTAGCTGCCAAAATGTCAGAACTACTTATGGATGCTTGGAGTCCCAGTTCTCCAGGGCCTCCCATTCCATTTGCCGCTCCATTGGCCGCGGTAGTAGTGCCCGCTATCTGGAACGACTCTGGACCTTCTAATGCAGGGCAAGCATCTGCAGCTGTGTCACCGATGACGGAATTGGTAGATATCTATCGTCGATTGAGAGATACAATGAGCAAGAATGAGCTTCCGACGCATCATTCTGGCAGCCTGACTTCTCCGGCAGGCGATAGCGCGAACGATTTCTGCGCAAGCGACACTCTGGCCCAAGCACTTGGGTGCTCTATCTCCGCCGTGGAAATTCAGCAGCGTGGTGTTGCATCGCCATCTGGTATGACTTTTCTGGATAACATTCCTCAGCAAGCCATCGCTCACTTGAGAATTTTGGCCGAGACTGCCTCCTCTTATGTTTCCGTTGGTGGCATCAGATTCGCGGGTGAAAACCGAGTTACTCAAGAATTCAGCCGAGACTACGAGAGTCAGCATGGAGCATTGTTCCTGAGGAATCCGTACACGCATGGTAGCGAACGCTTTGCGGGCCGTCCCCAATCTAGTTCACCCTTGCCTTTACTCCAGAGAGACACTTTCATTTTTTTGACGGAATGCTCTCTGTGCCTAGTACCTATTGACAACCTCGACGTCATGCACGTTGTCAGACTCTGCTATCTTGCGGAATTGGTCAAAGTGGTGGTGAAAATGGGTCGCAACCAGGATGCATCAGACTGGGATAATACTCACACGCCTCCGGCATCTGGCACTTTTGCCGAATTCTGCCTCCATATCCGCCAAGCAGACCGTGGACAGTTAGACGATGAAGATGGCATCCTCAGCTCGGCTTTCAGTCAGCCTTCCTTGGAGAGCATAGACTCCTGCCGTGAATTTGTTCGAAGATATGCATTAGTCTTCGTCCGAAAAGTTGCTTTGCTACTCCAAGTACGGTACGGGGTCGTGTTTACGAATTATGTTCCCTCAAATCCCGATGCCGACGAGCTGGACCGTTTGACCGAAGCATTGCACCTTCCAGGCTTCGACGAAATGTGTGCATCCGCGATTCCATCATACCAGAACCCTCCAGCTATCCCAACCCTCGTTAACAATTGGATCATGAACGCCTACCCAGCCGGAATGGGCAAGACATCAGGCATGAACGTCGGCCACCCTGGAATCTTCGAACTCATTGGCCTCCCTAAGAACTACGACACCCTAATGGAAGAAACGATGAAGAGACGCTGTCCCACAACCGGGAAAGACGTCACGGACCCCATGCTCTGCTTGTTCTGCGGCGAGATATTCTGTGGTCAAAGTATATGTTGTCTTAAGAAGGCACCTGGGAGCGGATCCCAGCCTTCTATCGGCGGCGCGCAGCAGCACATGATGAAGTCAGTCACCTCCCTAAATCTCTTGTTTCCTTTACTAATATGCTACAATTAGATGCCAAAAGAACATTGGCCTCTACATCAACATCCGAAAATGCTGCGTCTTCTACCTATACCACCAATCTGGCTCCTGGATGGTAGCGCCCTACATTGATAAATACGGCGAGGTGGATCCAGGTCTCCGACATTCGCGCCAGTTGTTCCTGAATCAGAAGAGGTATGATGCATTGCTTAGGACTGTTTGGTTGAGTCATGGTATTCCGAGTGTGATTAGTAGGAAGCTGGAGATGGATATCAATAACGGGGGGTGGGAGACTATCTAAGGGGAGAAGCGGACTGTTTGTAGTTTTTTAGGGGCAATGCGTTCGGGCGTTTGAGAGCCGGGGGAAATTGGAGTGTTTAGGAAGCGAGTGATGAATATTCATGGTTTTGACGGTGGTTTTGAGGTGTGCTTGCTGCGGATACTGCTAGAGCTCTTCGTAGATTAGATAGATGAACTTGTCAGCTTCTTATTTTGAGTGTTCCCATACGTTGTTTGCAAATTAACTGGACCGTTTGTACAATATGTCGTTCTTTTCCCGGCGTAGTGCGCCAATATGCGGTATTTTTGATGGCATCGTGTTATTGTTTCTGCTGCAAATTATTCATGTCGATTACTCGGAAAACGTTCCAGAAATGTCTCCTATCGCTAACCCGCCAGTGCTTGTGCCACAGATCATATCAAAGTAGCCCGCAGGCAGAGGATCATATTTTAGGATAATACTCCGCACTACTGGACGAGATCAGCAATCGAATGTGATGGAACAAGATGTTAAAAAACGCCTAGTGCTTTAAGAAGCAAAGGCAGCTGAACAGAAGCGGCCACAGACCAAAAATCCTCGGAGAATAAGGAGACCAAAAGTCCAGCTGCCGGTAAGAGAACCAGTCGTTGACCTGAGGGGGTATGAATTTGGATTGAGGGGACTCGGAAGGGGTTGTCTAGTTGCTTAACGGATTGAAAACTGGGAAGTGGGCATGATGAATGGCTCTATTGTAGATATATATCTCGGTGGGTTTGGTATGTATTTCTGTTCTTTGAAAATGGCGTTCTCCACATTGCGTTGTAATGAGAGACCCGCATAACGCATTTCACAACGGAGATGTGCAAGATTTGATACAATATAATCGGCGTCATGTACTTGAATTTATACGCCTACTGATCTGTGCTTGTCTGATTTCCCGTTGCAAATGAAGGTGTGAGAGTAAGTTGTCCTTGATCATCATAAAGTACTCAGTAGAGACCTAGTAAGCATTCTGGCGCTTCCTCTCCTCGAAGACCTTCAAAGCCTCCTCGGCAGCTTTCACGCCGGATAGCGCCATTGCGCCAAAGGTAGGGCCCTGTGCCAGAAATTAGTATCGGATTTATCGAAATTTCTCTGGGTGCTGAGTTCAAGCTCTCTAGACACATCAATATCTGTGAGCAATAATGACTTACCATACGGTTGGCACCATCCACTTCAGACAGCTCCATGCCTCCCACGACCAAGCCGGGCACGACTTCACGAGTACGCTTCACAATGGCATCCTCAGCCGTATTCATATCCAAACCCCTCATACCACCCAGCTTCTCGATCTGCTGCATAGACACAAGGCGCTTGACGCAGAAGGCGCCAAAGGGACCATCATGGCCGGTTGTGGAGATGATGACGGGTGCGTTGATAGTGTTCGGGTCCATGCAGGACTGGTCGTCGTGGTGCATGGTGACCAAGGTCCAGTTTGTGACGACGCCGGCGATGCGGAGGGTTCCGTCCGGGTTGGAGCGGGTGATAAGGTCTTCGACTGCGGTGGCGTTGAAGAGCTTGATGTTGGGGAATTGGAGGACTTTGGAGAGGAGGGTAGATGTGAAGAGTGCCTATAATACTGAATCAGTTTCTGTTTGTGAGATTGGAGCGAGAAGACTACATACAGCATGCTTCACAACCACAAAGTCTCCTTCATCCTCGAAGGGCACACCGAGGTCGACCAAGAATGCATCAGCAGGCTTGCGCATGACCATGGCGCTGAAGAGCTGGCCACCGAGCCAAGCTCCACCTCCTGGAGAGACGGAAGCTTCAATGATGGCAATCTTGAGATCAGGACGAGCCTTCCCCAGCATATAGGCAGCGCTGAGACCGCAGGATCCAGCTCCAACGATGACAATGTCAGACTCGGCGTAGGTGTCCAAGTCATTGAAGTAGCGGCGGGTCATGGCACGAGACACCTGGGACTCGCGGATAGGAGCAAATGTGAAGCCTTGCTCCCACTTGTCGGCCATTTCTGCAAGAGTCTTGGTCTTGTTGCCATTGCTATTGATGGCAACTGGCTTAACATCAAACCCGGCCTTAACGGGTGCGCTATCAAGAGTAGTGCTGGGCTCATTGTACATTGCAGATGGTGGAGACATTCTCGTTGTTGGTTGAGATCAAGGTTATGAACCTGAGCTGGGTTAGTGGTGTCTTTCGACCGGGGAAAGGAAGGCATGAATCCTTAACGCAGGCATTATCCTGATCAAGTTCGAAACCGTATCATCTCAGAACGAACCCAGCATATGCCACCAGGCTTCTCATCTCATCTGTGAGGATGGTGGATAGGAAGCTGTGATGACGCTGAGAACGAACACCGGTTCATGCAAGATGTTTTACAATCGATTAAATACCTTGATCCCTTAGGGATAATTCCATTGTCTGGACGTCATGACTCCTTCAAATATTTCTGGAAGTTGTACGTGTGACTGAGAAACTGCAGCTCGCAACAACAGTCAGTTGGACATTCTAAGAGAGAAGGGGCTATACAAACGGCGGTATGCTTTGGATTCTGTATAGAAATTTGAGGTTTTAGAGGGTTGAAAAAGGAAAAGGAGGGAATATTGGTGGGTGGGATGATATATAGCAAACTTTGAAGCGCCCAAATGAGGGGTAGCTTTTAGTGCTCTCCACTCCTCGATGTACAGTAAGAAACCCTGCAAACTAGCGGATTTGCCCCATATCAGACCAATATAATTGAAGCTTTCGACTAAGGTAGGACTGACTACAGAGCACGAACGGCTTGTGATCGTCCTATGGAAAAGCTGCATTACCACACTGATAATAGAAATCGTGGAGCTTGATAGGAAATAATTGGATGAGACCACAGCGAGATCGGCAGCTGAGGAAGAGCTTTCTTAACGATTTCAACCGGCGTCAGTTTCCTTCGGAACGAAGCGGTTCGATCGTGTATTTTATCACTGTGATTGGAAGAGGAAATAGACTTTAAATGGACGAACATTAAAGAGCAACTAAGCCCAAATATGAGATAATTGGTTGAAGAAGTTGGGTGCAGAGAACGATCTCTAGATATCAATTGAAAAAAAGAAAAAAAAATTGGCAGACATCTCAAGTAGACAATACTGCTTCGATTGGCATATGAAATTACGTAGCTTCCTACCTCTAACAAGCTCTTAAGAATATATCAGGGGTTTGAAAAGTAGAAACACCGCCAGTCTTGTACATCTTGTGCACGTGCAGTAGGAGAAGATTTGGAAGTTTTAAGACTTCGGGATGGAATAATCTGTCGTCTGAAAAGCAAATGTTTACACAAGAAAAGATGAACAACAGAAGAAAGAGCGAAGACGGCTAGCATGAACATAAGGGGGTAAGGAAGTTAAAGTGCTTGTGCTCCAGCACGTGACTACTTCGGCCACGACGCGTCAACCTTTTCTGGTCAAAGCCGCGTTCAACTACCGCATCGACTTTGGAATCAACCTCGCAGCAATCGGTGCATCAAAATGCCTCGCAGATCGAGTCGGAAGTCGGAAAAAGAGATAATCGAGACGGTCATCAGCGAAGGAACTTCTACCACGCCCAAAGAGGGCCGCAAGTCCCTCAAGGTCGAAGCCAATGAAGCTGTTACGAAGGTCTCGCCCACAAAATCGGCAAAGAAGAAGATAAAGAAAGAGGTCGAAATTGATGAGGAAGAAGATGATACACAAGAGACACCTGTGGTTCCAAAAATCAATCGAGTCAAATCCAAAACTGTTGTAAAAGAGGAAACCGAGCAAAAGCCCAAGAAGACACCTGCTAAGCGGAAGGCAAAGACGGAGGAAGACGAGGACGACGCGAATGATACCAAAGTGAAAAAGAAACGGAAGACAAAGGAAGAGAAGGAAGCAGAAGCTATGCCGTTGGCTACACGAACCGTGGTTAGCACCTTGAAGCAGGCTATGCATATTGGAGCACATGTTAGTGCTGCTGGAGGTATGTGTCTTAAACATCTTAAAGGACGCTTACTGACTCACCTTCTTTTGCAGGAGTACAAAACTCTTTAAACAACTCACTCCACATTGGAGGCAACTCCTTTGCCTTGTTCTTAAAGTCGCAGCGAAAGTGGACCAGTCCACCTCTTGCTACGGAAGCTCGCGATCAGTTCAAGGCCTTTTGCTTGGAACACAAATACGATGCGGCTAAGCACATACTTCCTCATGGCTCATACCTCGTCAATCTTGCTCAAATTGAGCCTGACAAGGCCGACCAAGCATATGCATGTTTCCTGGATGATTTACAACGCTGTGAAGCTCTTGGAATCAAGCTGTACAACTTCCACCCAGGAAGTACGGGCAAACATCCGCGGCCTGAGGCAATTGGACGTATTGCAGCACAGTTGAACAAGGCACATAAGGCAACCAGCACTGTGATCACAGTCCTTGAAAACATGGCCGGTGCTGGGAATGTTATTGGTTCCACCTTTGAGGATCTTCGAGACATAATTGCCCTTGTTGATGACAAGTCCCGGGTTGGTGTGTGTTTGGATACATGCCATACCTTCGCTGCCGGGTATGATTTGAGATCACCAGAGGCTTTCAAGAAGACGATGGATGACTTCGAATCTATTGTCGGCATGTCATATCTTAGAGCGCTGCATTTGAATGACAGCAAAGCACCACTTTCCGCCAATCGAGATCGGCACGCTAACATTGGCACTGGATTCCTAGGCCTAAGAGCATTTCACAATGTCGTTAATTTTCCACCGTTTCAAGGCCTGCCTATGGTTCTTGAGACACCTATTGACAAGAAAGGCGATGATGGCAAGATGGTGGAGGATAAGGGAGTCTGGGCTACAGAGATCAAACTTCTAGAGGGTCTTATTGGGACTGACCCGGAGACGGAAGATTTCGAGGTGGAGGAACAGCGCTTACAAGACCTCGGAGCGGACGAAAGGGAAAAGTTCCAAGGTCAGGTGGATAAGAAGAAACAGAAGACTCTAGACTCGATGTTCAAGAAAGCCTCACCTAAGAAGAAAGCTAAGAAGGATATCGATGAGGATGAAGACGAAGACAGTGATGGCGGCTGTAACCATTAAGACTACATCTAGTTCTTGAGAACTCAACAATCTCCAGGACACGGATCGGAGATGTTTGTTGTTGTGTCATGAAGAGCTTGGACTTAACACCTTTACATGACCTCAACAACTTTCAGATGTTGCCACGGTTATAGTATACAACACATTTTGATCATCATTTTGTATAATATACCGTGAAGCTTGGAGCTCACTTTCAGTGTCATGGTGTTCAAATGGAGTTATGGGCGTAATCATCCTTTGGAGGCGGGTGATCTTTTTAGTCAGTGACCTTCTTAGTTGAACTGCTACCATCAGCTAGATCTGAATGAATCAAGCTGTTAGTCAAGCCGTCCGACTCTTACCGGTACTGGAGATATACTACCGTCGAAACATAATGGAACATTCCATTGGAATATATCAGAAGGTCATTCCATGTTCGTATCTCTCATTCGTCTTTTCGACGCCCAAGCTCTCCTCAAATATATCACATTTGAACCTCTGGGCAAGCCTTCCGAGCCAAAGATGAGGCGAAGTCAAGTGGTCCGATTTTGCCTACCTACAATGCCAACTCACCAGAGCAACTTTGGAAGTTCCAGAGGCCGGGACACAGCCTACCATTGTGAAATCGCGGGTAATTTGTGCCGAAAGCCTCTACTTTGTCCCACGCTGCCGGCTTGTTGCTCAGCGTCAGCGTCCCACACGACAAGGCAAATACTTGAAACGACTTCACATCAAATCAACACACCGCTAGCATTGTTTGCGCCGTGTACTCGAAGCAAAAGTTCCAAATAATACACATTCATACTGCTGCAGCTTCCCGGTTGTCAGTCACACAACTACTGTTCCTTGCTTGCCTTGGTTTGTGATTTTCTCTATGGTTACAGGTGACCTAACATGTTTGTTTGCTCTCTGCTTCCTTTTCCTCACCCTCGTCCTCAAGCCCGGCCTTCAAATGTATTTCGCATCGTACAACCCCAAATCCTTTATAAATCCCCCCACCTCACTCCATCCCCTGTCTTTCCTCCCTCCCTTCCCCCCTTCAATAATGTTCAACTGCTGCGCTACACCCCGCAAGCCCCCTCGCCACAGACACAGCGCCTCATCCCTCACCTCCTACTACCACCACCCACATCCATATCCACATCCACGTCCCCACGCACGCGCATACCCGCACCGCCCCCTTCAACTCCCTCTCCAACTCCCCGAACCCGCTCTCCTACCCCTCTCCCTACCCCTCCCCCCCAATCCAGGACCCAGATCCCCCTACCTCTCATCCCCCTACGCCCAACCACCACTCCCACACCAATTCCCACACCCACACCCACACCCACATCAGCATCAACATCAACACAACTTCCCACACCCCCATCTCCGATTCCCGCAACATATACATCACAACCACCGGCCCCGCCCACAAGAACCCCACATCCCGCCCCAGCTAAACATCCGGATCCCTCCTTCGCAGCAACTCATAGCCTTCGCACCACCACAGCCTCAGCCTCAGTCGAAGCCAAAACACAGGCATAATATTATCATGCCCCATCACCATGACCAGCATCTCATGCGGTCCCCGGAAGCGGAGGCCGTGATCCGGGATCTGGCGCAGAGGCTGCTGGGGACGGATTATTGGAGTCGGGATGAGGGGGTTAGGGAGAGGAGTTTGAATGGAGGAGGGGGGGGAAGGTTGAGTGAGGAGAGGTTGAGGGTTGATGATGTTAGACGGTATGTCTTCGCTTTCGCTTTCGCCTCTTTTCCTTTTTTGGTTCGAGTGTTTATTTGCATGCATATACATATATGGATTTGCCGTAACGTGTTATGTGATGTTGTATTGTGTTGTGGTGTCGTTAGGGCTATGGGTAGAGAAGATGGTGGAGTGGAACATGGGAGTGAGATAAAAGGTGGAGAGAGAAAAAGAGAGAGAGAGGGCTAATAAATGGTATGAATAGCATCAACGCGATAGCGCAAATCGCAAACGCGACGATAACTACACGTATGCTATATGCAGAAGTACATCCCAAGCTCTCGGTTATCGATGGTCGGTATTCTCCTGATTTCGATATTCCGAGACGGGTCTCGGAGTTGCTGGGTATGGATCGTAGGTTCTTCTTCTCCTTTCTCCTTTCTACATACATCCATACAATATTTATGTACACCATTTTTTTATATATCTCGCGATGATCGATTGGTTGGTTATACATTGGTCGGTTCATTGGTTCATTGATAAATGTATGTATAGGTGATACACTTCTCCGCATCTCCGACGCATACGGTCTTCCCGAGCCCACATCCCCCAAAGACCGCGAGTTCTGGAACCAGAAGCTAGCGGCGCTGCTCGAGTACTTGGGGATTACTGTCGCTGTTGATGAGCCGAGAGGTAGGAATGGGAGTCATGACCCCATTTCTTGTCCCATGGGTAGTCATCATCCGTTTGCTGGGTATACGAGAAGTAGCTTATCTAATGTAGATCTCGCTGCTAGTATGCGTAGCAATGGTAATGATAATAAAAACTGGTTGTCGTCAAAGCGTTCCCTGGCTAAACGTTGGCGGGCTAGTGCGGGTGGTATGGGTCAGAATGTTGATGAGGATGGGAATGTGGCCTTCTTTCCGCCAAGGGCCGGCGGTATGAAAGATAATGTTGATGCCCAGGGGAATTTGATGCGTTAAAAAACCTATGGTGGTTTTGTTTTCTCTGGCTGGCTTGTAAGTCGGCCGGGCGCTTTCGTTCTTTCTTCTAGAGCTGGCTGTATAGAACGGCGCGGGGATGGAGGCGAGGAAGATTGTATACCCAGATCTGCTAGCATATAGTATAGCATAGCTTGAAGGAGAAGTGTAGTTAACGAGGAATTCCATCCGGTTTATCATTGTCTAGTTTCATGCCTAGAATCATCTTGACTTCGGGGCAGTACTCCATAACATGATTCACTTGACCCTGATCATCCCAAATCTACCATTCATTCAAAATTAGCAACCTTCAATTCCACTTCAGCTGAAAATGCGAAAAAGACATACCTGTTCATGATGCACTCCCAACCACCCGATGTGATAACCCAGCGGCGCATCATCCCACACACTCTCCACACTGAAAGTCTTACTCGTATTCGCATTGGGCATCTGCGCCCCCTCCAATGCATTAAGCCGGCTACTCAACCACAAATCCTCCAACGCCCCATCACCAGCCGGTCTCTTCTGCTTCTGCAGCACCTTTAATATCTGCGACACCTTGCGTAACGAGAGTCCGCCATTGCCGCCATACGTAGCGGTCTTCGACCACGGCGCGCCAATCCAATCCCAATGGAGGAAATCATTCAGCGTGTGCGGCGCATTGGCGCAGAAGATGCTGTCAGGCTGGAAGACCAGCAGGTGTTCGGCGGGCGCGAGGATGTCGCGGTAAAGATGCGGGTCCGTGAACATCTGGCTGATGGTCTCGCGGTTCTTGAGCGTGTAGTTGGCGGGGAGGTCAAGGAATTGGAGTTTTCCGCTGGCTTCGAGGCGCGATATCAGAGGTGAGAGGCGCATGAAGGCTAGGAGGGCCTCGGAGCCCATTATTTTGAAGGTCCATTCTGGGGGGATGGTGGTTGGTCATGTGGGTGAAGAGCGCGGGGA